TTGTCGCGGATACTCGCGGATCCCCAACCGGGCCAAGAACACGACTGTGAATCGTACTTCTGCGTGGAGCCACAGCGCTTGTGCGGTGACACAGATATCAACGCCCTCTCTTCAACCCCCTTCGTTGCCCAGTGGCTTTCGTAGCTGCTGTAAACTGGGCCAGGGCATCTATGAAACGGACGCGCAAATTTACTGGATCAACTTTAACTCCTCCGGGCTGAATATTAGGGTCGCGGCGTTCTTCCAGTCTTGCCAGCCTCTTTCTTTTTCCTCTTTCTGTTTTCATCTGCAAACTCTGGTAAAGCTTTATGCCGGTCGGCTTGCCGTGAGTTTAGTTAGTTCTGAAGTCTTATTTTCAGGTAAATTTCACATCAAAGGATCTCACATTTTCGTCCCTGGAGATTAGACCGTAATTACACGAAACTTAACCTGTTAATCCGTTAACTCTCGCAAGATGAACTCTGGATCGTCTCCGTTCATTGTTACTGGATAACAAAGTTAACTGGATAAAGTCCCAGTTGCACGAGATTGAACAAAATTTAGAACGTACTTTCAAAATAACGGTATAAATAAGTAGGCGCGCCTATTTGATGCTGGGATCCAACGTCAGCCATTTCGCTACGGTTATCTCCATCGAATTAGACTGTTCTTGCGCGTCAAAATTATTGAATTATGCATAACTACAGTCATGCACAATAGCTATTTCATACGTAGCAACCGTAATCGCTAGTGAAAGGATTTGTCTCCGTCGATCTTATCAAACTTTAAGATGCATTTTTGAGCACGACATTCGACAGGACAAGTTCCCCGCGCATTGATGGCGGAATGCAGTTGTATTTTTCCGCAACGAGAGATGAGAGGCGCAATTGCGGAGGATAGGATCACGCGCGCGCATGTATCCATAGTTGAGTCGCTTCCTGCACATGAATACGGTTGTCCCACATTTCGGTAAGTACGCCTACCGTCGCGTTATTTTACGAACTGGGTCGAATGGCTCGACACTCGATGGTCATTCCACGCAAGCCTAATCGCCACGTCTGCCGGTCTGGCGATTCGCTCTTGGCACCAACCGACCGCAGAATTTTATCGTCTTCTTATCGCCACGAGGAAACGCGTCTCTGCCCTGTGTACGTACAGCGAACCGTAAACAAGATACCGATCACGGGCAATAGTCGCGTTCAAATAAAATCGTTTCGGGATTTTATTCCAAGAAATTTTTTATAGCCTCTAAAAGAGGCCAGGTTTTACATGGAAAAAATTGCTGGTACTCGGAGTAGATAACGTGAATACTGATTAGTCGACGCTAACTAATCGACCAACTTGGATGCCAATGTAAACCTGGTTTAAGGATTTAAAGCAGGAGTGTTTAGCCTGTACAATTCATGTTACTCCACCAAATTTCGTCGATACAAGGAAGACTTCATTTTAATACATGAACTCGCTGTGAAAGAAAATTTTGATAATCTTTAGTACTGGTAAACATATGTAATCCTTGTGCTTCGTTTTCTACCATTAATAATTAACACTCTTCTGTGTTTGTACGCGTTCTGTCCACTTCCAAGAGTCGAGACTTTCCAAGGCTTCTGAGACTTTCTAGATTTCCAAGGTTTTAGAATTCGAAGCTTGAAAATTTTCAGCGGAGTTCGCTGCTTATTAGCGTCGAGTTCCGTAAAGTTTGCTCGGCTCGGAGCACAATAGTGGTTTGCGAGAATCGCAGAAAAGATCACGTGGGCCGTGGTGCGATCACAGGTGTACAGAGGCGTCGTGTCGATTTGCGCGTAACGAGCGTGTTCGACCGCTATACGGAAGCGCCGCGTCGCGTCGTATCGCGCGAGCGGACCCTTCCAGAGGAAGCGGACTTTCGCCCTACCGCTCCACGCTGGATCATCGTTAATTTTAGAGGGCAGCAGCGGCCTTCGAGCGGCAACTCCGCAGCTCTCCGTCTCTTTTAACGAGCACCGATGAGAACGAATTACTCTCGCTACCTACTCCCCGTAATTATTCCACTTTTCGGTTTTTCCGTCTTTCGTCCTTCGCCGATCTTCCTAGCTGATATTAAATGCGCTTAGCATCGCTATTTCTCATCACCGTCCCATTACCACGGCGATTTCGCTAAAAATGCTTATTTCTTGAAAAAAAACCTTTCCCGACTTCTAAATAACCTCGTCGTTTCTCGTCTTCGTTAAAAGATCGTGCTTGGTCCAGTGAAATAAATTGTCTTATTTTATTTTATTTCTCTTTTCGACTCGGTTCAAAAATATGCACTTAGCCAATAAATAATTTTTGTCACGAAAAGATTTTATCGTTCATAATTGGGTCTACCGAATCGTCTATCATCGGTAAAGTCCCCATTCTTAATCTTATCGAACTATCTTTTCCATTTTTTCCATTCACACCTGCATTCTCAACAAAAATCTATTTTGCTGTGCATATCGCAATTTTATTCTATTTTGTAACAGAAACGGCAGAAATTTTTCTCCGATTTCGATCGAATATTTCGAAAATGCCATTAAAACGAGCAGAAAGGTTACATAAGTTACGTTTCGGACGTGTAAAAAATGTCAACGTCCAAACGTACGAAACGCGACGAGACTCTCGTACTAGTTTGCCCGCTCGAGCTGGACCTTTGAGTCCAATCTTTTTGCCTGGACGTGACTGCACACACCAGCGTGTGTATAAACTCGCATGGGCGTACACGTGCGTTTCTTGTCGAGCGATTCTTACGTAAGAACGAGATTCAGCGAGGTTTTCGGCGTTGTTACGTTTCCTCCGCCTGCCCTAACATCGTATACACAGGTAAACGATCCTTGAAACGTCGCGTGCAGATACGTACACGTCTGTAAGTACTAAAGTACGTGTTGACGACGAAGCGAAACAGTCGCAACAGTCCCGTCGTTTTCCGATGCTATTAAATTAAAAATAATGGTGGCCGCACGAGCATAGCGCGCAATCGTTAAGATCTCCGAGATAGATTTTCAGCCGGCAGAAATAGCGTCGAGTGGCGAAAGAAGAGGCGCGTTTCCACGCGACCAAGTTCGCGAACGCGCGGAATATCTAAAGCGTAGTTTCGCCTCGTATGGTCAACTTGTTTTCCGAACTGCTTCTTCCTTTTTATTTCACCAGTTCTTTCATGAAATATACCACACCTTGAATCAAGTTTAAAATTAGATCGAGAACGTTTCCGTTGTAAATACGCGCAATAATCGAAGAATGAAGGTAGCCATTGATTTCTATCATAGAAAGTGGGAACAATTTTTGGATCGATACGAGGGTAAAAAGATACGCCACACGTTGGCATAAAATAGAACAATAAACAACGGTTTATCATTCGTGACTTAGCGCTCGGTTAACAAGCAGAGCCCACAATTTACTGAAACTATGTTTGTTTGTAAATACGACCGCTCCGGAAAACGAGAAATGTGTGCAACATATATCTCCATGGTTCGGTTAGGAAAAAGTAGACTCTATGGTCGTATAACCAACCACATCCGCATTCCTTTTACTGACCAACAAGTCATCTCTGTACAGTACTTATATGCAGCGGCGGAGGAAGATGAAACATAGGAAAAATGCTACAAAAAGAATAACCGTGGAACGAAGGAAACTTGGATTCCCCGTAAGCACCGTAAGACGCCCTTGCGTAGCGGTATACCCATAACGCGACTATTACGAGTATCGGCATCGGCGTACCTTGGAACCGCGAGTGCGCGCGATTACATTTACCGATTTGTGGTCATAAATTAATACTACGGTTTCAAGTAAATGCGGCACGACCACGTGTAATCTACTCGTACGTGAGAACACTAGATTCGCGCATGCGCGTACGCGAATGTAACTATACGACAGTGGTACTCATCGTGGAAATTACCTGTTACGCATCGACGCGCTCGTTTCGATACGAAATCTCAACGATAAAGCTCGCTACAAAATCAAAGATCGAATAACTAGTACACGCAAGTACGAGTCGGTGACAACTTAACGACCTGTACGCCTCTTGGTACTAGATTATTTCCACGTTCGATAAACGTAGAAAAATCATGACTCTCGAGTTACGGTCCAGTGACGGCAGATGAACCGTCCACCGAAAAGTACTTAAAGTACCGGCACAAGTGACGCAGCAAACAATTACCGACAGTCGTTAATGCGCATGGATGTGCATCGTACGTGTCGCGTTCTAGCCGAGCGAAGGCAGTCGTCGATGAAAAGAGGTCTCGCTAAACTTCGATCCGAAACTCGCGTGGAGTTTCGGAAAATCGAATCGGTCGTTCACGGTTCGATGAGTACCACTGTTATAGAGCGATCATGCGCGATCCACTGGCTCTGCCCTGCCCCCGCAGCCCGCGTCCTCCGCCTAGCCTTCTGTTAGTAGTTGCGTAACCCTGCAGAGTCATGCGATAGGATAGCACAGTGCCGTGGTGCGGCGCGACCAACGAACACGAAGAAGCCAGAACGAGAAGGAAAGAGCCGAGAGGAAACGGAATGAGCAAGACCGACGAACACGGAGGGACAAAGAGCGAACGAGAAAGAGACGCTCGAAAAAGGTTAAGAAAGGAAAGAGTTGGCTCATCTTTGGCGGGGGCGGCAGCGGGAACAGGGGGCCGAACAGATCGAGAGAGAGAAAGAGGTTACTGACCAACAAGTCATCTCTGTACAGTACTTATATGCAGCGGCGGAGGAAGATGAAACATAGGAAAAATGCTACAAAAAGAATAACCGTGGAACGAAGGAAACTTGGATTCCCCGTAAGCACCGTAAGACGCCCTTGCGTAGCGGTATACCCATAACGCGACTATTACGAGTATCGGCATCGGCGTACCTTGGAACCGCGAGTGCGCGCGATTACATTTACCGATTTGTGGTCATAAATTAATACTACGGTTTCAAGTAAATGCGGCACGACCACGTGTAATCTACTCGTACGTGAGAACACTAGATTCGCGCATGCGCGTACGCGAATGTAACTATACGACAGTGGTACTCATCGTGGAAATTACCTGTTACGCATCGACGCGCTCGTTTCGATACGAAATCTCAACGATAAAGCTCGCTACAAAATCAAAGATCGAATAACTAGTACACGCAAGTACGAGTCGGTGACAACTTAACGACCTGTACGCCTCTTGGTACTAGATTATTTCCACGTTCGATAAACGTAGAAAAATCATGACTCTCGAGTTACGGTCCAGTGACGGCAGATGAACCGTCCACCGAAAAGTACTTAAAGTACCGGCACAAGTGACGCAGCAAACAATTACCGACAGTCGTTAATGCGCATGGATGTGCATCGTACGTGTCGCGTTCTAGCCGAGCGAAGGCAGTCGTCGATGAAAAGAGGTCTCGCTAAACTTCGATCCGAAACTCGCGTGGAGTTTCGGAAAATCGAATCGGTCGTTCACGGTTCGATGAGTACCACTGTTATAGAGCGATCATGCGCGATCCACTGGCTCTGCCCTGCCCCCGCAGCCCGCGTCCTCCGCCTAGCCTTCTGTTAGTAGTTGCGTAACCCTGCAGAGTCATGCGATAGGATAGCACAGTGCCGTGGTGCGGCGCGACCAACGAACACGAAGAAGCCAGAACGAGAAGGAAAGAGCCGAGAGGAAACGGAATGAGCAAGACCGACGAACACGGAGGGACAAAGAGCGAACGAGAAAGAGACGCTCGAAAAAGGTTAAGAAAGGAAAGAGTTGGCTCATCTTTGGCGGGGGCGGCAGCGGGAACAGGGGGCCGAACAGATCGAGAGAGAGAAAGAGGGAGACGAAGAGAGTGTAGAGAAGAGGCGGTTCAGCCTTGAAACACGCCGCGAGCGGCTTCGTCACAAGTTCCGTGCACGAACTCGCCGACTCGCGCGAATCGCGTCGAATCGTTTTTGCCGATCTTCCCACGTCGACGACATACGCTGATGTTCACCCCAATACCGTTACCGTTTAATGCTCCTCTTATCAAGATTTTCGTGTTCCATCGATCGACGTTTCTCGTTAACTTCACTTACAGACGTACCATACATATGTATCTTTCGCGCTTCTTTCGCTGCCACACTAAAAACACCAATCGATTTTTAACCACTTACCGTCGTCGACGGTTTTTACTCGTATAAGTCTAGCAGTACCATGATGAGAAATAAAACCCAAAAAAATAAATGTACTTACATTCGTTGAGTAATAAAAAGTAGGAGTCACTCCTTACGTCCTGATGTTGCAAAGTACAAATGCAAAATACAATGCATTTCAAGATCTCTTGCCAGATTCTACTTGTCTCAAATCAATTCTTTATGAAATAAATTAAGACCGAGAAACAAGGTCGAGAGACGGTTATACGTGTAAAGTGTGTCCTACACAATTACCAAAAAGAAGTTCGCTGACAATGGAAGGCAAAGCACGTTGGCGTACCTGAAACAACTTGTTCTCCGCAGTTTTATCCAGCGGTATTGACGATTAATAGGCGGCTGGTTAATTTATCGCCGAAGGGTTGTATCAAATAGATGCATATATCAACGCCGCGATAGAAACGTATCGGTTCAGGATCTCGTCCCTATGAATTTTCATCACCCTCCTTCGTATTCAAGCAGCAGTTGCCATGATACCTTCGTCTGGGGAAGAGTAATCCGCGATCGCAGCAACGTTTCTTCGTACAGCGTCGTATGCAAAATTCCGAGAACTGCAGCGATAGATAAAAATAGATAAAAGCGACGGTATCGCTGGCTCGTTGGCTTTCTGGGAACGGTTTCGACAATCAGGGTCACCGGTGCACCTCGTTATGTCTAAAAGCAGTTTCGTGTAACTCGAAGGAAACGAAACGATGCTTGTACGAGTTCAGGAAGAAGCACGTTCCGAACACTTCTCGATAGAAGTATCCGCGCGAACAATGGATCCGTTTCGGTATACGTAATAATTGAGACGTTGAACAGCTAGTCGTTAATTCAGAAACGCGATCGAAATGCGTGCTGAAAAACGATTAAAAAGGATACATAGAAACTAAATAAGACCTGTTAAAGTTATTTAGTGACATTGAATTTAAATTATAATAGTTACGATCTCTTGTCAAAGATTTCGTGACTGTTTAAGTTGCATGTGCTTAAAAGGTTATGTCGCTTGCTTTTTAACATTTTTATCGCGGAAATCTGTCCGAGCGAACGAAAAATCTACTTACTTGTCTCAAGTATTTTGTGTCGGTTATATAAATCCGATAATCTTGTGGAATAACAACACGAAGAAACCCTCTTGCTACATTAGTGGAAAGCACGATTGTATACATAAGTATCATAGATTTGAAAACTACACGATGAAAATGATCCCTTAATAAAGCGTAAAGTTTTCCAAATCTTCCACTAATCATACAGCGCTGCTATCGCTGTTCACGTATGGACACAGACAGCCAATTATTATTTTGACTTGTAGACAAAGCGATCGTAGTGCCTTCACCTCGTGGTACATTTTTGAAGTATATTTGCTCGTAATAAGGGTAATCCTCACTACGGGTATTTTCCGATACGTACGTGAACGTGGCGGGAAGCAACGGCACGTGAAATGCGATCGACAATACACGTTATCTAATCAACACTTTTGGTAAAAGTTGCGGAACGTTTAACTTCTGTGAATAAGCAAAATTGGCGAGTTGCTTTCAAGCAATCAAATTTGAAGGCAACAATCGATTCCTACTTCGATACTCGTTAACAAGTGTGTACAGGTTATTTTTCAGTCGAAAAGCCTACGTATTTGAATTAATGTGATTTCGTTTGATACATGTAGTAAATTGTAACGTTAAATCTTTAGTGACAAAGAGATCTTTCATCCTGAAGGACAATTTTAAAAGATTACCGCACAGATAAGATGCGCACAATGGAAAGGGTTAGGACAACTCGAAGTCCGGGAAACTAGAGCGCAAGGAAACTGACAAAAATGTATTATAGTAGAGATTCATAAATTGGGAAGCTCTTTAAGATTTTAAAAGTTTAGAACGATGGGACATCAGAAAATGATACTAAAGGAGTGGGTCAGGAAAAATGAGCTTTTTCGAAAGTGGGTCTTGGCCCATAAAAGTTTGGGAAGTTCTAGTTTAGAAGGAGACCGTGTCGGGAGAAAAATTGAAGGAGAGGGTGAAACAGCGAAAAAGTGAAGTGAAACGGAGTCGAGAAGGAAGAGGGGTGGTATAAAAGAGGCGAAGAGAAGAAATGGAAAGAAACGTGTGCCGCGAGGAGGGTAGCTGGTTTCGACTTCGTAGTAGGCCTCGATCGATGCTGTTACCATGGCTACGAGGGCAGTACTGCGGTGCTCTACTACTGATTATTTATGTCAAGGATCCCCCCCTGCTTCGAAGCTCGAAACGTGTACTCTAAACGCGAATCACCCCGATGCAAGTAACACCGAGTATTTCGCTCTCTGTATAGCGCACAACTTGTACGAAGGTTCGTATCTCCTTAAAATATTATTCTAATTTTACGCGAGAGAATATAGTTCGTTTCAATTTTATTTCGGTATTTGCATAAATACGACCTGATTCCCTCGCTTTGTTGTTATTTGTCATTATTTGACTTTTATAACTAAAAGGTATAATTATAACAATCGTTTACTACAAAATATCATGTACGTTTAAATCAAAGCAAATGACTTGTTTTAAATTACATGAAACTAATTTAAAAGGCCTTTGGCTCGCAGTGAAAACCGATGCGATATAGCTGTAAAGATAAAACCATTTATTACAACGGAGACCAGTAAAGCGACCACGTGACTAACGTTACGATGAGATCAAACGCAAACCCTCGTAATTTTTTCTGCAATGGTAGCGCAAAACGACGAGGATCTATACAAATGGAACAACCTTTCATGAAATTCGAATTGCTAGATAGAAGGTAACTCGATTACAGTGAATTAATAAAAGTTAATCGCACGATTTAAACGACGAAACGAGTGCATTTCATTTCGTTCTTTCATTACATGACAATGCATTATCTTTATTAAGTGAAATGTAAGCTTATTTAATGCGCTCTTCCTTTTCGCGAGAAAAGGTATGACGCATAAATAAAAAACGTCCAAACCGAATATCGTAACCTATAAAGTTACGTTTATTCGGTTGTAATTTTAGTTCTTCGATTATAAAAGGTATATGGTTAGGAATATCGTAAAAGAAAAAAGATCCGCACGAGCATCTTGGTATTAAAATTAATACATCAAAAGACCATAAAATTATAGTAAATTTCGAAATGAATCATTTCGAGAAACGTTATGATTTAGGGCTAGGATTAAGAGTTGGAATTTAAATGATGGCTGGTGATTAGCGAAAACTGGAGAAGGAGCTTTGGTGGTGTTTTCAAAGAGAAAGAGAGAACTGGATGGAAAAGAACGCGCGGAGGAAAGTGCTCCCGTTGGGAAGGTTGCTTTCGACCCAATTTCACCCTCCCATAGTGCTGGCACCGTCATGGAGCAATCGATACTGCGCCTAAGGGACGTGCCACTGTGCTCTATCAGTACGACGTTTATCAGCTCTAGTTTGCGCAGAAGCGACGATTGCGGGCAGAACAAAATGAACTCTTTGACTGTTATTTCTCCGATGACATCTTAACCCAATTTTTAAATTTTAATTACGATCACACAACCCTTTTTTGCTTTGGGTGAATAAAGTAACTCAAACTGGAAATGGTATACATATTAATAATATGAAAATTTAAATTTTCAAAATTAATAAGATAATTTGCTCTTACAAGCAAGGTAGATGTTACAATGTAGTCTTTGTTTCTTGACAGTTCAGGTTATTACAGCAACAGTTTCCCTGTATAATTTATTTATTTATTCACCAATTATTGTTGATTTTTGTTGTTTAACACAGATAAACGCACGCAAAACAATGTATTTATCCATAATTATTTAAATGTATGGCATATTTTTTTCTGTAAACCAGTATTTCAAATTATGCTTCGAAATTTGGTGCACAGTCACTCTATAGGTAACTTCTCTCTCTATGTACGCGTCATGCAATATTTATAGCCGATGATTATTACCGTTCATTTAAATGCGAAATAACTACTTTTCCGAGTTGCGATGTTCAATTTTTTTGAACAGTTTCGTTGTAAACAAGATAATTAACGTTTCTCTATTCAAACAGAATACGATATTTAACTTTCCAGCTGTTCATTTATATATTTAATTCTTGATTTCCGGTCGAATAAATAAAAATCTATCGATTCAAGCTTTGGTAAAATTTATTCGGAAGTTGTTTTGAACTCGATTTGATTATGCAGAAAAATTCAAAGTTCAACATGTCAATTTTTACAATTTTTTCCATAAAATCACTGCTTTTGCTACGTTCAAAATAAATAAAATGTTTTTTAATAGTTATGCTTACATCTGCATCTCCGATGTAAATTGTGCGTAATGGGACAATTATTCGCTATCGAGAACGTGTAATGATAATACACAGAGTGGGCGGATGAGGTCATACATACAATAAATTTAACCACCAGACATTACATACTACAGTTTTCCTACATGTCTAAAATTTCTCGTGTTCCAAACGAAACGTACAGTAAATGAAAATTCACCTTTCCCTTTGTAACTGTATATGTTACAAATAACAAAAAAAAAAGTCTTGAAACACAAGATGATGTAGGAAATTTAAGCAACTATTTGTAGAAGCAATTTACTTGTATTTTTCTATACTAAATTATTATATTAAAAAGACTAATTTCACAAAGAGAAATTAGACTCAACGGATCACATATTCATCAAAACATTCTTACAACACAACGTCCACATTCTTTCAAATGATAATTCCTAATCGTTTTTTATTCTATAGACATACATTAAAGTTTGCTACAGTCAACGCGTTTTTTTTTCTTCGCTACCTCACACATTTGTCGATCTTAATTTACGCGCTATCAAACTAAAGTAATAACTAACGATTATCTTTTTTTGTTAATATGTACACGTGTATCAGTAAGTCGATCATATATAATACAGCTTTCCTTTTGCATTCTTGCTGTTAGCGGCCTCTAGCAATAATATTTTGATGCGTTTAATCTACACCTCAACGGTTGCTTTCCTTCCTTTCTTCCTAATTCAACAACCTTTCTTCACGAGCCAATCGTATTCGAAGCAAGTGTCAGCGATGATTTCGCAAAGAATGACCTCGAAAAACGTCATCTTTAACTGTTCGAACATCGTCATTGTAACGTGCATTATAGATTTTCGAAATCGGAGAAACCTTCGACTGAAAACAGTATCATATTATACACACTGTGTGAGTAACTGGAACAAATTTCATCGCTATATATATGTTTACGTATCCAGTATAAAAAAAAGGCAACACAATAACGTTAACGACTTGCATTCCCAAATCTCTTCTCTTCAACTTCTTACAAGAAAATAGAAACCACAGTCGACTTTTATATACTAATTCGAGAACGTTCTGTGTATTAACATATAAATTAATATAGGGGTGATGGATGAGGTAACGCAACACAAAAGAGGTGAACGTAGTTACTTCGTGTGACGTGGTGATCAATAATTCTCGTTTCAATCGCGTAGCTTTATTTAGCTGTTCGCGTATGATGTCAATGCATCCTACCGTAGCCTAAGCTCGGTGATTTATTGTACAAAACAGTAAATACCGAAGTAATGGAATTTATGCGAGAACCATATCCATGTTCTTTATGGAATGGATTATATATCGGTCCATCTGTTCGAAATGCTATACTTGCAGGGAACAGACGCTACGGACTTAGAGCCGTGTTAAACAGAAACAAAAACTTCAAGACCATTTTCTTAAGATGTAATCATTAATTTGTCTCTTTCGTTTTTGCCTATAGCTGCTACATGATCAGGTTTTTCGCCTCGTGCGTAACGTTCCCACATTTTCTCGTACAGCATCTCCATGCCCCACGCGTATAATTTGCAGCTAAACAAAGGACTTTCGGAACGCGCTTTCCATACTTTGGCTCGTGTTGCTTTCAAACTGAAAAAAAAAACATACGAGGATTAATAACATGTACATTTGACATGGTACATTACAGTAATAGGCTGCTCCAACTTTGCGGACGTAATTGCCTATCACTGATGTATAATAGGTAGGTATTGCGGGAGACTTACTATTCCCTATCCGTTCCCAAACGAATGGCAATATCCTGATATTCTTGTCGCGTTCGTGCTATCAATTCGGGACATCCCAACGTGTTCAATTGACTAGCAGCAACGCGAGACGCTAATGTTTCACCTGGAAGAGTTACTACTGGAGTTCCGGTCCACAAAACATCCATGCTTGTAGTATGTCCATTGCAAAGTGGTGTATCTAGGCACACGTCCGCTAATTGTCCCCGTCTGACGTGTTCTTCTTTGGCAGCAACGTTACTGAACAAAATTCTACCAGGAGCTAAACCTAATTGTTGAGCGGTTGCTTGTAAATTTGGTTCACCAACAGCTGGGAAGCGCAGCAACCACAGTACTGAGTTTGGCACGTGTTTTAGAATCTGAAATGTGTTACGCTCGTTACAGATATGAACATGTTTTGAAAGAATTCATTGGACAACAGAAAATATAATAAACTTACATGTGCCCACATATGAAGCGTGAGCGGATCAATCTTATACAACTGATTGAAGTTGCAGTAAACTACTGCATCTTCCGGCAAACCATACTGTTGCCTTGTCGTGATCACAATATTTTGAGGCACTTCTTCACCTGTGGCTGTTTTGTTGTTCACTTGCGTCGTGGCCATCCCGTTTTGGACTACAACACCATTCACAGACATTTGGCACTGTCCAGAAGCAATCATCGTTTCTATAGCAGTAGTGGTCGATAATTCGGCAACTTTCAACGAAATCTCCACAGGCTTATTTTTAGCATCAGGCACAACTACTTCGCGAATTTCCTTCACACAAGTGTTCTCGATCATTGGCGAAAGATCGGTGGCATTTATAACGGCTACATTATCCGCTACTTTGCCTTTTGTGTTTAATTTGTCTGTTAAAATGAGACGTTCCTTAAGATGCGGGAACATTTGTCTGGAAAAAGGAGTACATTAATGTAAAATAAATGCAAGTATACCAATATGATCGTATCGAAAAATATAAATTTCAGACTTACTTGTGATCTCCTATGAAATAAGTATGAGGCATGTAAGCAAGCTTTTCGCTGTACTGACTAGCAAGTTCTAGTGGTGATGTAACTTCATCTGTGATTAAGTAATCCATGAAACTAGCTCCGGATGTTCCTGGATATCCAAGCCACATCACCTGAATGGGCGCAGGTCGCAAGGCAAATATTTCGTTTCTGGCACCCTTTGTATAACCGTTCATGTTAACTAAAATATGTATTCCATCGGCATTGATACGATCGGCTGCTTTGCCGTTGCACGGAATTTGCGATAAATCGATAAAATGTTCAGCTTCCCTCGCGATCTTTGCTCGGAAAGTAGTTCCGTCGTCAGCACTGAGAGCGTAGCAGAAAATTTCAACGGTTTGTCTATTGTGAAGACCAGGAATCGACTGCATGAGATGACTAGTAGGATGATTTCCAAAGTCTGACGAAACGTATCCAATCCTCAAACGGTTACCAACTTCTCGTGGATATTTATACGGTTGTTTGTGCAACACATGAATCTTTTCGATGCACAAATTCGCGTGTCTAGCAGCGATAGCTTTCCTAAACTCATGAGACAATGGATAGAGCATGGAATGATGTGGATGTACGCTGGGTAATCTGTTCTTGTCCAGCTGTTCCGCAACGATCGAGACTAACTTCTTCATTCGGGCTTCGTAATCAGTCCAATCGCAAACGATTTGAAGGCAGTGCGCCAAATTGCAATACGCGTCCGGGAAATCAGGCTTTAACTTTAACGCGGTTCGGTACGACTGAATCGCCTCGGGTATATTTCCAGAATCTTTGTGAATCGAAGCTAAATTGGAATGAGCATCGGCGAAAGCGGGATTAATCTGTATAGCTCTCGTATAACACTGAAGAGCTCCTTGTATATCTTGCATCTCTTTTAGAGTATTGCCCATATTCGAGTAAGCATCGGCAAAAGTCGGTTGAATGCGAATTGCCTCTTTATAATGCATCAGTGCTTCATTTAGCTTTCCTTGTTGTTGCAATACAGAAGCAAGATTGCTGTGAGCAGCAGCAAATTCAGGGAATACTTCGAGCGCTTTCAAATACAATCGAGTTGCTTCTTCGATATATCCTTGTTCGCGTTTTATGTTGGCCTATAATGAAAACGTTAATCGGTTCAAAAGAGAACATGAATATTAGACAACAGTACTTGTTGTACTTGGGATAATAAGTACCAGATTATTAAGGGAATCGGCATGTGACGGGCAGAGACGAAGAGCCGTATTATAGCAGTCTTCAGCTTCGACCACTTGGCCCTTTTCTTTGAGCGCGTTCGCCAAATTACAGTAGGCATCTGGGAAATTTGGTTGTAGTTCGATGGCACGGCGGTATGTATCAATTGCCAAATCAATAAGCCTACATAAAACATAAAGTTTCCAAATTCACTTTCGTTGAACAATCGTTTGTTTCAAATGACAAACAAACTTTCTACTACGTACCCTTGTTCATAGTAAACGCACGCCAAATTTCCATGAACGACTGCATTATTAGGACTAAGGTTCAATGCACGTAGATAGGCAGCTACAGCTCTGTTGCAAACAAAAAATTTACATATCATTAAAATTCAACGTCTACAAACGGGAAACATTGCATAGGTTATGTTTCTTAAACACCGAATAATAATCCACAAATTATATTTTCCTTTAACAAATAATATCTAAGAACTAAATTCAATTGAATTAATTTATAAAACACACGAAGTGAAGCAGTACGTATCCTGTGTGTCGAATATTTCTACTCTTTGCTTTCGAAGTGGCACCATTCAGTTGCTACACCACACCCGATGTATCGAACAAATTGAACACGTGCCACATCGATATATCATGACACGTCATGGAACACACCGGCACGAATACAAAAATCAGAGCGAAATTAACCTTTTCAAGCTATATTTAATCCAAGAGATGCATCCAGGAGTCGTCGATCGAGAGAGAGCTCGTTCTAACTGAACGCGTAACGAAGGTGCGATCGTAGTCGAGGGTGAAATCACCGTGTACACGACAACGCACTGGTAGTCCATTCCTTCTCCATTTCGATATATCTCGTTATTTCGATTTGTGTACTTTTAAAACATATTACAGTATCAGATATTTAAAATCGGTGAATTCTTGCAGAGAAGACTCGACTGTTAGCTTTCCGCCGCGTAACTTGCCACGAGAACTACGTTTTTGGCGATAGCCGTTAAGGACTCGCACCCTCCCACGAGGGGCAAAGGGTCTCTCGTGGGGGTGGAGCGATTCCTGGAATCGATAGTTCTCGTCGAGTTTCTCCCGTTATTGTGCGTAACGACCAAGAGAGCTTGGATTCCGAACACGCGTAAACAACAAATACGGTCTACATTATGGAGGCAATTTTCAGCGTTGCCAAGTGATTCACCCTCGACAAATGCCTAATACAGGATGTCTGAATTATGTCTATTCTTGTAAACAACTAGACATCGAATATTTTCATATTTTTATCACTTTCGTCAGTTCGCTTTTATCCTCTGTTTAATAGGATGGGTAAGCAACATTAATTCGCGTTATAAAGTCTAGGAAAGTTTAGTTACAGTTACTCACATTTAAAAGAGTAACATTTTGCTATTCAAATTATTTAGAGAAGACTTTTTGCTAGTAGGAATTTATGTTATTGTGGTTTCTAGACGATTAAAATTGCACACACATAGTAGATTGCGAATAACCGCTGCGCAAAAGAAGGTTATTCGCGGGCGTCGCTCTGGAGAGGCAAAGGACGATGAACTTGAAAGGACGTCGTATGAATATCGATTCGATGTTTACACGTTGGCTCATGCGCCTTACTTCACGGATGTCTAAATATATTTATAAACGGAACGCGTGAAATTTTGTGATCTTAATTTATCAACTCGAAAAGAAAATACTTTTTTGTATTTTAAAGTCACTTGACAAAAAAATATTCAAAATGTGATCGAATTGGAATTGTATGACTCATGACTTCCCTTTAATGTTATGGCAGAAACATTCCAGGAATAACTTATAAAGCCAATTTTTTCTAGCACAGACTTTAAAACCGACGTCAATATTCAAGTTGAACGACGATTGATCAAACTGTGCATCCAAGATGAGAAAAGCCCACAAGAAAAATGACTACCGAATGTCGGGATTTGACCCGTGCCTCTCATATTTGTAGTCGGACGCTTAATTCACTAGACCAGTACAGACTTCTACGGTTCTTACTTCTAAGGTTGCTTTTATAGCATCAGAGAGCCGAAACTCTAACATAAAACAGCGATAATTTACTATGTTTGTAGGTGTTACAGTAAATTTGTTAATTCAGTAACTGTGCATTAATTCAATAAGTATGCAATTTGTATTAATATCTTAGAGTTTCGCATTTTTTTAATCCTTCGCAGTTCAATGTACAATAAAACATGGGCAGATTTTCTATTTATCATATTTACAAATGGTTTAATCTTTGAATTTAACTGTGGCAATCGATCCACCGTAAAAATGAATTATTTCACAATCGACAAACATAACCACCATTTGTTCGACAACAGCTACAGCCAGCTTTATCTTTATGGCATCGATAAAGCCTACAAAAGCTATTTACCGACTGCAAAAGATTGAAACTCCGTAGTTTAGTCAAGACAGGATCAAGACAGGAAGGAAGATCCGTTTAATCGTTTGCTCACCTATCAAAGATTCTGGCCTCCTTGAGCACGTTGCCAAGATTAATATACGCGTCCAAAAAGTTCGGATCCAAGGCGACGGCCTTTTCAAAATGATGGATCGCCAGCCATATTTCTCCCTGGGCGTTGAACACGCAGCCAAGATTACTCCACGCGACTGCAAAGTCTGGACGCGTTTCGATCGCCTTCAGATAACAAGCCTATAGACAAACAATAGATTTAGAGATGCTCGCGTACTCTGATGGACGCGCCGCGCGCAATGCCCGACCTCTCCTCGCCGCGCCGCAGCTTTCACACACACTTCACCATCCTCGAAAACCTCGGAGAGAAAAAAATACTTGTTTCTTCACCACCCGTCCTCTCTGTCTCTCCTTCATTGCCACTTTCCTCGTTCTACATTCCCTTTTTCATAGAACTCACTATTTCACGCGAGCGAAGGCAATAATTTGCGTACATGTCATAAAGAACCGTCTTTCAGCAGCTATCAAGTCAAAGTGATAACAATATTCCCGTAAAAATAACAAAAATAAATAAAAAATAACGTATAACTAATCGAAATCTTAGAAACTAGGAGTATAGCACCGAACATGTATCTTAATTTTTGAAGTCAAGATTCTAGTTAGATGTTACAGCGATTAAGATGAAATTTTCACGGTGAATAGATTACGAGGGAAAATGAACGAACCAGAAACAGAGCGAACGAGGCTTATAATGTAAATTTATAATGTATTGAGGGGTGGCCGAGGATCTGACGTGAGACAAGGATAAAGGACTCAAAGGTGCGCGCTAGAAACGTCATCGTAGAGAATCAGCGATAAGGGCGCCTGATCCGGTGTCTATCGATTCTCCGGAATGCGTCCGGTGGACTCGACGACACACAGTACACCCTCCGCCGTAATATACTTCATGCGAGCATGTCACGTGGCCAATACACCTCGAAGAATCTCCATTCGTGGATGTGCTTAAACAAAATAGTTTATGCTGTTACTGATCACACGGTATATAATTTAAATTCAACTGTTTCCTTGAAAAAAGGTTAACTATTATACTAAAAATTCTCCATTATTTATGCGACGACGCTCCTAAGGGTGATACAGGGATGTGCATCGCGCGTGCCGAGAGGCGGGCTGCATTCTTATAAAAACAGAGTAAATATCCGTACCTAAACAATAAGTAAAAGGGCATTTACAGTCGGCCGATCTCTATGGGACACGGTAGAAAGAGATTGAAGGATGTGTAGCGGTGTTCGAGAAGAGGAAAAACCGGATAGGTTGAAACGGACAGAAACGAAGTTGGATGAACTTTAAACTTCCGTTTCGTTTTCGAAACGGAAACACGGTTTTACAATCGGCTCCTGAATTCCATGCGTATTTATGATCGGTCGTGATTATCTGTCGTAACCACAGATGTCTCTTCTCGGCCTTTTCGACTTAAAAAGATCCAACTTTCAATCTCGGTGGAACAGCGAATGGAAACCAGTCGGTCTGATGGAATATTCAGAGATCGGCCTTGGGAATTACTTTACCTGCAGAGTACCCTTCGGTAGGTTGACGGTAGGTACGGCTTGCAAGCTCTCATAATAAACTTAGACCGAGAGACAGTGTGTTACTGAATAACCAGATTCAGATTCACCCTTTGACGAAGGAACCCATGGTAACCGACCAATCACATTGCTCCGAGTTCCCCTCCTAGAGTTGATCATCCCATCCACAACAACAAGACAGCTGCGTTAATGTCTCTTCACTGATACTCTTCGCCTCAACTTTGTCTTTTACTTTTTGCAATTTCTTTTTTACTTTTACTTTTCAAATAGATCTTTAGAGGTACCTAAGACGTACGTGCCGCTGGAAGACACGCTTCGCTGAGCTCGTCAGCCACCACCGCGTTACTATCAGCAGTTCATTTTTAAAATGAAGAGTTCCCCGTAATTTCAACGTTATAGGAGAAACTGGGACAAAGTGAATAAACCTACGGAAAAACTAGGGGAAATCCAGGCAGAGGTTTGGGAAAAGTTAGGAGTGAAATTTGAGAAAGTATAAGAAGGAAAAGCGAAGAAGCAGAAAAGTCTAAGGAAGGTCTCAGAAGTATATGTACAGAATATTCCACTTTGTCTCGGCTTCCCCTATATTACTATCAGCGAAATCGATTAATTTTGTAATAGTCATGTAAGTAGCAGCGTATTTCGAGAATTTAGAGAATACCATGTGGGTCGTGTTTTTTTCAACAATGAATATAATGTGAATTTCAAAGCTTTTCCTCCTAAAGTCGCGAATATTTTAACTCCTATGATGTCAGAATGCCGAAATGATAGTGTCTGCAAACGATAACATGCGTCGTTGGTGGCAAAACGTACTAAGCGAAAAGGAAAACGAACGAGGGATCTAGAAAGAGCTCAAGAATGGCAGGAAATTCAAAGGAAAGCTTTCCTCGATGCTACTGTAAGTTATGTCGACGAGTTCGCTTGTAAAAGATACAAAATACTCAGACATACGTAAACTAATGCAACATGGATTTTTGATAAACTGAAAGATCAGAAAATTTGTATCGTTTGCAAATACTCTCGTCGACTGTCGCCGCGCCGCGCTGCTGTGAAGCAGACCACTTGACTCGTATATTCTATTATCATTGGTAGTAGAAACTCTTAGGACATCAAAATATCCCGTGAGTTTCCAATAAAAAAAAATGTTTCTACTCTTACTCGCAAACATGATACCCACTAATTTACCCGTGTGAACGAATAATTCACGAAGCATCATCAATTATTTATTATTAGACTGTATGTAATAAGACAACTGCGTCAAGTGATCTCGCGCAATTACCACCTAACACACAAACTTGATTATTTTTAAAGTTGCAAAGAGTAATTGGAAAGAAAGGTCGCATTTGTCCAACGTATACGTATCGGATCAGTATACCTAAAGTAAATACACATTCAGAATGAGCTGAATCAAATGAGATGAGCTTAAGTACTACAATCGCGCGTTGCTGATCCTATTGTAGCTTTCTATACTAAGCAAAAAAAATGAACAGTACCTGGTTAATGTATCGAGAAAAGAAAAAAAAATATCATTGCTGTAATAGGACCGGCAAATTGTAGTTAAAATTTGCAATAACAACACCAGGGCACAGAAAAATACCAGTGTTGCCGGTAACGGTGTTATTGCAAAACGCGCAATGCCAAGAGGGATTTCCTACTGTTTCCAGCTAGTTTTAGATTAAAACTGTTGTGCTGCGTTTGATGTTTTAGAATTATGCTTCAGCATTTATATGCTCCAAGTAATTTCATAGAATCTTAGCATGTAATTACAGATTACGTAAGCATCGAACGCAGCAATTAGTTAAAAACACACGCGCACGATGAAGAAGCTATCAAAATTTTGATTTGAATTAGTGTCTTCTTACAAATCGACACGCAATCGATTTTAATAGCAGCTCATCGCACGCCGCGCAAACGTTTTCACCGCAAAGAGGAAAAGCTTTCCTTTTCAAGTATACGGATACTACTTATTCCTGGCTATTCTATGGAGCTGCTAACTAGTTCTCGTGACACATTATACGAAATGCATTTGTACTTTGTCAAAAATACCGTCAACGAAGCTTCAAAGCATTTGTTGACACCCTGTTGCTTGACTGCAGTACCAAATACATTCGAATATGTGCATTACACGTTACATTAATTTACAATGATACGCAATTGGCGGAAAAACCTACCTTGGCTTCGTCAAGTCTTGCTAAAGCTTTCAAAAGATTACCAAGATCGCTTCTCACGCAGTAAAGGTCCTATAACACACAAAAATATATGATATATATTTGTTATATAACTATGGAATGAAAACCTTTCAAAAGTTTTCTGAAAGCTCCTGTGTGAAGTATACGTAAATATGCTGTAACATAATCAGAAGCTGATGAAATAGAATTTGCTGTAAGAGCAATTAATAACAAAATGTATTCCTTACAGGGTTGTATTGTAAAGCAGTCACATATGCTTGAACTGCCTGTTCCATATCTCCTGCAGCTACTAATGCAGCTGCTAGATTGATGTAACCATCAATGAAATCAGGTTTCAATCTAACAGCATGTCGATAGTTTTCCAATGCTTCCTGTAGTTGTCCACGCTCCTTAAACACATTTCCTAGATTGCTATAAGCCTCTGCCAATAAGGGATTCTGTTTTATCGCTAAACTGCTGTAATGAGCGGATCTAAACATAAAGATAGAAATGTATTAATATTACATGTAAACTAAATTGATAATTGTACTTCTCAAAACTGATATTCAGTATTTACTTTTCAAGTCTTCTACATTGGAAATGAATTGAAGATAACAGCAATAACACTCCTGTATTATTTGTTTCTTGCCTCCAAAGTTGCATGCAATGCCGTTCTGCATTTTCATAATCCCCTGCTTGATATTCTCTATGTGCAAGCTCTAATAGCCCTGAAAAATAAAAATTTCAATGTTGTTATACATGGTACAAAAAAAACATTAAAAAATCATAGACAATAAACAAGTACATATTTATTAAGATAGAGGTGACTTTTCCTTTATGAATGCTTATACTTAATTTAATTAATAAAAATATTTCCGAAGATCTAAAAGACGTAAATTAAACGTATTTAAAATTTAAATGTAAACACATGTATTTTTCAAACTATCGATATAAGGGTTATCTCGTTTATCGCGGTATTTATGCGCATACATCCGCATATGATTTTTCAAAATATTTTGTACAAAAAATGCAAGTGTATACAAATACATAACCGATACAAACTTACGATATATTGCAGTCTTAATTTTAATGTTTTCGAACGCTGTGTATTACAATGTAATCTCTATAGAAGTTTACGCGGAAACAATATGCTTCCATGCCGGCTACAATATATCGATTTTTTTGTTATTCGGCTTGTCGTAAATAGGAGTGGAAGATATACATAGGTAAACAAAATAGAAAAATACGAACAATAAGAATCAAATGTAACGTTAATGGTCTGATTGTCGGCAATCGGAATTAGTTCCTTGCCCTGAGTATCCTGTGTAACAACCAGAAGACTCTGTCCATTTTGCCACTCGACGGTTCCATTACAAACGTCATCCGAACTATTGACCACGTTCCCAATTATGTTTGCTGAACTTTTCAAAACATTTTCTTTCTTCTCGGCCAGTCTTAGACTCATTTTGTTGGTGAATTTCTACCTAGCGTGTTACCCTATTCTTTCCGGTATCGTGCACACGCCGTTTCCACGCAATGAACTTCGATCAATTTCGAGACCTTTCGACGCACGAAAACTGGTATCTCAGTTTTTTTCTCTCGATAGCGTCTGCTGCTCGATTCTGAGTTACTTTTACTTTTCGAATTCGCTCTCCTAGGAGATGTACTATTTATAAATTGTATTTCTTGGTTAACGCGCACCGTATTGTAATACTTAAGAATTTTTCGATTCTGTACACACTATGCCTTCCGTACTTCTATATGAGTTACTGTCCGGCTAGGTTATCCCCATCAGATCGGAAAGCACGCTGATTGGTTGACTCAACCGCCATGGCGGACTCCTGCGTCGTTGAATACAGTGCGAAAGAAGGGGAGGGTGAGGAAGACACCCGGCTCAACAACGTCGATGTCATATTAGGAGCCTTGTATCGTTTACATTTTTGTTTTTTTAATATATTTATATAATGCTTTTAATGTGCTTGTCCATTTTTTATACAAATAACAAATAATTGCTTATAATAGAGTTAAAAATATCAAATGGCAGACTAATGCTTTAATTAGCTCAAAAATTTGGTACGTTACAAGGTGCAAGTACTTCGTTATACGTGACTGGGATAACGACAAAGAAATCGCATACATGATTCTCAATCTTACTCAGTCGATGCTCTTAAAGTTACAGTCTGTTGGTAAATTTTTATTACTAACTGTATCAAATACATGCATTTCGTTGTTACTTTTACAGATTAAAAGTAATGCAGACTTTGTTAAATATAAATAGTTGAGGAAAATTGGAAGTTTCGATGGTAATATAATTAAAATGAAACAGTACAAGAATTTAGAAAAGAACCACTGAACATTCGAAGGGACGCATCTACCCCCACTCCTTCCAAAGAGAACAGATGGAATAGGTACCAAGTGGAATATTCCATCGTCACTTTCATGAAATGGTGACTGAAGGGAGAGAGGGGAAAGAGTAGGTAGCTTTAGGGGAGAATAGGCTTGAAAAGGGGAGAAAACTATAGGTAAACAACGGTATAATACATTGTAACGCTCCTATTCCTACGAAATAAAGTATATTCTGTCCGTCGAAATATCTTAAAGACGTCAGTAAGCATCTGTGTGTCTTATACACACATATGTAAAAATTTAATATCTCTGAAAATCAATCTAACGCAATAAATTTTGAATATTTATTACAAATTTGTCATGTAAATTCTGTTTTTTTTATGCACGTGAATGCTATTTATATTTATTCAGTTCTACGTTATTCAACTGCGATACTGCATTACAGTAACTCAAATTACATACAAAAAAATAATATTTTCTAGTTATGACAATATCTTACATAAAATGTCAAATTTGGCAAAAAACTTAAACAAATCATAAATGTAATTAAACAGGCATTTATGGATGATTGTCATTTATTTATCTCAGTCTTCCATTAAAACTTATGCAAGATGTATATTTTTAGCGGCACGAATTAGAACATTTAAAAGAGGATATCTATAATTCTATCATTCCTATGATCGAACTTCATTAACGACAAATTATGAAATGAAACTGGTACGTAGGTAAAATCATTTTACTACGTACCAACTGTAGAAAGCTGTTGTATTTCGTTCATCTTCAAAATGACACTGGTGCCTGCGATTTGTTGATGATTCTGCTGCTGTTGCTGCTGTGGCTGCTGCTGAGCTTGCATGACGGTCACCATCAAAAACGATTGAACAAGAACTACGCGACAGTTATAATAATCGCGTATGAAATATGCTTCCAAATATCAATATCGGAGTTGAGAATCACGATGAACAGAATTCGAGCGTGATTCTACGTTTTCCGCAGTGCAGAAACAAAAACGGGTATGCGCGGCACTTATATCGGTATGCACTAGCGCAATCTTTCAGCGTGCGCCATCATGGATTTTCGAGCACTTTGCCTAACCGAGAATTAGTATTATAATATGTAAATTACACTAACGCGAAATTATACGATTATAATGTATGCTATCTTGAGAAATCGCGACGGAAGGTTCGGACACAGTGGCCGAATATCTGACAGTGTTCAAGTGGTAGCTCCTTGACGATGTGAAAACTTTAACGTAACATGGACCACGTATACGTAACACGGGCCGACGCGAAAAACCAATCGATGAATGTATTCCTGGCTACAGACTTGGACCGTTCCTTGCGCGGGAAATACGTCATACTGTATACAGCCGATAATCGAATTCTACCATTCTCGGCTATTGTATTTCGTGAACCCTGTATTTTTATCACGGATATTCATAAAAATTATAGTATTAATTGATAACGAGCAACTGCGACACGTTTCGAAATCACAACAGCAAAAAATAATTTGGTACTTATATAAAATATTTGTAATATAAATTCAAGCTATAAATAATTAAATTGATAAAAATATTAGAAACGATATTTGATATCTTTTTCTAAATCTTTTCCGCTTATAATCCATGTATTCAGGGACGGAATAAACCCGGGTTCAGAACGTCTCTGGGATGTGGTATACGCTTTTCAAAGTTTTGTGGTTCATGAAAAATTGGTACCATATTTTTTAAACCCTACGTACTGACATATGATATGTACACTTACAGAATTTATAAGCTTTTTGAGTTTGAAATATTTTAAGTTTTAAATGGTTCGAATTTGAAGCATTTTAAATTTGAAGTATTGTTAGTTGGGGGCGCCCCAGTTCATGAAAATTTGGATAAAGTATAAGTAATTTAGATAAATATATCTATTGTTATGTGTCAAATATTTTTATAAAAGAGTCTATGGAGGTTGTGCTTTGTATTAAAATGTCAAGAAAAAATGAGTTTTCGAACAGAAATATGGCCACTCCTGAAAATCCTACACGAGCGCCAGAACGGCGAGAATTCGTGAGCGAATTCCCCACCAGCTGGAAAGAGTTTGAATAAGTAAAGAGCCGATTCGTTTCTTCGGTCTTACTTCTTCAGTGTCGTTGCCGGCAGTGCATGGTATTTTTGTGCTCTGTCTTAGTTTTATTTTATTTAATTTGCAAATCAGTTATGGCAGAAAATAAGGAACGTACTTTCATTATGATCAAACCCGACGGTGTCCAACGTGGACTCGTTGGGAAAATAATCCAACGTTTCGAGGAAAAAGGTTTTAAACTCGTAGCGATGAAGATGGTGTGGGTAAGCCGCCTTATGCTGTGCACATTTATCTTAAAAAAAATTTGCTCACTCTGATTTCCTGTACCACGTGTATAGTTCCATATTGGCATATTATCTTTAGCAGGTTTTTCATGAAAAGATAAGTTACATTTGTTTTCATTTTAAAGACATCTGTCAGGCTTCATCGATCGAGGAATTAATTATCGTAACTTTTGTTACTAGTTTTTATGACCTTGAGAACTTCCGTTATTAAGGTAAAACCTGTAAAATATTGAATTATAATTTGTGCATTTGCACATTTTATCAATGCTATAACAATCCTTATGCAAATTTTGATAGCATTAAGTTGTCAAAGAAGTTATTTTTACAAGTTATTGTTAAGATGTTGATTTAATTAATGCTTTCCAATTTAATATTGGCACAAGTCCTAAAAGCAAAACCATTATCTAATATGTATCGAGTGCTTTATCCTATAGCATAATAATAGGTTTAACTTAGTTAAATAATGTATTGATGACATTTCATTTGTTTATTTTAGCCAACAGAAGATCTGTTGAAGAAGCATTATTCAGACCTGTCAGCTAGACCATTCTTCCCTGGTTTAATCAAATATATGAGTTCAGGACCAGTTGTACCTATGGTAATTATTTTGTACGTAATATCAAAATATATTTATTTACTAATAAAATTTCATAAATATGTCATAGGTATGGGAAGGTTTAAATTCAGTGAAAACTGGTAGAGTAATGTTAGGAGAAACAAATCCAAAAGATTCTGCACCTGGAACAATCCGAGGTGATTATTGCATCCAAGTTGGTCGTAACATTATTCATGGATCAGATTCTGTTGAATCTGCGAAGAAGGAGATCGATCTGTGGTTTGGACAACCAAAGGAAGTTGTTGATTGGGCATCTTGGGCAGAAAAGTGGATATATGAATAGAATATCTGAATGCTATTATAAGATATCTAATGGTACAATTATCAATTTAAATTCAAATTCTTCCACATTGTATTTTGACCATATGCATACTGCCATTGAAATAATATGAAAGGGGCATTGTATATAAGTTTGCTTGAGGAGTAATAAAACACATTGTTATATAAATTAATTAACTGATTTTTAACTTCACTGTTAAACTATAGGAACATTTCATATTTTATTACATAATTTTTCATATTCAGATGGTTTTGAAAACAACCAGGCACTTTCATCTTGTTATGATAAACTGTATACAAAAAATATAAGCAGTGTATGTATTTACTTTAATAATAACAATTATGTCTAAACTTCTGATTTATGGCTAATAAAATTAATTGTATAGTACTGACATAAAACATTTCTCGAATTCTTATTAGTACATACAGCTTAATATAAGTTGCAAAGCATTAACTTAAATCCTTACTATAAGAAATGAGAAAGATGATAAAGATTAATAGTTTGACATCATTAAGATAAATGCAGTATGGTGCAATAAAGCTATATTCAATACTGTGAATGATATCAAAATATGTATAAAATGTTTTTTGTCAATTATATGCAACAAATGCATAAGTTATGTGTACATCACATAGTAACTTGTTGTAGTACATATGTTTTAATACATATACACATATATATGTATATCAACAATACTTAAATGTTCATGGAGTTAATTATGTGATTGTCCTAAGTATGCTTTGCAAGAGGGGCAGTAGTGTTTCTTTACCATGCATGAGTCAATACAATACGGACACGGGGCACAGCACCATAATCTAAAAATTAATGAATAAGAAATAAATAATTAATTTGAAATTTAATTACAGATTTAAATATCAATATATGTTTGAAATAATTACCCCAACACGCAAAGAAGTAATGCAAACAGATGAGTTTTTGTATTTGCCTCTGTTTCAATCGACGTCGTAATTTGTGCGTGACAATACGGGCAGACTAAGCGTTGCGATTCCGGACCAAATTGTGTGCCTACAATGACTACATCTGAAAATAAAAAATAATTTTTTAGATTATTTCTTGTTTATGTATCATTTTTGCTAGTTAATATGTGTATATTAATACGTCTGATAGGACGATTATTTTCCTGCATTTTCCTTTATCACGCAGTTATACATAACAGTAAACTATCAAATCAAAAGACTAGAAGTCAGAAGTTGGTATCATATAATTTAACAACCTGTAAAGTTGCCGACAATCTGTCGATTGCTTGCAGAACATTTATTTCCATTCTGAAATGCATCAAATTGAATTAAGCTTGCTTTAAAATACGCATAATTATATATCCCTGGAAGTGTCACTGTGGCTTTCGCGTTATCTAATCAGAAAACCAAACCCTTCAATCTGGAATCCAGATATCTTCAAACGTGAAATAACAAAACTTTCAAGAACATTAATTTTTTAGCAAGTAGCTACTACAATTTTTTCGAGTAAAATATAAAATCTTCTGTAACTTTTATAGCTATTATTTAAAGTGGAAAAATCCTAGTGATCATAACAATAAAATTTATCTACTATGGTTGTTCTAAATATTCTAACTCGTAAAAGTTAGGGGGCCTAACCAACGTTAACGACCCTCGTCGGCTTTCACGTCGCTTAAGGTCTCAGTTTATAACAGAATATCGAATGATCCCATATTTCAATCATAACTTCCCGGGTTTCATTAATTCGTTTTGCGCGTCTATATGCACCTTGCTGACTTCCCAATTACCGACAGGTATTCACGATAATTCAATGCGATATTTAAGATTTTATAGATGGGACTTATATGTTTCTTAGGCATTCGCCTACCCTAATTTTCTACATACTCGGCTGTCCGGGATGATAAGGCGGTGGCGGTGGCGGTGGTGAAAAACTAGGTGGCGGTGATGGAGCAAAACCAGGTGGCGGTGGTTGCGGCATTTCTTTCGACATTACGAAATTTGATTATTTCCCTGAAACATAATTCGCAATTATTTTTTATTTCTTTGAATTTATAAAATATGTTTAAGTTATAAAATAACATTTCCAGTCGCCCCGGACTTGCGCAAGTCTATCAATTTAATCCGGACACAATTACACGAATTGATACGCATCTATTCCTAGCATCATTACTGCACTGTACTTCTTCCGTATAGATATAAATTGATAACTCTAATTCTTGATAATGTAGATAATTTATATAATTCTTGAATTCTAGGAAAATATGACTCATAATTCGAAGTCCCCAAATCTTATCAGAAAAGTAAAATGTATACATGGCATTAAAGAAATTTAATTCCGTAAGTTGATCACGTGCGTGAGAATAATTATTCTATTTTTTTAACTGTATTTATTTGTCAATTAGCAAAGTGGAACCGTTACAGGATCTTCTGATAAGATAACGGGTGCCACCTAGGTACTCTATTTTTTTCTAGAATTCAAAAGTTTTCTTATCAGTACACACGCACCATTGAGATACCCTAGAGAATGCATGATTTCATGATTATATTTTAACATCACGTTGCAGAAATAACAGGCAAATAAAATTATCGGAAGATTGCAATTGAATCAACGACACTGATTCGTGGTGCACGAAAAAAAGAAAGATTAATTGTTTGCAAACTTTTTTACAATTTATCAGTAGTCCGACTGTATTGGAAATAAAAATAATGAACGATGAAGGCTGATAAGAGGTGACAGATTACCTTGGTAACAAGTCCCTATATAATTCTTTAGAGATATCATGTAACAGGAAACAAAGTTATGATAATATATCAAAGGAAAATTCTATGCAATATTGTGCACGGCGTTAATTAATTATCGATTGAAATCGAACACGCAACATACGTTTACATGGGTCGACAGTATGGCTAGCGTGTTTAACGTGTATCAACACATCCCTCAAACTAAAAATCGATAGTGCCTTGAAAGGCAATATCTTAAGGAAAAAATTATTGCACATAACGAATGATAGGTTTCAATTTCTTCGTTTCGAAATCTGAACATTTACTCCAATATTATTCTGCAATAGTACTTCAATATTATGCTACTCGAATTACAAAAATTTCAGTTGTATTACAATTTCGGTTGCAAAAATAAAAAATGTTTTTTTGGGAACGAGTTCCAAATGAATAAAACAAAACTACATTATGTTACAATGTCGCAACTTCGGAGACAGGGACAAGATTATAAATAAGAACAGAAAGTCTTGTGTACGAATACATTTACATGGTAAAATTTCGCCGGGTTTGACTCGAGTACAAATCCGACTGCATCGCTTGAACGAAAAAATATGTTAGGTAAACCGACAGTTCAAAGAAATACCAGAAACATATGTGCTAAATTACTTTCATTAATTCCAATGTGCTAAAGTACTTTCCTTATAAAACAGTTTTAAGAATGATACAGTTCGCTTCTTATTATCATCAGCGCAATAATATGACGTCATGCGGTGAAATTTTATGCCTTGTATACACTTAACTTGAAAGCATGAATCATTACAATTAAAATGCAAACTACATCGCATATACCACTTATTTAGCTTTTGAACAATCGAACCAATTTTCGCAATTTTCAAACGATACTTTAGTAAATATTCACAATATGTACATTACAACAAAACACTTCAAAACACTATCATGTTTATTTTGTACAATCGATATTTTTAAAAGTATCTCCTAATTAGAAATTTATTTATTGTTAATAATGAATGATTGTTAGCAACTGCAATACTGTCCTAATTTGTATATCTACGTACTTGTGTAATGACAGCAACTGTACACGTAACCTGTTGACGATCAACGTAGAGATAACTGCTTGATGTCTCGCATGTGGAATTCAACTATAGACTGAGTTTTGTGTCGCTTATACGCCTTAAATTTTCTACCCGTATAAATATCGCTGAACCGAAGGTGGGAGAAGCTCGAATGGTAGACTTCTACGAAGTGACGTGATAAGATACGTAACTGATTTGAACGTGTCTTTTTACCAGACTCACTGATTAATTCCTATTATTAATTTCACTAATCGAAGTGTTTATATTTCGGTGACTAGTGCTCTCAAAAGAGCATCCAGTCTTCTTCCGCCGATTGACGGTCGACGCAAACATTTGCAACTTTGGTTTAAATCTCGTGCAAGGTCAAAAAAAGTGTGTATTTATAAACGTAACCAATGAAATGTCGAGTTGGATTGAAAAAAAACAATGTAAATTGGAATCAGGATTTATTAGAACATTTTTAAATATAAAGGTGAACTTTTTAGTGTGCTATTTTCCTTAACAAGACAAATAAAAAAAGACGGCTGGATTTCAACGATCTTGAAAAGAGTAAAATATGCGGATTCTTACTATGCAACAAAAATGTGTTCCAAAAAAAAACATTTTAAATTTATTAAATATCAAGGTTTGGGCCAAAATAATATCGCCTAAATGTTAATATTGAATGATCGATAGTAAGCTTTTAAATAAGTCTTACAAATAAAAAACTTATTATCAAGTCCATACAGTAATTCGGAATTTTATAATACAATCGGTGTGTAACGTCTTTTAGTAATTATAAATAATCAAAAGAATCAAGAACCAGCATGCCAATTAAAAAGCTTATCAAAGATGAAAGAGTGCAAAATTTATGTGGAGATTTTTTTCGTAACTGATCTCTTCTACTTCCGTTTATGGACAGAGTTCCTGTCAAACATCGTGCAGGAGAGATAATTTACGACATAAACAAAAAGATATATCATCACTAATTGGTATTCCTTCAAGCAGTTTTAAATACATCCGGTATTCAGTAAAATAAAAATGATGTAGAAGCGAACAGATAGTTTATGGACATTTCGTCTCGTGTAACGTGGTGAATACGGTAATAAATATCGTTATCATACAAAAAAATAAAATGACCGTTTAGAGAATTTTAACGATTTAGTAAGGATTTCCTTATGTTCTGTGTACAAGTCAGCGTGTATGGAAGTCACTAACATCTTACCGGTTGTGTGTGACGTCTGGACCTCGTAAAACCGGCAACGTCGTAGGGGTTTCCCAGAAAGAATGGGAAGAGTGCCTGCTTAAGGTCTGGTTTACACGAAACGAGTAGTAGTTTTCGCCAATGCTCAAGGACGAATGGAATAACAGGTTCTGTTTTTTTCCTCTTGGATACTAGCATGGAATATTTTACCCATGAGACCCCCATGAGATGAATCGTAGATCCTATTGGTGTACATTAGCCCCTCCCAAATTTTTGAATTTACAACCACACAGATCCACGACAAACTACAAACAATTGTTACGAACGCGGTGTGTTTAAATTTGCTGTCGGAGTTATAGAACAAATTGTTACATAATTATTTGATTTTCCTAAACAGTTCCATCAGTAAATATGTACTATTTCAATTTACCCTCCTGCACTCTAAAACGTGTATCTGTCCTGAATGAGTTGTAGGTCAACGGATGTAAGTTGATTGTATATTATAATTTAACTTTCGACGATTTGGGATCTTGATAAAAATTTTCAAATGTCTCTGAGGTAATCTTTGACATAACCGATCTACAATTTATTACGACCTGTTAACCTTGGGTATAAGGAAAAAAATACTGAATATTATTTGTACTTATTTCTCATCTGCTATTTGCTGCATATAAATTACTTGTTGAAAATAATTAATGAATTTGTTACCTTGTAATGAATGTTATGATAATCTTCAACTATTAACATAAAACAGAAATCCAAAAGAAAGAGAGATTACAGTTCGACTTATGTAGTTAACACATTCGGACCGGTGAATGTAACATTTCTGAAGAAATTCTGGTTTTATCCTTCTATTTCAGGGCTAAATTCAAAGACTCGCATTTGCGTCATTCGAAAGTAGATAAGAACAATCCAAAGGCACATATAATTCTTCCAGTGCGAATGTGTTAGTACTTGTTAAAAGTATGAGGTTCGTAAAAAAATTGTCGACAAAGTTGTAAGTAAACAATACCAGTATATATCATTTTCTATTCAAATTCGGTTCAGTTTATTTAATGTATGGCCGTTTCTTTTGTTTTTGGTTAACAAATTTGATTAACAACGTCGTTTGTTGTTCATTACAATTGAAACGCGATCCAAATCATTTAGTTGGTCGATTAATGCAAAAATTTCAAGAACTTCTATGGTAAATTTCGATATTAACTTCAATGAACGAGATGCAAATTGTCCAACATTTTTATATCTCATGCTTCGCTTATCAAGAAGTTCCATGATTTGTGCATTAACTTAACACATACGTATTCAGGTAGTCGTCTTCAAAATTTGTCTTGTACATTCGTAAAAACTAATAATCGTAAATCATAAATAGAATATAAAAAATATATACAAGATTCATGATAACTTTTACGAGGATAATTGATAAAGGAACCCAGCAAAAATAATGATCGAAAGTGTATTTATCTAGTAACTAAAACGATCATAAAATAAAATTTCTATGAATAATATAAAATTATTGTTATCTTGAACGAAAGTTATCAAGTTTCTGATGAATCAACCTTCAATGATATCATCTTTATAAACAGACGTATTCAAGAGTTCATTACAAGTGAAATAAATCATTATCTTCGTTTATATACTCCAGTTCTAATGTGATTAAATTAAATCGTTTCCGTTCTTCTTTCAATTACGTATACGTTACACGATAACTTTTAAGAGAAACTCGTTATTCGAGTTAACGTTGTCTATTTAATTTCGACGTATGTGTATACTGCAGTATACACATAAAACAGAAGATACAATTTTAACATTACGAACGATGTGTCGCTACAAATAACGTTCAAAATTTCAATGGGCACTAAAATGGGTCGTAGTTTTCAACATTTGTAATCCTACGATCTATCTAATAAGTCAATAAACAGCGATCGATCGATTGAAGTGTTTGCATCTATATACAGAGCACTACGTTCTTTGGCTAATAAGCAGGGATGTACGAGTATACGAGATTCATGGTTCGGATCGGGCCACAAAGCTCGAATAGAATTGGTCGAGAAATTCAAAAGTATCTTTAGTAAGTTTTGGGATCCTATAGTCGAAAATCGATTCCGGACAATATTTTTCGAAATCAATCCGAACCTCGAGTGCTCGACATATTACACTACGCACGCATCCCTACTAATAAGACCAGAGCCGGCGGGAAAATTTGTGGAATCAAAGAAACGTACTTACACGAGTGTTTCATATTGGAAACACTTAAATATTAAAACACGGAACATTTCAAGCTCGAACATCTCAGACTTAGAACACTCCAAGTTTGATACCCATACAGATATGTTACAATACAGACACTTGCAATATTTACGATAAACTTTTCTCTGAATTATTCTCGCGTCGGCTCTGAATAAGACAATACTCATCCTAACAACAACAGTATAAATGACAACAGAAACACGTCGTAAACGATAACGGTGGTTTTCTTATCCAATTGGAAACAAGTCGTTTAAAGATTTACCATTCAACTCCCAATATTTATTAATACGCTTTTTTTAAAAACTAATTGTAACTCGATCGATCGTTCGTAGTAAACGTGTAAACTTCAATTCCTATTTATATAGTATTACGAATCTTGACGATCGAAAAATCAGGGATCAATAGCTACGAAACACGGGTAAAATGAACTACAAATAGATTTCTGAGGTTCAATCTTTCTCTTTATAGTTTTAAAACTCACGGTTCATAACGCGTTTTTTAAATTCGATGTTATTAAATAGGAGAAAATTCTTCTATCAACGTATTGGCAGTTATAACGTGTATCGAATTGATTTCTATCTCTGAAGGAATTCCTTTGGAATGTTTTATCGACCGAGCAAAGGATTTCGATAGATCATCTATGCAGCCGAAAAAGGGCGGGAGCACTAATTTTCACGGTGATTTCGCACTACGTGTTTCGTGCACGATGCCTCTCCTTGATATTATGCTCTTTTACTTCTCAGTCTTCGTTTCTTCGCGAGGTACGGTCCGGTGTTGATTTGGTCTTCGGTTTTCGACCAAGCAACTTGCGAAACGACGAGGTCCATCTTGACCGACTGAATCCTCCCGTGCTTTGTTCGTCTGGCTCGCTGCAGCTTAGCGACTCGCTGATTTTTCTGCTCTTTCCGCTGCTGCTACTGGTGCTACTACCCCCATTTTCATAGCATCGTGATCTTCGATCTCCGATCTCTGACGAAAACCTGGAACAATATATGAAGTCTCACAATTTCATTCGATCTCATCGTTTCGGACTATAAGTGATTATGACTTATTGAACCGATAAATCAATTTACGATAAAAATGTCGAACATGTTTATGTTACAATTTTCCACAATCTTATTTCGCAGTAATTTTACGTTATCTGATTATGTCAGCTTTGTATTTTTTTTCAATCGATCCTTTTATTAAGTCCCTGCTGCCGGTTTACATCTTCGGAATCTAATCTTTCTTGTTACTGTTATCTATTTATTTTTCTTATTATTTAGCAATCTGTGCATCGATACTCTAAAAGTCTTAACTCATCCAAGAAATTTACACATAGAACTTTGGAATTCTTTGGAATTTAAAAAATTACATTATCCCCTTCCTTCGACGCCTTAATCATGTGCACAGTTTGATAAGCAGAATTTTTGGACGAACCCTGAATCTGAAGAGAAGGCTCTAGCTGTTGGTGGAGCGCTTGAATTGGCCGAAGAAAGCGAGATTTCAGCCACCGGAGTGCTTGGATATGCCTCATCGTCCGAAGCACTGTTGCTGCTGGTGCTACTGTTGCTCACGTTACTTCCACCAGCGCTGCTATCGACGCTGGAATCGTCGATGAAACTTATTTCTCGATCGGCCAACGGTGAATTGGTTCTTTGTCCACGCGATGTTGGTGTTGTCGACGTTGCGCTTGGGCGTAACCACGTGCGTAGGTCCTGCAGCGGCGCTTGAAGGCACTTGAAAAGATTTCCGCTGGAAGTTTCAAATAAAAAGAATATAGTAGCTTAGGTTAGATACTTCCGCCGAGTGTAATTCTATATGGAATGCTCGAAGTAAAGATGCGTGGATACAACTGTGAATATCGAAGTTTACGGCCATCTCAGATAACGAAATCTGGCGATCAAGGAACCGATGAAAGTAATTTCCTTACTCGTCGCGATAGTCATCGATCTCGGCAAAAGTACGTCTCGCATAGAGACAAACGGAACACCGTCGACGACGGCGGCAAGCTGTGGCGTGAAGAGTCGCCGCACGAAGATGTCTCGCAGCGTGTCTCAACGTAATGGTTTCTCGAGTCAATGCTGCTACGCCTTCTTCGCGTCTACGTCTTTCTTCTCCCAATTCTCCTTGTTCCACGCGAAGTTTCTCCTTCAGAACTTCGTTCTACAAATAAAAAACATCGATTCTATAAGATATCTACTTGAATAGAAAAAATATCTTTCACCGTAACACAATAGAATTTCTAGTACATTCTGTTGAAATACAATACAGCCAAGTGCAGTAATGGATTTCCTCGATAAAAGGAAGTGTAGGGGACGACGGTCCCCCATTATTCGCCTGATTTATAAGAGACTATGTCTCCCATTCGCATGTGTTATTACTTTCATGTTGCAATACGCTGAGGTTTGTGTTATTTCTATTGTTATTTCTTTCAAGATATGTAATAATGTAAGGGGAGTATATCTTCCAGCAATTAGGCGAAATATTTGCCAGTGAAGATTTACCTCTTTCTCAAGAGCATCGCGTTCGGCACGTATAACAGTAGCCTGCCTGACGACATCCTGCCGTGCTCGTTCAAGCGTTTGCCTTGTAATCTCGTTTTGCGCCAGTTGCATTTGCAGACGTCGCAAAGCCACCTCTCGTTGCCTGTCCAAACGATCACGGGCAGCTATGCAGCTGTCCCGTTCGTTCTTCGCCCTTTCCACTTCTTCTTCCAGGCGAAGGCTTCGCTCTAGCTGAAGAAACAATTCGTCTTCCTTGCCACGGAGCTCTGCCTCGCATCCTTCCAATCGTTTCTCCAGGTTCCGCCGAGCTTCCTCCAATTTGTCTCTCTCGGCCTGAAACGAACAAAGAATTTCATCGGTTAAAAGCATCCCAGATAATAAAAGTAAAAAAGTTCGATTCTTTTCATTTTCCTGGTGTCTTTCGAAAGTGTTAAGAGTACGTAATCGGTGGAACAAGCATTAACGCAGTGGCTATCAATCAGTAACACGAATGTAACAGGTGCCCGTGTTACATTCGTGGAGATAATAAACCTAATTAAAAAAGAGGATGGAACAGAATGCCTCTAGCACCGCATCTAATTTCATGGCCACTGCTTTGGGACGCATCCATTACGTTTGTTCTCTGTAAAGGATGCGCAAACTTGCTTATAGATTTATAAACTTACTTATACATTTGTGTAAAATACACGAACAAGTATAAGCGTTATTAGATACAGAATCGACTTAATGAATTTCAAATATATGCAAGATGATTTTGCTGTTTGACGCAACACACTTTGCTTACGTACATTTTTATATATAGTCACTAAAAATAATCTAGTTTGAAAAACGAAATCTCGAATTGCAAAATCATTAATGGCTCGATTTCTTTTACTACGAAATAATTGCGAGGTGCTTCTTTTTTGTAGATCGCAGTCGAACATGTTTATTAAGAGTTCATCGTCGACGCGTATTCTATTATTGTTCCCGCACAGAACTTGTTCAGCCGATTGCGTAAGCGATTAACCATAAATCTCTGATCGATACGACGGTCGAATGCTAACGAGCATCTTGTCATTGAGTATTTTAAATTCTGTTCGACGAGTAGGTGACGGTCATCGGAGATGTACGTGTATAGCGCTACTTGATCCATCGGGACCGTATACTTAACCGTTATACGAAGAAACAGAAGTTCTAAGCACTTCAGCGAAAATATGTATTGTGATCAATCGCGCGGCGATATAACGCACAGCGCGTTGCAATTCGATGCGTGACGATTTCAAATTAGCAGCACGGTGCGTTGCGATATAACGATTTTGCGATTCATCGTGTAGCAATCTAGCGGCAATTTTGTTAAAAAAGAACCTTATCTATCGCTTCGCAGGAAGTCCTACTGATTCTCCATTGTTCTCGTATTTGGAGTAAAGTACCTACACTCTACAGATTAACGACCGGATTCATTATGCAGTCTGAATGAATTCCAACGCGATCCAATCGTGATCGTGTGACGTAGTTTGTCTTCCTCGCCCAAGATTGTAGGTCAACTTAGCCGGCCAAGCTAGACTGAAGAGGTTGATGAACGCCATTACGGACCAGGTTGAAGCACGTTGAGGCTTCTGTCTCGGAAGAAGAGGTGGAAGGAAACCGAAGAAAGTCGAGAAAAAAAGAGAAGATAAACAATGACAGGCAGGAGAGACGAGTGGGAAGACAAGACGCAAAACCGCAGAAGGAAAAGCTGGAGTAACGAAACGTAACCATTTCAACTTGTTTGCTTTTTGAAGGAGTCTCGAGACACGGTTCTGTTTCTGCGGTTTGCTTTCGTACACGATCGGCATCGATCCTGCGGCAAGGAACGGACAAGCAGACGTACAAGTGGTCGGGCAGCCAGTGGAAGGCCAAGGGGAAACCTGTGTCTATGGGAGAAACCAAAGAACCTGGCCTTCCAGCCACCCCGACCGTCGTCTCTTCTTCTCTTTGTTATACCTGCTTTCCGAGGCTTTGACCATACACTCCTCCAACATTCTTCCCTGCTTTTACTTTCTTAGCATTCCAAGCAATTTTATGGAATAGAAATACTGTACTGACCCTTCTTTACATTCTTCTGTGTTTATGAGGGTGCGTATTAAGCCGGGGAAGTGTAGGGTCTAAGTACGGTAATGCCCCTCAATATTCGCTGCATTCATAATTCTCGGATAGTATAGCAAAACCCAGGTGCAATACTGCTTTCTCCTCTTTTTTATTTATGAGTAGGATTGGGACTTTCAAATTAAGCACTAACAGAAAAGGTAGAATTAGAGAGTAACGTCAACAACTGAAGCCTAAGATTTTAGGTTCTCGAACACGGTTATTTGTCACAAATTTATAAATTTTTATGGAGCCTACAAATTTACAGAGATCCTAATCCTTAACGCATTAGAGCCCAAAGGCAGTATCTCAACGTGGAACATTGTCTCTTGCTTTTACACAATTCTACGATCCATCTGCGATAAGAAGTCTCTGTAAAATTACCTCCTGAAGAGTGTGTGAAAGCAATAGAAACGCTAGGAACATTTGACATGGGAAATCTTACTTATTAATGTCTACGTTGTCCAAATGAATGTACCATTAAAGCTAACAATAAGTAAAAATGAAACCAACAGATTTTCAACGCAAGTGATTTTAAAAATGAGATGCATTTAAAAAAAAGAACCGAAGTACGAATTTATTATCGTCTCTTCTCTCGATGGCAAATTTTCTCCTCGAGCTGACAATGGGAGTGGCATCTTATCGTTACGTTTCTTTCTTTTTTTCAACCAGTCTCCCGTGGTAGAAGCCTGTTTTCTCTTCCACATTTTTGCGGATAATATTGCGAGACTTGATTTCACTCCGGAGAAATAAACTCTTACAAGCAGATAGCATCAATGAGACTAACAAAATCGCGGAAGGACTTCTTCTATCTTTGTTACCATCGTCTCGAGAATTAATCGCGTTGATACATAGTACTTATACCAGTTAATATTAATTATTTATGACGGTGGTTCTCAGACTCTGGATAAACGCGTTGGATACCACAGTGAAAACACGTACACGCGCTTTCAACGTGTCAGCCTACATTATATTACTAGCGCAACAATAATTGGTTCAACGTTTGATGATTCAACGCGTAGTGATTCTACGTGTAGTAATTCAAAGTATGACGATTCAAGGTGTATCGACTCAACGCGAAATAATCATAGAAACCACAAAGTGAATGCTCGAATTCAAATAAAGCTTACGTAAAATTTTGCTTTTCGATCGCGAAGGATTATCGTAAAGGATTGACAATTTCACCGAATAGAAATCCAATTAGGGTCACGTTAAGCTTTATCCGAGTTTACGAAATACGGACGCAAATTACATCACGCGCCTTCTTTACGTGATAGTTGCAGGGATACATTCGACGATTTTTTTACGGCTTCGTTCCGCCACTTACAAGACCCCCCGTGTTCAACAGTTTACGACGCCTAATCTTGTAGTCCGTACTGCTCCACCTTTTAATAATATTTATTATCGATCATTGAAGAGGACAGGCTCAAGTTCTTGCGATTACATGTATTACAATATGAGTGATTAGGTTTCGCTTACCTTAACCTCGTGATAACGTTCTTCCAGGTAGTATGCGACACCCTTTGCTTCCTCGTACTTGGCGGCCAGGGCGACGTATTTGTCATAGTGGCGCTTGAATAACACGAACCTGTAAATAATTCGAATCAATTAGTTTCGAGTTTAAATATTGTTTGTTTATAGCAAGTTTTAAAAGTATATACGCTTAGGTAATTGCGGGCAATATTTGTTTTATAAATTAGAGTAACTGGTATAGTAAAATTTCAAAACTTAAATATATTGCTTGACTAATGGCTATAAAACTGGTACGGTAAAATTTGGGAATTTTAGTACAGTAATTAGTACTAATAGCGGGTAATAAAATCCTGCAGGAAAATTTCGAAACCTAACACGTTATTACCAAGGCGATGGAAACCTCTGTAGTAAAGTAAAAAATTGCCTAGTTTACAAGAACGTAAAGTACCACCCTCTTAAAACTACAATTATTCAGAGCAATTAACCGTGTTCTACAAAAGGGAGTTGCAGAAGGCGACCGCAACGATACGTCTAAAGATAACTTTGCAATTTACATTCCGAACATTTTGAGCTAATTTCTCTTCCGTCATATAACAACATGTGTAGAAGAAAGGCTGCAACAAACAATGACCAAGACAATTAAACTGATAGATTAATTAGACGATTCGCACCCTGGCTACAAGAATCCCTAAAACAACGGTCGCGTTGTTATCTCGTCTCGTTCTCACTGTAATCCTATTTGCCTATCAACGTCGGCTTTCTCAATCTTTCGTCAGAGATCTATCGCTTTGGAAACCGGAAACTGACTCAACTCCCACGCGAGCCTAACGAACGGGGCGAGCAAATACGCGCGACGATATCGAAATAACTAGGAAGACGACCTCTCGGTCATGCTGTTGCTCTCCGTACTCGTTCCACGTCTCGATCGATTTCTCTTCGACTCTCTTCTGAATCTTCTCGGTTACTCGGCTCTCCGAAACTTCCTCTGTCTGGCTCTTTTTCTCTTCGACTGACTCACTACGGTATTTCACTGATACTCGCACACCACAAGCAGATAAACAGACAGCAACTCGTCCATTCTCTTTCGAAGACTTTCGCTTTCACGATTCCTCGATGCTCCGCCAGCGTGTTCTCTCTTCGAGATCCAACAATGATCTTCTGTCCAGCTGCTCTTCCGGGTCAGTTTTACCGACTCCTCTCGTACGCCCGTCACACCTTCCTGGACCGAGTCTCCTTTAGCTGACACTCGCGAAACCTGATTGATATTAACTCGATTGGTAATTCGAGAACGCTCGCGAAGGTGACGCGATTGCGACTTGCAATCGAGAGCGACGTAATAATGGATCAAGTTAAAAAAGAATACGTTTTTTCTTCACGAAAATCTACGCATTCCTAAACATCGACTTTACCGAATCCTTTCGTTCCGACTTCGTACTCCTTCACGTTCCGTTTACTGGGTCATGGTTTCTCTTCAAGTTGACTCGAAAAAATGCTCTATTTTTATGGGATTTTACTGGAAAATTGTATGAATATATGCATTACTCATATTTTATTCATCCGCTTAATATACGCTACTGGATTTTCAATTTTAGTTTTCGTTGGTCTCAAGTTTAGCGAGTGAAAATAAAGTAGCCCTAAGAATAAATTAAACGCAACGTCAATTATTATACTGTATCCTGAATAGTAATTTTCTTTTCTTATAGTCTACAATTACGGGGCTTTTTAGATCGAATCTCGAGAATACGTTAACTCCGCGGGCAACTATACATACCAACAATACTTTGTAGAGCATAGTGCATATAAATGGATGCACCTAATTATTTAACCATACAAATCTATGGATTATTATACAAATAACTCCTCTGAAATCTCGAGCTGAGATCTGGAATAAATCATATTGCCAACATTGCATGATTCGAACGAAGGAACACATAATAGCAATTATTTTCCTATCGTTATTCATGAAGACGAGGTCGTCTCTGCTCCTTTATACGGGACCATGCATTTTCATGAATGAACCAAACAATGACGGACAATAGTAGCACAGATATTATTACGTGTGCATTTATAAATAAATCCAAATGCGAGAATCTCTTGTAAAATATAGAACAAAGGTTCGCAAGGAGAAAAGCGCTTTCCGAATTAAATTGAATTTAAAATGTGATTACACGATAACACTAACCGATCTATACAGTAGTTGCTGATATGTAATGATTCGTGCAATAGTTTTAGAATTAATGTATAAGAAAAAGTTTGATTTACAAGTTGGAACTGTATGTTGCTAATGTGTTGTAAGAATTTCTCTTTTCTAGCCAGGGCCAAAAATAGCAGCCATTTTCTATCATCCTATGTCATCTACATCTCGACGATCAAGCAGGTTCCTGATGCGTGACCACTGACTCGTGCTTGGCTATCGAACCACGCCAGTCCCAGCTAAACTCGCCGGCTATTGTGAAGCAAAGAACAGAGCTAAAGATAGCCTCGCCCCGATGACCAACCCTTCTTCCTTTTTTCACCCATTCCGCAACTTTGACCTCAACCGAAATACAGTGGCGGATAAACGGCCGCGATTTTCAGCATCGCTTCCCTTAACCTTTCCGCTCAAAACGAGGAAACCTCACGGTCGTGTCGCGTGTCTTTATTTAGAACAGCATGCTTCTGAAATATCCGTCCGATATATGCGAATCGCTTTGACCCGAAAGCCTTTCAGATGCCCTCGTGTCGCAAATACCGAGCCGTTTATTCTCTCGGCGAAAAGTTAACTGGATGAATATGAAATTCGGCGTGGCAAAGCATGTTGCGCTAAATGCAGATGTCGGGTGCTTTTGGATTCTTCAAACTTCGAGGCTTTAACAATTCTGAATTTTGTAGCTTTGAGAACGTATAAACTTTTGAACTGCAATTTCGGAATTTTTAGACTCTGCGAGTTTACAATTATGGTAACATAAAACTTGCAAATTTTACAACTTCGAAATATTTAACAATAATGTATTATAAACGAGTAGATCGCTAAAGATCTACGCACGAATCTTACAAAATCAGTCTCTACATCAGAACATCAGTTTCTACGTGTTATAAAAATGAAAGTTTATTTTTAGATTACTCGCAGCGTGTATCTTTGCGCGTCAAACATGAATTGCAATATTTTCTACAGGTCCGCCATGAATGTTGAATATGAAAATTTGCCAGGTGTAATATCGATTCATTTTACAAATAACAGCGATAGCAGGTCTCTAATTACAAAGGAAATTACCAGCAAGCTGATTAATTGCATCGATTAAATCGCGTTTCAAGTGGCCACGAAGTTGCTGGTAATTTCCTACGAAATCGTTTTCATTGAGAACGTTTCGCGCTCCTACGGAAGCCGCTCCTCCTTCATTAAAAAAGAAATGCTCTTCGCTTTCCGTTTTTAAACACGCGCGCTCGCTCGCATTCGTCAGCCAACTCGAATAGTTTGTCAATGATTCAACGTCACCGACTAAATCGAACTCTATGCAATAGCCAACCCGGAAACGATTTTCCTATTCTATGCGACATTCGAGAAACCGCTGTTCTTACGGTTTGAATAGACTTCGTGCTTTTACGGCTGAATGTTTTATGGAATTTTTTTATATTAAAAAGAAACCGCTCAATATGTATGTCACAAAGTCATTAGTTCGCAAATTGAAATTACTAGGCGATACATTGAATGCAAATAAACTAGGGATACTGGCGTAGAAAGTTTCACGTAGTCACGAATACGCGACACTGTCGGTGTTAAAATCATTTAAATTTCTCTTTTGTTTTTCGATAGCATGTAACCTAAGCTAACCGATGAACATTTTTAAATCGTTATCAACTAAATACATACTCGCAGATAAGCAATACCCACAAAAGATAAGGCGATAAAAGCCTAAATGCAAGTTAATTAATATTCTGATACGAAAATGATGTCGATGGAAATTACAGTTGTTCTATACAGTCAACGCTCATTAACAACTCGTTAAATTAATAATCTGTGCAAGAAATCAATTTCCACCGAGTGCAGATAGTATAAAGCTTCTTCGTTTCGTTCACTTTCGTTTCCTCTCACTTCTCCATTCGAGTGTTCTCCAAAATAATTACGTAACCTCAAACTCTCAACCAGACTTCTCCGCACGCTTGCAAACGGATCCGATTCGGATGCACACACATACGCTTCGCTGCACTCTCTATAAAAATTACGGAAAATTAGAGACGTAGAAATATCAGGTATAAATAAGCATAAATATAGTTAAGTGAATAGCAGTAAATTGTCAAATAAGCTGGAGAAATTTAATAAGAAAATGTATTATAACAAACGGATTGAAAAAATCGAATCATTCCATTGCAATTCCCCCATCGCGCCAAACTACCTTGACGCGTGTCTAATGGTTTATGAAATAATCAAGCATGCACCATTTGAATCGTGCATACTTGCATACTTCGTCCACGCTTGGTCGTAAAAACGCGGGAAATCTTGCGAAGCTGCGTTGAACTCGACGTTCGTCCGTCTTTACGATCTCAACATACATATTCCGACTCCCGGATCTCCGTAGCACGACTTGCAAATCTGTAATATCGGCTTCGAAAGGAATTCTCCATGTTATAAATTACCGAGAAATGGTACATCTGCGTTTTATTCGTTTCCCTCTACTTTACCGTTGACTTCAACCGCTTTTATTGCGACGTTTACGCTTCAGAAGATTACTTGTACATCGAATATATAGGGTGAGGCGTCCAGAAGGACCAGCCATGTATAAAGGTTGTATTACCTATATCGAGAAACGTGCCTACGCTAGTAACCATAATTTTCTTATCAATGGAGGCGTAAAGGTCAGATGAAGGTTAACCTCTTTTTTTTCTAATCGAATATTCAACACCTCGAATATTTATGAACGATTTCTTTTACTAATACCTCTTGTAATTTACATGTTGATACTGCACTGATACTGTCGGTACTAGTTAACGTTTAATTTGACACTAGGTAGAGTCGAGAATGTTAATATTAAAAGATATGAATGTGTACTTGAGACTGATACGAAAATATTAATAATTTTGATATAATATCAGTTTGGTTTCGGTCGAAGAAGAATCTGTAGCGATAATCGATACCAAATATTTGTAATTGCATCGATACTAAAATTTTGTGACACCCTGTATGTATCGTTTACCTAAAATAAATGAAGCGTGTCTTGAACTAGGTTTCGCGAACTGTTTGGTCAGTATAAACGGTCTGATTGCGGTAAGAACAAAAAGCTTGTAAAATATATACAAATAATTTGGTGTGGATTTAATCGAGAGGTGTGCCATCGAGATAAGTATCGATAACAATCGATGATCTCATTCACCGTAGCGTAGATAAAAAATGCTACGTCAATCCGTAAAGTCGAAAGATCGTTTACTGAAAGACGATGCTTATTCTGACGCGTGGAACAAAATCTGTCAATGTGGAAGAATACCTACCAACGACAAAGGAAATGATCTAAAAATAGATACGAGGAAGTTTTTATAACCTTCGGAGGAAAAACTACTTTTTATTTAGATAAAGATTAACACGTAGAAAAGCGATTAAACGTAATCGTTAAAAATTATACAAAAGATCAGGGACGGCACGCGACGACTTCTGAGTGTTCCCTAGAACGCGGGCTCTGCGATGTCTCGAAAATTCTTCGAATTTGCAATTGCTTCTCACACGGTATGAAAACCGGTCTCGCAAACATACAGTACTGCAAAAGAATGAATGTAGGAGAAAGAGAAAATTGATAAAATTTCGTGCAAACCTGTACAGATCGTTTTCGGTGACGATGTCTCGAATAGAATCCTCGGGATCGATGCGATCTGCCGGGATGCCGGCTGCTCCTGCGACCCTGGAGGATAACAAGGGACACGTAGGTTTGACGGTGGTGTCAGTGGCCTCGTGGAGGGCGCTGGCCGCGATAAGGTCGTCCTCGGAGGCCGTGCTCGGCAGAGCCACGCTAGGACTTGGTGATCGCGAACCAGAGATCACACCGAGGAGATCCTCGCTTCTCGAATGTCTCATCTCCATAGCACCATATCTTCCGGTCGTCGTCGCCATCGTCCCACCGACCACTGCACGCTCGATTTTTCCACGGCCCGGTTAGACGGCCGTCCTCTTTTTCCTCCTTCGTTCTCGTTGCCACGACCTCGACAGCCCGAAGGAACCGACCAAGATCTAGCACTCGCTACTCCCATGCGGACCAACCTCTTACTACCTCTTCTCATTCGATTCCTTATTAGATTCCTGCAATTCACCGATTTTCATCTCGCGCTATCTTTCCCTTTGCTTCACCTCTTCTCTTTCACCTCCGTCGAACCTTCTCTCGTTGTTCGCGGTAAACCAGAATTTCTACTCGCCTTCTACGTTCTAGTTCATCGCTCGATGTCTCTGCCTCGATTTCTCTCCTCGCGGTCTTTCGAAGGACAGCCGTAATCGTAGCAGCGTTCGAACGATGCTCGATTAATCGATATCCTCGTTAAATCGATGCGGCACACTCGCTCGATTTCCAGTGGCAACACGAGCACGTTGACGTCTCGTGAAACAACGAAGGTAACGGACCTCTGATCGGATTGTCCGTTATGTTTGTTCGCGCATTGATACGCATTACTAACAATAAACGTATCATGGATTTCTCGGTTTCTTTTGGTTCTTTGATCGGCTTCGATTCGAACGCTCGTTCTCGTAGCGAAAACGTTAAACCGAACGATCGCGCCGGTTTACACCATTCAACAGGATCAACGGAAAGAATCCTTGCGTATCCATGGACGAATCCACGTTTGTGCGAGCAGCGAAAGAATTCATTCGATCTACAACCACTAAAACGATCGACGCGACGGGTTCAATCACCGATCAGATTTAGGCCGCCATTTTCATTCGAATAACACCTGCACGTTGCACCTCTCGCGAAACACCGAACAGATACCGTGGCACGTCGAATAGGCTCGTCTTTGTAATTAAAGTAATTAAGAAAAGCAGGGTGGTTCTTCTCGACGGACCATGCGCGGTGAACACGATCGCACACCACTACCTGGAATCATCCACTTGACGCGAGAACGGCACATGAGACACTGATCACAGAGATGACTTCTTTAATTCGCCAAGATCCTTTCGCGCACGCTTCCAGCAGATTTTTCTGACGTTCCGCCTTTCTTTCGCGAGCCACAACCGAAGTCTGCCGTAACGGGAACCGACGAAGCCACTTTGTCCTTTCGCGAAGAAGGGGCATACGAGAAAGGATACACCTATACCTACGCTACTGCGCGTTCGCCGCAGGTATACGCACTGACATTGACCAATGAATGTCCCTTGCATGGAAACAGGTCACAGGTAGGTCCTTTAGCCTTCTCCCTTTGATCTTCTTCCGGATAAATAATTTTCCTTTTTGAAACCACGGTTTCCAAGAACGACGAGCTCTTCTAACGCCATTGGGATAAACACCGCATCACGTAAAATAGTTTCAATCGATTTACGCGTTAAATTTCTCTTTTCTTTAAGAGTTTCGCGAATAATGTCTTTTACGAAAGAGGAGGTTAGTTTTCTTTAACGAAACCGAATTACCTGTATCTTTCGATGATACGCTGTAACAACCATGAAAATATTGAATCAAATAATTCTAACGAAAATACGTTCTTTTTAACAAGGATACTGTACACTATAACGTTATAAATATCTGTCACGTCGGTTAGAATCACCGAACCGGTTCCAAGTTTTGTAGAGGTGCAAATTTTACTCTACATTTCCCTATATTTCCTAGAACACTGATCGTATTGTTGGTTGCCTACCTATTGTATTGCATAGATGGCACGACCGTCATGTTTTCGAGCGTTATTTGAACTGTTTCCGCTGTTCCCGCTATTTCTTGATGACATAGAAATTAGTTAAAGTTGTATGAAAGGAAAAGTACAACTTAAAGTTGTATAGCTATTTTTATTTTTAATTTTCTAGCTAGTATTTTCATTATGACGAGTTCGGTGAGTACGAATCCGTCAACTTTATTGCCTTTAGGTAAGATGCGTTTTATTTGTCATCGATTCATAACCTTAAAGTTTTAAGATTTTTCGCTATTTCACGATATTAATTTACAGAATTAGTCGATAAATGTATCGGTTCTCGAATACACATCATAATGAAAAATGATAAAGAAATTGTCGGCACTTTGTTGGGTTTTGACGATTTTGTAAATATGCTTCTGGAGGATGTGACAGAAAGCGAAGCAACCCCTGAAGGAAGAAGGGTGACCAAACTTGATCAAATTTTACTTAATGGAAGTAATATTACGATGGTTAGTAATGTTACACAGTTTATTATTAGACTATTGTATTCTATACTTATGTATTCTTTCTCATTACAGCTTGTACCTGGTGGAGAAATGCCTGATACGTAGAATAAAACACTATTTCCTATGTTTTGTACGATAAAAATAGAATTATTAATTTAAGTATACATGGTATGAAAAATATTAAAAAAGAATATTACTTAAAATAAATGGTACTAAGCAATCAATGTATCGATCATACTTATTACTTTACTCGCTATGGGTCTGTTGATAATATTTTGAGACCACATTGCTCTGTACAATGCTTTATAGGCACCATTAAATTCATCATCAATATTGTCATCCATGGGTCGACTTCCTTTTGCAGAAATATATATAATTGCGTGACTGTGTAATCCAGCAAATGGTAATGTTCTAGATATCATTTGCCATGCTACAATACCTAAAGAATAAATATCTGCTAAAGGAGTTGGTATATTTCCTTTCAGTACCTCTGGAGCTGTATACCCTGGTGTGCCCTAAGATAAAGTTGTATTTAGTATAAGCTAAATATGTTTGAATCACAGATACCTACACAAAATTTTATATTTTCATTTGATTCTCCTATTAGGACTGAACTACCAAAATCAGTGAGTTTTGGTAAACCATCCGTAGAAATTAAAATGTTCTTGGGTTTGACATCTGCATGAATAATACCAGCATCATGGCAAAATTGTAGTGCACTAGCCACACCTCTTAATATAGAAATTCTTTCAAATTTAGTTAATGCCGTTTCATCTAAACGATCTTGTAAAGTAGGACCACACAATTCCATCGCGATTAAAGATAAAGAAACACCTTGTTCTATTATCAATACTTTTACTATATTAGAATGTTTTAAAGAAGAAGCATGTTTTTCAGAACTCAGTGCATCGAAACACTTTTCTGTTCGCATCATTTTAACCGCTACATGATCACCTGTTAATTAAAAAATTCATAGTTACCTGAAGCAAAACCTATGGCACTGATTTGTTTTAGAAAAAGAACGTATTCAACCTTTATAAGAAGCCTTATACACGGTACCAAATGCACCACTTCCCAGTATAGTACCATGTTTATCAGGCAGACCATCTTGTAATATTTTTCTTCTATTAGGGGTATCAAGATTAAAAGGAGATATTTGCTTCTGGTTTTCAGTAATTTGTTTATAAGTATTTCTGACTGGAGTTGTTGGACTTAAAAATTGTCTACAATGAAAGAATACATAAGACATTTCTGATTTCTTGAAATTAAATTTTATATTTTTTCAAAATTTCATTACCTTTTTCCCACATTCTTTAATAAACGAGGTGATATATTATACAATTTAGCTGCTAGCCTTTGTGGAGAAGCCATTTTTCAACTGTATGAATAACAGGAACAATATACATTTGTCTCTATTTTAAATTCACAGATATCAGAATGAAAACAAACATTTTTTGTACAGTGAATGATATCCCAGTAAAAGTCACAATTGTACAGTTATCAAGCAATAGCAAATAATATGCCAATGGTATGACATTACTATAGATTAATACATTTTAAAGATACTTAAATGTTTTAATTATAAGGATATAATTTCAAAAGGTTACAAAAATAGAGGGGGGAATTAATATGTTTTATTTCTCTATTTTTCTAATATAAGGCATAAACCATCTACTGAGATTCTATTACTAATTATTACTCTGTAATACTGTACGATAACTAGAGTATTTACAATTCTTTGATAAATTCATAACAATCGATGCTTATTTAAATAATCTCTCAATATAAGTAATATCAGTGGTATGTATATAATAACATGTTAATATGCTACACATATTTGTATCTAATAAAATCCCGTGTTAAAAACTTCATGCTAATAGTACATGCATATAAGTACTGCCAATATTTTTTATAGCAGCCCATAGGTTTCTATCACAATTATGTAGTAGAATGTTGTTTTGTAACTAGTGTCGGTATATAAATAAGTAGCAATGAGTAATGTGATTATATATTTTGTTTTTTTGTTGTTTACAAGAATAGTAAGAATAGAATTGATAATTATTACTTAATAAAGTACTTAGCAGATTAGCAAAATATGTTAACCAATGAAAAATAGAATGTCTTTTCTCTTTGTAACAGCATCTAAAATATTCATTCCCTTAGTTCTTTTTTTATTGCACGCATTTAACATACAATGACGTATTATTATTATTACAGCTTGGTCTCGTTTAAAATGTAGAAACTTTACATCTGAAATATCGACTACCGTTGTAAAACTAATAGTTATCGAGACGAAATACCTACCAATACTGATCACTTCTTACATTGAAAATAAAGTATAAGGTAAGTATTTAAAGGAGTTTATCACCTGCACAGTTTAATTTCATTAACTTTAATTTCACTTATATACTATGTTTAAATAAGTACACGATTGAGTTAAATAAAAACTGTTTACAATAAATGTGACTTAAAGGCGACCCAAGCTTTCTCCGGAGTAATTTTTTAAATGCTTGAACCTTGAAGCTGTTTCTCTCTAGGTTTTAATAACGTTGTCAGGTACTTTTCTAAATGTTGTCGAGAGTACCTCTTCCTTGAATTGCAACAATCGTGCAACGTAACGCACATCCTTTAAATTAACATTCGAAGGAAAATATTCATTTTCTGAATACCGTTTGAAACTCCCATCTTAAAAGTTACAAAATCTGTAGATGTTCATGCAATAGAGACGAATAAAGAAAAAGTACGTTATTGCATGACGATGAAGCGCTTTTCTTAAGTTTTATCTCGTGTATAGAAAATATATCTATAGCAACAGAATGTCGTAGAAGTATTGCCAAGAACTTTATAAAAGAAACGTTAATAGAGATTTTATTTAGGAAAATAAATTTTAACGGCACAGGAATCGATTTGTTATTGGCAGGACAATAAATCTGACCTATTAAGTATTTATAGTTGAAACACAGTACAAACTATATCTCTGTTCTTTTTTTACATTTTCCTAACACTTATTAGGTTCATTTTTTAAGTTACTTATAAAATACCATCTTCATCTAGGTATAGTTATTAATTTTAGAGCACATATTCAACGGATATTGCTAAATGATTGTAATTTTTCGCACGCAGTGCTAACGAGTTACGGTCCCAAAGAAATTATAGATATATAATATTCATCGACAAGAACAGCTAACGAGAACTATTCGGGTATTTCTTTATAAAAGATTTAGTTTTTCCTCGCCTACGTCACTTCCGTGTAGACGGACCAGCACCATTTAAGTAATTTATCATCTTTTGATTTGGCACTCTCGTATTCTGTGCCTATACATTAAATTTTTCCTGAGCAACGTGTCGTTCATCACCATTCTGTTTTTTAGAGGCACTCACAGGCACCTTTTTCCCATCGAATCAAAGAAAGATGAAACGAATCTCGATCGACTATTACGAATACATTAGACAGCGTGCAGGTACCTTGTGTATTTTCCATTTGTTAACGTCTTTAGTTAGATTGTATTACCTGCAAGTGAATATCTGTTTATCGAATATAACCTTTTACCATTTATAATCATACACGATCGACGAGATTCGATAAAATATAATTTCAAGTACCTACACGTACCCAAGATGTGGGCAAGAACGTATTCGCACCGTTTCACCTCGCGATATCGTTATCGATTATTTACAAATTTTGTAGCAAAAAATAAATTTTTCGAATTTAATGAGTTTACCCAGCTTTGGGGATCAGAATACCCCTACTTATCTACGTCCTCTCTTTCTCGCTCTCTCTCTCTCTCGCGCGCTCTTTCTTCCATAACTCATCGGTATACATATATGCTCTTTTTCACGAAAATAGACTTTTCGAGAGAATTCTTCACGCTATAGTATTCAAGTGTCGTTCTACGATACATGATAGGAAAGTGTGCACGTGACAGAAAGCACGAACAGACCAACCTGAAGACAATGAAGAATAAAGGATAGGGAAAGGGAAGAAGGGGAAACAATAGAGGTACAAGGAGGAGGAAGAAGGAGAGACGATACAATAAAGGAGAGGTTGAATAAGGCACTACCTAACCAGGTAACGGAGCTTCCTCGTAAAAATCTGGCTCGTCCTCTGTGCTTTCGTGTTCCGATCCTTTGCTGTCGAGTGCCCGTAGCTCGGCCGCGGTAAAAAAGTGGCTCATCTGAGCCCGCAGAGGTATCATGAGAATCAGGAAGAACGGAAACGCCAAGGCCGCCCTAGTGCTCTTTACGATCCACAGTATGACCAGGCACATGATCTGTATGAGGGTGAAGATGTGCATCTTATAGGTCTGCACGCGTCGAACGTAATTGGCCGTTCCATGGTGTTTGACTGGCATGAAGAATAACTTGACACGATCGAACAGCTGCACGCCGGTAGTCGAGGAGATACCCATGTAGAGGAACACTCCCAGAAGGACGGACATTGGTACACGACGCAACAGTGGCGCCATCAACACGCTCACGCCAATCAATATGGCGACCAACAACGCGCTCACCCTTTGCTCTTTCACTTCGACGATGTGTGGTTTGTCGCCGGGAGCGTGAGTGCGAGACATTACTGTCACCGCTGAGACGTGTGTCAGTGATCTGACCGAGGCGGCACAGCACCATGGAGCGCCCATTAAACCACAGCCAACGTTCATCAAACACACCACCACTATATCCATGTGGTAGCCGTTACCTTTTCGCAGTTTTCGCTCTTTCTTGTCGATGATTAGCCTGCAAGAGAAAGTAAACACTTAGCTATTTGCTGTATTATATCTAAACTAGCAACGAAAGAGGATCTTACTCGGAGATCTGAGTTTCCATGAAAACGAGAATGTAAACCAATAACGCTGGCACGATGCAAGCCATGGCCATCCATAATGGGATCGGTTTCTGTAGACCAGCGGGTGAGACGATCCAATCTCTTCCAGGCAGAGTTGGCGACAGTCCTTCCGGGACCAGCAACTTCTCCGTCTTCACTTTGGCCAGATAGTCGATCAGTGCAAATACGATGATACTAATCGGAACACCAAAGTCACCGAAAGCTCTTCTGGCGCTTCGTCCGAGATAATGACTGTTACGGAAGATACGCAGGTAATAAGCGCCAAGGAAAGTACCGAGACACAGAATGGTGCACATGAGAGCGGTGTTCGGTTGATTGATCAGCAGTCCAGCAACGTTGTAAGCCGGTATCAAAACCTGAGGTTCCTCCAATGGAATAACGACCGTTTCACCGGTTTCAGGGGAAACGACCTTCATCTCGGTTACGTTGATAGGTTCTTGGTATAATGTCAGGTTATTTTCAGGAATAAAGCTATACTCCTCGAGCAGTGGATTCTTCACGAAGTAATTGTACAATTTGATAAAAGTCTCGACGATGTAGAGTATGGAAATTAATCCGGTAAAGATTTCCTCGGTGAAACGGGTGAACAGTCTGACCAGCACAGATCCCTCGACGCACGCGATGGCCAAAGCGATGATCCCCATCCACGCGCCAACGTACACCCTCACGGTTAAGAACTCCAGTTCGTTGGCTAGACAGAAGTTGTACAAACTCTCGTCGAACAACAAGAGGGGGCCGGTCGTACCGATAATGACCAGAGGCTGAGTAGAGAAGAGTGCCATCACTACTCCGGTCCAAGATCCGGAAATCAGCGTTTCCGATATACCGATAATGTTGTGCGTTTTGTCGCTCATCAGACCACCGAAAGTTATGGCTGTACAGAGAGCAGCAAAGTACATGAAAATGGCCGCTGCCAGGCAAGAGGAACTCAACCCATCGGTGAAGTCGGACAAATAGAAGGGGTAGCGTCTTTTGATGTCGTTGATGAGGCCACCGAACGGACGCTTCGTTCTGCGTAGAGGATCGTCGCCGTCGGGAGGTTTCTTCTCTCCTTCGCCGGCGAGAAGAGCTGTGCAAAAAGAGATAAATCGTTACTTCGTTCGATATAGATCCAAGATAACGCGTGCCACCGGTGATGTTTCGCAATACTTTCATGTGACAGAAACATGCAAGACTTTCGAAACTGGTCGTTCGATATGCATCGAGCTATTATCTAGGATAATGAAACTTACCTTTTGTGGCAGCAGCCTCGCTCTGAACTGGTTTACTCTTTTCCTCGAGCGCCTTAGCCTTTCGTTGCCTGATCGCCTCGCTTTTCGCCTTCAGCTCGTTGAACGGCAGTAACGCTTGTCGTTCCCAGTCGCCGGGAGGCAAAACGATCGAGTCGTCCAGGAATTCGTTGATCGCGGACAGAAGCTCGCGCCTCTCGTTAGCTTTGTAAGCGACTTTATGGAACGACGTATTGGCCATCAGCGTGGCGATCGATCTACCGATTTCGTGATAATCTAGATCAGCGTTCCTTGGCCCCAGCAACGTGAACATGAATCTTACTGGTATCGTGACTTCCGTGATCGATGGAATGAATACACCCTCGGCCAGTCTCACGAAAGCGATCGTTGGTTGGTCCAGAAAATCAACAGCACCGACTAATACGACCGTAGCCTCGGCACCAGCCGGGATCCTTTTCAGAATGTAATCGTTGTGGCTTTTCTTCAAATCTTCGTTGCTGCTCGTGAACGTGATCTCCTCCTTCATGTCGATTACGGTGTGATTGCTGTCCAGGGCCAAGTTCGAAGATAAGATCTTCGGTTTCGTGTCGTTCAAGTTCTAAGGAACAACGTTTGGGCATTAGGTGATTTTCCAGAATATATAAAATACGTATGGACCAGGCAGAGAAGTTTTCAAAGGGCTTACGTGTCCCTATTTGGACAAGCGTGAACAATTTTTTTAACCAGAGGCGGATAGCTTCGGAGCTAATCGTTACGAATCCTCTTACGTTTGTTACCGTCGATTACGAAGATATTCGTTACGAAACGGTGTCTATCGATTTAACCCTTTCGCCAGGGAGCATTTCCTTGATTTATGGGTATTAATAGCTGATGCTTTTAAGCCTGAGCCGTACCCAAGTATCAACTTACGCGTAGCGAAACATTGTAACACGAATCTTTCCAAAGCATTACGGTATTTCTATACGAAAAAATCCGCCTCTGTTTTATATTTTAGCGAAAGTCGTAATTACCCTTAGCTGAAAAATACAACTGTATGAAATAAAAGTTTAACGAGTATAGTGTACACCAAGCAGAAATAAAAACAATCAAACAGATTATAATGTAGTAAACTCGCAAAGATACGCATACGAACGAATGGCAAGTACAACAAAATTATAGAGAGGCAGAAAATGATATCGATTTGAACAGTGGGAAATTTCAATGAGTGGAAGTGCAAGCCTACAACGGAAATGGTTATTAAAACAAAACAAGAAACGGTCTTGCAAGTGCTGAATATACAAAATAAAATTGTAAGCCATGGACTTACAGGTGTTGTGCTAAGATGCAAGTCATAAAAGAATAAAGTACAATTCTACGAGCTATTTGAACGCTACTTCCCCTACGATGAATTAAATTAAAACTTGAGTCTTGAAGGAATAGTAAGAGATCTTGTAATGTAATGTGGTGTGTTCGGAAATGTCTTAACACGTTTGCCGCGAGCTAATTGATCGACTAATTTGAAAACTATAATTTGAGCTGGGTCAATGTAGGGTTCGATTCAGTTCGGTAAGGTTTGGGTGATGTAAGTGTCCAGTATCGTCGAAAATCTCATCTGTATCCCAGCGAACGTGTTAACGTAATTCTTTAGCAACACATGGTTTCCATCGGTTGAAAAAAACAGAAAGAAGTAAGTGTCCAAAGATTGGATACACACATTCATTCCCCTGTAAGTTCATGCCGACTGATGATCGTTATGATGCGTACGCGTTGGTATGACATCGATAATGGGGGAAAAAAGCTGTAAACTAGCGATAAGATTGAAAATTCTGCGTTTTTTAGTCGGGAAACGAGAGATTTACATGTTGGGTTACATGGTTCTCAGAGGCTTCCCGCGCAGCTTCTTCTTCCTCCAGAAAGACGGACTGTGGAAACAACATTAGGACACACCGTCAGTCACAGGCCTCCCGTCTCTACGGATTTCTATTGATCAATCAATAACTTTCATACATTTTCTCACTAGTACACGTTTTATCGATTCAATTGTACAGACAAAGCACACGCATTCGGACGATTATCTTTCTCTAATCATTTCGTTCTGGTAAAGTTTAATTCGGTCAGGGAACTAGTGCGTCACGGAATTAGAAAACTGTATGACACTCGAGTACCGAACGAGACAACAGTACATTCATTTAGCATATGTCTCCGCTAACGGAGATCGTGATCAAGCAGCTCACACAAGTTCGGTAAGATCTGTCTATATTCTTCTAAAGTCGACCGCGAGTTTATACGGGAGTCCCGCCAAGAATTTGAGAAAACGTACGAAACAATGGCCACCCGGTAAAACTCTAGATTTGTGATGTCTACAGGTACATTTATAGAATCATGATACATTCGTGAATTCTAATCTTGATCTCTGACGAGTGTGTCGGAGATTTAGAACTTTAGAATGTTGGGACTTTGGGTCTTTGGACTTCTGGAATTTGGGAGCTCTGGACTAACCGGTAAACTTACAGATACAGACAGATCTTACAGCATCGCGTTTAAGAGTCACCTGTTTAGCGGACATTTACCTGTAGACTGGTGTAGCTGGAATAGTTCCGTTTGCCTCCAAACCGGAACCCACGATCGTGGTCGTGAACGTGTCTGTGCCTAAGAAGAAGAGCTCTCATCACCACGGGTCTGTCCTCCGGAAGAATCAGTTCCTCGACCACCATTTGCTCGACTACTCTGTACGCCAGTCCCGGAAGATCCTTTTCCTCCAGATCCAGAAGAACCACCCCGGTCTCTAAACATCGTCGAAGATTCAGCAGCGAGTGGAAGCTCAAGGAGGCAACGTGGGGCCTGCCCCATCTGTCCGCGCCTTCCTCGACGTCCTCCTCGTATTTGATCCATCTAGCCGTTTCTCTCCACTCTCGATCCTCTCCCAACCCGTGCAGCTCGTCCAGCTGGACGAACACCTCGTGCGGGGAGTGGTCGTACATCTTCTTGAAGGTGTCATGGGGTATGCCACCCTCTTTTTTGCGGCCGATCTGCACCGTCGAATGAGCAGCTTTGTGCCGTCTCATCCCCCGGGGATCGTCGCTTCTGTGCGACTCCAGGTCGTCTATGTCCAGCTCCTGCAAAGTGCTCGCCTCTTCCGGCTGCACGCTGACCCTCCTCGCCAAAACACCCGCGCCATCCGGGAGACCCGCTCCCGATCGCTTTCTCCATTGCGGGTCCTCTTGCAACGAATATTTCCTGGACTTGTGGTGATGTCTTCTGCGAACGAGAAACAAGAAAGATTTAATCTCACCGATTTGGATGTTGCTTGACACGCGGCTTGTTGTTGGCAACAGGCTGTGTTAGGAGAGTACACTTTTCGTAATCGCGTTTCGAAGGTTAGCGATTTTTGTCAGTGGCCCAGACAGACACGGTAGCGAGTTCGTTTGACGCGAGGTATTCGACAATGTGCCAGCGCTTCTGCAACTTCAACTTGGCTATATTATCTGTTCTGTCGTGCAATAAAGTCTGCCGAGTCGTGCTCGTATGAAATTAACGCGTCACGTGCGCTCGCGAAGTCGATCGACGTTTCTTCGTGCATTTCGCGGTCGGTTAACGGAGCTTCGATGGTCACGTTTCTTGTGATATTAGATATTTTTCTATGCCTTCGAGTCGAAGAATTCGTCGAAACGGAAGCGACTACCGCATCGAACAGAATTGGCTGTTGTTTGGATACATGCAAGTGGCACGATGTTGCACGTGTCGACGTGTGATTTAACGCGCTGAATGCCGCGTGATACAAAAATTTTACAAATTAGAGTAAAAATTTTAACCGTCATCGTATTACTTACGCGTTAAAAACGATCACCGTGGCATTCAACGTGTTAACAGAAAGAAGAAAAGAAGGAAGATTTCGAACCGTCTAATCCGACCGACTTCCATGATGTACCGGTCCGGACGATAATCACGATTCTTGACAAGTGACATGATTGATAAAAGGAAATAGGAGTAATCGTCGCGTTTATCACACCGGGATCAAACTAATTAGAAGAGCGCGAAGACGGTGGCCTCGTGTAACGCAGACTGTTTGATGGGCTACGCAAAGGCAGCGTGAATCTCTGGCCGAAGGCCATGACATTAGACAGCACTTGCGAACTGCTTCGCAATCTCTTCCGCTAAACAATGTGCAATTATTTAATACAACTCGAATCATCGCGCACGAATTATTTTTATTGTGTCGGTGCGCTCTCTTCGAACCGCGATAAATAAAAAATATCATGGAGGATACGACGCGTAGATTATCCTTCAACAGATAAAAATTAACAAATTAATTTTAACTTCGAACGTTAAAGATATTTTTGAGGTTATCGTCACGGCTAATAATATTGTATCTGTTCGTAGACAAATTATGTGACATAAAATTTGCACTGCGAAGCTATATGTAATGGTTTAAATTAAATTTGTGTCCACCAGTTTTCAAGATACATATAATATTATTATGTAATGAGAATAAGGTAAAATGAAAAACTGATAAAATAATTTTTAACCGAATAATTTTGCAGGCTGAATTCCAGAAGTCCAGAGAAATAGTTATTTCTCTGAACTTGAATCCAGTTAAATTATGCTGGTCTCGCAACGACTGCCAAGTAGTTCTATTTGACAGTACCGAGTAACTTTCTCTTTTATGCGGTCTTTTCAGCAGCCCAAGAAAATGATCTAACCGAGGAAGGATTAAATGATCTTACTTGTGCTCGTGTTTCTGATGTCTTCGACACTTTCGGTCTTCTTCGTGAGTTCCGGGTGTACTCTCGTTCGTTGCCTCGTCGTTCTTCAGAGGAGGCACTTCTTCTTCCTTGATCTGCTCGAATTGTACCCGCGGGCTGCCGATGCTGGGACTGTCGCTGAAACCGGAAGCAGCCCTTTCTGAAATCGGTGCCTCGCTCTCGCTGCTGACCACGTTCTCCGTTTCTTCAGCAGTTTCTTCGTCCGCGTCGTGCGTGGTGCTGGAGGACAGTCCGTTGTCCATAACGTCTCCTTCCGGTCCACTGCCATTTCCTGTTTGTACTTGACCGTTCTCCTCTTCTTGGCCAGCTTCCGCTGCTGTGGATCCTTCCCTGTAACCGAGCCTTCTTGTTTATCATTTTCAATAGTTCACTAGTTTCAATAGTTTTCTCTTGGATGGTCGGATTCATAATTCACTGAGAATCGGTGCTTCGAAAGGTGGGTTTCGTGGAGACATACTTACGATGAAAGGTGCCGTCGCATAGATCTGGAACGAATACTTTTTAAGGGCATATGCGGATGAGGGTAACTTCTTTTTCGGTGCTCTGAAACAAAATGCAGCGGAACGTAAAAAATGTCACTAAAGCTTACGAATGAAGTCGTTAAAATTCATTTTGCGGTTGGAACCAATTTTATGTGCACCCTGATATTACATAAAAGATGTAAGCAATTTTGATGAACATATGTGCTGTGACAACTTTACTTGCATATATTGTTCGATTTCTAAGATGAGATGGTAATTTATTTCAACAAGATATTAACGTTTTAAAACACGATTCAGAGACATTTAATTCTTAAAATTTAACCACGAAACAATGTCACTATTCACAGTTAAAGGAAGTACAGTACAAAATGCACGTATTACGTAAAAAAAAGTGTCATGTTTCCAAAAGCAGTTTCGACCTTGACTTTTACTAGAAACCTTTACAAGACAAATTGATTTATGCAACAATTTTTTATGCCCGGCAATAAATTATCGTCGTAAGTTATTCGCAAAAGATGTAGCCTTAAGTCTTAAGATGAAAAGGAATGTAAACGAGCGGAGGAAACGCGAGAGACAAAAGAATAATTTTGAATAAAGTTGGACGTACGATTGAAGTCGCGATCTCCATATCGTGGTGGTGGGCCTCGATCTCGATCTCGATCGCGATCTCGGTCTCGATCTCGATCGGATCCCGCTGATTCGGAAGGTGAACCGAGTCGGGCTACGTCGAATTTTTCTCCGGTGTCCATCGCGAATACCTTCTCCATCTCCTCGTCGAGTTCCGGTCCCGTTTCCGCGCCATGACCGTCGACCTAATTTCACCGCACAAATAATTCATTTATAATTCGTTGTTAGCATATTATATCGTTGTTGTCGACTAATTTCAAAACGCATTCATGTCGCAAAATTACAACATGTTTTTAGTAAAGAAACAATTACAGAGTGACGAATGTCGAGACTTAAGTACAGCAAAGTTATCTAAACAGAATGCGAATTCTCTTTCGCTAATAGGCGCCCATCTGCATTTTCCTCTACTTCGCGTCTTCCGTTTGCTTTACGCTCGAACCCTTTTACGATAATGGACGTTAAATCGCGTGAGGGAGCATCGACGAGAAATTTAATTCTGCCTGGTCATTAATATTCGCTAATAACTTCATAACAGCAATCTATTTTTGATTAATAATTTTTTAGAAATAAACATGCACTTTGAAGAACGTGACTGTACAATTTTTCTCGTCAGACAATCGATGTTATCCGAGTTTCTTGTACTCGTAGCGTGTCCGATTGCTATCAGGTATGAAAGCACACATTCTTGAAGACAATAAAAGCTTGCTGAATCAAACGCTTCCTCGAACGTAATGAATCACGCGCCTACTTACAGTCGTCAACCACTCCAACAGATAGGCTTCTAATCGCATTTAAGCACTTTAAGTACGCGAATCTCGATTTGAACATGTGTCGATAAGAAATCAAACCTTATGTTCCGATACTATCTTGGTGAAAAGCTATCTTTAACCGTTCCGTCGAAAACGTACGCATACATCATATTGAATTAGCGAAGCCACAATAAGATCAGATTTTCCTGGAGAAGTTCGAGATAAACAGCCAACAAATTCGTACTCGAGCTTTAACGATCGATTTACGATTATTACACAACACGAGAATCTACGAATTAAACGCATTAAACTTCTCTGAATTCATCTTCGATCTGAAGCTATTCTAGTTTCTATTAAATTTATTCAAAAAAATAAAAATTAAATTTTGTAATGTGCACACATGATGTTCGTGTAATTGTCTAATTGTATTAGACGTGTAGCGATGGCAGTAAGCGTACTATAATCAGAACAAAAAGAGCAAAAAGGGCAGACAATCGAGTCGTAATATCAGGAAACAGATTCTAATGTACCGAACACCCTCTTCGAAAGACTCACGCGCAAATTCCGAGAATCAATCGTACCAGAATAAAAGTGCATTTGTATCCTATAAATTCCAACGTGATGTAACAGATAGTACACTAGTATAAATTTTGCAGTTGTATCATAAATTCTGTCAGTTCAAATAATCGAAAGATACAGGATTCAAAAAGGTCCAGTAAATTGATTTGAACTGAATCTACACGCATTTTACAAAATGTTAAAGTTCAAAGAATCAGCTGCACCAACACTTGTGCCTACACTCGTACAAACGTAAAGAGTCCATCACAGTCTCGTATACCGAAGCGTAACGCGTATTTACGTTCAAATGATCAAGAGCGCGAAAGAATCAATGCACCAAGATTTATCTGAAACTCGAGAGAAGTCCACTGCACCAACCTTAGAAACTCTCCTGCGGCACCACTTATCTTAAAGCACAGTTTTCCATAGAAATATTAAGAATCGAGAAGAATAGAAATGTATGAAGAGCACCGAATCTTCAAAAGGATCACCTAACCGAAGCACAGAATGGAAAAGTGTAAGAAAAGGAGAAAAGATCCGAAAGAACGAATTGCACCGATACAGAACCTGTATTTATCCCATAAAATCCAGTTATTCCTTAGGGCAGAAAATACGGAACGAGGGGCGATTATCACCAGGTGAAAACTCGTTTATCGCAAGAAAGTAGAGGAGACACTGCGTGACACGGTGCGTGAAGAGTAATATCGTGTCACCTGGTGGTTCGTTCGCAAGGAGCGACGTAACCAACGTAGAACCTTGCCCGACGCCCGTTGAAGGAACGACTTCCCGGAGGAGTTTGCGGCGGCCTCGGGCATGGCATCCCGGGCCGAAGTGACAACCCGGACCGGTCGGTTGGCTCGTGCTAGCAGCTCGAAAACCCAAACTGATGGAGAGGGTTGCGCTGCCACCCGGTCGACAGACAGAGAGGTGCGGACCGCTCGTGGAAGGGGTAGCTCTGACGTAGGGGTTGGAGGGTGAAGAGAAGCCTCGACCGGTCGATATCAACCCCATACGTCGCCAGCAGACGGATCCTTCGAAAGGTTACCCTCTTTCTACTAGCTGATCTCGTGACACTGCACAGATAATCGCTTCCTTGTTTGTTTTTTTAACCCCTCCGAGTAACGACTCCGTCTCGGGTCGGTTAATAAGCCTTTCAACGTTTTGCGCCGTTACGCAACCATTTCGGTAAAAACTTTGGAAATAGGTCAATAGGGAAGTGGGAAATGTTGGGAACATGTTCGGCTGCATGCGCAGGAACTTAATACTTAATTTTCTGATATTCGGGATTCGATCCTTCGATCGCGACGCGCGTAATCTTTTATTCAACATTTTTATGCATTATTAATTTCCGTTCAAATGGTCGTGTAATATTCCTCCGGTGTGACCTACCTGCAAAGTTTTATTCGGTCGAGGAGTATCTTTTTATCATTCCCTTTGGACCGTTCTTTCTGTTTGTCTTCGCAGGAACTTACCACGTTCGTTGAACCGGCAATACGTAACGTAATGCACTGTCGATTGCAAAATTATACCTCGGAAAGATATACGGTTTTATGCGACGGAGAATAACAGTCGCGACGAAATAGATCAAGTTATGCGTACAACGGGGCAGAAAAGGGGGCACCGAGAACTGCTTCCATCCAATCGAATCATCTTTATGGAGGTTGCGTTACGGAAGAGGGATGGAGAAGAAGGGAGGACGAGCATTACGTCCTTGGTTTACTGGTGAACCCGTCAGCAAGGCTGCCTGGCGGTTTATGTCTTATTGTTGGACGCAGAATAATTAATTAGGTCAGAGGATACTCATACAAGGTTGTCCGAGCAATTGTTACAATTCATACTCCGCTTTTCTCCTCGTTATACCCACGAGGCCACGCATGCATATTCCATATAAAAAATTCAAAATGCCTGTATATCATAGTATCCTGATATCTTTTTACCAACACGTTGACGCAACCGAGTGGAAAAGTCAACCGTCCACGGTGAGTGATCTCCCACGGGGATGAATCCGGCGAATCGTCAAACACGGTATGACTGATGTCCTATATGTGCGTCTGGAGACTTGCGAGGAAATACATGCACTTTATAGGTACTACTTTATGTGTAGATACGAATGTCCATCTGGTGGCGAGTGCGAATACCGCACCTTCCTTTGAATCAACCCTTTGCCTCTTAGGCGCCTCTGCATTATTAATTTCCGTTCAAATGGTCGTGTAATATTCCTCCGGTGTGACCTACCTGCAAAGTTTTATTCGGTCGAGGAGTATCTTTTTATCATTCCCTTTGGACCGTTCTTTCTGTTTGTCTTCGCAGGAACTTACCACGTTCGTTGAACCGGCAATACGTAACGTAATGCACTGTCGATTGCAAAATTATACCTCGGAAAGATATACGGTTTTATGCGACGGAGAATAACAGTCGCGACGAAATAGATCAAGTTATGCGTACAACGGGGCAGAAAAGGGGGCACCGAGAACTGCTTCCATCCAATCGAATCATCTTTATGGAGGTTGCGTTACGGAAGAGGGATGGAGAAGAAGGGAGGACGAGCATTACGTCCTTGGTTTACTGGTGAACCCGTCAGCAAGGCTGCCTGGCGGTTTATGTCTTATTGTTGGACGCAGAATAATTAATTAGGTCAGAGGATACTCATACAAGGTTGTCCGAGCAATTGTTACAATTCATACTCCGCTTTTCTCCTCGTTATACCCACGAGGCCACGCATGCATATTCCATATAAAAAATTCAAAATGCCTGTATATCATAGTATCCTGATATCTTTTTACCAACACGTTGACGCAACCGAGTGGAAAAGTCAACCGTCCACGGTGAGTGATCTCCCACGGGGATGAATCCGGCGAATCGTCAAACACGGTATGACTGATGTCCTATATGTGCGTCTGGAGACTTGCGAGGAAATACATGCACTTTATAGGTACTACTTTATGTGTAGATACGAATGTCCATCTGGTGGCGAGTGCGAATACCGCACCTTCCTTTGAATCAACCCTTTGCCTCTTAGGCGCCTCTCGATTTAATACAATAATTTAAAAGAAGCATTATTTAATTAATTCTATAATAGTGCTTATGTGATGTATAAACATAGTGAAATTGACAATAGTGGAAATTATTAGTAGAGAAATAATAACTTCAAAAGAAGTCATTTAACATTTTAATTAATATTTTAAAGTTGCTGTTTGCAAACAGTAAAATTATCTTCGAGTGCAAAGGGTCAACTGGACCATTTGATCAATGTTTTAACGTCGATTCGAAAAGGGTCCATCGCTGTGCCGAGCGATAAACCGCGACATGATATCTAATGATCAACAGCGATAAAGAGTCTAAGAACGTAAGAGGAGCTCGATCGATTAGCAATGCGTTACGCGTACTTGGATTTCCAAGCCACTAATCTTAGATGTTTCCATACGGTCACCGTCCCATCGACCCGACCTTACGCCGCAAAATAGGAACGAGTACGTCGGTATCGCAAATAATTATGCTGCGGCGTGCGCGCCTGATAACGCGAACAATTATTACACCTTAGGTGTAGAACTAATTCTAAAAAATATTTACTAATCTCGCTTTTACAAATTGCGTAATTATAGCTGTCTAAACGATTTCGAAAGTGCAAACGCAAAAGCCAGCATTCGCTGGGAGTGAAAAAACGTTCGTGTAGTTAACTCGGGTAGATCCAGAAATAACAAGCTCTGTATCAAAGAATAGCTGTCCACTGGTCGATGATGTGGATGCAACAAGTGTCAGTCGGCCGTGAAATCTTCGTCCGTGGAGGGGCTCTCTCTAGGGCGCTCTAAGGATGAAAGTAGACAAGAAGGCGGAAGTCGCGAGAGGGATAAAGATGAAAAAAGGAACGACGGAGGAAGGTGTCGTGGAGCTTCACCAACCAGGCCGAGGGAAAACTCGGCTGTAGAATATACCCAGCCTCGTGTAACTTCGAAGAGGCCTAGGTCACATCGGAACACTATCGATCGGCAATGCCCATTTGATTTTCCTTATCACTAGCTTCTCCATCGCTTTATTTGCGCATGAGGGACGCGGACATAACTTTGATACACGTGTTTTGCCTTTAACCATCAAGCTGGCTCTGGCCTTTAGCAACGACGCTGAGAAAAGGTATTTGGAAACTTTGTAACGAAGAAAAAAATAAGATATTTGTTATAAATTTATTCTTTTGACTGCCCAGTATTTAAGATATGACACGCTTAGAACTCCAGTGTTTTAAATCTTAAAAAAAGATATTAAATTATAATCACTCATCGCAGCAAAGTCAGCGTCGTATCAAAATGAGTAACTCAGTTCTAACTGCAATTTTGCAATTAATAGAAAAATGTGTAGAAAAAATTTCTCATAAAAATAAGTTAAAAATATCAGAAATATTTTCTGTATAATTTTAAAGGCAGGCCACCAACAATGAATCCCGTAACAAGTATTAGCAATGGTTTAATCAAACTCACCGGATGCATTATTAATGGATCGCAACAATCGCGTACAGCTGTCGACTGATGAATTATGAAGTCGATAGGCATCACGATATGAATTATAACCGATCAAAGCTCCGCCCAAAAGGTTAACTTTATTTTCGGACGTTATCGAATGACAATATCGACAATCATGGAAACGATTGATTAATACATCACGAGGTATTTAAATTGAAGTCGTGTAACAATTCTCGTGTCATTCCTAAATAAATAATCGTTTTATTTCCATCCGTGAAATGCATCGATTTACTTTTATTTATTCTTTTGCGTAATACGAGCTGTATCAAAAAATTTCGAGACTAAAGGGATCTATATATGGAGAGCGGAGGATTAAATATTGTATAGAAAGTTAAGCCAAGATCATTCGACGAGTAGGTCAAAGCGCGACTTTATTAATTTTCTCTCGATAAGCTATCGGCGCACTTGAAAAGAACGTGTACCTCTTGTTATCCCTTTTTAATGTGCTAGCTTAAGGCGTGACGAAGCCGTAGCAAAATCCAAAGTACATTCTGGTATAGCGGGATTTTACCTTCTTACACGATATTGAAACAAGTAAAGGCTATGTTTGCTTTTAATTTTTCTATTATGTAGTATGTACTCTTGTACGAAGAATACACAAAGATTACGACTCGGTCAAAGAGCGAAATAAAGACGACAGGAATAATAGGCATCGCGGTTTGATTGAACGTTTGTGGAATTTTGTGAAAGAAGAAATTCCGTTTTATCCCTTGACCCCGAAATAAGCAACAAAGAGAGAACAGTAGATGCCGTGAAAGGGGTGGCGAAGCGATCGAGGTGGCGCTGCATCGTCGTAGAACGGAAAAGGAAGACCAACAAGATGGACGAAGAGGGAGCACTTGCACCATCGACCGGGTTCGCGGAATGGCAATGTGTACGTTTGCACGTACATGTGCCTCGCTTCCTGCTGCTACGACCTTGAACCTGAACCACAGAGAACCCCTCTGCTAACCCTATCACCCTCTTTCCTCGTCTCGTCTATCCCCGGCAACGAAAAGCTGGATGAAAATCGATGCTGTGTTTTGTTATTTGTTACTCGATGGAAGACACGAGCGTTCTTCTATTTTTAAAATGATACACGCGTTCAAAGGGTGTCTTAAGAACCCCTCTGCTTCGGAGATTTGGCTGTGGCTTCAAATAACTTATCTGATGGGTTCGTTAATGATCGAAAAGGGACGCATAAAATAATTGATTCTGGATTTAAGAGGAGAAAGATCTACACAGAGTTCAAACTGAACTTAAAGTGCATATTATACTAATTACAATGTATGGAATACGTACGACGCACTACGTTGCACACTGACGCACCATGTGCGTCCCATAAAAAAATATATAAAACTAAAATCGATTAATAAAATCTACGCATAAACGGAGAAGTAAATACACAAAAATAATCTTACAGTTACCATGGCCTCGAACGAGTTAAACATGGAAGCACGATAAATCGCTTAGCTGAGCCGAGTATAGAAGAGCGAGATAGAATGAAATAGAGGGATTAGAGAAAAGAAAAGAATAGTCACCTTCACGGATGCAGGTTTGGTTATCATAGAACGGATGCTTCTCCGGCACACTGATGCACAGCAGCATACTCCCATAAAGTGGCTGGCCCCGCCTTTTTTTTCGAGGAATGTTGTCGCGTAATCAACTTTTATGATACTGCTGGCCACGATTGACACCGGTCTCTTGTAATCGAATTTAAGGCTTCCGGCCTTGCGTAAGTGTTCCACGGCATCGATGCATTGCAATGTGCGAAGAAACTTGATTTACCGCGGTTCAAACGGTCGACGCACCTGGTGCGTCAGGATAAGATCATCGCTTAATATTCGGAGGCACTGTTGGCACTCTGTACTAGTAGTTTTACGCGGAAGAATTAATGTTAAAAAATAGTTATATGCGTAACAAATTTATGGTTCTAATGTAGTATTCTTTAGAGCATTTTTTCTGTGATCTTTTCTAAGAAGACTTCTAACAACTGCGCAAATTATCCTCGCTGTCTGTTTCAATCAACGATGTATATTATCACGTAACAAAATTGTACAGGCATCGAGATAGCGTAGTATAACAAATGGTTTTGATAGAAGCGCAAACATAATCTATTTGGAACTGAAAATGAACTCTGGGTTTTTTCATCGAGAGAGGATCTGAAGTGATATATTACAATCCAGGTAATGAAAGTTCGCTTGGAACCAGCTCCGAATCCAATTCTGAACTTTCATCGAAGGCGACTTCCGAAGTTATTACGGCGATTCGAGGGAATCGTTGAAAAAACGAGGAGGCGTTCATTCCCTTCCGCGTTAATCCTTTTTGATGGCATACCGTTTTCGATCATCGTCGATTCAATAGGATGGCACGTATTCGTGAATAAACGAACGACAGAATTTTCATCGGATGTTGGAAAAAGTTCGCTGTTAATAATTCAACGATCGATGCGATTTAAATCGTTGTTATCGAGTGTCAAACGCCTGCTGGCACGAGCCTTCTCGGTTCACGAGTATCGATTGTTCGATGGAATTCTGCCAGAAATTCCAAAGTCAACGCGTCGTGTGTCAACACGTAAACAAAGGCGACGATGGATCATCTTTTACCGGCTCGCTTTACAGCTTGTATGAAACAACGGAGTGCATGCAAAGCGCCTTCCTCGAATATTCGATTAACCCTTTGAAACGTTCTATAAAATTATTCGCGCGCTTGTATTTTAAAAAGTCTAACATTTCAAATTCTGTAATTAGTATTTTAATCGTCGTGCTATCACGCAGAAAGTTTCGAGAATGCACGCCAGAGATACACGAATCGTAATCGAATAAAGGAAGACAATCTCTGATTGTACCGAAAACGTTCGACAGATGGCGTTACGATATCCAATTAAGTATGACGGGTTTCTCAAAACTTTCAGCGTGACCCTCGTGTTGGTAGAAGAAAAATAATTTCAGGTCAGCGATAATTACCGAATGTCATTCGCGAGGAGAACACGAAAACTAATAAAAGAAATTGAGAAGCTTGGCAAGCGATTTAACATAAAAGAGCAAGGACGGTAAGTTCCTTCGTCAGCAATTTGACCAATTTTCCTCCAATTTCCTGCAATTTCGACCGCTTATCGGCACGAAACGCTTATTCCCGACCGAATTGTATTGCCGATTCGTAAACTGCTCGTAATCTGAAATAGAAGGCACAAAAGGGAGTTAAAGAGGAGGTATACACGCGAGGGATTATCATTTCAGCAGGGTGCGGTACGCTTAACTCTCGTGCGGGTTCAAAAAGCGGGACAAGCTCGGGATTGGTCTGATTGCTGACGGTCGTAGGTCAATAAACCATTTAACATGAAGCGCGCAGCGGGAACGACACCTAACAAGATGCTTCTATAACTCATCAATGAAAGCTACGCAGTACCGGACATGTTAGCAATCTCCAAGAAACATCGAGATATAATCCTTGCAATATTATCACACGTGGAGAGAATACACGATAAAAGAGCAACGCACGATAGAACGAGCAGAATCGAAAGCGAACGTATGCAAATGTCAGTCAGCTGCAATGATTATTTTACGGTATCGGATTACGAACACAGCTCGCAATTAGCTTCCCGCGATCCTACGCGGTCATTGTGCGTGGAGAATTAATTAAACTCGTCACGTTGGGAATGCTCGATCATCGTCTGAAACGTGTTTCAGACGTTTGTCATTTCAACCCACGTGCTTTTCATAATCGTCTTTGAATCATCGTCTGTTCCGTTCATGCTACGAAATTGTCCGAAATTAGGCTCTTTTCTTTCCAACCTCGCTCCGCTTAAATTTTATCATCCGAACTCGGTGTACAACTACCGTTTGTCGTACCTGACGCGATTTCAAATAATGTCCCATTTTTAACATCGTCGCGAGCAAATACGAATTTAGCGTTCAATATTCACGAATCGTAATAAATAAGGCAAAGAATGGCACTACCGAAAGCAGGCGACCGCAAATATTACGTAAAAAGAAGCTAATCCGGTTTGACACTTTGACGTCATCGAATTTCAGTTGATTTTAATGGAAGCACGATGTTTTTTCTGGAGCACTAAATTTGTCTTCGTAATTAGATCGTGTTCGTTTAACGGGCCGCGCATGTCACGGCGAGTTGTATTTCGATTCATTGATGTCAACGATCAATCGATTAATTTAAGTTCCAATAAACACTTGCTATAAGAACGTTTCCGTATAGATTGAGACTGCAAGGAAAACGTGCATTGTGTTTGCAAATCGATACATAATTTGAGCGATTTTAATTTGAAACGTTTTGGGGAAATCGGTGATCGATCACTTACCGATACCCTCTTGCCGAAGCCGAGGAAGGACAGTTTCCTCCTGGTGTTCTCCATCGTTCACCGGTCGCGGTAGCTGCAGGGGAAGCAGCTATCTGCTCTAAGGTGTTATCTTTTTCCTGGGTGCCCGGCCGATCCTGAGTCGGGACGGCGATGTCCACATGTGGAGGAGTCGCTGAGATGGCAGCTCCGTTCTGCTAGCTGTAAAACAACACCGAATTCCTTTAAAAACTCTTCTACGAAAAATGACGGTGTACGCAAAGAAAGTAAGCCACGACATTTCTTATAATATTCCACAGTTTCCATGCGTGGTCTGACACGTTGCTTACAACTCGCGCTGACTATGACTCGACAGATCTAGCCTTCGCGAGGTATACGCGAACGAGATACTGCAGATCCACTCGGATTCGAGAATTTAGAAAAACTTTCAGAATTTACAAGTAATCGAGAAATTTCGAATAACACTTTTCACAAAGACTCGAAAATTAAGAGGTTAAAATGAAGCAGGCTCGGTAGCGTTTGAAGTAAGAAAGATCTTTCGACAATGTGGTACCAAGAAAAGAGTCGACGACGATGATCGACCGACTTCGTCCGTGGTTACTAACGTTACTAACAACGCGACATTCGTTCGGACCCATGCTAATAGAAGTTGATAAAGTCAGCGTATCGTTTGCTGCATAAACAACGAAATATAATGGACACGCGACTGTTGTCGATTGTTCTGTCACGTATTTCTCCGAGTCTCCCATTTTTCATTACCTCGAAGATTGAATTGCTTTAGGAAAGAGTTAAAATTGTACATTCGACACGCCTGTGATTATCAGGAAATTTTTAGAACATTTCGAACATTTTAACCAAGTGTCCAAAATGATTTAGTTTATCGTCAACAAGCAAAGCGAAATGATTTAGTTTATCGGTAGCAGGAATATATTAACACTGACGGTCGCACATTTTCCTATCTAAAATCAAACTTGATTTATGTTCGCATATTTCGCCGTGAAGAATAACAGTGTGTACTAATCGTCTCGTTTACGAAGCGCCTAATGAACCTACAAACGAAATTTCCTCGAGTAATCTGCATTCTTGTACGAACACTTGCAGGATCGTATAATTGAAATACGAGGATTAACGCGCCGTTGGTCTTCTCGTTCGCCTCTAATTACGCGTTCGGATCAAATGGAATGACGTAACGAAATACCTGACGATTTTCTGTCGCCCCTTCAATTGTTTGCGCCATACCTGGCCACGTGACATTTATCGAGTATTCCCGAGTTTTCTACAAAGTGGCGAACGGCTCCCATTTCTATCCTTCTACGTAACAGAGTTTCCTGTGACAAAAACTGTAATTAAGTTAAATTGAGCTCTTCCTAAATTTCCACCGAAAAGCTGAACCACTTTACACGCATGCTGGATTATTCTAAAAATCGAGAAGAGAAACCCTCTGTTTTAATCAAGAGCCTTCGCTGCACCCGTATGAAGAAACACTGACTCACAAACACTCCGTAATGAAGATTCAATTCTACCATTCTTCTTCGAGTATTCTAATTTGCGTAATCTATTACTCCGGAGGAAATAAATCTTGCGAAGCAATAAAGGCCCGGTGAATGGGAAGCAGTCTTTCTTATTGCTTGCTCCAATTTTTCGTTACAGTGATGGAACGCTAAGTTCGAAAGCGGTAAATTGAAAGCTGCCCGTAGAAACGAAGAATTTGTAGCCACGTGGTGTGAATCGAGCTTAATATTCCCGAAGCACGGCCTTTCGAGAGAAAGGATTACGATAACGTAATCGACAGTAGAACAATTTTCGCTCGCCAACCTGGAAAATGAATCATTCGTATCCATTCACGATGTCTCGTCGAGTATTAAGAGAGAAACCAATGAAAAGTAAAATAGTATTCGAGCAATTCGACTGCCGCGTACACAGATGACAGACGACGGTAATCTTCTCGACTGTTATTCTTCCAAGATATTCTTCCAAGAGAAACTGACACCGTGTTCTATAATAGAAGATTAATTAACGCTTCGGTATAAATTATTCAACTGCGTCACTTCTCCATCTTCTTTCAATTATTAGATCTTGTTACACTCAACGTTTAACTATTTAATTTACTCGAATTACAATTTAAAAGTAAATAATTTTACCTTCAACGAGTCACACGACACATCCTACCAAAGCTCTGTCGATCTATGAACTGTACTTTGAGAGAATGTACTCCACGAAACACATAACCAAAGTGTTAACACCGGCAGCGAAAAACAAACTATCGATATTTATTTCGCGGCGAACTCGCATTTAGGAACAAGTGTCAGATATTCGGGTGGTGATGCAACGAAAGATCACATGAGAGCGACGACTATTTGTGGCTGTTTAACGAAACGAGGGACAACACCTTTTGTCGTCGCATCTGTTACGTCAAATTGTCTTCGTTTTTCTTCCCTTTGTTATAGCATCAATAGCTTCTTCTGCGTTACGGTTTGATAAGGTTCTCGTACGAGGTTTCCACGTCTGTTTTTCATCGTACACGCTGTTACGTCCTTAATTTGATATCGCTGGAACAATTGCAACACGTTCCTTTTGTTCTTTCGCAAAATTGTTCTCCTTTGTCAAAGATATTTCTAGACAGTTGCCTATAATTGTACTGTTTTGTACATTTCGAACAGTTAAGTTGCTCGTGATTATCAAAAACGATTCGAACAGACACGAATTTCGCGGTTATGCGATGATCGATTGTTCGGAAATTTGCGAAACGAAGACCATCGAGGCATTCGAATCGTTCGTTTCGACACGTTTGCATATTTCAAACGGGGGTTGAACCATAAAACCTGACAGTCGTTACGTAATATGCATTTATTTATTCATCGGTTCCTTACTGGGTCATATTCGTACATTATACATGACGTGAATCATTTACGAATACCTTACTATTCCGTGTGCGTCTATATCCTGATACCGTCATATTCTACAAGATGGCACCCTCAAACTTCGTAGATCAATTCCGTATATTCCAAAAAGAAATAAAAAACACTTATGAATAAATTGGATATTTCGATAGGGAGCATATCCGTTGCAGAACTAACTCGGAAACACTCGATAACTTCTGGCACGAGTTTCTTCTACCCTTAACTTTCCGGAAATAAAATCTACTTGTTCTACGTACTTCCAGATATCAGAAAAGAAATTTGTGAAAGGACACCCTGTATAAAGGCACCCTTCCTCGAATGGAAATCAAGTTCCCCGCCGTGTTTAGCTTGTACACGATATCGTCCCACCTGACATCGTCATCACGAACGTCTGTCCTTTCGTGCATTATTTCGATGGATTATTCTTCCCACAAATTACACGAACCGGTCTGTATGACGAATTAATCACGTCCTTTTGCGAACAAATTCGTATCACGAGTGGCTGATCAATAAATAAATCTTTTGAAAGCGACGTGTCATCGGTTTTGATGGATCGTTATCTACTTCGCAACGAGTTCGTCAGATTTGAATTGCAAAACGCTTTTGTTATTGCAAGAAAATCGAAACAGAAAATGTTGCAACGGGGTTTGAACTTTACGATGGAAGTTCCCATGGAAAATTTCAACGTGACGAGAAGCAAGAAACCCGTTTCTCCGTTTACTATCGACATATAGGGAAGAGGAGGAGAACAAGAAAGAATGAAAATGTCCCCCGAAGCGTCGACGAGCGTGGCAGGAAGAACGAGCGCGTTTGTACGATGCCGAGGCAGAGATATCGATGATTTATAAAATCAGGACGAAAACCTCGTGGTCTCCCTGCTTGCATAACCTTGTGCTACAAAAGACACACGCTAGAGGAGAAACCGGAGTGTGCTCCTTTCTCTCCAGTCAGTCTGGAAATCGTTTTGTTTCGACGATTTATTCCCTCGAATCCTCTTACAAAATCAGATATCGGCTATCGACTAATGGATGATACTGACTTGTAAAATCGTCTCGAACCTCTGAATTAAGAATCCACGCGGGAAAAAGCTATTCTTAACGCGGATAAATCTTTGCTGGGGGAAATAGATCAACGAGTTTACAGCTTCGCTGATGGTTGTTTGAACGAGATCGGCAAGTTTTTATTGGAAATATCAATGGAACTTTATGTACACGTTTTAGTGGAACCTTAAGCTTGAAATTGACACGAGAGAAGTATGTTTAATATCATCGAATCACGATAGTACGACTTAATGTTTCAAGGTGAAGATGACTAAGTTCTCGGTCTGGACCGAGTTAAATATTTAATTGGTATAATTTGTTGTTATTGAAAAATATTCTTTAGCACGGTCGAACTCCGGCAGAAGGAAAGGGTTAATTGGTCCAATTAGCTCTGTCCGGCATGGGCGTGATCAACTCTGTTATTAAACCGAATGAACGCGTATATTAACGCCGGAGTGAAATATCCACCACGTGATGCATCTTTCGCGCTTTTCACCCTCGATTCTCGTGACCGAGCTTCGTCAATTCTTTGTCACCAGTGCCGTTTAATTAATGTCATGTGACGTGTTCTCGTGATCCAGGATCGAGCACATGCGCGTTTCATCTTGTAAACATTCTTGCAATTACGCATTGTATCGAGTCGTATCTCGAAATTTCTGCTTCTTCCGACAGGCAATATCTTCGCGAGTGACTCAGTGGGCCTTGAGCAACCGTAAAACATAATTATATACGGAGAAAGAGTATCGTAAAAACTGTATATTTAATCTTCGTACGGAGAAGCTGGATCGATCGGAATCTCTTCGTGTTACAGAACAGAGTTCTACGGAGATGACGGTAGAAAAACAAGAACGAAAAGTAATTCCAAGCAAAATTTGATCGGAAGTGCGTTAAATCAGCAGATCTGTCTACAGAGTATAAGCATAAAATCGATATTTCATGCGTGCATATTTTTATTTTTATTATTTTGCTTTATTACCTCTTACTTTAATCCTTTTATCCTTTCAAATACGTTTCTTAAAACGATTATTCAACCGATCGCTCTCATTTTATTTATTAGTTCGAAACAGAAGGTGCATCGTAAATTCAACATTACTTACAAAGGGATAAATAATTTATTATATTATAATAAAATAATGTCGAAATCCGACATTAAACGTAAAAGGTCAGCGTATCGTAAAAATATCGAAAACGCGAATAGGCAGAAAAAAGGAAATAAGGGACAGGTACGATGACAGAAATATAACGAGCTGGCTGGGTCAGGGTTAATCGGTTGATCGTGCATGCTTCCGTTGCGAACTTAACAAATGGCTAAGGCTATCATCGATCGAATGTTGTGCGAACACCTTTATTCCCACCTGTCGCTGTTCAACCACCCCATTATTTCTTCGTTTCGTTCTTCCGGATTTCGTATACAATTCTCCTTTCTCTAATGTATCACTAAGAAAGCCTCATCACCGTGTCCATAATGCACCGATACTGATCCTTCCGTAATGCTTGCCATCTATTTAAGCTACCCATGAACTCCTACCATGGATCACTGATTGTCAGATTATTATTGATATTTACGTGTGTACCCTCGGATGTAACGTAGGCATTCGGTTTCGAGGAAATAAAGGGAGGCGTAGGAGAAGTCTAGATATAATTAGAATTAGAAGTGTAAGAACAGCAGATCGAAAGTGCTGAGAGAACTTGAATCAAATTTGATGGCCGTATTAAAATTGCGGTAATATCGAAATTAAAATGGACGTTTAAATATGCACGACAGGAATATTGATCGCGAAGGAGACACTTTTAATCGACAAACTTACCTATGGACATTTTTTCTCCGCTGTTTTACAAACACCTCTTTCCAGGTAACGTTGGCAAGTTTCAATAAACAGAAGGTAAACCGTGAGAGGCTACTCCTTTCTTTTTTGCTGTACTTCGCGATAATAATAATATTACATCAACGTGCAAGCTTCGATCCATTGACGGACAACCGTAAATATTTCCTTACGAAAAGAGAAATGTTATGAGGCTGCTTTTTTTAAAAAGCACGAGTGTAGAATGTGTGTTTTCAATCATCGACCCTGGAATTGACGTAACTAATTTAGACGGTAAAACCAAACGAGTGCGAAAGCTTGTTTTCTTATTCTTTTCACGGATTACGTTCGCGAACCAAGCATCTCTCGCTACCGAGTCTATTCTATCGTAACTTTGCGAGCAAGAGGGTTATTTACGTTCTCTTTTACGATTTTAGACTCCGAAAAAAATTCTGCTACGCTTCGCAGTCGTCATTGACGCTAACAGGTCGTTCAACCGAAGATAGACAAAAGATCAACTTCCGATCGAACGATCAGAGGTTTCCACTTCGACGAAGCAACTTTGATCGATATACACGCTCGACTGAGCCAAACTTGGCTAATGTGGACGTCGCTTCAGAAAACAACGTATCATGGAAGATGATGCATCGCAACCACCGGTACAATCACGCGCAACGATGCCTTTCACCGATAAGGGCTAATATAGAATAAGGCGATCGTTCGTGCATCCTCGGCAAAGCTCGGTCTGCATCGGTAACATTACTGTCTCTCGTATTCCCTTGGGAACAGCAGTGAACCATGCACAGGGTGGGAGAACGTGTCACCCTGTAACTCCCCTTTCCCAGCAAAGACATCGTTGTACTCGACCGTACGGCGCGATGCAACTGATTACGTACTGTATTATAGAAGCCTACAAAGGAACTTAGCTGACACAGTAGGCAATAAACACAGTATTCGTTCGAGTGACGAACGTCTACCGCCCACTAAAACGTAGGAGCCATGGAATTTCTATGGGTTCTGCGAATCGGGGTGCAGCAATTCCATCGTGTACGTCGACGTATCGAAGGATCATCGCAAAAATACCAAAACGCGAAGAAAACTGTCATATCAGAACTAACACGAGAATTAATAAGAGAACATCCAAGCATCGGAGAATCCAACGAATTAAAAGGAGACACGTCCCGATGCGGCTCGATCCTCTAGTTACGTACCTGAAGAGGAGCGCGTCTCCCTTTGCTCTTTCCCTTTTTGCTCAGCGATGATCCCGTTCCGGCAGACCTGCGCACCACCAATCACACTCTGCAAAGGTGAGCCGAGTGTGTCGAATCCAGCGTGCAAGTTCCTTGCAGAGACCACCTAGTCGACCGACTGACACGAATGACAGCGACGGCAACGACGAAATGTGAGGTTCAATCGTGAGCAGGGAGCAACGTCTCCCCTCCCCCCCGGTAGAGTACTCTGCCAGACACACCAGCCATTCTACTTGGTCGGTGAATCGACTACCTGTGACTGTGACCAGTAGAATGTCGATTACCGGCTCGAGAGCAACCATCGTACACCGTCGTTGATGCGTGCCTATGCAAGCTTATGCACCACCCGGCCATGCCTATCCGTCGTCGGTGCTTCTTAATCTCTTGTTTTAGAATTTATTCTGGGACTTTAAATATAGAGTTCCTGACACTTTTAGGGTCGTGATTTACTGGGGTTATCGTTTACCGGGCCTCCTGGGAATAGGGTGCGTTCAATGCCATAAGTACGGGACCTACGGGTAGATGTAAGAAATTATAGAATATCGGGAAAACGTGGGTTTGGAACGAAAATAGATTGTTGAGATTTGATTTTGAAACAAAATGAGGGCTTGGGGGTGTTTTCGAATGCATTTAATGGAACAGACAATTTATATTGTAAAATGACCTACAACCGATACAAGGGAATATCGAGGTTTAAATCTCCTTGATTTATGATTTCAGCAATTTTCGGAAATGAACAAAGTTTTGGCAGAGGTTGCACTAAACGTTTTATTACTTTACGTAGGTAGAGATTTTGAGTTAGGTTCTTAGAAATCCCTGTGTACACTATGTAACATTCCAGCATTATTATTATCGCTTTACGGCGCATAATCCTCGCAAGGTAAATTTTAGAAGCATGGTCCTTTAACCATGCATTTCTCGGTGTCTTTTTAATTAAAAGCCCCGAGTAAACAAGAGGTAGTAAAACTAAGACAAGATATAAACAAGGATATTCATCGAATGGCCTCGTTCAGACCATGACCTCCTATTCGCTGTTTCCAAGACCAAATATGGCGCAGGAATTTAGTCACGATGATCAAGCTGTAAATTGATATGGAATAGCAAGAAGTAGGAATGTAAATCACTTTAGGAGTACGTAACGGTAGCGGATCATTTAACGTGTACTTTTCCGTCGTTATGGATTTCTAGGTACGACTTTTGAGAGAAGATATTGAAGAATCGATTGATCGTAAAAATGGTAATTAGAGAAGTGTAAATAGTTGCGAAGTCAATGTCAGCCACTGGGTACATTGAACGGCGAGTTTATCGCGAGCGAACAAGCGTGAAAACGTTTTCCTGATTATATATCATGAAATTTGTGTACACACCATGTGCTACGACAACAATGAACGTAATATGTTTCACGGTGCAATAAATCTGTCGTTATCGCGTTTGATACATGTTCTTATTAAACGCATGAGAGATCATACAATAACACTTATCAATCAACCGTAGCGACGATTTGTTTCTGCTCACTTTATTATTCGTGCCAAGAAAACTGGTTGAAAAGTCGAGTAATTTTTTAAAACGAATCGTCATGCTAGATTTACTCAATGAAACTAAAACTCACACCGGTCTATATTCCAATCGAGCCATATTTATAGAATCTGTGTCGCGAATCAGTGGAATGATCCAGCACATTCAGCATTGATCGAAGAAAATCTTGCTGAATCGATACACGATTCCCGAACACTTGCTACAATGATTCACCGAGACGAGATGTCGCGTGCTAAACCACTCAATTAAGCTCATTGAAACAGACTCTCCCTGTTGCAATCGGCCACGCAAACGCAACCGAATCAAACGAATTACTGCCGATAACACTGTCCAACAAATTTTAACTTTTCTTCGACGTTTCTAATTTCGTTCAGTGACTCTTATAGCTTTTTTTCGCGCTGATTACGAATCTGTAACCCGTTTTTCTCCAGCACGTGCAGTTTTTGAGAAATTTGAGTTTGAAAAAAAAAACACATTTTTTAAAATTTGAACCATTTTTGTGAGGTAACTATAAAAGATACTAAGATTCTGTTTACGTCAAAAGATTCTATAGACTTCCCCGAATACGACGATATGTACGTTTTATGCATTCCGAATGTTTAAACATGTTTAAATGGCCCTTGAACGCCGAGAGACACGGATTTTGCACCAATTTTTACGTATATTTTTCAATTTACCTTAAAAAGTAAGGGTTTAGTGGAAAATTGAACTATACCACGCGATAGAGCAGACTTTTACATTTAAGAATCACCCATAGAGAGTTGCAACGTCGTTTTTTTTACGATGCCAGAAAACAAAATAGCAACGCGCCATTCCTTGTCCCGCGTATATTAACGCGATGCAAGCGCTTTAATAAACTGTATCAGTTCATTACAGTCATTATTATTACTATTATTCTTGTTGTTTTTATTGCTAATCTTGATATTATATTGTTTATTCCTTGCTATCAGTTTATTTATTATTAAAACAAATTTTTCTAGTAAAAGTGATACAAAACAGATATTTATAACTTGCGAACTTACCCAGAATTGTTTTCTTCTGGACTGACGTTTATGACGTATATTTGATTCTATCATTAAGTTCCAATAGTAATCTGATATCATTGTAGCATTATCTTTGCCACAATATCTGTTCTCCATAACGGAAATATCTTAATGGAATCTTTCAACATGTTCATCACTCACGTCACCAAGGTTGCACGGAAAAAAATCTAAGTGCGAGTGTAAAAAGATTATTAAGAGAATATCAAAATTAACAACAACAAGAATAATAGTTGTTAAATTATTAATAAATTTAGCTTATAGCGACATCTTACAGTGACTAAGTTTCCATCGAGGGTTCAAATCGGGTTAGAGTTGGGTTTGAGTCGCGGGTTGGAGTTGCGGCAGGGTTGAACATCACCAACTGCACAAAGTCAACTATCATATTCGGACATCTAAAGGAGAGCAATATTAATTTTACAATATCAAAATAACATACAAAAATTATTTCTCAGATTACAAGATCACCGACAAAAAGTAATAATAACCTCTTCTACACCGATTAATACAACACGTGATACACAATGCAATTTGGATTTGTTATGTTAACACGAACTCGACTCTTGTCGTTTCCACCGAACCTCAACTGAACGCTACCCTAAAATATTATAGGGCAGAGTTCAACTGAAACTTTCAAAAGAGAAAAAAGAGAAAAAAGAATCGGCTACCTCAGATGCGTTTACGATGACCCAAAGCCCCAGGGTAAGAAGAAACTTTGGAACTTCCTCGGCAATAAAAAAGTAAACGATCGCTAATAAATCATTACTGTGTACAGTGATAAAAATAACGGAGTCACGTACGCATCGTAAATACAATTTGTCACGTATGTGGCAAAAAATAGTACAGCTTCCCAGATTTCAGTAATAATTATTTACGTCTCGAAATTGCGCGTGCATTTATCAAACGCACAAAAACTTGCTATCTTCATGGTCCATGGGATTTGTACTCTGATTATGATATTGATTCGACGTAAAATAAACAGCTAGCAGACAATACGTTAGAGGAAAATGCTGTAATCGTTTGAATGCGAGGACTGGAACTCATTGACAGAATTTATTAAGACGGATTAGATGGCTTCCGATGCCGCAGTTGGGTTTAATCGTCGCCACAGCTGTTAATTATTAATCAAACGAAGCGCTTTTATCGCTACGAAATACGGCTTAATCCGCCCGTTTAATCGACGCTGATTACGACATCGGTATTGCGCAACGCTCACTGTTTGGAACGTTTTCCGACAAGATTGAAAGAATGACAAAGTAATTGAACGGCCAATAGAAACGAACCATTAAACAGATACTAAATTAGACGCGAGCCTAAGGCTCTTTGTTCTCGGAACTTTTCAGAATTTCGATTGGAAAATATTTCATCGGTTTATCCACTTGCGTACATGTCCAGGAAAAATTGTTCTTCTTTCATACAGATTACGCTATTAGCTGCAATTAATAAAATTATTATAATTGCTGGCGATTAGCTCGTCTCGGAGAGAAGCAATTAAAAGTATACGTAATGTACGTCACATGCGAAATCTCGAATTTTGTTTATTAGAAATGATTTTACGTAAGGTAGAGTGCAGTAGAAACTTGAATAGACGTTCTAAAATGTTCTACGAAGGGATTTTACCGTAAACATTAACGCGAGGAAATGAGTCATGGAACGCTGCGAAGGGGTTTCAGTAAAATAAACTACGCACCTCGACATTCTTCGACAATTAGCTCAGAATACCTGGGTCTAGTGAATTAAGCTCAGCTTTCGCTGTAAACTCGAGCACCTTACCTGCTATCTCGCGTTTTCTATTTAGGAAACCTTGAATGAGATAATTTGTCCACTACGCTTACATTCTTCCTACATAATGAAGGAACTGTGAAAAAGTCTGTGTTTGCGTTACTAATGTCCCTCCGAGTGGACGAGGGGAACACGAGCACAACTTAGTTTCTTGGTTTATTGTAAGGGAGCAGGTATGCCTTGAAATAAAAGCAGAGGCAAAGGTCTCGGTAGCTAAATTGGCCACGAAGATTCTAATGGCTTCATCGGGCCACGTGTGAACCTTTGTTTGCCCTGGCACGACGGAAGTACCTGTCGACCAATGTGTACGACTTCTTGTTTTTTCTATAAACAAATGAGAGAATCGTCCCGACTATTTGTGGTCTTCCTTTGAGCTCGCCGTTATTTATCGCGGTACACATTTCATCCCGCGACGATATTTCGCTCGTATCTAACGATGTTTACGATAATTAACCTCTTTTTCGGCTGGTGCTTCTCCAAGGTCAACAGCCACGTGGCCAAATTTCACCGGGACGAAAGTTTGATCGAAATCTGCCTTAAACTGCGTTCAGGGAATACCGAATGATTTGTCGCAATCGATTAGATACGCGTGTATTGAATAAGAGTGCCATTTATTATTGGCCCGTTACTCGTGTCATGGAATGAAAAAGGATATTTCATGGGACAGCCAGCGATGGCTTCGAACCGTCTTCAGAACAAACGAGCTTATTTTTTATCTTCCCAAATAATTAGCGCCTGAACGCTTCAAATATCCGTGTTTACTCGAATCAGTCTTAGCCTAACCGGTTTAGGCGGCCGAATTTTGAGGATACTATTTCTGAAACGTTCCTAACCAGTCTTCCAAAAGTTTTCAAATATTTGAGTTTATCGAATCATTTTGAAGTTGGACAAATTTCAAGAATTCCCAAAATACGTAAACTGCTCCTAAGTGGTCATCGAGACTTTTCAAATATTTGAATTTATTTAAATCATCAACTCTCGAAACTGCTGATAAACGGTTGATCAAACTTCTCAAATGTCCACGTTTGTTTAAATAATTTTTGGGTTACTCGGATTTCGGAAATGCTATTTTTAAATGGTCGAACAAGTGACCGTGTAATTTGCGTAATCATTTGAAAAGTAATTCGAAAGTACGTTTATTGAAGAGAGTCGTGATTGACTCGAACGCCCACCATGCATAAAACGTATCGCGATAACCGATGGTTACTCAGTTACTTCGATAAGAGAGCAACTTCCAAACGTTCGGGACCCGTAATCTCAACAGTTCGCGACGCACGAAATTTTCGAACTTCCCTATTACGTGTCAGATAATGAACGGTTCTCGAAAGAACCTTGCACAGTTGAGAAAGGTTAACATTCTAAACAAACATACCCTCGATGCAAAGATCCCAAGGTTAAATCACAAAAAATAAAGAAATGTTTTCGTACCTTCCATACTTTTTATCGTAATACCTGTATTATGTGGGATCAATGAAGAACTCAATTACAGAAAAATGAAACAACGATATCGCGTCGAGTGATGAGTTATCGATCGCCAAGAACGTACCGATTTAAATTAAAGGCCTCTTTTCAAATATTTCCCTCGAGCGAGCATTTAATACATTCGCAGCTACTGACGTAACTATAAGCTGCTAACGTACCTATACGTCTTCTCATATTTTCGCTTCGAATTAATAGAAATGAACTTGAATGGAGTTCAAATTTATGACAGACCTTTCAAATTCAAACAACCGGAAATTTATGTAAAACTGAATTACTCTAACGGCTATTTTGATAACAAAGCTTCCTTTCTGCAACATTGGAAGAAACACGGAAACGATTAGCGACAAGTAAATTTAGATATCAAATTCTGCTGGAATGATTTATTGCCGTTATAAATTCTGTCTTTGTCATTAGGCGTTAAAATAACAAGACACGAAGCAAACAAACTTTTTTGTTCATTTTGTACAAATCAGTACGCTACATAACCTACAATTTAGCAACACCCTGAATAAGAACGATAACACTCGCGATGAGTGGAATTTTTTAATATCCGAAGAATCTGTGTCGTCAACAAAATTGCGGATTAATTTTTGCCAGTGTTAGCAAGTCATTTTCTTCTGGAATCCTGATAAAAAGAAAACATTCTTCCGCGCGGAAATGTGTCATCGTGATATTAGATATTCCGCGTGTGGATACAACCATGCGTTTCGTTCGGTGTAAGCATTGTGTGAATTAACCTATTATGGCGTGACACGTCGCTTGTAACTGTTCCAAGTCTAAAACTAGTCACATATATATCTACGTATTGACGGAAACCCAAAATTCGAATAAGGGGAAATCTTCTTCGACAAACCAAATTAAAAATAACTTTACGTCATTCGTCACAGTCAACGATTTTACTGAATTTATTATGTAGCACATCATATTACGATGAGCTTTGTGTATCAAATACAGAAGAATGTTTTTCTACGCGATTGAATTCTCTGTGTCTGACATTTCGTGTACGCTTTGGATTTCGTTTTCGAGAAACGTGAGAAAAGCGTAATACGAATCCTATCTATAGCTTCGCACACGTGCACGTGTATAGTCTTAGTCACCATATAACAAGGTCGTAGAAACAAAATGCACGATTTCCGAGTATCGAAACTTTGGTTTAAGGAATGCTAAAACTTTAAAATTGTACGACTTGGGTAAATAATGCACTGCACGCACGCAGACTGTACAAAACGACCATCTTTGAAAATAGATTTTGTGCTCATAGAGAAGTGTTTCCCAGAAATTTAATTTATGTTCTCGCTATATCGTGGAGAAGACTATACGTATGTATATATCAACTACGCTTGTCAACGTCAGCGCATGTCAAGCGCTTCATGGTTCAAAAATTAAGTAAAGAATCATCCCATGTTTTTTTCGAAGGCTTTTCGTAGAAAACATATTTCGTAACGAAGGTAATTACCATGTAACGGTGCTCAACAATCGCTCTCTCTTTCTCGCAAAAAAGTATCATGCCCGATTGCGTACGTGATTTTCGCGGCAAGACCGGTCACGATCGAGTTGCTCGAAGAAAAATCGACGAATCGAAAGTGGAAAATAATCGATCGTGCTTGAAATTGCAACCTCCATTACAATGGATTCGAACAATAAACGGCGTGTTTTTGAAGACACCGAGTATCGATTAACAGCACGTCTAGCCTGAGCGGTGAAACGTTCCTCGTGCGTCGATGTGTCAACCGCGCGACTGCGATCGAAAACCGTTAGCGATAACTATCGATGATACCCGAATTGCAATCACCATACGATCAATCATCGACGCGTAATCGTGCATGACCAACGGATACTTGTGCCGTTGCACGTGGATGCTAAACGATTGCAAACGAATATTGGAATTTCGGCACTTTGGGATTTTGAAAATTTGTAAAAATTTACGAGGAGTTGTAGCTTTGAAAAACGTAAAGTAAAAGTTTGACCAATCCTGTTTTAGACGAGCGCGGAGTAACTTTTGCCCGGACACTAAAGCATCGATCGATGAAAGAAAAATCGAAACGTTTACGTACCCTTCTCGAAGATCGATTCAAGTCGAGCCGTTCCTCGAGTTAGCGGTGCCGTCCGGCCTCGATCGACAAAAGAGATGCGATTCGAACGGTTTGTCGGTGAATTTCTTCGTTGCTTCTAACCAGTCGAACGTACAGTCATTGTTTTCGGGCGACACCGCGTTGCCAGGAGAGTCGGTTAGAGTCTGTGTGTAACAACTCTTGTTTTTCAACCGGCACGCACACACACGCATACACGAATCGAACGCACGGGAACAGTGTTCGCGAAACCACCGTCACTGACTGACTGTCCGGAATCGTTCGGCTACGAGTCTGCTCTGGACGCCGTTTACGACTTCCCTGGGGAAACGTTTGTTCGGTCTTCCTTTCTTTCTTTCTTTATCCGCAGCGACCGGTGCACGCGGCCGAAGACGAACGAGAGGGACAGAAAAACAAGCAGAGAAAGGAGAGAACGAAACAGAATCAAACTTCTATGCCAGCCAATCGTGGCGCTCCAGTCTTCGTCGCGCGAAAACCTCCGAACTGGAAGCATGCTTTCGAGCCTGTTACGAGGCGCTGTTATAAATTCCACCTTCTACGCGACATAATCCTTTAAGTTGACGATTATACCGATTAAATTACGTTATCGATACACGATAACTGACGGTAAATTGTACCGTTCGAGGTCTTTGACACTGTATCGTATTTTTTATAATTTCCAGCCTGTCAGGTGGCGCTATTCCTTTTTGAAAAGTGCGCCAGGAGTGTACAGCTGAAAATAAACGGCGATGGGAAAAACAAAGAAGAATTAGTGTGTAATAACGACTTGATAACTTTTCGCGGTACATAACGTATTTAATGTACATTATAAATTTAACGCGGAACATGCGTGTAATCTGTACGAGTCGTTAGCTAACGACATAACTCGTTACACGCGCTTTAGAGGTTAAAAGTTTGAGAAGAGGGGAAAGAAACATGGTTGTTAAACAAGTCACGCTCGTTGCAAAAAAATGTACATTACGTTTATTGATGGTAGCTCGCGAAGCTCCTCGTGAATATCGAGTGGATTACAAAGAGGCGCTTGGGTTCGAAGTTGTTGGATTAATTCACTTTAGCAACACTTATTTAGCGATACGACGGAACTCGATCGAGCGTCGACATCGTTCGTCGCGTGTTCCTTTTACACTCTCCCTTTCTTCACTTTTACGAAAATCAAAACGAACAAAAAGGTCCGCTACGGACATAATAATTGCTACGACGTTCCATCTCTATCGTCCGTTTTTTTTTTCAGATCGATTTCGCCCAGTTTACCCTTTCCTTGTCCATCCCTGTTCCATGCCTCGAACGAAGAGGAAGGACCAGAATCGAGGAAAAGGGACTTTTTGGTAACCGGAGAAGGGGATGTTACACACGAAACATTAATATTCTCGTTTCGGTTGATACAGGCAAAATGCTACGGGCTCGTTAAGGACTGTGACCGTTTACATTCATAATAATTCCGTGGTAATATTTATATATATATATACTTTGACGTACAAACTATATCGTACTTTAGTAACTTCTAACGCAAGGGTACAAGGAAGGGGCGTAATATATGTACACAGCCAGGGCCATTTTCACAAGGCCCAGGGTTTTCTCTCTGGACTCTGAAGAAATCTTCTTCGTCTTCGCGATCGTAAAACGATGAGACAAGTGTTCCTCACGCACTCCTATCAACTAGTTATCAACATTTATACATAATACAACCAAGTTCCTCGCACACACGCTCTCATCAGTCTCACTCGTTGGGTCGGTCGACATTTCCCGCCCATTTTCGTTCGATTATCCGACGACTACAGTGAAGAGAAAAACTGCATCAATTTATGCAGAAAAATATTATCAACGTAAAATGACAAAAAGCTTAGCCCGTAAAAAGCAATTAATTTTTTACTTATTTCATTGTTTCAGATTTACTCCTCACTGTACCTGTGATTCTATTAAAGCTTGTTCACGAATTTTCCCTGGTGGCAGCAGCTTTTACATTCGGGGTAATAACGGATATCGTTACGAACTCAAACAAAAAGCGATACGTTTGACAGAGAAAAAGAAGACCTTATCTTCAGGACCGCTTACGGGTCTGTCACGAGTTTGCCCTCGTAGCAGCGGTTTTATCGCTGCCAGCAATGTGATACAAAGTGGATATTCCAGTGTAAAAAAAACGTTATATTTAACAAACAACATGAAAGAAAAAAAGTATGGGTTCTCCCACTCTTGTTACCATTTTCGCCATCGCTGCCCCAAAGGTTACCATCAGGAAATTCCATGGACAGGCTGCATTAAGCTTACTCCACGCCTACATACTTTTGCCCGCAAAAAATGGAAATAAATGTAGAGGTAACTTGAGAAGAATCCAAGGAAAGGGAGAGACTGAGGTATTACGAAGAAAGCTTAAGGAACACAAGGAAATTCTAGGAAGATCTTTAAGATAGCCCAGGGAGAACAAAGAAGACTAACTTAAATATTTTTCTTCAAGTAAACAATAGTCTATGTTGCACATGAGTGTACGCAATGAAGACTGGTATATTGATAAAATAATACCCAGAAAAATTACGTAAATGTAAGAAAATAAAATGAAAGGGTCTACAAAAAAAATCAGCGCATCTAACAACAAGATTGGGCAAATGTTTAGTTTGTAAATGAAATATCTGTATGTAGGTTTGGATTAAGATTTTACAATTAGTATCAATGAAAATACTTTCACGATGAAACTTTTTCGCTTTTTCTCAGTCTGTGAAGTTAGTTCGATAAAAATACCAGGAATACGTAAGATATTGTTGAATAGATGTTACATATGGGTAAACGAACGAACGAGTCGAGTGAGGGGAATACGATTTCGATTTGTACTTGTGAAATCATAACGGAACGGAGGTGTGCTAATGCAAACAATTCTATCGATGCGATCCGATGTGACGATATTTACTTCTACGTAATAAATAACAAAATGGGATTTAACTTTATTTCGAACTCCATTAAAAATGAAAACTCTTGACGCTGCACATTGATACGGTTTTCGTTTCCACGCACGAACAAACATTGTTTATTTGTTTATTATACAAAGGACTTAAACGCTAAAGTGACGCGAAAAGTTGTTAATGAACATACATAGGTCAAAGGTGAGATGTTTGTAATTTCTAAATGTGATTTAATTAACGTTTGTTCGCGCGCGAAAGCGCAAAAGGACGCAAGGTGACATGGCACGATAGCTTAATTATTAAACGATAAAAGGAGAGGGAACGGATATGGTACTTACAACCCTTTGCACTTGAAACGTTTTACATGTTTTCTTCCTGTCGTGAACGATGGTGTCGAAACGAAAATTCGTTAAACCTCAACTATTATTAGCGAAAAGGTCTCTAATATTTCCAGCTAAATATGGAACCTCCATTATCTGAAATTCGAATATTTTCGCAAAAAGAGCCTGTATTTGGTTCACTCTGTGTACTCCGTCCCTCTCGTCAATAAACTCTAAAGTTTCAAATAATTAGTAACTACAAAGCTTTCACAGTATTGCAAAAAGAACTAATAAAATTCTGGATAATCGAATAGTTTCTCTAATCAGAATTCTATGTCGTCTTTCTATTTACGTGGATAATGAAGGTTCTACTGTAACACTAATAAACGAATGACAGTATTGTATTTGTTAACATACAAGTACAACAGGTTCCCAAAACTGTAAGACGCGTCGAAAAGAAAGGGATTCTAGTTAATTCGCCTGCTTTCATACGTATTTACAAGACGCCTGTAAACGGACATCTGAGATGTAATTAACACATTCGTGGTCGTCATTTAAATTTACAAACTCATCGTTTTTAAAAACAAATTCCCCAATTTCTTTGGGTGAATTTAAAAATCTTCAAATTGATCGTAGAATTGCCAGCCACGAAAGCGTTAATTGTTATAACTCGTGTATCACGCCTATCGCACTAACGAGGCTATCGTCGGACGATGGCAATCGTTTGTCGATAATAAAAACACGGCCTTCAACTCTGTAGGCTCGCAATTAAACATTTAAACTTCGTATACCGCATAGACGTGTCTATCGCAATCGATTCTTTGCCTCGGTAGGTGCATACAGTAGGCCTTGGTACTCATTCTGTGAAATTACATTTTTTTTGACATATCTGACACATCTTTTGACCATGTGGATGGTAACTCTGTACGTAGCTTAGCGTGAAGCTTATGATATTTAGAGGTACATACGGTTACAATAGAGGCCTCTGTTAAAAGAGAGTGTAGGATTTTTTCAATTTTTAAACTCATGGAGGGTTACTTAGAACTTAAGGAGGGTTCAGAAAGAAGGGTAAAGAAGGTTCCTACACTTTCTGTTAACTGAGGAAAACCTATACGTGACCGTATAATTACATACAATTCTCTAACGTTAATTAATTCGTATAATTATAAGTACCGCACGCAATGAACGATTTACAATTAAGACACGTCGTAGCCAAATGTTTAAAGTACGAAGATCTAACACGAGCCATATAGCATTCATAAAATTGACAAACCTGTCTCGTCATAAATCGCGATAAGTCTCTGTGCGCAGTGTCTGGAACGCTGCACGAGCTGCAATTCTCTGTCGTTATATTAAAATAAGAATATATAAAATTATAAAACTATCAACAAATGTACACGTCGACAAACAATGTCTCGAAAATGATAAAACTTCTCAGAGGGAACGAGAAAACGCTGCCGACTTTCGGGTCTGGATGTTCCTATTTCTGACGGGAAAATTCCAGGAAAATTAAATTGCAAATATCCCTTAACTTATAAATCTTGTATACTCATAAATAAGATAGTTCTTCGATCAGATTGAAAGAAATCGTTGCAACTATCAAGAGTTATAACTAAACTGGGAAATAGGCCAACGATAAATTATAATCTTGTAATAATCGTAACTCGTTTGCTAAAGCAAATATCTTAAAATAAAACAAAAGATTGAATAAACCCAACTCGAAAGTCGACGATTGCGACAACACAATAGGTGTAGGCAAATTGAGCTTTGGTCAAGGTGACCAGTTTTGTGCAATGAAAATGTGAACGAAGGTAGGAAAGTCGTGTAAATTTTTGGCGCATGTAATTCACCGGTGTGTTCTTGATTCTCGAGGGTAACCTTTTTGTATTGACTAAACTCAGAATCTTTTTGAGCGATGATCCACTAGCTACCTGTACTTTCTGTGCTTTATTATCTTTTTTTTTGTATTTCACCCTTTCACTGCAGATCGCTGCCATTTGAATAATTCATTTATTTCCGGTTTATTATAGCTCGATCTAGATTTAACGCATCTACTACGTCGTCTACAGCGAAAGAGTTAAACGTAATGTCCAAAAGGGGAGTGTTCTAAATACTTTTTTCTCTTTTTTTGTTTCGGTATATCAACGTTAGCTACAAAACGTTCTAAAACCCTGAGATACGAATTCGAAAACCTCAATGCGTTTCTATGAGAAAATTAGTCGTGATAGTCAGGTTTCCTGATGGTTTTCAAAGTGTACCCTCTCAGCACGCAATAAAACGTTTGCAAAAATTGACAATACATCTGGTATTTTGCGAAACGAACAAGAAGTCGAGATGGAATTCAAAGTGAGCCATCTTCGAGGGATCACTAGTGTCAACTGAATGTATCGACGAATAGAAATTAATGTATACCGTGTTTATCGCGTGCTGCAGAATAAGTATAAATACTCGAGGTATAAAAGTGCGGTGTTGTGCGCAACGCAGCTAAACAATATGAAATATACTTATCGACTTGGAATCAAATTGTGCTTCCAAATCGATTACGTCGAAACATCGTTGTACGATACCAACAACAGAAAAATTGATCCGGAACAAAATTCCGTAAAATTCTTAGTCAGAGCGATAGCGAACCGTATACGGAATGTTTCAAAGTTAAATAATTAAACTTTGTATGTTCCGCGAGTAACAGAAATGAGTATTATATAAAAATAGATTCGAAAAGAAGAAGGTTAATGTTCTCAATAATTTTAGATAGCAAATATGTAGAACAGATAGAATGAAAAATTGCAATTGCTTTCGTATCGATAGAACGCTACAAAGGTTAATCGCTTAATTTTGAAACAGCCTGTACGTGCAAATTTCAGCGTCAAATACGTTAGAAAATACTTGTCGACAGTTAAAATTGTTTACGTTTCGTTACATTAGTATGATTACGTTCAGCTAATCGTTATCTTTATGTAGTAAAAAATCGTTAAGCTACACGAGTCTACGATAAAGTGTGTATCAAATTCTTTCCTCGTTTCTTTCGACTTGTTCTAAGAGACATCAGATAGTTTTTTGCGTATCTGTATTCTCCACTTCCAACAGGGTATAATTCATCCCTGTCAAAGCGATTTCTTTCATGTATATATTTCGTTCATAAAAAAGCTCACTACCGTTCTGATGTCGTTGATAAAGAATGATACTGTTAGTCGGTTTAACATTCAGGTAAATACATTGTATAAAAGCACGATTCTAGCTCAACTCTGAGCCGTATGCCGATCGTGGCAGTCTGAATAGTTTTGCGCGTTATATCCTTCGTTGGTAAAATACGTACAATTACGTAAATCATCTTGACTCTCTTGAGCATCGACGACGCTCTGTGCGTATCGTTTCTAAATCATTTTACATACAGAATCGTTTCTGTTAATCGTCTGGAGTAGTACGTACAAAACGGGTCTCTTAGTATCGTGTCCCATTTTCTCGTACGCGATGCTTGCTTGCACGAAATCGATTCCAATATAAAGAGAAATAACGATGATGAACGATTTTGAGTTTCCGTGTGCAAGCAAGCTTTCGTTACATCATTATCATGGGAATAAAAGATTCGAATACGCTCGTTAATACAGATTGTTTAGGGACGACGTTTGTTTTAAAAATACGTAGAGTCCTAGTAATATACTCCGAGTTTGTCTCTTCCGAAGAGAACGTCTTCCTGGGGGAAGGACCATCTGAAATACGACTTGCGACTTCGAGTCGAGAGTACTTATGAGTACTGGAGAGTACGACACCAGTCTCGCGTGGTTCAGCACGCAATATGTTTGCCACGTCTTCTGACATCGTTCACATGTTATACGCCACGTAGATGGGATCTAACTGATCCGCCAGGAAACCGTCCCGCAAATGCATCCGTTGCTTCTCGCCACGAGAATTTATCGGGACTACTCCGGGGTCCACGACGACCACCACACCGACTACCAGGTGATGCTCTTCGAGAACGGCGCTGGTAACCAATGCAACGAGATCTAATGCTTCGCTCTCGCTTCCGTCGAGCTCTACCACCACTACCAGCAGATTGGTCCATGTAAATACGGCACTGCGAATAGGACAAATTTTTTTCTTACTTCTTTTCCTTATCTAATAGCGACGAATCTTTTATATTTCTACTTATATAAAATTGACCAAACTCCGTACGCTTCCGAAACGACCACTTATATTTCTACTTACCATTCCGCTATCTTCTTGTGACACCTCATTACACTATTCTCGATGTCGATAGGATGGTACCGCATTCCTCTGAGTAGTATAGCCTCGTCGAGGGCGCCAACAACGAACACGGCGTCGTGTAATTCGGCATCACCGGGAACGAGATCCGCTTCCGCGGCGGAAGTATCACCGGGAACGTCACTGATAACTGACTGTTGAACGCTCTCGGTACGTCTCAAGAAACCGAGATAACCAGTCCTAGCGTACACCTCATTCGTGTTTCCTGTTACTAGACGGGCGTTAAAGTGGTCCGCGTAATCGCTTTCATCGCCGTATATCGTGAAGTAACCACTGGCATTGTGAGCCGACTGTACCCAGATTTCGCCCAAATGAGAATCACCGCACTGTCCTTTTGTTTCGGGATTGGCGATGATCACTTTCACTCCGGGAAGTAACTTTCCTGATTCCATCAGACACAGAGAATGTGGACTACCTCTTTCGACCAGAGATACTCGGTCGTTGCGCAACGCGCGAAGGTCAACGTATACCGTTGATGGTTCTGGACTGGATGCACCCTGATTTAATATTTCGTATAAAATATGATAATTTATGACACCTTGTCACTTAATGAATTAACAAGAAATATAGCTAATTACCTGTAGACAAATCGCCGTGTTTACTCTACACCCGAAGGAAGTCGATACGGCACGTGGACTAAGTCCCAAAGCCGAGAAGAGTTTGCTAAAGCTCGTGGTGAGAGCGATTCGTGGCCTCTCTTCGGCGACGACTACACACGTTCTAACACACGCTAAACTAACACCTCTAGCTTTCAGAGCGTGAACGGAGGAACCCAGCCCCTTCGTGCACAGTTCCATTACACCGTAAGAACAAAACGTGTCCCTTACTCTGGACTGACTAACCGCTGACAGCCACAACGCTGGATTGGCTTCCACCTGTGAAATATAAAATTAAGAAAAAGAAGTTTCTTTGGCTCTGAAGTCCTCGGAACAAGTTGTTGAAACGGACCTCTGATGGTGGTATAAGTATGGAATGATGACCACTGTATATACTGCTCAGACACCATAGAGCGAATCCTAATCCGGAATAGGGATCTAAACACAGAGCGATGTGCCTGGATGGATATAGTTCGCAGGCTAGTTTCATGGCACGGCATAGAGACGTCACTGCTGCGTGAGACATTTTAATTCCTGCTAACATTCCCGTCGTCGAGACGCTGAAGTCTAGGTAAGCTAGCATCTCCGCCGTAGGCGCCCGATACATAACAGGTAGCTTCTTCTTTGGCATGTCATCCATATCGAGAATCGTCGGCCAGCTCTTAATGTCGACAACGTTGTTCGCTTCCTGTGTTACGTCGTCGAACAGAATTAGTCATCAGCGAAGAAATAAACTTTACGCGGAGGTGACGAAACAACAGGAAATATCGATGTACCTTCGTTTTCAGAAGTTTCAGGATATTCTGATTCGTAAGCACGAGCACAGACTTACTGACGTCCACGATCATGCGAACGGTTGGCAGAGTGGTTTGAAGGTTTTGCGGATGAGGTGGCCTGATCGTAACTGGCACAGCTCCAACATATAGACAACCATAGAACGCGCATATCAAGTCTGTGCCAGGTGGAAATATTAACGCCACATGATCTCCGGTATTGATTCTTCCGCGATCTAACAAAAGATTGCCGATTCGTTCAGCCTTCTTGTGTAATTGCGAACAAGATAAAGATGTTGCTACTGCTCCTTTGGCGTTGAGCGACGTGAAGATCACATGGTCGGAGGTACTGACGGCACGCCATCGAAGAATCTCCGAGATGAACTGATACTGAAATTCAGTATACGATAGGTAAATCACGAAATGGAGGGTTAACATTATTCAAAGGAGCATGACGAATCTCTTAAGGATTACACATCTGAAATCAACTCTGAATCATTTTGATGAAGACTCGCGAGTCTTATCTAGATTTAATCATACTCCTTTTCTGAAGAATCATCTCAGGCACAAACCTTTTTCGCGTTATCACTGTCCTCGTCCAATACACCCATGTCACGTCCTTGAGCAGAAGCCAATCTATTACCCTGAACAATGTTGCCCACCATCACACTGGCCGGACCAACGTCTGCAACAGAATCCCCCGCTACACGCCCCCGCACCATTCCGTTAGTAAACCAACACAAACACTCAACCCAATAATGAGTAGCTCACACACTCTCCCCTGACTGAGGCCGGAAAATCAAAGCTATGTGTACAAATGAATTGGTTTTCGTTATTGTAGAAAGCTGATTAACGCACGTCCTTTTATACAGGCGTGCTTCGAGCATTCCATGAACTGTACATACTTAATTAAAAAGAATTATTAAAAAAAATAATAATTTAGTGCTTTTTTGAAAGTACGTCGAAACAGCGATGTGAAATTAATCAAAAGCAGTCGCGTAAGAAACGGTACAAGGTCCAATCACGATCGTTGACGTTTCAAATCGACCGAACAATATTACCTCTGTAAGTGGAAAGGCGTGAACCTAAAGTAATGTCAGTTAAGGTATCAATGTGTTTCTTTAGAACCTAACGAGAACCTATAAGGACCCTAGGATATATTCAGGGAAACGATTCTAGGTGGAATGTGGAAAAAGCATAGGGATTTAAGGAAAGATCCTAACTAACTCTAGATCGACGTCGCACCTTGCTATTAACAGAGGTAGTACCGTATATACATGTACAAAGAACAAAACGAAATCTCACATCGCCGAGAGTAATTCGTTTATAGGCTTGGACTACTACAGGGTATTCGGAACTCAGCCAAAAGAAAGAAGGGCGAAAATAATAGAAATAACATGCTAAGCATTAAGTGTTTTAGTGTAGGGCGGATTAACGATACATGATATGTAGCAAGAGACAGTTGTATATATACTTTGTACATCTGTGCTAAGTTACTGAAGCCTACCGACGACTTTTGTAATACAAGCGCAAGTGTTACGTTCCCTTCGCGTTAATCAGTATTTTCAAACCAGAGCGAGATCCGTCATCGTAAATATATTCCAAAGAACTTCTCATTCATTCTCCCATAATCATTCGCCATATCTAAGCGAAATGATCCAAACAATTGGTCCACACCTTTTTACGTCATTCGTTAATCGTTTCATACCGATCAAATCCCGTACCAATTCTTTGGATCTTCGTCGCTGGTACATTATAATTACGCAAAGAAAAAACGAAGAAATGTTACAATATATAAAATAGAACGTATATATGTCTTTGTACTTGCTGACATTCATGTAATTCATTGAAAGTCCATTATTTCTATCGGACACCCTGGGATAGAGGTACTCGCAGCTAAATGCGCGAACCGCTTACCTGAATGGACTTCGCGTGGTTTCGGTAGATTGGTAACGCAAGTATGCGGACAAAGTAGAACGTTAGCCGGGTGTAGAGTACCCTCTAGGAAACGTCGTTTTGTTTCCGACAGATGAATACCGCCCAAGGGTGTTTTTGGAAGGTGGTTCGGTGGTACTAGCGCTAAACAGTATATGCCAACCGCGTGAATGGAATCCACGGCCTGAAGAACTCGAGACATCCATTGGAAACTCTGAAAAAGTAAAATTTATATACTCAGCGTTAGATTTGTTCTCCTTCATATACTCGAGCAGCATAAAAGTATGACGTACTTCTTCTTCGCTGCAATCGGGTCGTTGTTCCGCAACGACGCATATTCTTTCATCTCTCAAAACGCGTACACTGAAGACGGCTATCCTACCACGGTAAATGAACTTCATCGGTTCTACAGCCAGTACCGTAGCGATGATATCATCGGCGTTGTGTTTCCTTCCGGTAACGGTCATGAGACCGTCGCGAGATCCACAAACGAACACCAGGCCACCAGGACCCAGGAAACCCAATAGACCAGAACGAGTGTACTCCACGTCACCGAGAGGAGTACCATCGGCTTGCAGAGGCGACACTTTAAACGTATTATTCGTCAACCCCTGCAATCCCCAATACTGGTTGCCAGTCGCTGAACTGTGGACGCAGATTTCGCCTACTTCGTCGGTTTTACAAATGAACGGCTGACCTTCCATCTTGATCACGACCACGATACCTGACGAGTAAACGCGAGTCCAACTTGTTAACACCTTTAGTCATCCAACGAGGAAAGGCCGTAACTTTCATCTCTGCGTTCAGATGCGTTTAAATAGTGGTATATTAATTAATGCGAGTCAAATTAAGAAAACAGAGATCAACGTCACGATTTTTCCTCGTGGGTTCCACTGACAGCAAACATTTAAATACAGACTTCCAGGCATGACTTGGCCGCAGTCTTGAAGCGTCAAAGAAGTTAGCGAGTTCTCCTGATCCACCCTTACGACTCCGTAACTCAGTCCAGACATGGAAAGAACACCACGCCCGGTAGCGTTCACTCCAGCACGTCCTGGCCTCCTGACAGAAACGGTCAGAGCCTCGCTAGAAGATGCGCAAGGACACACGGCATCTGGTCGCAAGCCTTTAGACTGGAATACCGAGAGAAACTGGTCGCAGGATGACAGAGACCACGGATTCGCGCCGTCAGCGACCAACAGCAGCCTCAACGATGACAAAGAAATGTCCTTGTGATCCTTGGTCGCCAGTAGACCCCAATGAAGATCTCGCGACTTGACCACGGCCACACTGGCGCGATGTTTCGTGATCATCTGCATCCAGCTTGCTGGATTCACTTTCATCAGTGCGTACGGGATAAAGATCACGTGCATGCCATTCAGAACGCTGGTCAAGGTGCTGTGCCAAAGGCCGACCTCTCGTTTGAAGTCCAACACGCACACGGCATTCTCTCCCTCCGTGTAACCGCAGGCTTGAGTCAGAGCTCGACAATGGGCCAACATCGCCGACCTGGTCACCGTCACTCCCATCACCGAGCCATCCTTGTCAGTCGTGTATTCGATGTACGCCGGGGTGTCGTCGGTTAATCGAGGCGGTGGTAGCCAATCTTTCGGGGTCTTACCCAAATGTTCGGTGACGAACCAATGAAGTTTCGGCCAACCTTTGAAAGCCACCACTTCACCGGCCGCCGTCTTTGGAAGGCCTTTTAGGCAAGCCTCGCTTGTCAACGCCACCTGCAAATATTTACGAATTCAAGCTTTTAATTAATGGTATGCTTTTTTTAATGGTATGTACAAGTATGCTACATATTTGTAAAAACACAATAACAATAGCTGTGCATGTGGATAGAGATAGAGACATTTCATGCCTGACCTGAGGCAGTGGGAGTCGAATTCGCATCCACTATTATCATCTCCATGATTCTTTTTATTACGTATTATTAAAATTACCTGAATTCCGCAACTTCCTAGGAGGAAACCAATTTGCTGGGAGCCCGCGTCTCGACGCGTTAGCGGAACTTCGATCGGCACAGGTACAATGCCAGCCTGAAGGCAACCGTAAAAGGCGCACATGAAGCTAATCGGGTCGTTGTTCGGATAGACCAGAGCGATCCGATCTCCTGGTTTCAGACAGCAATCGCCGCCACGACTTAGAGCCTTGTTTAGCAGCGTATAGGCTATTTTGTGAGAACGACTCAGAAGTTTTCCATAGGTCAGTGTTACGCAAAGTTTGCCGTTCGGATCGAGAACGGTTGCTACTGGTGCTTTGTACGATGCTGAACCGTACCTGCGAATAAACGAGACATTTATTACGATAAACTGTTAATGTTTCACGAGAAGAAGTTACGAGCCGAAGTAGGTTTCCTTGAATGAAACCGAACAATATAGGACGATGTAAACGATCTCTAGTCAACTTCTGAACTTCTCCGACTAGTTCAGAGAATCACCCGCGTTTCAATCCCAAAAGGGTATCCGGTGAAGTAATAACTTCTGTTCAGAGAACGAGAACGTTTCTCACCTTTGTATAGCAGCCTCGAGGGACCTGGGTAAGCCCGCAGCCACGGACGATGTTTCACCGACCGCGGATGTCATAGAACCACCCTCCGGTTTAGGAGCATTAGGATCCTTTGGATTAGCTGCAATCTCTAATTCTATATCGTCGTCTTCGTAGAACTCGGGCAACGGCCGCCGCTTCGGTCGTTTCAGGGTGTTGAGCAACTGTTGAATCTTCGCGGATACCTTCCAGCGACCGGTAGTTCCTGTATTGTTCTGATCCTCGACCACGTGGTAACGATTGACCCGATCGGCGCCAGGTCGCCTAGTCGACTGCTGCGCAGACGGTGTGTTGCTGGTGTGCGTCACGTCCGGAGGCTGGATGTTGCAGTACGCATGAGGCGTATATTCCGCGATGTCCGTGATGTCCGCACCAGGAGGTCTCCTAGCCGGTGGTCTTGGAGGCGGAGGCGTGTCTCGCGCTGAACCGGTGCTGCTGGTGTCCGACAGTCCAGTGCCTGCAATTCCGACGTGGATCACTCCGGATGACGAACAACCTCTATTAACTAATTCACCAACAGCACCCAAGGAGTTTTACGTTTAGCTTCGAATCAATATGCCCCTGCACCCACGACTCTGACACGAATCACTCGAGATGACGAACAGCCATTATTAGCTAATTTTTTTTAAAGCTACCGAAGGAATTCCTCATTCCAATCTGAATTAATATGATTCTACACCTAGAATTCCAATATAAATCATTCGAACTGACGAACAACATCCTCTACCGACTAATTTCTTAATGGTACTAACGGAATTTCGCGTTCCAGTTTAAATTAACGTAGTCCTGCGCCTACAGTTCCAACGTGGATCACTCGAGCCGATGAACGTCGTTCTACCGTTATTTCCGAATGGTAGATTAGACCAAACAAGTTTAAGTCTGCAACCTTATCCACTATGTTACCACAAGTTCGCTATTATCCCAATCGCAACTTCCACGATCTCTCTTACCGAGTATGTGGGTCCACGTTAACCTTTGCAGTCCATCAAGCTACAGATACGAGATGTAGCGTCGTTAGTATATGCGGCGTACAGTCAAGCACAAATCTGGTTTCGCTAGGGAAAATATGGCAGCCAAGGAATACACCACCCATCAGTTCATGGGAATTTTTCAGGATTTGAACATTTAGGGATGAGTCAAGGGTTAAGGAAATTTGGTCTTGAAATTTGATGATCTAGATTATTTGGGATATAGTCTATGGACTTCAGAGGATATGATCTGAAAAAAGTTTGATAATTTGAAAATTGGAAACTGTATATATGGAAGGTTGGAAATGAAAAAGAGTTTACGAATGCGTATCGGAAGGAAGCCTTCGTTGCACTCGAGTGTACGTACGTCTAGCATTAGATGTGCATAGAAAGGACTAGAAGCTTCTGAGCTATCCCTGATTTATCGCATAAAGGAGGCGGAAGTTCTGTATTATGAAACAATGACATAACCATAATCGATCGAAGATAGCTCGTTCTGATCGTGTTCTGCGATGAGTCACGTATAATTAATAAATAGTGTACCTGTTGGACCACCAGCACCGGGACTTTCCTCGGTGACCACGCTATCCTCGTCGCTGCTCGATTCTCCGCTGTCGCGTCGTTCGCGATCCGGACTCCTGGCCATTACGGAGGTTCTCTTCGACGGCATAGGCAACGATGGCTTCGGACGACCCTGCATCGCTGCCAATGCTTGCTGCACCGCCTCCTGGCGCACCTCTGCGTGCATTCAGAGTGAAACCATCAAACGAGCTCTCGTCAACGTGATTGCTCTCTTACATCATTTTTGCTAGTGATCGCACACGAAAATCCTGAAATTACTCGACGATGGATTTACTTGGCTCGATCAGTATCGCGAATACAACTCGTGCTATTCGTTTCAGGGGTCGATAAAAAGGCCGACGATCGATCGAAGTTTTCGCGCGCGGTTCAAATTCTTGGCCGGGCATAGATACTTCATCCATCTTTTCTAACTATTTTTAAAATTCTCCAGTTCGTTTCACGGTAAAAGAATCCTGCAAATTCCGTCTGCTTTCAAGGAGTAATTTATCCAGAATATTTGCAGAAGAGCAGCAGCGCATCGAATCGTCCTCATTTCCATCGCTACACGCGTGTGCACTCTCACGTGCTAATCGCACGAGTGCTCCTGATGTTGCCACGATGTCGTAATAACGATACAAATATACCGCGAGCGGAAATGCAGCTACTCGCTGACCGAATCCGCTCTGGTCTCTATTATATCTCATTCTCTGTTCTGATCGACGTTACGCGCCATGGAAAAACATTTTATCCTCGACGTTGTCTATAAACCTTTGTCCTCTATCGAGCTCTTTTAATCGATAACTAGTCACGAGATACCAATTATCTGGAGCGAAGAAAAATCTGAATCCTTTAGGAACGACGGCCATATAGCAAGAGTCTACTGTACGCTTCTGCTATAAGTAATTCATCGCGGCAGGATTAATATAATTAAAAATTGTAATTCAAGTAAAATCATCCTTTTACGAATGTTTGCACAATCAACATGGAATCACATATTTTTAATTACTCCGAGAAAATAAATTAAACATGTTATATTATATAAGGGAAATAATAGTGAGAAATGTATGAATATTCTATCGCCCGTGCGAACTGGTTGATTCGAGCTCGCGGAGAGCATATTTGCGTGTAACCGCGGGCGTACGTTCTTGGCCATCGACTTATCTCGTGCTCGTCCTCTTCGAGCAGTAACGGTGCACCAGGTGCGAGACTGGCCGTACTCTCGAGCGGACTTTGCCTCTAGACTCTAGATAAATGAAGTTTCTATGCGGGCTTTATGCACGAAGAACCGTTCGTTCGGTTTTCGTTCCGTTCCGACGAGCAGCGTGCCAGCTTCTAACACGAAGAAAAAGCTTCTTCGTCAGGAATTTTCGAGCGCGATTTTTTTATTACGTTAACGCGCGGACTGGCACGATGAAGATCAACCTGCATCGTTGCAACGATTATCAACGATTTAATGTATCGATTACTTAAAATTACGACGGTCAGCGTGTTTAGATTTTCAACGTTCGAGGAAAGACTTCGAGAGTATTAGATTAAATCGTCGAAGAGCGGAAAATCGAAAGAATTTGAAGCCGATTATCTCACGAATCGGCGTACGGTTTTACGATATGTTTAAAAGTAAATTACTCGCGGCAGAGAGGCAGGAAACGCTTTATCAGAGAGCTGAGACCGGTCGCACCGAAAGCGCATTCCTTGCACTCGTGAAGCATGTTTCCGTGTGCTAAGCTTAATCGAGCTTAATGTGCAGCACAATTATTCAGACGCGAATCGCGAATTATTCTAGACGCGATGTTACGTTCTTTTCGATACGACTTACTCTCGATCGGTCAATCGAACTTTGAGCTTGAAATTGTACTCGCAGAGACCCTTATCGATCGAGAATCTGTCGCGTCTATCTTCTACGGTTGCTGGATTAACCCTGTGGACAACGACCTCCTTGTTAATTGCCTATAAAACGAGTATCTTCGAGCAGTCGCCTCGACGAGGTTTCACTCGGTTGAGCACCGATAATTCCATGATATTGATATTTAATCCTAAATTATTAATTCATATTTAAAGTCTTGTGAGAGCTGTGACAAAGCTTGACGCACACTGTCACGCGCGTAACAAACGGAAAACTCATACAAAGGACGCACAGGGAAGCTTTAACGATCGAAGGGATAAGGGCTAAGGTGAGAAATACAAAGCAAAAATAAACCCCTTACGCGAGGAAGCACCCAGGGTTTGAATAAATAAAAGGATAATACGAGGGAAAAATCGTGAGAAGGTTCGTCGTCCAAAGAGTTTACACGTCCGCTGCTGGTCACGCGATATCGCGTGCTCGACGACCCTAAGATCGCAAGACATATCGGTGAATTATCAACGCTATTCGATATCGCGTTAGGATCATCGTTCATCGTCATCGACGGTGAACACTCACGCGATATCGCGTGGAGTCAGGCACACAACGATCGTCTCGGTTGTCGATCCTGGCAGCGAACGCGTCGACGAGTTAACACGCTTCTTCTCACCGTTTGTAAATCGTCCAGCAGCTTTGATGTACTCACCGGAATGATAGCGGCTCTCATTGCGCGTCAGTCTGCGATTGCCGCGTCTCGCAGCCGCCGAGTTCGAGTTCCCGGTGTTTCCGGTGGAGCCGCCAGATCCCGGGGGACTGGCAATCCCGCCAGGTACTAGCCGGCCTCCTGCATGCAACACAACAACAACAACGCCACATAGACAAAGAAAGGAGATCTACGAGGATCGGCAGGGAGCTACGATCTTCTCTTCTATCAGCTACGGCTGATCTTTTGGTGCAAAGAAACGATGCTCTTTGCTGCTCTTTTGGCTCTTTCGATGAAGAACCAAAAGGGTGTTCTTACAGTTATTTCTTATGGGGTTAACTTGCAGGATAAAGTTACGATCTGGAGCGTTTTCTTAGAGCAAGATACAATTCTGAACAAAATATTAATTTTGGTAAAAAACTATTTTCGACTTAGAAACAGCTAGGTTTTGGAAACTTTTAGGTTCTGCTATTGCTTTGATTCGGGTAATAGATCTTGAAAATCTGATAGCGTTTCATTAGAACGCAGCTATCAATAATTCATTAGAAGTTCAAGCTACCATCCCTAATTCGCTCTAATTAGTACCTTGAACCCCTGCAAATCGTTTTCCGATTGAAATAAACATTTCAAAGTCCAAATTGAATCAATCTAAATCAAAGCATCTAATCTTCCGGCCAGATCATAACTCGTTAACTTCGTGCTCGACTAATAAGATGCTTGGAAATTTAAACCCACAATTTTTTTCGTTAGATCGTGTAGATACAGTATCAGAATAACTTTCGGTGCAAGGAATCTGCTCTATCAACAAAGAGGGGAGTAATTACTTGAAGGAAGTATAAAGGGAATCGTTTCTTTCGGATAAGCTTTTGTACAGGGCGACGTTCACGATCGGTCGTTCCACCTTCGGAAGCTGCGACGAACGATTTCACTTTTATCGATTGTTCGCAGTTCTGCAATGGCGCAGAGAGGTCGGAAGAGGAGGTGGGCTGTGACGCGATTCAATCTCGACAACGGGACAACCTTCGTGTAACAACAATTCCAGCTCTTAACCCTTTGCGATCAAATTTTTATTCTTCACCGAACAAACAAAAATTAACCCTTTGTGGACCTGTGTCGAGCCAGTCGATTTCAACCCCTTTTCGGTTTCTACGTTTGTAGCTTGAGAGATACGGAAATAAACTTTGAAGGAGTGCAGGAAAAAATGATCAAAATACTAAAAGTGGTCAATGGTTTCATTATTTCTGTACCATTTCTAACGCGTATCACACCAGTTAAAAACGAGATAATAGATTAATAGATGTTACTCCTAGGGTCAGTTAGGGTCAGATACTTGACGGAAGTACAGACATTTTGTAACGAAAACGTGAAGGCAAGAAAAGAGACGTTTTATATGCGAAACACCTGGGAGAAAACGTGGACTGCAACACCGAGCGATAATCAATTATAAATTAGTGGTCAAACGTGGAACAAAATAGCGAAAGCATTTAGGACCGTAAAAGGTTAAACAAGGAAAAAATGTTAAGTCAATGATACGTTGAACCTCGTATTTATTTCCTCTTGAAAGTGTTTACAGAATAAACATTCCGTCATATGTGTGTACATAAACGTAATCATTTAAACTCCTCAAAAGGTGTGATATTCCTCGAAATCACCGATATGCAAGAACAGTTTTCTTGCACAAGTTTCACGATTAAATCACTTTTAAATCATACATTACGTTTACCTTGAGATTTCTTTTTAATCTCTTCGCGAAATTCGTACATAATCAGCGTGATTAATTTAACAAGCTATCTCGTCGCCTCAGGCGTAATATTTTATCCATGTGACAGAAAGTATCGACGTGACGCAAGATATTGGACCGCAAAGGGTTAATTAAAATCTTCACGGCTAGGGTTCTCCAAGAGTGTTATTTCAAGAAAACTTTATTAGTCTGTAATAAACCCACGCTATGAGAGATTAGTACAGTAGACTCTCAAAAATATTGCACACCCCTATATCCTCTAGCTGAAAAAGTTAGACGTTCGACTTACCTTGTTTAATACTAAAACACGTACAAAATAACAACGTTCGTTGTAGTATTAAACCTTAGGCGAACTGAGTCGGTGCATTTTTCAGACTGGTTATCAAAACTCATTACAAATCAGAAAAAAAAAGATAAAAAAAGAAGATTGAATATCTCGTAAGCCATCTTTAAAACGTTATCACGAATTCCTGAGGTTATCGTCGTGGAATTATATTTAATTTTGCGATCTTTTTTGAGACGCCCTGTATAGAGAAATTTCGACGTTTACGAGGGCGTATCGTCGAATCGTTCCAGTCGATCGACGATCGATATGGAAAAAATCAAGGTGTTTGCGGATATAATGCCTCGAGGAATGGCTGCTTGCGATCTCGAGTGACCCGAAGGTGGAACAACCGGTCCCGGCTAAATCAAATTACAAAGGTATCTAAAGGTGTAAAAGCGTCTCTGCTCGAATCGGTATATACGCACGAGGGATTACAAAAGCAAGCGAGCTACATCAAGGGAGAACAATGACAACCTCTTCAAGCCCTATGCTCTTTCAAACTTCGACTCTTCTTTCAAACATTTTTAAAAAGGTTCTTGTACACTGGAACTATTACAATCGGAACGAACTTGTTAACTTTGTAAAACATTCGAGTCAATTTAATTCTGCGTTGTCTCCTTTCTATTATTTTATTATACAAGATGTCCCACAGTTAATGCATCGAAGCTGAAAAGTTACGTGACAGAATAATCAATTATATATTAAAATTCTATGCGTAATCTCTTTTAAAAGCGTAGCTATTTCTATCAGTACTTTTTATGTAAACGAATTCGCTGTTTAATGATTTAAGAACTAAAAACACTAGTTGGAGAATTATTACAGTCTACATAGGGTATGAAGAGGCTTGCGATCACTACTGATGAGAATGATGATTACTGAGATTAATTACCGATGAATCGTGAAACGTGAAATGACGATGGCTCGAGCTATGATTCGATCACGCTTCCCTTTGCAATTAATTTTTGAAGTTTGCAAAGGGAACGTGAAAAATGATTAACTTAAAATGCGAAAACAGAAGAAAATAACTAAATATTAATTAACGTTATTTACACTACAGTTCATAAATATCTGGATGTCTGGTTGTGTGTGGAAGATAAAAGTATCCAAACGATTATGAACGATAGCGTACGTGCGTTTATAAAAATCTAAACCGTGCACAATTTACAACCGATCGGCTAAAACGATCGCACGCGCTATTTACACGTTACTAATTCCGCTAATTGATTAATAATGTACAATTTCGAGAAATCTGATTTCCGATACTAACTCAACCGGACTCGACGAGCATTAGGCTGTCATTTGGTTGGATTCGCGAAAAAAAAGAAGGAAAAATTCGCCAACGAGAAGTCGAAGCAAAGTCAGTGTACGTGAAATGCTGGAGCCCGAGGGTCCCGTCGCTTAATTAAGAGACGAGGACCAACGGCATCGCAATTATCCAACGAGTACTCGACAGCTTGTCAGCTATTCACGGATCCCCGTCTGCTGCTTGCATTTCTCATAAATTTCTCTTCTTTCGCGTGTAAAAACAATTCTTTCGAGATTATTCTCGAACGTTCATAAATCGTTTACATCTTCATTCGCGGATTAACGCGTTAACCCCTTCCCGTGCTTTGACGAGTCTCACTCGTGACGCACTCGCAACTCAAATGTAATTAATATTACTCAAATTTTGAATACTCTTCAACTTGAAGTTTAGATCGAACTATAATTTGCGTTGTCAAGGTTCCCTAAATATAAAATACTTAGAACATTTTAATCTTCTTTGTTCGTTTTAATGTTATAGTCCTGAATGGTTAGTCTTGACTGACGCAGCTCATAAATAAATGGCACGGCAAGGGGTTAAATCCCGTCATCGGTGTAATTCGTTTAAACCGCGAAGTTCTCGAAATTTGTTCTGTGTATACTGTGTCCTACTATGCAGTTGTATCAGTATTATTATAGCTGTTAAACATTAACGAGTATCCGGAAATCAGATTTGAATGTTTCACTCCATCTCCGGTCACACGAAACAGAGGAAGAAAACGAAGAAAGAAAGAAAACCATCCGATTAAAAACAAACACTGAAAACAGAAAATTCTACGCATATCGAAATAAAAAGGAAAACAGTCCAAAATGCACACTGCTCAATGAACGTACCATCTGTCGTCTAACGAAATATATTCCTACTAGCGAAGTAGCTAAGTAGATCCTGTTCGGCAGCTAAAAATTCTAATCGTTCTAGGCGTGTTACGAATAAACAATAAGAAAACGAACAAGGAGGAAAGAAAAATGAAATACGTTCGATTCGTGCAATGGGTCGCGCTACCTGAATGATAGCGCTTCTCGTTGTGCGTGACACGACGTTGCGTGCGACGTGCACGCGGCTGTGGTCGGCCACCGACGCCGACACCGACGCCGACGCCGACACCCAAGCCAATACCCCCAACGACACCACCACCGCTTCCATAACCCGTTCTCTCGACCCCTGTGATACCGAGGACGCAGACACCTCCACCACCTCCTCCTCCTCCTCCTCCTCCGTCGTTTTCAGCCCCTGTGTGTCACACACGCGTGCATATGCAGAAAAAAGCCACCCTTCTTTCTCCAGACTCTTTTCGTTCCGATTCTCAGAGCAAGGGAAACTTGCTGCGTTCTCCGTTTCGTGCTCGTTCATCGACGGTTCAACGATTTTAACGCGTTCGTGGAATATCGTAATTGCATATCATCTTTTTATAAATAAGAAATATAACGTATGCCGACTCGATGGCTGGAATTATAGAGCAGGGAATAATAGTGCGGTGGTAATACTTTTTCATATGGATTCTTGCGAAATTTCAAATTGTACGGGGAGAAACTGTCAACTGTTATAAATTAGAAGTTACGCACTCATTATTGTGGGAGAAAATTTATAACTTGTAAAATGCAAATACTTCGAATTGTTGGAAGTTGATCGTAAATCGAGTATTTGGAAATAAAAGAAAGTAACGACTTCTCGTGTCTAGGTAGTTTGGAAAATCACGAATGGAGCGTGACTGGAGGTAACTGGAAAATTGTCTTTACCTCGTGTCGCGTACACCACAATGGCAGATGTACATCGCGTATAACGAGCGGATAACGCGGAAGTGGCTCTTCCGCATGCAGGTACAGTTAAACAGTACGTATACCACAACCGATTGCCAGTCGTTCGACCGATTGCAGCTGCGGCTATAAGTGCGACTACTACTGGTGTTTGCCTGAACGTTTCCTCTTTGCCTTTCAGGGAAAACTTGGAAAACCGATACTCATTTACGCGGCATAAACCGCTAATTCGAATCGAACCCCGTTAGCAAAATAGTAATGCTATTCAAGCTATCAAGAATGATCTACGCTTATTTCTTTTACCTACCAATTTACAAAATGGGTCAAGAAAAGGTTCTCTATGTGACGGAGTATGGGACATATTTCTCATTTACTAGTAGTGGTAAATATATTCGACCAATTTATCTGAATTATTTATAAGATCCAAGAGAAATGTCGAGGCACAGAGTGCTGAGGGTTAAACGATATCGGAAAGAACTGGAAGTATCAAAAGTATTCCCGACACGTTTCCCGATTGCGGAATTGCAGACAAAAGTGTCGAGAAGGCGACATCGTTGGAAAAATCTGCGGCCGTGCAGCAGCTACGAAGGCCTCCTTGGTTATACAATGATAAGAAAAGATTGCATAAGAAAGGAGAAAAACCGGTGGTAGGTGACGGATGGAAAACGTTGTTCGGAACGATGAAGAATACACGCGTTCTCGTGTCCTCTTCTGCGTTTCTTTTTTTTATTCCCATTACGATTGCATCTGGCCAGCATTGTGCGCAGAATGCGTCAGGCTCTGTTGTCTCTTGAGAATCGGAACGCGATTAATATTACAAGAATGAGAGACCGGTTGTGCGTCTGGATACGTGGCGCAATACGCGAGATTATCGCGCGTGTAACACGGCCCACGAGGACGAGAAGCTCCGGACGACGATTTTTCATATTTCCGGAAAAAATCATCCAAGTCGTTATGTAAATGACAAGTTATTTCTACTCGATAATTTGTTATCTACTATTCGCCATTAATCCTGCGTGTCGAACATGCATCTGATGATTTTTCTTGTAAAATTATTGAATTACGAGATACACTACACTTGGTTTTTTAGCTCTTCTTATCATATGTGCCGATGATCCAATTGGTCTAACAAAATTTTAAAAGAACTGAACCTTCCACTAATTACACAATTATCAATATCAATGTGATTTCATTATCAACGAAATGATAAGTGATTTCCTTGTCATAGAATCGGTTTGAAAATATTCTTTCCTAAGACAATAAACTGCCTCGCAATCAGAAAGTTGTAAAAGTAAAACGTCGGAATACGCAAAGCAGGAAACGATATTAAGGAAATAAAAAGAAAAACTGCATCGTCGCGAGCTTCTCGTCCGGATGTTAAGAATGAAATGATGATGAGCATGACTGGTTCGCTACATTTCTTGCGAGCAAAAGAAAAAGTTTCACTCACCCAGCTGCTTCGAGGCATACTGCTGAAGTAGACGTGTCCGTTTCTTTTCGTAGCCCTTCTGTGTAATGTCCCCTGTAACAAGGAATTTTAATTATTTTTATCTCTTTTTTAAATACAGTAGCCACTGGTTACATCGCCACGGATGGACTGTTGGGCCAGGGGATACTTGGGGTCGGTATAAAGAGTTTGTTACGCGATCGGTATCGTTAATGTGTGCGAAAGGCCGTGTAAAGAGGAACTTGTTCTAGCGATAACGGTGGTAATATAACAAGAGTCTGCTGTAGTAGAATACATTAAATTTGCGATGTCGATAATTGAACACCCCTCAAGGCGACGAACGTATCGATTCGCAAAAAGTTAATTATGTTATCGATTCTGTATCGTCGTTCGATACCGTGCAATCAAGAGATCGCATGTTCTCGAAGGTGGAAAAAATAGAATAGTTACCGAAGATCGAATTAGCCTAGCCTCGGAGCAATAGCTAAATAAGAGAGTTCAATTTCTCAACGGCCAGTTTCATCGAATCGATTTCCATCGAGACTGAAAAAGGACGTCTTTCGATCGCTCCCTGTTGGAGATCGATCTCGTTTGGGATAATTTCTTGGTTGCACGAAACTCGGAGGAATTTCGAGGACGATCGGTGAACGCCTCCAGCTGCACTTAGAAACTCGGTGTTTTAAACACCTGGTTGTATACGACCTCGCCAAACGTGACAAATGAAATTGTACCGAGGAAAGCGATTCTCAAGGTGATTCGATACCGCAATATGGTAACGAGCATATTTGGAACAGAGAAACATCGTTAAAGATCGAATCGATTAGATAACCAGCAGTTTTCGAAGCTCCAATTCGCTCGGTTCGTTGACTACGAGAAAACGGGTCGATAGATTCGTCGGAAACTGATAATTGTTCAAAAGTGGAACTGATACGAGGGTTAAGGTTTAAACTTGAAAATTCAGTAATGTCCCAGGAACGTAAAAAATGCTGGCCGGTACTTAAAATACTGCATATTCTAAATGGCCAGGGAGCAACAAGCTTGCCCACGTGTCCCGAGCGATGCGAAACGAGCTGGCATGCTGTCGTCACGCCTCGTAACTCGAGAAAATGCCTGGAATCGATCGGCTAACGGCCGAGACACGATTTTTCTAGGTTCGAGCACCGGCACCCAACGAAACTAGGTCATACGGCATTATCACTGAATTTATTTAAACAATGCTCAAACTATGCAGCAATCATCCACTTTCCTCGATGCATTTCTCTTCCATAAATTCATCTACGATATAACTTTGAAACAAGTCGAGTTACATTTGAAACTCTGCTTCTCACCGAATCATGAAACGCCCGGAGTATCTGATTGTACAAAATTTTAGTTGCGAACATACTCGACGTATTCTCGAACATTAAGATAAAGAAGAATTTTTGTGACGCGAGTATACTCGTCGTTCCCGTTACTGACTTTGATCACGATGCATACAATGTGGCTGTTTAAGGGGTTAATAGTCGCAGAAAACATCCCCAGCTCGAGAGAGGTTCTTTCATCCTCGGTTGCAGAAACATAACTCGAGCGTGCAATAATTCCCCTGGACGTGTTCGCGTTCGTAAGTCCGCGAGAGGGCAACCATGCACTTTGCCCGGAGGGCCAGTCGATCCGCGTACCGATAATTTTAACTAGCGGTTAGATAGCCCGAAGAGATACACGCTCGCTTCGCGTCCACCGTGTTCCAACTCGCGTGAAACGCTTCTCTAGCATGTTGGATGGAAGTTCCTCGAGAAGTAATTGAACTTCCTCGTTCTTCTCGACACCGATTTACCATGAATTATCAAATTTTCATCCCTCGGGCAACTTCCAGTCTCGGTACAATTTCACGTGCTCCGATACAATTTCACGAATCATAAATGGAAATTAGTGAAACTTAAATTATCAAGTTTCGCGCTGTAGCTGATACGGAGAATCGACTCAAAGCTAAAGAAGATGTAGGTCTGCTGGATCGTTCTCGAAGAGTTCACGACACAATACGTTCTCGATGCAAACGAGACGAAAATCGTTTACGGATAAAGATCGATCGGAGATAGAGGTAACGTGTATAAGGAGACGAAAGAGAGACAGTGATTAGTCGGCGGTACGTGCTCGGATTCGAATCGAGTTCAGTCTAGGCAAAAACCGCGATGAAACCAAACCGGGCGAATGGGTTACGTAATTAACATCGATCACGTGGAGTCAACAGACGAAACGGAGACAAACGGGGATTCTCAAGAGATCTATTGGACACCTGATAGTAACATTCGATTATGAAATTATTGGTAACATTTTCGTGATCTTACTGGGTCTCTTCCTCAAGGACGAGCACTTCCTTACTAGGAACACGGGTTGTCCAGACGTAGCCTTTCGAAGCTGCGATTTTCGTCTGAGCGGTCTTCTCCTGACTCCAGATCTTTGTCTCTTCAATTGTTGCTGCCTGTGTATAACGTGCGAGTTCTTCCTTCGATCGACGTCGAACCTGTTCGATTCATCTTCGGTCTCGCTATCGCTGGACGACAAACACCTATAATACATCAACGAATCCGCCCTCGACTTCTCCTTCCCGTGGACGAGGTTGCTCGAGCCTTTCGATAGAAAGCTCAGGAACTGATTACTCGCGAAGTAGTTGGATGTGATGGGCCTCCATGTGGTTCTCCGAGCTAGAACACCGTTGTTCCTCAGCTCTTCCGAGAACAGTTTGTCCTCGTTGAAGTCGCTGATCTTTGGTGGTCTGCAGGCTGACGAGGAGGACGAAGTGGCGGAGAACGAGCCCAAAGAAGACGAGACTAAAGAGTTCGATCCACCTTCCCGCCTGTCGTTGAAGTCACCGGACAGCAATAATTTCGCGTCGTCGAATTGATCGTCCGATAGATTCGATGACCATTCGTCGATTTTCTCCACCACCGGCATCACTGTTTCAGGAAAGTATCTGATCTCTCGCCATACTCGTCGCTGACGTCTCGATCGACGTCTTTCCGGCGGAACGAACCACACCGGGCTGTTCGATCTCGGTGGACGAGAAGGTTTCTTCGTCTTCTGCGAGGCACGTTTTCCATGACGTCGAGAACTGGACCGTCTCGAAGCGTTCGTTCGTTTGAAGTAACCCTCGCCACTCACGCTAGGAGACGGTTTGTGTTTTCTCCGGTTGAAAAAACCGTTTCTCGTACCCCTGAAGTCATGTTATCCAATTCACGTATCTGTCGCGAAGGCTCGAACGATCAAATCGACGAAAGTTTGCTACGATATATCGTGACACTCGAAAGCTCGAAGGTCTCTATCCCAAACTTGAACCTTTGTTCTACAACTTCAATGATCGACACTAACAAGGTTTGCTTTTTGTAGAAACATCCTGCGTAACACTCGAGTACGACGTAACTTCCTTTCGGCTAACAATAAGAGTACGAAGGAGGCTCCTATCAATTGTCTCTAATCTTGGGAAAACTCGGGGAGAGCGTGTACTAGAACCTGCGGAAAATCTATGGGGGTCTAAGCAAAATCTAGGAAGAATTCAAAGACAACATCTGGAGAATCTAACTAACCTATCAATTACACTTAATTTATTTAATCTACTTCATTTACATAATTTTTCCTAGGAAAGCTTATGAACATGAACAAATAATAGAACTTAACTTCCCCTGCTTTGTAACTAACGAAATAGACGTTGCACGCAACGATATAAAGGATTAACCTATAACTACCTTCGAACTTCCGGTGATGCAATTTTCAAAGCTAAGGAAACTCGGTACTTTCGTAATTTCATCGTTGACGAGAGCCAATTAATACCTTATCGACGGTACTCTGCGTTAATAAACTCTATTAGGTTACGTATCAAATATCTGACACCTGGCGACTTGTGGCACATCAATTTTAAGCTTAAAGTTTGACGAGAAGGACTATACGTACATTTCGTAGATATTCCTAATAAAACAGCTCAATATATATAATCAGTGGATCGAGTCCGTCGATAAGGCGTTAAGAAACGTTCGAGATAATAACCCTGCTCGAAAATCAGCCAGCCTAGCGATCCTGAGTGAAAATCCAAACGCGGACGAGGCATCCTTGCCAGCGACACTCTTCTCCGGAGCGGACACCGTCCTCGCCACGGTCGGCTGAGGTTTCCTCTCCTTCAAAGCACTGTCCAAAGAGTGGTGAACCGACGGTCCAGAAGGCGAAGGAAACGGTACCGGTACCGCGTCCCTCCATATCCTTCCCAGACTGATGCTAACGCTAGGAGGTCCTTCGACGGAAGGTTCCTGAATCTGCAGAATGTCCTGCTGGCTGCCGCTTTTCTCCTGAATAGTCTCGTTCGAGATTTTGAACGATTTCGAGTGCAACACCGGCGATCCATCGAGCTCGAGAACCTTCAAATCCTCGGCCACGTGATCAGCGTCGTTCTGCTTTTGAAACTTGTTAACTTTGCTCTTTGCCAAACCGTGCTGCCTGTTCTGCTTATTCTGCTGTTGCTCCCGGTGCACCTGGTCGAGTTTCTCTCGAGACGACGAACTGACACCTTGCAACCATTCGTCGTAGCTGATGGACTCGCGAGTCAAGGTGTCATCCTGAAGTTTCTTCGGCTTCTGATCCTTAATGATACTCTTCTCGACCGGTTTCTCGTTCAAGTTTGTATCGATGGTAGGAGGGATAGTCGGTTCCAAGCTTTTCTGGAGCTTGTTGCGACGTTTCCCCCGGTCCAGGTAGCTTTTCCTTATCGATATCCTCTTGAAGGACTCGCTGCGCTTGAAGGACGGCTCGTTACGGTCCTTCTTGCGACCCACGAGCCTCCTCAAGTTCTCGAAAGACAACGGTCTCATCGGTTCGACTGTCCACTTCACTGCTCAAACGATCAACTCGTCACCTGGCATTTTATCCTTTCGCCGGCTCGTCGACGGGACTTTTTCTTCCAGTATCTCATGTGTATAGGATCTTACCTTGTTCTTACCTAACCACTAACTTTTCCTCCCAATTCGGTCTACATTCTGATTTGGATTTTCTTTTGGAATATTTCTTGCGACGTTAATTTCATGAGTGAGATTTCGAGTCTCACCGATCAAGAAATACTTCGAGCTTCATTTTTCTACAAATTCTGGACTTCGATTCAATTCTGTGCCTCTTTGGAACGATTTTTAGAATGTTATCATCAGAGGAAAGCAACGCGTTTGGAAGCTTGATCAATATGATTCAGTTTCGCCTTTCTCGTCTAATCCGGGCTCCAATTAAATATCCCGAGCAAAGTTAGTTTCACGAGGATGAATCAGTTTACATTTTCATTTAGCTATGCTTTCGGTTTTCAAGCTGCTCGAATCTCTCGCAGTACGAATTTCACCGAGCAGACTCGAGTTTCGTTCCCCTTCGCCGAGAACAGAAATTTCAACTCCCTTCTTCGGATTCAACTTCATTTCCACGAGTTATCGCGCGAGTCGAATCGAATATCCCTTTGAAGGAGTCAGCGAAGAATCGAAGGGCTGGTTTGGTCCTGCTGGAGTCCTTCCAGCCGGCCGAAGAGCAACAGAGATCTCCTTAAGCTACACTGGTTCTTCTACCAGTCTCTCTTTCTCTCTTTCGTTCGTGTGTTCGTTCCTTTGCTCGCACGCTCTCGCGTTTCTGCGATCTTAAGGTGCAACACCGAGGTCTTCCAGTCGCGAATCAGCGTGGCTTTCCTTTTTCGACGCTGCACTGCCTCGTTCCTCCTCCTCCTTTTCCTTCCTCTTCTTCTTCTTCTTCTTCATCGACCTTCTACTCTTCCCTTTTCGCCCTTCGTCCACAGATTCACGATCCTTTGGCAAAAACCGATTCGACGCGCAACATTCGCATGGAAAGTAACGTAAGCTCGCAACAACGACACGTCGCCGTCGTCACGCGTTTCAAGCGTTCTTCAAAGCGCGCGGATTCATCCTCGCCTCGAGGAAACTCGGGCTGCTGCTTCTCGATAGCGGTAAAACCGCGATTAATATCGCGAAATCAAAAAGCAGTCGGCGAAGAAACGTTAACTCGAAGTTACACGATGCGAACCGTTTTCTTTTTTCTCCTCTCGGTGCACGCGAAATCCGATTTCGTTTTCTTCGCTCGACGTACGACAATGTGGATTCATCTAGAGAGCATCTAGAATCGTTGAAAACATCTCGAACGATACTTTCTCCGCCCCTCGAACGATTACGACACACTTGATTTCACCCTTTACTCCGCCGCTCCACGCCGCTCTCGCGTACTTTTATTATTTCTGTGGCGGCGTTGGGAAACACGTATCCTCCTTCGATGGAACCCGATAAAGAAATAGGAATTATAATTTTCTTAGATACTTCTTTCACTGCCTTCAACGTTCACTGTACACTCGCGGAACAGAACCGAGGAAACACGGTTTTGCACACGTTTGCACATTGGAACACGCAAGACAGTTCGAATTTCGCGCTACAAGTATTACGCTGAAACGAGATTATTAAGGCCGAGCGTTAATCTCGGAACAATGGAAGACCGCCTGCTATCGATTTTGCGAATCAGGAAAGCGTTAGTGCTTCTGCGAGATATTAAAAGGAAAACTCTTCATCGAGCATGCGTTAAAAAGGGACAGTGACACCAGCAAAAAAATAAAAGAGAAAAGTGGTGTTAAGAATCGCGATAAAACACTTGGTTTTCTCTTTTCATCGATACCGTGTTCTCCAATGAGGGACTCGCACAACGTGACACGGCGATGAAATTGCGTGCCGGTAAAAAACAAATTACGAGCTATATCGCGAGATCACGAGAAAGAGAGGAAAGACAGTTTCGAGGCTACGCGAAGAAATCTCGACACGCCAACGCGTTAGATCTCGATCGATTCAAAGGTATCGCCGGCGATTTCTAAATGAAACGCTGGATTTTCAAACGATGTGCTTGAAATTTATGTTTCGAGATGATACCGGTTTCTCGCTTCGAAGCTTGCAACGTTCTATTTGAACAACTTGCCGGTTCCCGCTAGATTATACAAAACTTATCCTTAGTTAATAAATTATTTATCGCTAATCTCGATGTACTCGAGTACAAGATCGCAATCTAAACGCGCCGTATTACGACTTGTTGCCAGTCGTTTCCGATATTTGAATTTCGCAATTAACGATCTTCTATGACGTAGTACGCGTCGACCATAGGGTTAAGGGAATAACACAGTCGTATTCCTCGCCCACGTGAAGCTATTTCACAAGCTTTACTTCTCTCGATCGAATTCCTGCGACACATTGTCGACGTTCGAACTATTCTATCGTCATGAAGAATCCATTCTTGACCCTTTAAAGGCTTTCAAACGCGCAGCGTCGTAAAAGTACCGATTTGCTCGAGACAATTTTATTTTGATTTATCGATTCTATTTTATAATGGATTCCTTTTCAAAGGTTATGTCACGAATCGATTGAAATCCCATTGTTTCACATAATCAGCTTTGTTCGGGTCAGGCTATTGAGCGTGATAATTCAAAGAAAGTTTATTAACAAGTGTAGCTACGAAGTGTATACACTTCTTCGGAGCACCGTGTACTTCGATACATGAAAGTCTTCGGTCGAAAAATTTCAGCACCGCCATTCGAGGGTTAACGTAGGACACGCGTAACCTTTCCACGTACGTGCACTGTTCGGCAAACTGACCATAATGGAAAATATCGAAACACGATCACTTCGTGTGAAAAGTTCGTACATCGTACGTAAACACCGTAGTTCATAAGAGGGTAGGGGTCCAAGAGAGAAAAGGAGAAATTAGAAGGGTAGCACGGTAGAATATTAACGACGAGAGCGACATCGATAAAAGAAAGAATAACAGAAGCAAAAGCGGTAATACTGGTGTTCGTATGGAGAAGCGAGCAAGAGAGTAATCAGCGTGGCGGAGGCAAAGGCAAGGGCGATAGCAGTGGTCGGTAGGGTCGTGGAGCGTACTCGAGGCGCGGGTCGTCGCGACGCGGGTCCACCCTTACGGCGCTAAGGGCAGAGGAACGAACATCGAAGAAGCCGCGGTCCCCTCGTCTAGCGAGGAGAAAAACTGTCGGGTAGTGCGCGTAGTCGAAGTCGCGTCGAATCACTGGCATTTCGCGAGCTCTCGACGCTGCACCTCTCCCTGACTCACGGAGAACCACCGCGGACCAGAGAAACGAACAGAGACCAGAAGCGAGCGAGAGAGAGAGAGAACAGGCCGCGAAGCGGGGCCTCGTGAATAAAAGTCACGCCGCTAGAGAGAGAGAGGGAGAGAGCAGGAGAGAGACGAGAGGGGTAAGGAACGGGTAGTGGTGGTATGCCGTCCGTCCACTCTCGCCTCGCACACCACGACTCTGTTCTCTTGCTTCTCTTGCAGCATCCCACTCTCTTTCTTTCCTTCTCTTTGTCTTGCTCTGCCTTCTCTAGTCTCTTCCGTTCCTTTTCTTCTCTTTCTCTGTTACTCTCGCGGCCACCTTCCACTGCCGCTCTCGCGTGTTCAAAGACCCCCTACTTCCATCCTACCCTTCGATTTTCTATCTCGCTTTCGCGCTCGGCAACGCTCTCTGTCTCGCTCAAGCGATTTTCTAACCTCCACCCGTACGAGACTTTTCTTTAAGGCAGACTCGCAAAGATCGCGAATCGGATAGAGAGAATCCTCGAGCGATGCGAATGATGCCCTCGCGAGAGCAGCATCGAGAGGGGATTTTTACAGGCGGACAGGACGTTTCCCGTACGCTGGTACCTGCGCACAAACGTGCCGGGATCCGATGCGTTCGATTCGTGAACGATACACGCCCGGATCGTGTAATAAAAGTTTCAGTGCTATTGCCTGGAGACTCGTGGAACGTGAGCACCGTTGTTACCGATCTGCAACAATTTGTTTTCACCGTATCTCTTGTGTTTCTACGAGCCACAGTTTTACTTGTTACCGAGGTGCTCCTATCGCGACAGTACGCGTTAAATGATCCGCGATTTTCCGCTTGAATTTTAAAGAAAATTTACAACGAAGTGCATTCAACCACCACGATATTTATCCTCGGAAATCGAGCCTGATGCCGAGTACAACCGCATGCAAGGATTACGAGAAAAGAAGCCTCGTTGTTGTGGTCTCGTACAGTTTAATTCGCGTCGACAACTCCCTAAAGTCCCTGAACAATCTCCTCGGCTTAAAGACCCTAGACTCTCTCCAAAGAACCTAGGTGCTCCTCGAGCCTCCTAGGATCCTTAAACTCTCTTAGCCCTCCTTAAAGACTCCTGGTCTCTAACTTCTTTCTGAAGGAACTTCTTTCTGAAGGATGGCCAATTTTTACCTTAGGGTGTATGGTTTGTAAAATGTACCACCGACAGTAGAGCATATATTTATCTACTAATGCAACTATCTATCTGTATTTGCAAATACTAGTTTTCCTGTACCAGCGGTGAGAAAATTATTTTAAAAAAAATCTGGTATACACTCACGATTCAATATAGAGCGGCAAAGCTCGAGGAGAAAATAGGTGAGAAAATCGCGAGGAGTTGAAGTTTAATGACTAGACACGATCGTTACATTCTTACTCGAGCATCGTAGAGAAAAAGGCTGTATAAGTTAGTTGTACTTCAACTATGCCCGACGTCGTAAAGCCTGTTCTTTAAACGGAGTGCTTTACGAGTGCCTCAACCCTTATAAGGAACAATTAGAAGCAGAAAAAATATAAAATCACTTTTATTTCGCACAGTATCTGCGCGAAGTAGAATGAAAGTTGTCGGGTCATTTACACTATACGTTCATAAAAGTGCATAATATACTTTTTATTAATCGCTCGGTTAACGCGTTAAAGTTACGCGCGAAAATAACGACGCAAAGAAGAACCAGTGTCAAAGTTATAACGAAGATTTCTAATTATCAAGACGTTCGCTCTCTCCGAGGACTTTTTATCGTCCGATTGGAAAAAAGCAAGCAACGACCGTAATAGAGAGGGTAAAGGATCGACGTTCGTTTTACGGGGGAAAAAGCTTTAAATTGACGGCTTGATTGCTCGATGCTCTTCGACCTCCCACTCTCCAGAGGCCCTTAACCATCGGAGATCCAACAGCATCTCGTGCACACGTTCTTGCTTTTCCACGAATACCATGCGAAACGCCCACGTTCGATCCGTACCGTGCAAATCCAGTGAAATCGACCGCTTCGAGTAGAAAATACGAGAGAAAAAATCAACGGCAACGAAAGTATGGAAATCCGAAAATAAAACTTTGTCGCGAGGGTTAATCCTGACTGCGAGGCGTGCCAAGAGAGAAAAAAGGATACAAATTTTTCAATGTCTGCCTCCGAAAAGAAATCTCTAACTCTAATCACCAGTTTCACAAGTTTCAGGTACAAAAATGACTCCACCTAAAGAAACCAGCCTAAAAATCGTTTCTGCATTACACAGAGGGCTCTTATTGCGAGTGAAAAGGATTAGAGTTTATCGTAACTTTTTTATAATATAAATATATTACAGGAAGATCATGACAACGAGATGACACAAGCTGACCAAACATTCGAACGGAATTACAGGGACATCCTTATCGGCACGACTACCGACCGCTTATCGTTTCGATAAGGGACCCTCCAATATCGCTTACAATCCAATTTTTCGGAATATTACTTTTCTCATTTATCTACCCGCAATTGATTTCGACGTTAAAATTTATTTTCGTACAGAACCGATAAAGCAGCGCAGAATTATCGGTTCGCCTTCGACTGGAATTACCGAGGAACTTTGCTTTCAGAATTTAATTCTCCTTTTAAGATGGTCTTCAAAGCGATATTGCTTCCTCGAGTAGTAACTCGATTTTACGCCTTGTTATTTAAAGAGGTACTACTTTATCTTCCTCTGTAGATGATTACGGAGGAAATCTGAGCTGGTGACACTTACACAGGGATTTGCAAGTTAAAATCGTGCCTCTCTTAAATTTCCCCTTTGACAAGAAATCTTGTATACTCTTCGACAATTAAGAATTCTCATACTTCCCTCTATAAGTGTCGCTCAGAGGCTGGTTTTTAAATTCTTAAAGAAGGAGAAGTAAATAAAGCAACGCTATCTTAAAGATAATTCGCCGCTTAGATAAGTAGAAATAAAATTAGCGGAGGAGCGAAAACAAATGACCTAACGTGCATCCACCGCGAGGTTCTTTTTCAGCCAACCGAGTGTTCGTTTATCGTGGCTATCGATGTATCGGCAGAAGATGCGGAGGAGGGACATAATAGCCGATAAACGTGCTCTCGTCGACGCGTATATGCAACGAGGCGGTGCAACGTGCAACTCCAAGGCGACTGGAGGACGTTTACCCACGAAACCGGCGGCCTTGATCTTACAAACGGTCCACGAACGAGCTGCGACAGCAGCTGCACCGACACCGACGGATGCATTCCATCGGAGTGCAACTGCACCTGCTGCACCCAACTATACCGCCCTTGTCTCCTCTCGAACAAATCGCGAGTTTGCCCCTCTTTTATGCCCATCAATCCCGTTGCGCGAATTAAGTTATCGACGCTGGACTATACGCTTCCTGTTTGCGAGATTTTTTGCGAGAACCTGCGGCGAAAGCCGATTAGTCATCCTCCTCTGGGTTCACGAGCATTTAATACCGGTGAAATATCGAAGATTCGTTGATTACATTTGGTGATATAGGGAGAGCTGCATTTTGTTATCGAGGGTCGTTAAGATGGGGTTAATTACGGGAAAAAGGTATCGAGGGACAAAAATCCGTGAGTGAAATATCGAACGGAAACACGCTGACCTAGGAACTAGAAATGGAGGTCGAGAGGTGAAGCTTGACCGACAACGTAAATCGTCGTAACAGCGATGTAATCGAGATGTGACGTCAACGAACCGGTCGATTCGCACCTTGTCGCTTCGATGAACTTCTGATAATGTGTCAACTGGTTGTAATCGAGAATACGGACTCTTACGATCGGCCTAACATGAAATTAGATAACCGTACACGCTTTGGATGTGCAAAGCGTTCGATTAAAATCGATCTGTTATGTCTTCGAAGCTGTTACCTTAAATAAAACTTAACCAAAAAAGAATTCTACTGAACTTCGATGTTATCACGACTTATGAAAGATAAAGTTTATAATAACGAACAAAAAAGACGTTGAATGCTGTGAAACTATAGAAAAGTTTTCTTTTCGCAAATGGTAATCTGATAAGGAAAGGGTTAATCGAAAGAACATGTCCGAGTCAGTGTAATAGAAAGAGGAGTTACGCGCAGTGATATCAGTGAAAGGTTTAATGTACCTTTTCGTTCCGTTTGACTTCCGTCAGATAGAAAATTCCTTTGTTAGCAGGTTGGCTGGTTCCGAGGACGGTAAAACACATTTAAAATAGCTCTTCTCCGAGGCTTCTACAGATTTTAGGGTCACCTTCGCTTTCTTAAGTGGAACTACGGCTTTTCAAGCACCTACGACCGCGGTCCTTCCCCTTCTCGACCGGTTCAATGCCCTCTGGCTCAAGGTCAGCCAAGGTCAAAGTTCGAAGAAATTCAACAACCTTCCAAGAACATTTGACGAACAACAAACTTAAACTTCTTTCATTTCTTTATAACCCTTATCGATAAGATTACTTTTTACAACTTTTCAGTAAGATTTTAATTCTTATAATCTTCGCTGAAACTAGTAGACGCGGTAACATAATTGTATAACGTTTAGCACCGTTTATCAGCTCTTAACTTTTTTCGCGACTCATCGACTTTAAAAATCCGTCGTCAGCATTTATCAAAGAGTTATTGCATCCATATACATAAATTACAGCTCGAATGCGGTACAGTGGACAGAAATAAGGTAACGGATGATGGCACAAAAAGTTAAGCATCATACGTGACGCTGCCCGATAAAGCGTGAAGGAGATACTATCTGTAACTCAAAGCACACAACCACTGATAATAACGCGAGAAAGCAAAGCAGATTAGACCGTGTAAATATGTACGTTCTATGACATTCGTGTGAATTAAGAGATCGTGGAGATTAGTTTAAACCAATTATTTCTACAATCTTGGAAGAAATATACGAAACGTAAAGGTGATAATATGACGAGCGTACTATACGAGTTTCTAAAAAGGAAAGAGTGATCGAAGGAAGTTTCCTTTCCTTGCACACTCCTTCGCAATCAATTACGCGAACAGCTGATTAATTCCCAAAACAATTCGCGTGTTTAAAACGTAATTAATTTAACTAATTGCGAGGAAGATAACGAGATTGCAATTGGCCGTATATTACGAAAATAGCCTGGCAATTCGCGTTTAAAAGGGGACGTTTTTCTTTCGTGCCTGTTCCTTTTGGTATTTCCTGATGTTTCCACTCTCCGAAGGAAGCGTTAACTGCACAAACATTGAGCAACCGAGAGAGTAACGATCCATGCTCGCATGGAAATCCTAGATAAAAGATCCGCCTTGACTTTAATTATGGTTGTCTATTACTTCGGTAGTTATACCTTCTATGGGTTACGATTGACTTTTACTCTTTATCCGTAAAATTTATCCCTTTCGACTCTTTCACTGGATCAGAGTTCAGTAAACGAAAAGTCATCGATGCGTATCAAATGTGCAATTAAAATTACAATTTTTTAAATACGTATATTTTACCAGTTCGTTTCAAACAACTTACCCGATACGGAAACTAATTAATTAAAATTGCAAACAGCCAGAAGAAAATCCGTAGAATTAGCGGAGCCGTGAGATAACAGGTGGCGTATGCCAACGTGAGGCGGTTTAATGACTCATGCTCAAATCGCATCGTAGAATAAATTAGCCGACATCTCGTTACATTGCAGCGATTATATTAACGCTACCGATTAACGCCTCGATTAATTTCCCTCGCTGAAACGATCCGTGAATCGATTTAACGGTTGAACCTATTCAATTGACTCTCGAACGAGTAAAAACTAGGCAACTTCGTACTATATTCTTTATGCACAATTCTCAGTAACAATACCGGTAAAATCATCGTCACAAAACACCGAGATTAAAGCCCCTATAACACGAAAATAGCTGTTCAGCGGAAGTGTTGTTTAACGCGCTATCTATGTTAAACGTTTTTGGGTTATCAAAACCTAATGCCACATTCTTTTAAACGGTTCGTCCAGTGCAGAATTTCTTGCAAGACGGTCGCGTAGAGTCGGTTTCAATTGAAATACGCACGAACGGGTAATCTGCGCAATTACCTCACATGCAAATAAAGCCTTCGCGAAGATGAACGGTGACCCGTCCACTGACGTCACGTCACTACGCGAGGATACAGTGGCAGAAATGACGTTAAATAATCCCTTGCGTCTTACGTTCGAATCTCTTAAAAACGAGAACAGTGCCAGGGCTATCCCCGATTGAAACCGTATCGATCAGTTTTCTTTATTTAGCCGATCCAAAATTTACTCCCGCACGAACAGTGTTCTAAGTTTGAGGTACGACGGAAATATTAATCGCTTCCTCGATTCAAATGACCTCCTGCATTCTGAGCAGGAAGCTTCCTCACCCGTGGTCAAAGAAAGGTGCGTTTGTTTTAGGTACCTGAATTCTCAGAACCTAAAAGTATATGCTTTTTCTTAACTTGGAATATGTGTTGCGCCTAAGACGACGTACGACGCACATCCGTGATATACGTAATTAATATTATTGTTAATATTAATATCTTTTGAGATCAGAAACCGCAACGTCCGCAGGGAATGTGTTAAGTAACGCGATAAATTACGCTAAAAGCCATGCTCGCGAGTCACGTGTGCATTTGCATCCCGTATTTTTCCACGCTTCGAACGGTCAACCATGCAGAAAGCGAACGGCCATGAAACTAGGATCCCTTTAAATCGCCGGGAACACGGTATAGGGTTGCCGGAAAAACCGGTCGACTCGCGACCTCTCGAGGGTTAAACTCGGAGAATTGCCCGAACACTCGGTACGGTGAATTGAAACCTGAGTAGCGTCGTGTAAAATCCCATCGAACCGAATCAGGTCGAAACGAACTGAGCGTTCTCATTGTTAAAGCGAACAATGTCCGAGAAAATTGTTCGAATTTCCTCGAAGTGGGAAAGAACGTTGCTTAGTCTAAACGCACCCTAAGTGTCCACTGTCGAATGCAAATAATCGTCGCGGCTAGGTCGAGTTCAGAGGCCGCGAGAGTAGCCAAGTTCAGAGGAAACTTCACACCTGTAACGCTGAGTCGCGCCGCCACACGAGACACCGCTCACTGACGATGAGAACTACGATTATCTCCTTGACAGAGTCGCTCGTTCAGCATCCGAGATATTTTCAGGAATCACTTAGCTACGCTGCGTTTCGAAACGTTCTGTCTCGCTAACGCTAGTTGAATTCTAGCTGACTAGATTAGAATCCGTTCGTACGCCATTAATTTCAACGGTCCGCGAGATTGATAGGACACGTTCGGTCGTAAAAGATAGCCGTTGTATATAGCGGCTACGCTAATTTCGACCGAATGGCGAAAGTCGGATCGGAAATTTGCGTAACACGGTTCGAGTGACGTTTGTCGGTTTTTTGCTTCGGACCGCGTGGAAGTTTACCGAAAGAAGTAATACGACTTATTAAGCGGCGAATACCTGACAGATAGGGGAATGTCAAGTATTCGGGGATGACACGAGAAACCGGTCGATAGCTGGTTACGAAAGACGGAACTGCAAATACAAATAAGCTCGTAGGATAGCGTGTGTATTATAGTCCGCGAATGAAGTTGCAAAAAAAGACTGCGTTCTCGTAATTCGTTTGTATCTGATAAAAAATATTCCTTCTGTTATCGTTAAATACGTTTCGTTGAAAAAGTCAATCACCCGAGAGATACGTATTTTAGAGCGCACAGTATGGAAAATGTCAGTTACGTGCTCCTCGAATTTCTTCGAAGACTTCCCTTCGAGATGATCTGTCAACAATTAATCGAGATATATCGAACGACTTTTACATCCTTTATTTCATGAAAAAATATGTTAATCCTGTGGAATCCTGTTCTATCCTGAAAACCGTGTCGTAAGTAGGCACATTTTCAACGGTGTACGAACAGGTTTGCAGGAGATTTGTTCCATCGAGAACCGCGAGCTTCGGATCGAAAATTTATAATACATTTAAAAAAGAAGATGGTAATGGTCATCGATTGTCCAAAAGAAAAAGTAAAGAACGATGAACGGAGTGAGGCGCGGTCGATAGGGACTCGAGTGTCCATCGAGAGGACAGACCCGTTCAAAGGAATTACAAATCTGTCGTTTAATTAATGTTTGACAGGAAACGAGGAAAAGCTTCGCTCGAGCACGAGAAGGTGTTTCGGAAGCTACTGTACATAGCTACGGGGGAGTGAAACGGCAACAGCGAAGGTATTATCGATTTTATCAACGGGGGCTAGGGGATTCTTTCTCGCGTATGCACGGGGTGAGTCAGAAAGGGTTTGCATAGCGGCGCATCGAGAAAAGCTGTCCACTAACCTTCGGATAACTCGAGATCCAGCTCAGCAAGTTTCTCCCGCACGTCCTCCGGGAGTTTGCCGATGTCGATGTTGAACTCGGCCATCACTAGGCCATCCGCGCTGCGCCGAGATCACCAATTCTCCAGCCGTACATTCCACGACCCGTCACCACTGCTCGGCCATCTTGCCTTACACTGATACGATAAACTCCCGTCAGCTGGCGACACTGTTCGATTAGACATCTACCGGCTAAACAGTTGATCCGCAATCGGCGATTACACGCGCTTCCTGATAACGCGTGCAATCACAGATTCGTACAAGAAAGATAACGACTTGAATATCAATTTTGTGCTTTTATAAATTATTCAACGCTTGTACTCTTTTCGATAATTTCCTTACTTGTTGTATGCAGTTTGAGTTACGATCTATCAGTAATGTTCAATTCAAATATCATAAAACTATTCAAATCTTCAAGTTATTATAATGTTTATGATGTTCAAGTAACGTAATGACATCATTTTTTCATTTTTTTTATAACAGATTTCAAACAATTGTTATGACACTGAAATGATTATTTCGATGTTGATGTATTTTTAATAAATTGGCAATTATCGTTGTTTTTTATAAATGAATTGTGTATTCATGTAGTCAATTATCGTAGTTCATTCATTTGTGTAAAATAAAAATCAAACTTAGTTGATTCGAACATCTGGGATAGTCGTACATCATCTGTCATAGGACTTTTTAAGTGGCATTCTTTTTACGCGGGACTCTTCTGTAGCTTCTACAGTGATAGACTAACCTCTAATGTGTAATATTTTCATAAAACGAATTTATAAGTAAATTACACAGTTTTGTTATTCTTTTGTGAGAACATGGAAATACTTCAGGATCCAGAATTTAAAACAAAATATCAAAAATATAAAAATCGTGTTAAATTGTGGGAAAGCCGTTTCACAGAAACACACGGACGTAAACCAAACAAAGTAAGTATTATTATTTATCATATTCGTAATTAAAATTTTATTCGATTGAAGGTGCTACAATATTTTTAAATACTAATGGCAATTTTTTTACTTAATATCACTATTCTATGCTCATAGTTAATTATTTTCAGTCATGTTTTCAGTATGTTAACTTATGATCTGACTCTTACAGAATGACATTAAGGAAGCTGATATGAAGATTAAAGAATCCTACAAAATGTACTGGAAATTGAAAACACGTGCCTTAGAAGAAACGCTTATAGATATTACGCTTTCTGACGAAGTAGTAGATAATGATTCTAATAAAACCTTAACGCAAACATCGATTGAAGATGTTAAAGAAGACAGTAGACCTTTGACAGAGGATAATAAACGAAATACAGAAAATGTACCTGAAAAAGTTTTTGAGAAGACAGATATAAAAGATGCAGAAAGCACAGATAAAAAAGATACTGAAAATATAGATCCACATTGCCAGACTCAGACTGCTAGTAATAATTCACTGTTAAACAAGAATGAATCTACAAATATAAAAGGTGTATGGGGTGATCATTTAAGTAAAAGTAATGAACAAGTGTCTAAGAAAAAGCAAACCATACTTGTAGGTAGATCAACTTCTTTTCAATTATCACAAAATAAATTTACAAGTTCAATGTTTACAAAAAGAAACCCAAGGAAATCTTTATCCATGTCAAAAATAAAAAATAAAACTGAAAAAGATACTAATACTAGTGCAAATGTATCTGAACAGTCTACAAACATAGAAACCAGTAACGAAGGTGATGTTGATGTTAATAAAAAGCCAACATCTGTATTTAATAATCCAGTAAAAGTTACTAGTACAGAGGCTAAAGCTAGTTCTCAGTCAATTAATGCAGTACAACAATTAATTGCGGGCTACACTGTAAATAGAAACTTAAATCCAGCTTGGCTAGACAGATGTTCCAAGCAAAGTAACTTGGAATACCCAGCATTTGATTCACAGAGGCTTTCTGGTACAAGCGATTCTGGACTTGAATCAATGGAATCCAGTATTTATTCACCTAAGGAATGTAAGTTGATACCACAGCCATCTCAATGTATCCAATTATCAGATGAGGAAGATTATGTTTGCAATAGTGATTCAGAAGAGGAATGGAAAAATAAACGCATTAGAAATTTTAAGAAAAACCTTAACGATCTAGAGAATCATCCCCCTAAAAGATTATGTATTGATAATAGTATAAATGTTCCCATTACACAACAAGTACCAAGTAAAATAGATGTACAAGCTGTGCATCCTATTACAACACCCAATGAACAAACGAATTATAATGATTGTAGCACAACTAATGTAATTGCAAATGAGGATAATAATATAAATGACAATGCAAATGTGGCAACGAATGTAAAAAATAATGACAATAAACGCATCGACAATGACGAAGACGTAAAGAATACAAACACGAAAGATCGTCGCAAGGTTCGTAGAAGAACTAAACGTATTTCTTCAAATGATAGTGATCCAGACTTTAATGAAAACGATGAAATAGAAGAGAAAGAGAAAAAGAAAAGCCCAAAAACAAAACGAAGAAGTTCAACAAGAAGTAAAACTTCAAAAGGCCGAACTACGAAACAAGAAAAAGATAGTACAGTTAAAACCAGAAGAACCACTAGAAAGAAAAAGACCGTTCAAAGCGATGACGATTTTGTAGAAAACGAAACCACAGACGTACAAACAACTAGCAAAGAACCTGGCATATACGGAATAGAAACTTTAAAAGCCGTTCCACGATTTGCAATAAATGCATCCAGTGAAGGAGATCTCATTGAACAATGTTCTAAATCGGTTGGTTTGACAGTCAGTAATTCAACTACGTCTAGTGAACTTAAAAAACCAAAATCGCAATTAACAGATAAAGAAAAATTGGAGAAGAAGCTAGCAGATGGAAAAATAAATGAAAACTTTGTTAGAATTAATTTGAAAAGGAAAGTATTTGTACGGGGTAAGAAAAATTTCAACTTTTCGAAATATAAGAAAAATCAGTGGAAGCAAAGAAAGAAAGATCTTGCATCTAGTGAAAACAGCTTAGAAGTGGCTGACTATCTTGAAAAGAAGGGTACTACCTCTTGCTTTAAATGTGGGGAAGCTGGTCATTTTTCCAGAAATTGTCCAAACAGTAAAAGCGACGATTTAATACCATTAGATGAGGTAGACGAAAGTTCTGCATTTCCAACTTTAGAAGAAGCACAGAAGATGGCAAGTCAAAACGCGGTTGTAGCACATGCTAATAGAATTGACCGTTTACCGGAGAAACCATCTTATTCTTCTGCAGAAGTAGCTGAACAAATAGAAAAGGAACTAGAGGAAACAGACAATAATGATGATTTATGGGAGCCCATTGATGACGAAGTAAGACAATACATTCAAAGAAATTTTAACATTCTTTCAATTATATATCTGTTTCTCTCTAATTTTTCAAACTTTTAGGAACTTCTATGTGGACATAAAATACCAGAAGAATTAGTATCAAAACTATTGCCTCCAGTAATTGGCACTATACAACCACTGTATCAAGTTAAAGAAGATCAATCTTGTATAGGTAAGTAGTTCAACATAAAAATTTATTTATTATTTCATTGATATAACAATAGAATGTAATTACAGAAACTCCATCAGAAGTTTTTGAAACCCTTAAAATGTTCGGTCACACCAGTTTTAGACCTGGACAAGAAAAAGCAATAATGAGAATACTTTCTGGTCAGTCGACCTTAGTGACTTTATCTACTGGCTCTGGAAAATCTTTATGTTATCAGTTGCCTGCGTATCTTTATTCGCAACATTTTACTTGCATTACTTTAGTTATATCGCCATTGGTATCATTGATGGATGATCAAGTAACGGGCGTACCGTTGTTTTTATCCGCAGCATGTTTGCATACTAATCAGACGGAAAAAGTAAGAAACAACGTAATGCAAATGGTAAAAAAAGGAAAAGTGAATATTTTATTAATTTCTCCAGAAGCCGTAGTTGCTGGAGAAAAATCAACGGGCTTTGGTGCTCTGTTAAGGCAACTTCCACCGATTGCTTTCGCGTGTATAGACGAAGCTCATTGTATTTCACAATGGTCTCATAATTTCCGTCCGTCTTACTTAATGGTTTGCAGAGTTCTTAAAGAAAAGTTAGGTGTCAAAACAGTATTAGCTCTTACAGCAACCGCAACAAAGACTACTATGGAAAGCATAGTAAGCCATCTAGGCTTACATGATGGAATGGAAGGTGTTATCTCTGATATTCCAATGCCAAGGAATCTAGTGTTAACCGTTTCCAAAGACGATCACAGAGATCATGCCTTAATTGACTTATTAAAAAGTGAAAGGTTTAAAGTATGCGATTCAATTATCGTTTACTGTACTCGACGTGAGGAATGTGTAAGAATTGCTGGGATTTTAAGAGTTTCTTTACAGGTACTATTTTCTTATTTCAAAGGGATATCAACATTTTTATAATATTCATATTCTTGTTTAACATTCAATAGGATCCCAATAATTTCTCTAAATACAACGCCAAGTTATCTCCTATCGCTGAAGCCTACCATGCTGGCTTATCGGCTTACCGTAGAAAAACGGTACAGAAAGCTTTTATGAATGGACAAATTAGAATCGTTGTTGCTACTGTAGCTTTTGGTATGGGTCTTAACAAACCAGATATTCGTGCTGTTATTCACTATAACATGCCTGGAACCTTCGAAAACTATGTTCAAGAAGTCGGAAGAGCTGGTCGAGATGGAGAGATAGCACACTGTCACATGTTTTTAAATTCAACGGTATCTTTAAATTGTAAAAATAGTTAATGCGGTTTTAAGACTTGTTTAACTTGTATTTAACACATTATTTTTCATTACAGGAAGATAGCGATAAATGGGAATTACGTCGGCATATTTATGCAAATGGAGTAGATAGGCATTCAATTAGACGCTTACTTCAAAAAGTTTTCGTTCCGTGTTCTTGTTCAAAAATTCGAATAAAAGATGCAAATTATAGATGCCCAGGTCACGAAGTTGCTATACCCATCGATGAAACGGTTATAGCTTTAGATATTTCGGCGGAAACGATTTCAACGTTACTATGTTATCTCGAGTTGCATCCAAAACGATATATTACTGTTCTCTCGTCTGTGTACGTCAGAGCCAGGGTATCAAGTTACGGTGGTCCTCAAGCATTAAAACAAGCTGCACAATCTGTGAGTATTTATAACAGGACTCCCCCAATTTTTATGAGCCATGATGCACCTTCAAAAAACGACTGTTCGTTTTTATTAATTATTTTTCAGTCACCGCCGCTAGCAATGGCAATAGCACTGGACTTGCAAAACGGTATTTCTCATGACAATGATAGCGTCATTGAATTTCCTGTCGTGGATGTAGCTTCTGCTATTGGATGGGATAGCGGAGTAGTAAAAAGTCATCTTAAAAATTTGGAATGGAAAACAGGTTTGTTCGAATAAATGAGATTTGTGAAGATAATCTTTGCAACGTTGAAACATCTTATTTTCGTTTTAGTTAATGGAACTTCAAAGCGATCTTCTATATCAGTACGATACGATACACTTGGCTTAAGAGTAAAAGCTCCGGGAGATCTAACAGACGAAGAGCTAGATGAAGCACTCGAGGCACTAGTTGATCGTGCTCGTTCCCAAGAAACTGCAGCTTTAAGGCAGCTAGAAACAATTAGTGTGACGCTACATAAATTTAGTATGCCATCGATTGCAAAATGTTTAGAACTGAATGATGAAGTAACCAATAAATCAGATGAGTTAAAAGCTATTATTCGGGATTATTTTGAAGGAAAGGTCCTAGTGGATATTGATGCCATTCAACAGGTATAAAATATGATTCCAAATGCTGATACACACAAATCAATTTTTTGAGTGTGGGCTACTTATCTTTTGCATCTTTGTTTTAGGTTAAAGTAGAAAACGAAGCACAAATAGCATGTGACGTACGAAACTTGATTGTAAGTTACCGAGACAATAACTTTACTGGACGTGCAGTAGCTCGTATTTTTCACGGTATACAGAGTCCAAATTACCCTGCCTATGCTTGGAACAAGTGCCGGTTCTGGAGAGCTCACCTTTCGTGCAATTTCAGTACTTTGTGTCAAATTGCAACAAAAGAAATTTTAGCTTTGCGTTAAACAAGAAATTTGCGACGTTTTTAAAAGAAAGTTTTAACAAATTTGTAAACCGTAATAATAGCATATTTTAAATGTGAAACATCACAAATATGCGAGCTCTATGTGATGGGTTTTGTTACGTAATTATTATGGGTGACATTTAAAAGACAAACGTATTATATAATTGTACTTTAATTAAAATGTAATTTAGGGTTCTAATAATACTGCAAAAATATTTACTGAATAATTTTATTTTAAAAAGCATAAAAAATTTAAAATCGTGCAACACTTAATTACTTTAACAAGTGCCACAGTTCACATAACTTATGATATGCAAAACATTTAACCGCGTGTATCAAAATAAAGTAACTTATTTTTGTTATGTTTATAGAATAAATTTTAATACAAATACTTCAATAAAGAATTTCCTTTCGTCGTTATTGTAAGTTTTATGCGTAACAACTATAAAATTTATATTGTTACATTATTGTTAGTAATGCAAAAATCCCCGGTAACAAAATTTTTCCTGCACCATTGCTACTCATGATCGATTCCATTTACGTTAGTAAATTCGATTAGTGTAGTTCAATAGAATCTAAATTAATAGAAAAGGCAATGCTACTTGCCACTTCTATAATACTAAAATATATTTAATACGATACGTTCTCTTCAAGGTGGAGTTATATACCGCTTCATTTGCGAAGTGTTTTTCATCGTGCTTCGAATAAAAAAATAATGCACACATTTTCAATTGGCAAGATTTTCACGTTACAACCCTCTTCATGTAGTTACATTGTCGCAGAAATTTGTGCATACGTATCTGTTGCATTTTACCGACGCGATCCATGCACGTTTCATTTTGGCACAAGGCACAAAATTCGGATGATATCGCGTGAAACGGTGAACGAAAGTAGACGCTGGCATCTTTCAACGCCTTATTTTTACGGTGGGCCCAAACGTGCAACGATACCTCGAACAGCATCAACACGGGCAGAAACCATCGAAAACATAAGACAAGGATAACCAAACAAACTGGATTCAATTGTCCAAAAGATGCTCCAACGGGGACAGGTTCTAATTCCATTAGATTTTCGCTTTTCTTTAGAGAACCATCCTTGGTCGGCAGAGTTTCCTTCACCTCTTTTGGAATCTAAATAATTTTCATTTGATACTCATCTTTCTATACATGTACATATTTATATTTGACTTTTATAATAAATAAAATTACTACCTGAAAACGAATCTTTCGATTTTTCGTCATTTCAAATCCTATCACATTGATCTCTGGTTCTCCTGTTTCGGCATTGTTCACCGAACTAACGAGTTGTTGCACCTCGCAACTGGAAGCTGGAACGCTAATAATTTCACCAGTTTCTTCGTCGATGAAGGTTCGGTCCATTTCTTTGTCGATATTTTGATATAAAAAAGTATGTGCAGACACGTATTTGTGGTCTCGTATTCGGAAAGGAAAACGAAGTTTAATGTATTCGAACGTGCGGTGGGGTCCTCGGGTCACTTCCTGGACACTCTGGCTATGCGCGCAGCGTTTATTCTACCGATTAGAAACCTTGTCGAACAGGATTTTCTGGAACAGGGTAAACAATGATCTATTATTATCCGTCTAATCGACTTGTTCGAAATACTCCGACGTTTTATTTTCATTTCAATTAATTTACAAATATTTGACTTTCATTACGATCAACGGGAACAAAGAGCGAATAAATAACAAGGTTAACTTTTGCATGAAAATAAGTTTAAGTTACAATTAAACTTAATTACTAAAATGAATCGGACATTAAAAAACACAGCTGCAATACAAATTTTTAAATGCGTTATAGTCATTAAAATTTTAAATGTACCATTGTACTTCTGGTCAAAATTTTTCAAAAAATAAATTAAGCAAAATTCGGAATAAATTATTCAATGAACAATGAGTAATGAACGAGTAATATGATTTAATAATCAAAACACAACAAATACTAAGTAATCAAGAAAGTTCTACACTGATATTAGAGTGATTGATCGATCTATATCAATTTCAAAATTATGTTATCTTCTATGCTTGTATTCAATCAGTATTTTCTCACTTTCCGTCACACGCATTGATTTAATACAAATATCGAACAAACGTCATGGAGGCAATAAAGGTTAAAAGAGAAAGCACGTCATATCACATGCGTGAAATTTCGAGCATCGCCAAATATCAGTGACGGTTTTCGATAAATTAATACATAATTTATAAAGCAAGAGTTGAATTAAACGGCTGAATCCGAATTACAACGCAAACTGTATTGAAGTTTTGTGAAACTAACCAAACTATATAACCATGTTTATTAATTAGAAATCCAAACTGCTATTCTCGCTGGTAACATGTTGAAAACAAACGCACCATTTGCATCCGCATTTTATACAAGCTTGAATGATAACTCTGCAGAAATATTCGAACGCACAACACATAATGCAATTTACGATTTGAATCGGAACTATTATTTCAATCGACTGAAATTGTAGCAGAGCTGAATGCACTTTATTCAATTATTTTTGTTTTTATTTATACGTGCAATAGTAGAAAAAGGATGTTAACTCGTGCGAACAAAGTTTCTCATAAGATTCACATTTTTAAGTTCATTTAATAGCACGACAGCGAATTCCGTAATTAGCCGGTAACAAGAAATATAATTGTTCACGCCTTCGCGGAAAATGGTGTAATTCGAATTTACGCGTCACACTGCAAGTCATATTTCAAAAAAGTAGCCAAGAAAAATTCTTTAAAAACTTGGCAACATTTTAATAAGATCGCATGGAAAATGTTGTTTACTGTCGCCAAGAATATTCCAGTTATAAAATAACGAGTAGATGTCCGACTACCATCCTTAGGTTATAATTACATCGAGACTGACTTGCTACATAATTGAAACTGTGCACGAAGCCTTAAAATAGCGTTTCAAAACAATACTGTATAAAGTTATAAAAAAACAGAAACTATCGCTGCGATCATTTGTACATTTCCATTATTCATTCCAGTATACAAAATTATACATAAACAAATTTAGAAATATCAGTACCATCACTGTCAAATGATTTAATTAAATGGATCAAAATCAGCTTAAACAAAATTTGTTATACTATCTGAGTTAATAAAATGTTCTAAAAGTAATGAAAATGAAAGTCCTGAATTTCAGTGTCTAGTTTAACTATCAATAAAAATTGAATAAACATATTGATATTGACTAAGTTTTGCTGATGAAATAAAAAGTAATCTTTCAAGATTACAAAATTAATTTCTGGCAACACCCTACCAGCCTATCTAAGAATAACACGACAAGAAACTTTTTTATTAATTATCAATTTCCATTCAGTAGATACTATAAAAAGATGATATGATATATATGTACACAATACACACATACGTATTTGCAGAATGATTATTCGTCTATGTACAATAAAGAATCAATTTAGAGGTTAATATTCTATAATAGATACAAGCGAGTAGCGAAACGACAATTCAGGTGAAAAAGTAAGATTTAATGACATGTACTTACGAATATTGCAACAAGTTTTAATGCATTAGCTAATAAAAGCGCAATAGCTAATTAACTGGTTTGCAGGAAGATTTAAGTTACACAGTGAAAGTATCACGTTCCTAAGATTGAACGAATTCACATCGAAATAAAATTTTGGATTCGGTATTAGGTGGAAAGCACTGTATCGAGCACAAAATATAACATATTGCGACGATCAGGTCGACAACGACCGTGCAACTCCTCGTGCAACTATGATTTGACTGAAGGTGTACGCCATGATAACCTGTAACTGTGCGGATTGTAGATGATCATGTTTACCAATCATAGAGGTCGCCGGTACACTGATCAATATGTCATATCAGTACCAAGGTCTTCCGTGCAAATTATCAATTAACAATATTTTGTTAAGTATTTGTATAAAAATTATGCGGAAAATCGCAATGACGTATTAGAAAGAAATGCGTGCCAGTAGGTTATTTTTAAATTCGACAGCTCGCTTTGTAGGATCCTGAACATTCATTACGGCACTGATCGCTGTATTCACATAATTCATTTCATGAGTAAATTTACTCAAAATAAAAAGACACAAATCTGTTATTAATTTATGTTATGTATACTAATTTGTCTTGCATTAAGGATATAGATAATTTAGAAGTTATCTTATTAGTTTTGTTTGATCGATACTTAATTAGTCAATAAGTGTTAGAAAGTTTAACGTGACGAAAGTATGAAAAATGGATCAAAACAAAGATCAGGAATCTTTAAAACATAAAATAAGAGATGATGACTCGAGCAAGCAATCTAAATTTAAACGAGTAGAAAAGAGTGAAGAGATGATCATGCAGGACGCTCCTCTTCTGAGCAACGTGGAGCTCAAATGGTGTCGAAAACCTCCTCTCGATTATCACAAGTAACTGTGAAATGTTAAAACAATCATTAATATTTTTTAAAAACTTAATACAAGAAAATACCGATATCAGTGTACGTATATTTCATGCAGGAAAAAAGATGAAATACCTTTCTTTATACCGCACAAAAAGTTACTCGAAAGAATCGAATACAAACCGGAAACTCGAGAACCACTGGTAAAGATATTTTTCAAAAATTATCTCCATTCACTTTCAGTCAATGTATAATGAAAATATCTTTATAGACCGGGTTTACCGCTCATCAAGAGAGAATTACAAAAAAAGTAACCAAACCGCATCATTTGCCAACCACGTTCCCGGAGAAAATGGAAATAGGAGGCGACATTGCACCGAAACTAACAATAGGTAACATGTTTATGCAATATTATTTTTTATTTGTTCAGTAAAAACATACAGTGCTTTATTTATTCAAGTCGATATTGTCATTCTATTATTTCCGCGATTTGCATTTGGCGCAAATGTGCGTGCGCCATCAAGCAGAAGAGCTCGAAAGTATTTTAAAAATTTGAATTTTTCGATTCTTTCCGAGTTGTTTATCGTAATAAAAATTTTGTTGCATTAATTATGTATTTTTCTTACCAAAAACAGTGAAGAGAAAGCTAAAGGATCTTGATGCACCCCCGCTAGTCGATCAACTGGAATTGATTCAACGATTGAGGGACGATCCCAGCATTGGATTCTACTATATGGTTTATGCAGTCGAGCAGTCTTCGAAATATTTTACTCCTTATGCTTTGAAGTAATATGTATTTTCCGAATCGCGTGCGATGTTAAAAAAGAACGCGGCTAATGTACTGTAATTTGTTTCAGAGTTGTTCATTACAAAGACGTAGGTGACACTTACATGACTATCAGTGTCAATGGCGTAACTCAACACAGTCCAGATGAAATGAGTTTTACTCCTATCGAACAATGGGAAAGAGAATATATATTTTATTTAAAATTACTACAAGTAATTAACGAACGATCTATGTTACTTTATACAATAATTATTTATAATTACTTATAGAAAAATTATATAACTACAATCACTAAGTTACGGTATCGTAACAAAGTACTATTCTGAAATCCTATTTCCAGATAAGAACTTTCGTCGTGTTTCGAAAGTGGAAAGCTTTTTATATGTGGAAAAAGTGGATTAAGTATAAGAAATTCGTGCGAGCGAAAAGTTTTTTAAGAGAAAACCTTTTCACATCGGATGCGATTCTCAGTAAAGCTCTACTAGAAATTAAATCGATGTGCTCCGTCTTCATGGATTCAAGTTTCTTCGACGATACCGTTATTGAAAAGTTTCTGCTGTTTTATTTCGTAGAAAAACAAGTAACCATATGCATTGAAAAAAAATATATTTGCAACAAATATCACGATGGCCTTGACATATTTTTTCATTCTAGTTTACTAAACTGGAAGCACTCAGAGAGAAATTAGACGAATATAGGAGCTTAGCATTAGATATTATTAATAACGCTTGCCTCGGTTCTTTATTGCAAGCTGGCTATACACCTGATGACTCCAACATAACGATAGAACAAACCGCATACGGAAAGCTCGGTATATAAACGTAAATATAATGATTGCTACTGATATCTTGTTTATTCAATAACTTTCACTTGACTGTGTAGGCGAGTTCGGTGCTGTTAAATTTAAAATGCCAAAAGATGGTATTCTTAAAATGAGTTACATCGAGCAGGCACGGAAGAGGGAAAAATGTTATAGACTTTCTTGGTACGTCGTTAGCCCTTGTAATACATTTTATTCTATCTATAAAAATATTTTGTATTATAGCTTCATTCATTTGATCGATTACATGCAAGTAAACATGATGCACTCCCTTTTATTACACACGTATCAAGAATTTGTGAATGCTTTGAAGGTTCATACGAAATGTTTGCCGGATTCTGATTTATTGAGCAACGATGTAATTGACATTGTATTAAAAGAAAATCGCCTCTCAACAGATCGTGTTCAGGTATTTTCAAGATGCTAAATTAACTTGCAACTGTATGCAATAATGGTCTTCTGGATTAAGGGGAAAAAGGGGATTATCTTAACCATGCTATTATGCAAGAATAAACTGTGAAACGATGCCATTTTACAGGTACCATATTTCGTGGTGGATTTGCTAATTTTACCCTCTTCAGAAATTGTCATGGATCCGTCGGAGAGCATTTTCCGTTTCGTAATAGAAACCATACAGAACATGTGGGAGGAGAACTTGTACGCTATCAAACCTCTGCTCTCCGATCAGTTTTTCCATTCCTTCACGAGGTACAATTGATTTTCGTCAGAAGCGAAAAGTTAAATGGAAATCATAAGATTTAATGTATATTTGTTCGAGGCCAATGATCAATCATAAGATCGAGGAACGTATTTGCGGGAATCCTCCAGAATGCCACACTGTTCTTAAAATGGATCCCTTCTTAAACTCGTTGAAAGTCGAGTTGGATGAAATTTGGGAGACGAGTTTCAATGCTGTGAAACTATACTGTCAACGATTCAGGGATATCCAGCAGTTTTATATGGAGGATACGACGTTCGATGAAAACATTATTCGGGACAATCGGGACTGCAAATTATTCCGGGAGTGGAGCATTCGTTATAAGAAGGAAGTGGATCTTATCAAGACAGTGATCGATGTTCAGCCACTGGGTATCTTCCTCATTCAACTGGAACGGTTCAAGAACGCCGTCGAAGTTGCCCCCAGAGGTAAATTAGGAGTCATCGAAGCTGTTATGCCTGGGTGAATATATTTTTCCACAAAGAAATTTCATCGCTTCAAACAAATTTTCCTAAATTGTTCCCCTTGCGTTCAGACTAGGAAGAAGCCGAGTTGAAACTTTATTAACGACAGCAATCGACAATGTCAAGTATCTCGAATCTCATCCAGTGACAACAGAAGAATACGTGGAGTACATACAATTCGTGGACAAAGCTCAGCAAGAAGTAGACGAGATGGAATCTCAATTAGATTACGTGAAGGAGCTATACGACACGATGGAAGAATTTGACTTTCCTATACCATCTGTCGACATGGCGAATTATTTGGTACAAATACTTTTACAAACACCTTTCGAATATACGATAACAATCTTCTAAATGTTATAATATTGTAATAGGGTATTGGGACTCATTTCACGAGTTTGCGGTTGGCCGTAGAGAATAAATTAGAGGAGAGACCAAAACTGATCAACAAATTCAACTCCCAGCTTCATAAAGACATCACTGCACTGAACGAAAAAATATCAGAGATTCACGAGGAAATAATGGTACGGCAAAAGGACATACTTTTAGAAATATGATCATAATTTTTCTTTCCTTAACAGCAACCTTGGCTTTTGGATTATGCGAGTAACGTGGATGCTTGTTTGAGTACTTTGAAAGAACTGGACGACCGATTGAAAGTGTGCGCGACTGCCGCTGAACAATATCGAACGTATCAAAGAACATTTAGGGTATCGTATTTTCTGTGATCCATTTTAATCACTTTGGTTACATAATTTTACTTTTGCAGCTCGAACAGACGAGGTTCGACAGCTTAGATCAAGTAAGGAACGAGTTGAACTTGCGAGTTTTGTTATGGGAAAGTCTGACCTCTTGGGAGGAAGCTGTTTACGAGTGGTACACAGGCGACTTCGATGCTTTGGACGTTGAACAAGTCACCTCGTTCACGATGCAAACCATGAAAAATATTATTCAGCTGGAACGAGGCTTGCCACCGAACAATATTCTACCAAATTTGAAGGAAAACGTCGAGTTGCTTAGGAACAAATTACCGATTCTGGGATATCTGAGAACTCCAGACTTAAGAGACAGACACTGGAAGAAGATCCAAGCTATATTGAACTATACCTTCAAACCGGATGAGAAGATAACCTGGACGTTGTTTGAAAACCTGGGTGCATTCCTGAAACCCAATGAACTAATGGAAGTTGCCGCAGCTGCTAGTTCTGAAGCCAATTTGGAGAATATGCTGAACAAAGTCGTTAACTTGTGGGAGACGCTGACCTTCATTATCGTACCTCATAGAGAAGGGAAAGATGTATTCATTATAGGCTCTCTAGAAGATGTTCAGACTGCGATGGACGAGAGCAACATTAATCTTCAAACTATTATGGCATCTCGTCATGTTGGTCCCATTCAACCCCTGGTTGAAAAATGGGTCAAGAAGTTGGATTTATTCACAGTTACCTTAGTACGAAACTTTTATTAAACTCTAAATTGTTTGTTTGTCATTATCGTTTAGTTAATTAGTGGTTTACACGATTTTAGGAAGCGTGGCAATACTTGCAGCAACAGTGGATGTATCTGGAGGCGATATTTTCTGCTCCAGATATTCAGCGACAGCTTCCGATGGAAGCGAAACTGTTCATCGACGTTGATAGATTCTGGAAGGACCTTATGAGACGAACTTTTAAGGTGTGTAGTTTAACAGTAGTTTGATAAAGTTCTCACCAAGTCTAAATAATTCCTAGGCCCCTTTGGCTATGCCAGCCGGTACTCAGCCAGGCTTGTTAGAGTCGCTCGAAGCAAACAACCAAATGTTAGACGAAGTGATGAAGTGTTTGGAAGCTTATCTTGAGACGAAACGCATTGCATTTCCTCGATTTTTCTTCTTGTCCAATGACGAATTGTTGGAAATCCTGGCACAGGTATCGATCAGAAAGGGAAAAACAAACTGATGTTTCTCGTTTCGTTTTAAAATAATAGTACACACGCTGCAAACATGGAATTAAACGATCAACTGTTGTATAATAGACGAAAAATCCACATGCAGTGCAGAGACATTTGCAGAAGTGCTTCGATGCGATATATAGGTTGGAATTTGGCACGAAAGAAGGCGAAAGCGACAAAGAACCAGAAACTGTCTTGACGACAGACATCGTTGCGATGCTCTCGCCCGAAGGAGAAAGAGTTCCTCTTGGAAAAGGTCTAAGGGCTAGGGGTAACGTCGAAAACTGGTTAGGTCGAGTCGAGGAAGCTATGTTTTCGAGTTTGAGAAGCAGAATGAAAGAAGGAATTAAAGACTTCGCGGCGAAAGGACGCGGATTATTTATATATATGCATCCTTCTCAGGTTACTTCTTTATTTATAACTGTGTCTGTAATAAAACAGGTTCTTTTAACGAAAGCAGAAAGTTAATCAATTTTATACTCACCTTCCTCTTGTCTTCTCCAGATAGTCCTTACCGTTTCACAAATATATTGGACTCGAAATATCCATCTGATCCTGGAATCACCCGAAAACGTGCTCCAAAAGATGAAAGCGTTCGAAGAGAAATGTTTCTCCGTTCAGTATATTTTGCTTTCTTCGAGTTTTGCTAGTAATTATTACGAAACCTTTTCTTTTCTTAATTTTGTAGGACTTGAGCGAATTAGCAACAATGGTGAGAGGAGAATTGCCACCCCTGATCCGTGACGTTATAATTAATTTAGTAACGATAGATGTACATGCCAGAGATATCGTCACAACTTTGGTAGAAAATAAAGTATCGTCTAGGTAACATTTCATACCATAAAGCGACGATTTAATTCTTTTTGTTTTTAATTTATATATACATTTTAGTACGAGTTTTGATTGGGTAAAAGCATTACGATATTATTGGGACGACGAAGTCGATAACTGCCTAACGCGTATGAGCAACGCCGAATATTTGTATGGATATGAATATCTCGGTGCTCAAAAGAGACTCGTCATAACTCCTCTCACGGATAAATGTTACTTGTGTCTTATGGGAGCACTGCAACTAGATTTAGGTACAATGACAAGGTTTGACAATGGCAATCTAGAGACACTGCGCTACTGTAATTAATTATTTAAATTGTGTGAATAGGTGGTGCTCCTGCTGGTCCTGCTGGTACCGGGAAAACAGAAACGACAAAGGATTTAGCGAAAGCAGTCGCTGTTCAGTGTGTAGTGTTTAACTGCTCCGAGGGACTTGATTACAGAGTACGAAATAATAGCTTGTTGGCTTTTTAAAATAATCTGAAAATTGTTAAAATGTGAAGTCAATCAAAAGAAAATGATATTTTATAGATGATGGGTAGATTCTTTTCTGGACTTGCAACCTCTGGAGCCTGGTGTTGCTTCGATGAATTTAATAGGATAGATATAGAAGTACTTTCTGTAATAGCTCAACAATTAATTACAATTAGAAATGCAAAGATTGCTAGAGCTGCCAAGTAAGCTGTTACAATAAAATAATGGGCTGTAGAGAATACAAAAACTCTTACTTTATTCTCAGATTCATGTTCGAAGGAAGAATGATAAAACTGGTGATGTCCTGTGCAACTTTCATCACCATGAACCCAGGATATGCGGGGCGCACCGAATTACCTGATAATCTGAAGGCTTTGTTCCGACCATTCGCCATGATGGTTCCAGATTACAGTGCGTATAATCAGCCTTAATAACAGTTTCAATTAGGTCATTAACCTAATTTTTCCGATACAGAATTGATCGCTGAAGTCACTTTGTACTCGGAAGGATTCGAATCGTCGAAAACACTATCGCAAAAGATGACTCTCATGTACACACTCAGCAGTGAACAGCTTTCGCAACAGGATCATTACGATTTTGGAATGAGGTTTTATGCAGTGATTTATTAATATAACTATTTGATTTTTTTATTCGAAGAAATTTTCTTCTTTAAGAGCCGTGAAGAGCGTGCTGGTAATGGCTGGCAGTCTTAAGAGAAATAATCCTGACAAGCCAGAAGACGTTGTTTTAATCAGAGCTCTACGAGAAAGCAATATACCAAAGTTTTTACGCGACGATGCTGAATTGTTCGAGGGTATCGTGGGTGATCTCTTCCCAGGCATTGTCATCCCAGAAGAAGACTATGGTATCCTAAGAGAAACTGCTATCAAGGTAAAGTACAAACTCATCTTCTTCAATTCCTTTTTTATTCATAAAATACATTTTTTAGGAGCTGGAAGAAGCCAATTTGCAGCCAGAGGAGTGCACCGTAAGAAAAGCTATTCAGTTACACGAGTGCTTACAAGTAAGGCACGGTGTAATGTTAGTTGGGCCAACTGGTTCAGGCAAGACTACGGTCCTTCGAGTAAGTAATATCTTTTGCACATAATGAACCTTAATTAAAAACTATTTCCCTTTTAGACTCTTGCCAATACGTATAACAGGCTCCATGAAATGGGTGTGCCTGGAAAATGTTATCAGCACGTCCACATGTACGTGATCAATCCCAAAGCAATCACGATTGGTGAATTATACGGAGAAGTAGATATAATGACCAATGAGTGGCACGATGGTCTAATCGGGTCCAAAGTTCGGCACGCTTGCTCCGTTAGTAGTTATCATGAAACACAGCATTCTGATATAATGTGACAACTATTTTAAACATGCAGTTCACCACTGAGGAACATCAATGGATCGTGTGCGACGGCCCTGTCGACGCTATATGGATAGAGAACATGAACACCGTCTTGGATGACAATAAAATGTTGTGTTTGGCAAATTCGGAAAGAATCAAGTTTACTCCGTACATGCGTATGCTTTTCGAGGTGATGGATCTTGCACAGGCATCTCCCGCCACTGTCAGTCGTTGTGGTATCAAGAATATTTCATAACTTCTTCAAGGATTGTGACTGATTCTAAGACTTGGGGGTTTAATCTTCTCGTATTCTCAAGGAATGGTATACGTGGATCCCATGGAGTTGAAGTGGATGCCTTACGTAAAGTCATGGGTGACGACTCTTCCTGAAGCCACAATTAAACCAGAACATCAAGCACAAATTCTAGATCTATTCGACAATTATCTCGATGCGGGTTTAATATTTTGCAGTAGAAATTGCGACTATCCTATTGCACAGGTGGAAATGTGTTAATTTGTTGTACGAAAGTTAGAACAAAACATTTGTAACATTTCTGTATATTAATAGGTCGACATCAGTAAAGCAACCATGACCTGTTCGCTCATAGAGTGTATTCTGAAGGAACCAGATGCGATAGAGAAGACTACGGATAAATCACGGATTAGAATGTTCTTAACTCAAGTCTTTGTTATTACTTATCTCTGGGCAGTCGGTGGAAATATTGACGATGCCTCGCGAGATGCGTTCGAAGCTTTTGTGAAAAAACAATTCGATGAAAACGAGGATGCTTAGTAAGAAATCTCTACGCCGAACTTTTACATCCACGAGTGAATGTACAATCTTTTCGCATTTGATTACAGTTTGCCTTCGACAGATTTATGGGATTTATACGTGAACGTCCAGGCCCATCGATTGGACCTTTGGCAGGATATCATGCCAGAGTTTGTTTATGACAGCGAGGTACCGTTTTTCGATATTCTGGTTCCAACAGTGGATACCGTAAGATTTGGTTATATTATGAAGAAACTAGTTGAATCGAATAAACCTGTATTTTTTACTGGAGATACTGGTTAGTCATATATCTTCTTCAAACCATCATTTTGCAATTTATTCATGCTTACATAAACCTATATAACATTGGACTATTTTTGTAGGAGTTGGAAAATCAGTAATAACAAAGGTAGTTCTGACAGATTTAGAACACAGTCAACTGTGGGTGCCAATTACGTTAATTTTCTCGGCTCAAACAAGCAGTGGTCGAACGCAAGAAATTCTGGAACTGAAATTGGAGAAAAGAAAGAGAACTGTTTTAGGCGCTCCCATTGGAAAACGAGTTTGCGTGTTTGTTGATGACGTCAATATGCCCAGACTGGATACGTATGGGTCTCAACCACCTATAGAACTTTTGCGGTATAATTACATTAATCACCTATAGACTCTTATATATTAATATAAATTAATATAAAATTAAACGCAATCATTAAACCATACAGGCAATTGTTAGACTTTCGAGGAATGTACGACAGAGAAAAATTATTCTGGAAGGACATCGAAGATGTCGTCTTTACTGTGGCTTGCGCTCCTCCTGGAGGTGGTAGAAATCCATTAACACCAAGATTCGTCAGGCATTTTGCAATGCTACTTATTCCAGCACCCACCGAAACTTCTCTCAAAGGAATTTTCAAGTACTTATAAAAGAATATCTGTGTAAAATTGGATTGGTAATAAAATTAATTTGCCAGGGCAATTATAAACGGTTTCCTGGAAGATTTTGTAGAGGCTGTTAGGCAAATTGGAGACAGAATAGTGAACGCGACAGTGGACGTGTATCGAAGAATCGCAACAGATCTTTTACCAACTCCAGAAAAGAGTCACTACATTTTTAATTTGCGTGACTTGTCAAAGTGCATACAAGGTATCATGCAAGTCGATCCGACAGTTGTTAGGCAACCGATTGAAATGTACAGGTACATCCGTCATACATTGCAGAAAATTATCTTAAAAATATAATGACGCTAATAGAATTGAATTATTTCTTTAGACTCTTTTATCACGAATGTCTCCGAGTCTTCCATGACCGACTAATCAACGTAGAAGACAAAAGTTATTTCTATAAGCTTTTAAACAATATATCCATTGGTACGTTTGGTACGGAGGTGGTGCGACTTCCGGACGAAGCCATCATCGAGAAACCACCGTTACTGTTATTTGGTGATTTCATGGCTTTCGGAGCAGCGAGAGAACAACGCATTTACGAAGAGCTTACGGACATTCCATACGTTAAAAGCACTTTAGAGGTGCCTTGTTAAATCTTCATTCCACAATATCAATATCCCAAATATTGATTTATTTTTAAAAACTGTAGTCATACTTGGAAGATTATTGCTTTTCCGTTGGCAAAGAAATGCAAATCATTTTCTTCATGGACGCCATAGAGCACGTTTGTAGACTAGCGAGGATTCTTAGATCCGAACGAGGCAATGGATTGCTGGTCGGTGTCGGTGGAATGGGAAAACAGAGTCTAACGAAATTGGCGTCTCATTTAAACGGCTACAAGTTTGTAACATAAATTACCCACATTGTATCTTACATAATATAATATCTTCCGGCGTGAGTCAGAAGTTCTTGGCTAGAGTATCGAATGCTTTCAGGTGTTATTACATCGAAGTAACTCGAACGTACGATAAAGCTGCATGGAACGAAGATCTCCGACGCTTCTATTTCGAGCCAGGCACACTCGCTAAACACACAACATTTTTATTCACCGATACTCAAATCGTGCTCGAAGAGTTCTTGGAGGATATCAATAATACTCTCAATACCGGTAGCTTTACCGATGCGTGGAAACAATTCTACGGTAACCAAAAACAATAATCTGCAGGTGAAGTACCGAATCTGTACGAAGCGGATGAGCTTGAAAAAGTTATCATAGCTACGAGACCGGCAGCGAAAGAAGCAGGCATCCCTGAAGCAAACAGAGACGCGATTTATCAGTTCTTTATTGGAAGAGTCAGAAATCAGCTCCACTTGATGATTTGCATGAGTCCTATAGGCGATGCATTTAGGTCAGATTTTTACAGAGGCTAGTCAATCGAGTTACGAACGAAGAAAGTTTTTTTTGGGTTTTACAGACATCGTTGCCGTATGTTTCCATCGTTAGTAAACTGCTGCACCATCGATTGGTTCACAAAATGGCCAAGAGAAGCCCTGCTGTCGGTAGCAGAAAATTCTCTCCAAGTCATCGTACCAGATGACCAGACCAAGCTTATGGCCTTAAGTAACATTTGCGTGTTGATTCATGAGGTACCTTATCTTCTAATAGGAAGTCATAAATGATCACGAGATCGATAAATGTAAATATCGAAGAAAATCTTAAAATTACAGCAAGTGGAAGAGGTAACAGTTCGATTCTTCCTGGAAATGCGTCGAAGATATTACACTACGCCAAGCAGTTACTTAGAACTCTTGAAGCTATTTCAGACCACGTTGAAAAAGAAGGAACGGGAAATAAAATTACTGAAAACTAAAATCGCTAATGGCTTAAATGTTAGTAATATCAAAGTATTCCAAAGAAGTCAGAAGATAAATACTCATTATTTAAATAGAAACTTCACGAGACTAACGAAATGGTGAGCGTAATGAAGGAACATTTAGTCGTGCTTGCCCCAAAACTTAAAACGAGCACGGACGAAGTATCGAAATTAGTGAAAATCCTGGCGAAACAGCAAGCTGAAGTTGATAAGGTGAAGCACGTGGTCACCGCTGAAGAAGCAATAGCAAAAGTACGACTCGCATGCAAGAAGTAAATGATAAATCAACTATATTGCACATTATAACGTTAAACTTTATTAGGTGAAAGCTGAAGAAACAGCACTTTTAGAAGCGGACGCTAGACAAGATTTAGAGGCAGCGATGCCAGCTTTGCTGGAAGCTCAGAAGGCACTGGAGGCTTTGAATAAGAGTGATATCAGTGAGATTCGCGTGTTCAATCAACCGCCTCATTTAGTCCGTTTGGTAATGGAGGCGGTTAACTTATTACTGGGTGAAAAGTACGTTTCGTTAAGTAACAATGTAACAGTTCAAAAATGTAACATTCTTCTAATCCAAAAATTGATGTTAGGACCGACTGGCCAAGTGCCAAGTTAGTCCTAGGTGACATACACTTCCTGGATCGTTTGCTCACGTATCCCACGGATGAAATAAGCGACAGGCTACTAAATAACCTGCAATACTACATCAATCATCCAGAATTTAAACCAGATTTGGTAGCCAGACAGAGCAAAGCTTGCAAGTCGATGTGCATTTGGGTGAGAGCGATAGACGGATACGCCAAGATTTATAGAGTGGTCGAACCAAAGCGTCAGAGGTAAACTCTGTGTAATATTAATTACTACGCGTTGAACTCATTAATTACTTGCACAGATTACAAAAAGCTGAAGGAGAATTGCGGGCGATCGAGGCAGTGGTGGCTCAAAAACAGAAAGAACTAGCTGAAGTGGAGGACAAGATTAAACAGCTACAAATACAGTACGATGCAGCCTTGGATAATTTGAACAAATTGGAGTCCGAAATGGAACTGGTAGAGGCAAGATTAAACAGATCAGGAAGACTTACGTCCGCGCTGGTGGACGAACGAATTCGATGGGAACAAGCGACACTTGTACGATTCTTACGAAATATAATATAGAACAGTATTTTACTTCTAACTTTTTAGGGATTTGACAAACAAATGGTTAATTTAACTGGTGATATACTGGTTGCTGCTGGAGCACTTGCCTACCTAGGTGCGTTCACGAACGAGTACAGAGAAGAATTGTTACAAACATGGTTGACCAACTGCAAAAACTACGATATAAAGACCACAGAAAATTATAATCTTATTACGATATTGGCTGATCCTTACGAAATTCGTCTCTGGAATACTCACGGTTTGCCAAGAGACAAAGTCAGCACGGAGAACGCTATTTTAGTGACGCAAGCTAGCCGCTGGCCTCTGATGATCGATCCACAAGAACAAGTAATTACCTTGAATTGTCCCGTTCAAGATGTTACAGTACTATGTTTATTCAGGCGAATAGATGGATACGGAACATGGAACAAGATAACAATTTGAAAATATGCAAACTGACGGACACGAATTTCTCAAGAATATTGGAAACGTCTATAAGACTTGGGATGCCTGTACTGCTTCAAGAAGTGGGAGAAGTGTTGGATCCGAATCTGGAACCTATCCTGCTCAAACAACTTTTTATCCTAGTACATATATTTTGTAAAACCGTATGATCTGTTTGTAATATATCGTAATGTTTAGGGTGGCAGGACATTGATACGATTTGGCGACACCGACGTCGAGTACGATCAGAATTTTAAACTGTATATCACGACGAAACTTGCAAATCCTCATTACTTACCAGAAATTTGTATCAAAGTGACAATAGTGAATTTCACCGTGACCATGGGAGGTCTCGAAGAACAATTACTAGCGTAAGTGAATGAGTCTGTATTAGTCAGACTAACTGTTTTTATTTAGGATTTAATATACAATTCAATTATACCGCAAAAGATTAAATAGCTTTCAAATTTGTACAGGGACGTCGTACGTCTCGAAAGACCGGACCTCGAGGAAATGAGAAACGATTTGATAACGAAAATCAATGCGGATAAAGGCCAATTGTTGAGCATTGAGGACAGAATACTGACACTGTTGTACAGTTCAGGAGACGATATTTTGGATAACGAAGATCTCATAGAAACTTTGAATGACAGCAAGGAAACATCCGCGATCATCGCAACAAGATTGATAGAAAGCGAGGCGACCGAGGAGAAAATATCTGTTGCGCGGGAAAAATATCGGTCGATTGCGAATCGAGGATCAGTCCTGTACTTTGTAGTTGCAAATCTTGCAGTCATAGATCCGATGTACCAGTTCTCGTTAAAATATTTCAACCAGATATTCAATATAGTAATCGACACGAGCGAGAAAGTAGAGGATTTGCAAGAGCGTCTGCAAATATTACTGAACGAAATAACATTAGCTATTTATACGAATGTTTCGCGTGGACTATTCGAAAAACACAAATTGGTGTTCAGTTTCATGCTCTGCATTGCGGTACACATGAACGAAGAAATCGTTTCGCCAGCACAGTGGAATTTTATGATACGCGGGGCTGCACATACCACCAAGGTATTTCGATGAAAAAAAATCATCGTTAATCTTCAATATTCATTCGATCGATTTTGTAGGAAGGAATTCCAGATTATCCAACGTTGACGGTTCATATGTGGTCTTGCGCTAATTACCTGGCGGAAAACTTTGACGTCTTCAAAAATATTTTAAACGATTTGTTCAGGAAAATTGAATTAAATCTTGGATATTTTAAGGCGGTAATTATTCACCTTTTCTAACTTTCATTGCACTTTTAGATCTCACGGGGTGTTTTCTTTTAGGAAATCAATGTGATCCCTACAAATACAAGCCGGGCTACACATAACTGGGATACAACATTGAGCGATATCGAGAAGCTGATGTTGTTGAAAGCATTAAAAGAAGAGGAATTGATTTTTGCAATCACGGCCTACGTGTCGAGAAATCTTGGAAAGAAATTCGTGGAATCACCCATGGCTTCGCTGCAACTTCTGTATTTAATTAAATCCAAATTTATTTCTTATACACATAGAAATAAACAATGATTTGCAACACAATTTTCATAGGTTCGCAGACACGTCGAACAAGATACCACTGGTGTTTATACTGACAACCGGATCAGACCCTTTCAGTGGCTTTTTAAGATTTGCAAACGAAATGGGTTTCTCTACCAAGTACGATTCAATATCTTTAGGACAAGGACAAGGACCTGTTGCAGAAGGACACCTACGAACCGGCACCATCGAAGGTAGATGGGTATTTTTGCAAAACTGTCACCTGGCCACTTCGTGGATGATCAAAATGGAGCAGCTGATATTGCAAATCGCCGAAGAACCAGAGGGTGTGATTCACGAGGACTTTCGACTGTTTCTAAGTTCTATGCCAAGCAAAGCTTTTCCAGTGTCTGTTCTTCAGAACGCGGTCAAAGTTACAAACGAGCCGCCCAAAGGTCTGAAAGCGAATATCAAGAGAGCACTGCACGATTTGGAAGACCAATTTTTTGAAGAACATCGTAAGGAAAAATCAAGTGTCTTTGTCAGAATAGTAGAGAGAACTGTCAAATGATTTAGAGATTTTTCATTTCAGACTTGGGAAAAGACTGGCGCAAAATTATATTTGGAATTTGCTTCTTTCATGCTATTATCCAGGAACGAAAGAAGTTTGGCCCGTTAGGGTGGAATATTCTTTATGAATTTAATGACAGTGACAGGGAATGCTGCTTATTGAATCTGAAAATATTTTGCTGCTACGATCGTATACCTTGGAATGCCTTAATCTATACTACTGGTATGTTTAGTGTATATGAATGATAGAAATGTAAGAATAATAGCTATGTATACTTGTTTTAGGGGAGATCACATATGGAGGTAGAGTGACAGATAACTGGGATTTAAGATGTATGAAAACGATCCTAGACATATTCTTTTCTCCAAAAACTTTGAGAAGCAGTAAGATATTTTAAGCAGAATAAATTTTGTAAATAATACACTAATACAACGTTTTTCAGATTACGTTTATTCGGAATCTGGAAAATATTACTGCCCCAATTATGATACTTTGCAAGAGTATCAAGATTTTGTAGAAACGTTTCCTATTATCGACGATCCGGAAATCTTCGGAATGCACGAGAATGCAAACACTATTTATCAGGTATAATTAAGCAGATAAATTATGTGTATTTGCTGATAATTTAACTGATGTAATTGTTACCATGAAAGCTGAAAGAAGCACAATTTATTTTGAACACTATTCTGGAAGTCCAGCCAAAAGAATCCGGCATTGATCAAGATGCATCGAGTTCGGACATAGCATACGAAATGGCGGAAATGATCAAAAACAGAATTCAATTAAAAATAGATCCTACGGAATGTAATCCAGAGCACTTGAAAGTAAGCAAACGGCAGAAAGTACAACAATTGAATGTAGATTAAACAATGTTATCTTGTCTTTGCAGAGAGATTCGATGGGAAGACATCCATCACTGACTACTGTTCTCGTTCACGAAGTAGAAAGGTACAATATATTACTGAAGAAAATACATATATCGCTTGAAAATTTACAACGTGCTATCAAAGGTTTTGTTGTAATGTCTGAAGAATTAGAAGGAGTCTTTATGGCTTTTGTTAACAATCAGGTATTAATTTCAACCTAATTTAATACCTTGCAGTCTTTTTTAATTTTATATTTGTATAAATTAGGTACCACAGATGTGGCATAATGTAAACGTCTATCCGTCTTTGAAGAAATTGGGAAGTTGGATAAGAAACTTAGAACTGAGGATCGATTTCATTCAAGTAGAAATATTGAAAAATTACAAAAATAACAATAACTTCAATAATTATTATATGTTATAGATCTGGTTAATCGATATAAAGCCGATTTCTTTTTGGATTTCGGGCTTGTCTTTCCCACAAGGCTTTTTAACTGGTATGATGCAAACTTGTGCAAGAAAATACAATACTCCTATTGATCACTTGAAATTGGATTTTATTGCCACTAAAGTGGTTCTTGATCAAGAAGACATTGAAGCACAGCACAGAGAAGCTCATAAGGAGGTCTGATATGTTATATAAAATATTTTATAAGAATAATTACAACAAAGTGTCTACAGCAATAAATATTTATGCATTTATAGGTAATAGAAGTATATCAAAATTTACAAGTACCAGAAGATGGAGTTCTGATACATGGACTATTTATTGATGCTGGTAGATGGGATTTTGAATCTATGTTTTTAGTAGATGCAAATATAGGTAAAGAATTTCAGATTATATTATTTTTTATATAATACTGAAAAGATAAATGATCAAATCATCAATTTCAGGTGAAATGCATCCATCACTTCCAGTTATACACATAAATCCAGTATTAGAACTACCAAAAGATGATCCAAGATATGTTTCACCGCTATATAAAACAGCTGTAAGAGCAGGTGTATTATCTACAACAGGGCACAGTACAAATTTTGTTATTGCAGTTTTACTTCCATCTGCCAAAAAGCAGGCATATTGGATTTTGAAAGGGACAGCTCTTCTGATAGAAATCATAGACTAATGTTAATGTTAATGTTATGTAACAAAGTAGTTATAATAATTAAAAGTTGTATAGATTTTATAATGCTATTTGTATAAATACATATTTATTAAATATTTGTATTAAATACATTCTTTATAATATAAAGCGTTATTAGAAAAGTTATACTGAAACTTGTGTAACTTAAACACAATGAACACATTGATAATACAAAACAGCATTTACTAATTGCTATTAAAATAATTCTCTCTGCTTTCTTTTTACAACATTAGCATGATAATTATAGTCTTCCTTGTCAATGGTCCACATTAAAGCCATATATATTGTAAGTATGGAAGCTAATAATAATCTGTCTAATCTATAAACATTAAAAATCAACTATTTATATACCTTTGATATGACTATGGTAATATAACTATAAGTTATAAATGTCTTACGTCATATAGGGATATATCCATAGAACAATAAGAAATCCTGTTAAGCTTGGATGTCTCATATGCGAGTAATATCGCAACAATTCTTTAGATTTCATTACCATAGGACTTGGTCTTGATGAAAACTTATAATATACTTGCTTTATCCCAGTTAATTCAGATATATCCATCATTAAACATCCGCTATAAATTATGGACCAAGCTAATACATGAATAGCAGTAAATATAAACCATGTACTACTATTAGATGATGTATTGATATTCCATAACGTAAATGATGATATAGTGTGCCACTGATTAAATAATAAATGAAGGGCCATAGCACTGACAACATTGTAAATACTTCTTTCCATGTAATCCATATGAAATTTACAAAATAAATGTTTCACAAAATCAGTAGCCATAAGTGAGTGTTGTAACATAAAAACACTTAACACAAACATATTTATTATCAACAACCATAATACCGAATCAACATTTTCATCTGCAATATAAATTTGTAAAATAAAATAAATGACATCATTACTTATTTTTAAAATAATATATAACCAAATCATTTGTTAAATTACTAACGCTATTAATAATTGTTGTCAATTACCTTTTTGAGATGAAATGATTATTTCTTTGTTTTCGTTATGAACTGATAAGAAATATGTCAGATTACATAAAATGTAAAACGTATACAAAAAGCTTGCAGCGCACGTCAGTACGCTGACACATTTGACAAACATTTTGTAAAGTAAAATACGTTCAATCACTAACTCAACTTATAATTACTCTACATTGTAAATATGATACCAACACACAGTACATGTAATTACAATTTATTGATAATAATTTTACATAGCTATAAATATCTTACTGTTGTTTATTTACAGAGATCTTAGCTGCCATGAAACTTATATAGACTAGATACAAATATTTATTCAAATTAGCTATGTGGCCTGCAGATCGTGGAACAGAAATTTACATTGCGTGATAAGTCTACATTATATCTTGTTCATGCTTTAACCTATATTTTGTTTCGTAAGAGAATCGTAAAAATTCGCGCATCTCACAAAAGATCCTCTACCACTTGCGCGGTACCAATCTGTAATGCTTTTCACTTCATGGCTATATACACGGTGAATAAAAGTATATGAACAGATGGAAAGATCATAGGTATACATGTTTACACAAATAGATGAGCATTTTATAATAAAAGTTGAAGCCAAATCTAAGCTCTGATTTCAGCCTCAGCTTCAACTTTTATTACGGAACATGAAATATATCCGTGAGAAAGGATAATAATAAAGAAAATATACCAAATAACAGCAACACCCGCCACACTTGTGTTCCACCCCTACTTATAGAACACATTAGAACCAATCAGAGTAGACCTGCGCAGTATAAACGAAAATTCGTCACTAGATGCTATAGTTCCTCTACAAAATACACTATACATAGTCTTGGCGCGAAATTGTATTATTTTAAATATCATTCACACTGGGCGTGTTAGAATACGTAAGTAACACACTAATAAGATCATTTTTATAGTAAAATCCTTACGTAAAATAGAATTTGATGATCTTTATTAATCGTCATTTGCTTTGCTCTTATCTTAATACATTAAATTTTGAATAAATCATTATAATCGAAAGATCAGCCAACGCCTGTCGGAATGAATTGTCATCTATGACCGTGGTGTTTCGTATTATCTGTTTCATCAGTTTGGAATGCAACTTTCCGTCAAAAGAAGAGGTCAGGTTAACTTTCAATCGTGTGGTTTGGAAATTTGCACGTCAACCAACTGGCTTTTGAAAAAACTTGGCTGGTACTTATCAATATCTAATTTGTAAGTATTTAAAACGTATTTTTTATACAAAAATATTTTATGGAAACTATAAAACTATATAATGTTTTGTAATTTAATAATAACAAAGTTAATTGTTGTTACAGTGGGTAAATTACAATTTGTGTGTAACTTTATTATATCTTTTATGAATAAATACTTAAGAAGTATGCTGTGCATTTATTTCTTTAAATATTTTGTTTGAATGTACTCATATAAACAGTAAACAAAAACTGTAACAGTTATTTTTTGAATACTAGAAATTTCTATGCATCCAATTTAATTTTTATTGCATAATCATTGTATTATTTAAGCATTTATATACCTAATGTTCTTATATACTTGATAATATGTGTAGGTATGCCACTAGGTATGAAATTGAAGAAATAGAAGATGAAGATCTAAGAAGTTTCTTAAACATGTAGTAATTATTCATAAATAAATATAAAATAATTCTAGACATGTATATTACATATATCTTGTTGCACGAAATATTTTACTTTTAACTTTTAACATATTTTCACAGTTGGTCCAAGATGTCAAACCCTGCTGATCGTTTAAATTATGTACAAGATAGCAGCAGTGACACAGAAACAGACAAAGAAACAGGTAGCAGAGGGCAACATCGTATTTATAAAAATAGAATGAGGTATAACGTTTGTTATATTCAAAAATATTAATAAGTATAATATTTGTTACAATATAACAACAAAAAGGCATAGATATTTTAAGTATTTTACATTATCAGCTTCCTGTCTCAATAAAGTAGAAAAATTAAATCAAGCGATGACACTGTAACATCTAATCTCTAATTCATTACATTTTTAACTACTTTATTTAAACTATTATATATTTAAATTACAGCATGTACATTAGGATCGTTGTAATGCAGTATGTTGTATGCATGCTTCATTGTTTCATTAGTTAAAGATTAGTTAAAAGCAATAGAATGATGTAATTGAAATCTACTTTAATGTTTCATGTTATTTATTGAAAAATTTATAGAATTTTTTTATATTATACAACTTCACTTTTGCTTTAATTACATGTTTTTTATTATATTTTTTTTTTTTATTTTTTTTTTGTTGAGAAGATGTTGAAAAGTATTTAAGATATAAAAATATGTCACTTTTGCAATCTAGAAATTGAATTAAAATAAAAAATTATTATAACTGAATGTTTGTGTACATACACTTAACCATTAACTTTAATTGGTCGTTACTTTAGAATCGGTAGATACTACACAATGCCTGTTGTTGAATGCAAACATTAGGGAGGTAATGTTGTTGTTTTGCATGTAGTTGTGGTGGATCTTCCAAACCAAAATCTTGTCTGGTGCAAAGGGATGGAAGTAGTGAAAGGCACTGTCATTCTTTCAATTCTGGCAGACAAAATACAAATGTTAGTCAACAAAACAGGTAATATTTACAAATTAACAGAACATTATAAAGAGAAACTTTTGCTTCATCTCTTTTTGAAAAATAAAATAATTTCAACTTATCATTTGATAATACAAAATGTTTGGATATTTTTATATTTTGATGCATTTCTATCTTTATTCTCTGTATTATTAAAACAAGAGCCCAGACATCAATATATAAGAGGTAGGTCTTATTTACAAATTTACTTAGGATTGTACATGGCTTTCTATGTTTATTAGTTATAATTTGTTTGTTTTATGTAGGTATTAATATTAAGTGATCTTCAGTAGTCACTTAGAACATATTTTTCTTCAGACTTTGCTCTGGAGTTGGTGTGGGAAAAAGTCAACAAAGTCAAAATAGAGATAATTTACCATCTTCTGGCTCTGTTACTGGTATAAACAACCCACAAGCTAGTGATGAACGCATTACTCTTATCGTTGATAATACTAGGTAAATATTATGTAACATAACTTTGAATAATATTTTACATAAAAAATTAATTTAAAAATTATTTCTAGGTTCATTGTTGATCCCGCATTATTCACTGCATATCCAAATACGATGTTAGGTAGAATGTTTAGTTCTGGCGTTGAATATGCTCAACCGAACGAACGCGGTGAATATGAGGTTGCAGATGGTATATCCGCCATGGTCTTTAGAGCTATTCTCGATTATTACAAGGGTGGAGTAATTCGATGCCCGCCGACAGTTGCTGTCCAAGAATTACGGGAAGCCTGCGATTATCTTCTCGTTCCATTTGATGCCAGTACAGTAAAATGTCAAAATTTAAGTAAGTATAATATTTTAACACGTAAAATTAATAAAATCAGGAAATGATAAAGTTGATAGTTATTTCTTATATTTGATGAACTTTTCTAAGCAAGTAGAAGCCATGACAATTTATGGTAGTATCTTGTGTAAACTATTGTTATATAGTATTTTAAAAAAAGCATGACATTTGCTTGTAATTTAATGGCAGGAGCTCTAGAAATTAGATAATTTATTATAGGGGGATTATTACATGAGTTATCTAACGAAGGCGCGCGGTGCCAATTTGAAGTGTTCCTCGAGGACTTGATATTGCCCTTGATGGTAAACAGCGCACGCAGAGGCGACCGCGAGTGTCACATCGTTGTCTTATTGGAAGATGATATCGTTGATTGGGACGAAGAATATCCACCACAAATGGGAGAAGAATATTCACAAAGTACGTACGTGAAAGTTAGCTCTTTTTACAATATCGAGGTTCAAAATATATATCCACGCTGTGGTATATTGAATATATAAAATAGGAAATCGATAATTGTATCGTTTACACTCTTTAACACTTTGTTAAACATATTAAGCATCTTTCCGATCAGCATGGAATTTCACGTGTTACTTTATTTAAAAGAAAATATGCTGTCTCTGTTCATTTCATTGTTTTATAACGAAATTCTTGTATGTTTTCACAGCTGTCAACAGCACTGCGATGTATCGGTTCTTTAAATATATTGAAAATAGAGACGTGGCCAAGCAAGTAATGAAAGAACGAGGTTTGAAGAAGATTCGTTTAGGCATCGAAGGTTACCCTACGTACAAAGAGAAAGTGAAGAAAAGAGCCGGTGGACGGGCCGAAGTAATTTATAATTACGTTCAAAGACCTTTCATTCACATGTCTTGGGAGAAAGAAGAAGCGAAAAGTCGTCACGTCGATTTTCAATGCGTCAAATCTAAATCTGTGACGAATCTCGCTGAAGCTACTGCCGATCCAGTATTAGATGCTGGTGGAAATCCTATTGCGATCGGTCTCCTGCAAGCAGCAGACCCAGTGCCTCAACCAGAAATCGTGCTACCAGTCGGTTCAGACGCCGACGTTGAAGGTGCCATAGGTTTACCGGCCGATCAAGACCTTGGATCTATACCACCCGACGAGTTACCATGAATGTTAAGTGTACAAGATAGACTGAGCAGGCACGAAGTTCGGTTACCAAGTATTTATGGACTGCTTTCTTCTTGCGTCAATTTTTAAAGTTAGTCAGACTCGCTTATCTCACAATTTCATTTAATTCGGTAGTCATATTTGAACATCGTTGGTTTTCTAACGAGAAAACTCTATCATATTTTCCATATTTTTATACCGTAAGCACTCAATATTAGTTGAACGAAATTGCTTGACTACAAAAGCGCGCTTCGAACAAGACAAAAAGTTTCTTGTGGGTTAGGCAGGTCTGATTTTGACTCAGTCAAAATGATACATAGTGAAATTATCGCATCTTGTGGATGTTCATCTAGTTTAACAAAATGTCCGCCGCGACTTTTTCAATTTTGTATGTAACGTTAAACGTTTCTAATTACTTGTCAAATACAAAGTAACGATTCGTTGATATTTGCGAACAACACTTGCCGTTTTATACGATTAATAAAGTTGAATACCGTTTCCGAGTCTATGCTTTCTTGTTTTCTGCACCCATCATTCTTTACCTATATTCGTTTATAACAATGTTACGTGTGCGTATCAATTTAAACAATAAGCAAATGCGTCGGAAAGGAGGAAACTTCAATTGATTACAGTCGATAAGACGCGAAGTAGAGACGTTCGCGTACGGGAAAAGTGGGAATCGTAAGTGTCGTGAGAGATCGAAAGCATCGGGAGTAATTCGGAAAAAGGAGTATGAGAGATCCCGAAGGCGTAACATGGAGAAAACGCAGGCGCGTATGCGATCAATAAATAGGCTAGCTCAGTCGAGGACGGGTGATCAGTAGCGTACGAACACGCAAGCGGTGAGGGTGGTAGCACGTATATTATTGTGTCGGGTGAGGCGTACGAAAACAACAGAGCACCCCTCCCCGGCGGACGGTGTAAAACGGGCTGCCAGCGGTGAGGCTGCAGAGCAGGCCGCTCGTCCAGCATGCAACCACCACCGAGAAAAGTAAGCCGACGAGATTGACATTCGCATTTCCATACATGTCACTCTTGTCATATATATTCTTAGAACGACAACTCTATACTCTTGTCGTATCCTTGCATTCGAGCTTTCTTCCGCCGTTTCCTCCTACTTCATTGATCGTTGCGAGTTCTTCCTAAGTCGAATACTACTGCACGTTGTTAGAACGCCTGCGAAACGTGTACCGAGCATGAATGAGTACCCTGGCGAAAATCTTTCAAGGTAACTGAATCGAAAGCAGTCAAAATGAAAAAAGGAAGAAAATAGGGAACGAAGGGTATAGGTCGCAACGTGTCATGTGTATCGAAGGAAGTACGAGGGGTTGACACTTGCTCTCGCCACGATCGAGATACGCGAATTTGACCGCGTATCGATCTTTAGCGACGTCTTACGGAAAAATTGACGTAAACGGCGCTCGAACGTTGCCACGATGAGAAAATCGATGCGCACTTCGGTCCTTCCTGCGAATCTATACCAAAAGCTGACCTCAAAATGTATAGAACAGGCCAAAGACCTGGTTCGTTTCGGATCGAAACGAACGTGCGTACCAACGGTTAAGTCACAATTTTATTTCCGCGATCTCTCGGTTTCTTCCATGGACACATTCATAAAATATCGCTTCGTTCGAGTATGTAAAGCTCTGCGAACCCTGAAATTTCTATCTGTCATTATGTAACGGTGCGAGGTTCCACTTAAAATCGATGCTTGAAATTTTGAATGTAGGACAATTTTTTTCCGGAAGCCATGTTTTTTCGTGACAATTTCATGCAAATGTCACGGAAACGTGGTAGTTACGCATAATGAAGGAGGAAGAAACAATTTCCATGAGAAATTCTTGAACCGATCAAAGATTGTAACGAGGCAATTACGAAGATTGGAGGAACGTGTTCTTTGGGATTGATCCTAAAATTCGTGGAACAAAAGAACGTGTTTCAAGGTCGACCGAAATCTTGGCGATATCGATTTAAGAAACTACTGGTTCGGAACAATTTCTAGCTACTTAAATCATAGTAATTGTTCTCCATCGTACAGTTATCTCTGTCCCTTTAAAGATAACAGCATTTCCTGACCCATTTATCAAGGTGCACCAACCGGCCCTTTGCTTCGCTCCACGACAATGAAGTTTCGCAGTTAAAGATCCGGAGATTCCTGACCCACTTCGACTCGTCGAACACCAGCCGTGCGATAAGAATTCAAAAAGATCCGTGAAAAGAGAACAAATACACATTTTCTAACAGTTGTCCAAAAACATACTTCAGTTGAAATTTAAATCAACACGCTTTACGAGTGCTCGCCTCTATTTGCTTTTCGCGCTACGATTTCTTTTTCATCCCCTGTTTTTGTCTCTTTCAACCAACTTCGCGTTCACTTATTTTTTCCTTTTTTACGAAAACTTCAATTTCAGCGGGATATTCGAAAAAGGAGGGTCATTTAGAAATTTTCGCGAAGAAAAATTGTTTGCTTGACCGATGAGAGATTTTTAAGCTCGAAAACTTTTTCCTTGTTTGTCCTCGTTAGCTCCGACTTGGCTCTTTGATCGATCAAATATTTCTCAAAATAATAAAAGTCTTTATTAAGGTCATGACTATAAATTTTCTTCGGTATGGCCTTCCGCTCGTTGCCTGGACATTTCTTGGCTATATCATGGTGCTTTGGCGAGAATGCTTCGGTTGAAAGCCTGACCTTCTCGTACTATCCAAGCTTAATTAAAGAATCAGCAACTTTCGTCGCTTCAGAATCATATCTCTCTCGCGTCGGACTAATGAAGGCAATAATTAAACTTCGATATTAATTAAATGAAATCGGATTACGTATTTATCCAATGTTTATTCGGCGAATAACAGCGATGGAAAAAGCTTCGACGCTTTATGCTCGTTCAGTGGCTCGAGTTGAAATTTCTGCACGCGGGCGTCAAAGTAGTCACGGAACAAAGAAAAAAAGGGCTTCCCTTGTTACTTGATATTTCCATTACCATATTTGCTACGATCGTTGACGCAAAGGGCAGAGGAAAAAAAACCTGGAAAATTTACATTCGCTCTCGGCAGCGATGAACTAGGCTTTCCCATTTAACGATCCGTGTAACAATGCATAACGTAACGAGCACACAAAAAGTAATTATGTATGAGTCCCTAGACCGTGAGCGTATCTCCAAGCTCTGTGCTTTCAAAAATGCAACGCCAGACTTTCCAACAAGGACAAGAGTGGGTGACTGCAATTTCGACAATTACACAGGTTGTCCCCGTGTGTTAAACATCGGCAATTGATTCGCTAGAGTTCACGGGGTCAATGCGAGCCCTGATGCGTAAGGGAGACGTCGATGCACCTGCTTGTACTACAAAATTGAACTTGACTTCGAACAATGTTACCGCTGATTAAAGCGTTACCCTTGTTAGCTTCCTCGGCGGACAATTATTGGGACGTGCAAGAGACCGATAACCGTGACGGGCAAAGGAGATTGCTTTTTATTCCACGTATAGTATATTTTCTTTTTTTTTATTATACATTTATTTTGTACATGTTATTGTATTTAATATTTTTTTTAGTCTGTGGATAACCGTGACGGACAAGGAGACTTTTTGTTCTATGGACATTTTTTCGTGGTTACTATATTTTATATTTCTTTTTTACGTTTAATAATTTTGTCGATAATACGTTCGTTCTGTTCTTTATTTTATATGCTCGCTAAAAACTATCTTCTTTGTTTAAATATTAGTTCTGGAATAACTAAAAAAGATTCGACTATCAAAATTGTACAAAGATCATTGTATTCGTACTCACATTTTTTTTGCTGCGTTGAAAAAATATTCAAAACTAACTATTGCAAAATAAATTTAAATTAGTCACGAATGAAGACTCTTGCTGATACTCGGATCTCCTTAATTACAGGGAAATTATACAAAGTTTCTTAAGAATGTGCACGCAGAACAAGCGGCGAAGTTGCAAGCGAAGAACCAGCACGAGTGCGACCTTCTGGAAGATATTCGGTGAGCCTTAAACTTATGTAAAGGAGGATTAGACGAAAGCTCTTTTATATAGCCTAAGCTGCAGTTATTTTATGTCAGCGATTTCGATCCCTTCGAACTTTTACTTTTACTTTCAAACAATGTTCGAAGAATGCCGAATCGTTTACAGAACTTGCTTAACTACTTTAATGCCTTATATGCTAATGTATGTTTCAGTAATTTCACGATAAAAAAATCTGCTATTGAAAAGTCGTATTCAGAGGTAAGATTGCTACGTTACGAAGTATATTTCTAAGACTCTTCGAAATTTTGATTGGCAATCAATGTTTCAGGCACTACTTAAAATATCTTCCGCGTATTTAAATAAAAAGATCCCTAATATTCCGGACCTCAAAGTCGATGGTGGAGAGGAAAAATGGTGCACTTAATTTCTTAAAATTTCGTCGTTAGAAATTTCCTTCAGTTACAAAATTGTTAATTCCAGGAATATGTGGAATGTCTGGCGAACCGTTTTGGAAGAAAACGAAAAGCTCGCCAGGGCGCGATTAGCCGCTGTAGAAGTTTTTCAGCAGCAAATTGCTGACGATGCGAAAAGTTTAAAGATGCATAAAATTCAAATTTCTAAGAAGGTACCATTTTCTAAAACAACAGTAATCGTCGATGAAGTACACACAACACTGTTCTTTTTCAGGCAATCGACCAATTAATGATAGTACAAAAAGAGTTGCAAATGTGTGTACAAGATGTAGACAAAACAAAAAAATTATACTTCGATGAAGAGCATAGCGCCCACGATGTTCGCGACAAAGCAAAAGATATCGAAGAAAAGTACGTACATGCATAATCTGGCTGTTTAATCGATACAGTAAAATATTGATCATTTCCAGGTTGAAAAAGAAGAAGGGATCTTTCTTTCAATCGATAACATCATTACAAAAGAATAGTGCAAAGGTATGAAACTAACTGTCGATATGTAAAGAAAGAAGGTTCAGGTACTCGCTAAATGGGGTAAATAATCTTTGGTAATACCAGGGTTTCGGAAATACCAAAGTCCCAATATCTGAATGTTCCAAAATTGTAAGGTTTTAAGTCCCAATCTTAAACGACCCATAATCTCTTCAGTAGGCATTCGAACCGTCCATTACAATTGTCTGCGACTGCACCTCTGATTGTACTGAATACCCTGTACTTAATAAGAATTATTGTCTCCCGTTAGCGAGTATTATCTTTTTCTACAAATGTATAATATGCGCTTAGAATGTATCATTAATAGCTCTTTGTGTTTAGGTAAGCTCTAAACGGGATGCTTTAGAAGAAAAGTCCACGGGGGCTCGAAACGATTACTTACTTAGTCTCGCCGCTGCCAATGCACACCAGAATAGGTATTTTGTAGTTGATTTACAAAATACTATGCAAGTAAGTGAATTTTAATCGTTACTCATACTCTGTCTTGAAATTTTAATAGAGAAGGAATGAAAATGTCTATTCTCTTGTTTTCTTTAACAGTACTTAGAGCAAGGTGTTTACGATAAAGTAGCAGAATATTTAACTTTAATGGGTCGTACAGAACTTTTGACTTGTTTAGCTACGCAAAATAGTTTCGGTAAAATTCGCGACCAAGCGCAACAAGTGAGTAGTACAAGAGATCAAATTAAAATTCTCCTGAAACTTACTCTACAGTTAAATAGGTGAAAGAGATTACTTTTTCTGTTATTTATTGTTCGTACCTTTCGCAGCTAACTAGGGAGTACAATATACAATGTTGCTGCTTGTATTATCCAGTTCTAAAACAACATATACAATATGAATTCGAAGCTTGCGACAACGATCCAGTAGAGAGGTTTGCAAATAACATATAGAATGTAAATGGAAACTTTTTGCAGTAGTCAAGAAAAAATTTGTTACAGGATAACGGCCGATCATTCTGCTGCAGCTACGCTTGGAAAAGAAGCTCGTCGCTGGTCGACGCGAATAGCACGCGAAATAAGCAGTATCAGGGAAAATAATAGAAAATTACAAGTTCTTTTACAGCTTAAAGAGTCTGGACAAAAGGTTAACATAACATACGGCTAATCCTCCTTCAAATCCTCCGACTGTTTCTCCTTTCATTTTTCATTCCACGTTCAATGATAATTTACTAACAGTTATTCTCAATAACTGTCCTAGACTGATCCAAATGATCCACAAGGTCCAGATATAGACACAAAAATCGATGAACTGAAACACGCGATACGACGCGCTGAGGTAAGATATCTGGTGAAACGCGAATCACGTCAATTCTCTACCTTACCTGTTTACTTGTTCATTAGACAGCAAAGCTGAAGGCAGAAGCGAGAATAGAATGCCTTCGAAACGGTGGAGGTTTGTTAAACATCTGTTGTTCTGTTCTTTATGTGTTTAAAGCGGATAAAATTAATATGGTAAATCGCATCAATTAATCGATACGATTGTTGCGTATTTATTGTTTCTGCAGTGAACGTTGACGAGTGGTTACAAGAAGCTGAAACTCTGAGCGTCCAAGATATGCCTCGCTCGGCCAGCTCCCTTTCCGTCAGAACCGATGCATCTGGAACAGCGGTATTTTAATCTACATCGAATAACATGTATTCTAAAATCTGTACAATATATTTACGATACATTGCAGGAGCATCCGTCCTCAGATTCGTTCTACGATAGTGACGGAGATGGTGGTAGCGATTTAACTACCGTTGAACGACCGGGTAGTGCACGAAACGCTCCTCAGCAAGAGGAAACTACAGAGGAGAGGCAAAGACACGATAGCGAGGAAGTGGATGGTGTGTACAACACTCTACAAAAAGATAAAATCTTATTATTGGTTCCAAATGAAAGTAACAGTAAGATATTATTCGATCGGCAGCTCTGCTTGAACAGGAGAAGCAACGAATAGAACAGCTTACTGTCGGTTGGGATGACCCAACAGCGGTGAACTGGGATAACGAAGAGAAGGATGAGCAAACTGAAGTTCAAGAAACAGCCGAAGCACCTTCTACACAGCAAATATATAAATGCACCGCCCTTTATTCGTACACGGTATGAATATCAATTTAACTCTGTTATTATTCGCGTTAGAAATTAATCTTAAGAATTTGTTTTACAGGCGCAAAATCCTGATGAATTGTCAATTGTCGAAAGTGAACAACTCGAAGTCGTTGGAGAGGGCGATGGCGATGGTTGGTTACGAGCACGAAATTATCGCGGCGAAGAAGGATTTGTTCCTCAGAATTATCTTGATGTTGAGCGAGAGACAACATCTGGTTTGACTTCGCAAGGACCAGGACTGGTGCAACAAATATCTTTCTCTTCGGTAGATTACACTATCGACGATCACGATGCAGTCGACCCAGACGCTAATCTACAACCTGCTGCTCCAGAGAATATTGTACAAAATCACATAGGGGGTAAGTTAATCGTTGGAGTCTAAAAGGATAAAAGAAAAAAAGTTAATTTATTTTATGAATTAATTTATGGTTTTCTAGAACCGGAGCAATATTGTATCGCTCTTTACGATTACGATACTACGTGCGACGAAGAGCTTAGCTTCCTCGAAGGTGATATCGTAAAAGTCCTGAGAAAAGAACCGCATGACGTGGACGATGGATGGTGGGAAGGTGAATTACGTGGACAACGAGGATTATTCCCATCTTTAATTGTAGAACCTTGTGCTGCAGACGGCTCACCCTTGACTCCACAGGTTAAATTTGTAAATGTAGATATTTTAGAATGAACATAATTGCAAATTTTTAACTTGTTGCTCCTTTTTCATTAGGAAAATATAACGCCACCGAGCTCCGCGCCACCGATGTTTACACCGCCTGAAGTTCTAGAATTTCTGTTAGAAGATGAATTAGCGCAAAATTCAATACAAGGTAATAGTAGTATTGTGCGAAGTGAATTACAACGAGAGAAATATTCTACCTCTCATATTTTACATAGGGTCGGAAAACAAACAACAATCAGATAATGTGAACACTGAGCAACAGCAGAAAGAACAACAGCAAGAAGGTTTTATAATAAATCTTTCAAAGGACCAAAAAAGTCATTATGGGTCGCAATTCGAAGGCGATAAGTCCGATGATGGGCCTGGTATAGTAGGTAAGCTTTAAATCATTATTTGTTACGTGCAGATTTGAATACACGCTTCAATGAAAACATAATTCTTATTCAGTTGTAGAAGTATCGGAAGATTCAGAAGCCAAGGTAAATAAAATTTTCTTAGACGATAGTAAAAAAAGAAGTTATTAAAAGTCCAGCTATGTATTATCCTTCTCTTAGATGAATGATGAGAAAGCAAAACATCCGCAATCTTTGAACACCGATCAATCTAAAGATGATTTCGGACTTGGTGTTGCACAAATTGTGATTACCGCGGCGACCCCAATGGAAGAAGTTGAACATCCGTTTCCCGGATTAGAGGAAACTGCTGACGATACGGTGAAATCCGCAGAAAGTTCCGAAGCTGATTTACCATCGAGTACTACCACTGATATGAACGAGAGTGATTGCAAAGAGGCCACCGTGATAATGGATGAGAGAGAAGAACAAGAAACTACAGAAGCAACAGAAGATATAGAAGAAAAGTCAACGGTCGATGATCTGCCTACAGATTCAGCACCGTTTCCGGTTAGTAGCAGTTCTGGCAGTGAAGCAGATTCAACATCCGGCCCAAGCACCGCTGATAATTCTCAATCGATACCGTCTCGTGGTACCGTAATCGAGGTACAGGATAATACAGAGGATATTGAAATCGTACCCGAGAAAATGGTGGTAGGAGGAAGGGCAAGTATTCCAGATGAATTACAGCCTGACCAGTTAGAAAAGCTACAAAATTTAAAAGAATCGAATGCCTAGGATTGACTAGACCTCGGAGATCCTGATTATCCTGCCTTAACAAATAAACTGGCTCTTCCGAAAAATCATCAAAATAAGTTTCAGCATTTACTGGAATTTTGGAAATCTCCGGAGGTTATTGGAAAGAAAGACTAACGAATAACGGAACAACTAACAAAATTTTTATGTTAATACTATGTACACAACTTTTTTGCTAGATGATATTCTAGTGAACTATTTAAAGAAGGGTGTTGCGACTTTTGCAACGTATTTACAAGACGTTAATGTACAGTCATAAGGTAATAAAGAAAATTGTCGATACCTATAATAGATGAAAACTTTTAGTTGTTTGTGTACATTTCAAAAGAATTATAATGGTGTTGCATGGAAAAGAAGTTATTGTTTTATTCATCTTTCATATATTTTTATGTATCTTTTTATATAATGTTTATTTAAAAAATCCATATACTATAAATCCCTTCATCCAATTCCATGTTCGTATAAGTGTTGCGTGATCATATAACTTTAAGGCTGCATCCTAAGAGCACCATCCAATCTTATCACTTCTCCATTCAGAAGATGATTTTCAATAATGTGTTGCGCCAGTTGAGCAAATTCATCCGGTTTACCCAATCTATTTGGATACGGTACTGTTTTCGTTAAATATACACGCACTTTTTCTGGTAGTTCTCCTAATAAAGGTGTATCGAATAATCCTGGTGCAATTGTGACCACGCGAATACCAGATCTTGCTAAATCGCGGGCCAGCGGTAAAGTCATACTGACAATTGCACCTTTGCTGGCAGAATATGCTGCCTGACCCATTTGACCCTCAAAAGCTGCAACGCTCGCGGTGTTTACTATTACTCCGCGTTGTCCATCTTCATCTGGTGTTACATTATGCATAAGACCCATACATGATGTTATAACACTAAATGTTCCAATAGTATTTACTTTAAGGATTCTCGCAAAATCTTCCACTTTATGTGCTTTCTTTGTGTTAGGATTATATACCTTATGTGCACAAGCTATTCCTGCAGCATTCACTATGACATTTAGGTGTCCATACTGATTTTCTATTAACTGTACTGTTTCTTCTATATTCTCTGGTATTGTTACCTGTAAAATGATACAAGATTAATTCAACATCAACAAAGTTTGATTTGTAAAAACAAAAATATAAGATCACAAATTATATACAGTGATTATTATATTTCATCGAAGGATATGATTAAAATTTCAATGTCAATTGATAATGGTTACTAATAGCAGTACTTATAGTATACATATAGGAAATTAAGACCAATGACAGTAATAGTCATATAACTAAAGTTAAGAATTATATAATAAATATATTGTACAATAATATACATTATATTATTAATTCAGAATTCAATTAAAATATTTTAATTACTATATTGCTAATGTATAAACTTAATTATTTTGCATTTATAAATTTTTTCTAAACAACGTTTTTTATTAATTCTATTACTGCTATTGGTAGTAGCGATGGTACTAATTTTTCATATTTACATCCATTGGCGAAAATATAGTATTGTTTCCTAAACTTTTAGCAATTTCATCTCCTTTTGACGTGGGTAGATCAGCAAGAATTACTTTGGCACCTTCCCTGACGAATCTTTGCACGGTTCCAAGTCCTAATCCGGAAGCACCACCGGTTACAAGAGTGACCAATCCCTAAAATGCATTACATGTTAATTGTATCTTTCATTTAAATGTATCTTTTTGCTATAATAGTTCTAGAATTTATTGGTATATTTAGAATATTATTGTAACAAAAATTATTAACTGTTCAAATTAATTATTTTCATCATAGTTCATAAAATATTAAATATAATGCATCCTTTGATCGCATAAATGTTTTTCTAACATAATACTGATCATATAAAAAGTAAGAATGAAATTATGTTATATTTCAAATAGTTACACATAATCTAATTTTTATTAACCACTGTTACCAAATAATTTATAGGGATTGCTACTAACAACAAATATATTTTAGCTTGTAGTCTTGTTATTACGCAAAATCAGAAAACCAAAAAATATAATGAATTTTGCTCAAAAAAATAATCATACGAATTTATTTTTCTACATTATTCGTTATTAATAATTATAAAAATTTCATTTAGTACTTTATTATACATATTATTCTTACAACAAAATAATAACAATTGAATGACATTTTATATTGTCAGTGTAACAATATTGTTGTCTGAATATTTTTCGTAACATTTTTCTTATGTGTTGTTTAAAGAATACAATTCGTAAGATTGTTACTATTAAAAAAAATATATGTATATATCGTATGTCCTTTTTTAATAATATTATTAACCACTTTTTAATATTACAGGATAAAGTAAAACATATAACTTTTTGTGAAGCATCTCTTCGAAAGTCACAATTATTTTTAAACAAAACTAAGTTTTTTATGTACATATATAACATAATTGTATAATAATATAAATGTGCGATATGGACCACATTTTCGAAAATATTCCTAATACTACATAAATATGCATTATATTCGTAATGATAATTGAACTTTGCATGTAAAAAAATGTTAAAACTTACTTTCAACATTCTGGTAACGTATAAAAAAAGAGTATACTAAATAAAAAGCAAACACTAGGAAAGAGAGTTAAATTCGTTCAATGCGAACGTGTTGTCTCGACTGGATTTACCGACCGACTGCAAATTATCTATATGAAACTTTGAACCATAGACATTCCTCCTTTCAACGTTTACACACACATACGTATATCTTTATCAACGAATCATACAAGAATAATTCAATCGTTTACTAAAGACAATCAATCATATAATAAAAAAAGAAAAACGAGAGAATGAGTCTTCAATTTAATGTGTTTTAGTCGTTGGCAGTTTAAAGTATTAATTATATCAGAATTTCAGTTCAAGGCAATGTCTGATGAGGCATTTATAAATTCTACATGTGTAAAGTACAAGATATTAGCACATTGCAATTAAATATACTAATAAAATAATATTTATTTCTATTATATTTTAAAATTTTACGTTCATTCTATTATTGACAAGTATTCACACTTATTGAAATAGGCAAATACACTTTTGTAATAGTATTTATAATCGTATTTAACTATTTACAATATTGTAAATTTTATTATAAAATTTTGTCTTAATTATAAATTATATTATATATTGAAGAATGTATTTATTATATTTTGAAATGTAAATAAAATTACAAAATCTGAAATGTGGTTGTTGTTTTTTAATACTAGTATATTCGAATGATTGAATATTCTTGATATTCATTTATTTTAACTCGTATTTAAAATTATTATACATACATGTGTTTGGATATGTATTGTAAATAATTAAAAGCATTATGTTACATTTTTCATAAATACATATATATCTGTTTATATAAATATGTGATCTATTATCTCATCAATCTGATGTTTAGTCCATGACTGTTTTCAACCGCGCGGACAAAGTGCAAATATCTAAATTGCAAAATAATTGCAATTTAAATGCATATTATTTTTTATTTTAGTAACGATAACGTTAATAATATACAATCAGTTTTTTTTTAGTAAATTAGGAATTGATGTTATTGATATTATAGGTTATAAATTGTAAAATATTTATTCACATATAAATATAAATCAATACAATTAATGATGCATATTGCTCGGTTGAATTTGTTATCTTGTAATTCATGTTATAAATTTTATTATTGTAAATTATCAACTCAAGTGTTATCAGGTATTTATACATGTAATGTAATGCTTATTCATACTAAAAAAATGTTTGTTTAAGATTATTATTAATGTGTTTTATCTTTAGATTTTCCAAAAACATTTAATCATAAAGATGCTGAGCATAAATGGTACCAAATTTGGGAAAAGAATAATTACTTTAATGCTAAAGACAGTCAGAAAGAAACACTGAGTATGATCTTGCCTCCTCCAAATATAACTGGAACATTGCATTTAGGACATGCATTAACTGTTATAGTTCAGGATGTATTAGCTAGATGGTATCTATAATTAACGGTAATTTATTGCTTAATTATTGTGGTATATAATATTTAAAATGGTCCTACATATAGGTATAGAATGAAGGGTCATCCTGTTGTGTGGATACCAGGTTTTGATCATGCTGGAATTGCAACACAAATAATGGTAGAAAAATATCTTTCTAAAGTAGAAGGTGTTTCTAAATCAGAAATTGGGAAAGAACAATTTCTTTCACTTGTATGGCAATGGAAAAATGACAAGGAAATTGCTATAAAATCACAGTTAAAAACTGTAGGTGCCAGTTTGGATTGGTCAAGAGAATATTTTACAATGAGTAAGGTATTTATTAAAATCTTCATATGTAAAAAATTTTATTTTTTTAATAAATAATTTATTCTTTTATAATAAATACTTTAGGACCACAATAAAGCTGTAGTAGAAGCATTTGTATTATTAAATGATCGAAATTTATTATATAGGAAAAAAGATATGATTAATTGGTCTCCTACTTTACGCAGTGCTATATCTGAGATTGAAGTAGAACGATTATACATCAAAGAAAAAACAAAACTTGAAATCCCAGGATATAAAAAGAAGATAACATTTGGTGAAATAGCACATATAGCTTATCCATTAAAAGATTCAAGTAAAATTTTATTTTGTAAATTTTCATTTACTAGATAAATTTCATGTGATAAATATAAAGATTTTTTTTAGAAAATGAAATAGTAGTTGCAACAACTAGGCCAGAAACTGTTTTTGGTGATGTAGCAATTGCTGTTCATCCAGATGATGAAAGATATACAGAATATATTGGAAAACAAGTTTGGCATACTTTAAGGGAAACTTATATACCTGTAATTGCTGATCCCTTAGTTGACAACAAATTTGGCACAGGTTAATATGACTGAAACATTAAAAGTATATAATGTAATGATCAAATTTATGATATAAAAAATTTCCAGGGGCTGTCAAAGTAACACCGGCACATGATCAGATGGACTATGCAATTGCAACAAATCATAAATTAGATATTATTGAGGTAATTGATGAAGATGGAAACATAACGACTGCAGGCAAACAGTTTAAGGTATAAGAAAATTGAAATTAAAATAATTACATTCTGAGCAAATTATTTCAGTGGAATCAGTTTTGATTGTTAAAATTTAATTTTGAAAATATTTCAGGGTTTGCCAAGATTTATTGCACGAGAGAAAGTCTTAAATGAACTCTCAAATAAAGGTGTTCTAAGAAGTGTAAAAGAACATGAAATGTGCATACCGATATGTTCACGATCTCGTGACATTGTAGAATGTATGTCGAAAGAACAATGGTTTATTAGTTGCAAAAATATGGCGCATCGAGCATTGCAAGCTGTAGAACAAGGGCATTTAAACATAGTTCCTGCTATCCATAAACAGATATGGTATGATTATCTTAATAATATTAGGTAAGAAAAGAACATGTAGTATGGAAAAATTAATAGCAATATTTACTCTTTCATTGCAATATTTTTGTTAGAGATTGGTGCATTTCACGACAAACATGGTGGGGACATCCTATTCCTGCTTATTATATTATAGTAGGAGATAAAATTGAATGGATTGTTGCTAGAACTGAAAATGACGCATATATCATTGCACAAAAAAAGTATGGACCTGATATTCAAATATACAGAGATCCAGATGTATTAGATACATGGTTTTCTTCGGCAATTCTTCCTTTTTCTGTACTAGGATGGCCAAAAGAGGTACAACACGCTAGTAGTTAAATAATATGGAAAATGTAACTATTTTGTTTCTATGTTTTAGACAGAAGATTTTAAAAAATATTTTCCCTTAACATTAATGGAAACAGGATACGATATTCTTTTCTTCTGGGTTGCAAGGATGGTTATGCTAAGCTTGGAACTAACTAATCAACTACCATTCCCTGTATGATTTTTTCTTAACATATGCTTCATAAAATTATATGTATTAAAATTTCCATTAATTTATAGGAAGTTTTACTACATGGTATTTTATGCGACGCTTATGGAAAGAAAATGTCCAAAACATTAGGAAACGTAGTTTCCCCTGAAAATGTTATTAATGGCATTAATTTAATTGTAAGTATCAACAATGCACCTTAATTCATGCTATAATTTATTTGTAGTAAAGATTTACTGCAAATAGGGTCTTACTACACAAATGAAAGAAAGTTACGATAAGGGCATTATAAATGAAACGACACTACGTCGAATGTTGAATGCAAACAAGAAAATGTTTCCTTCTGGTATACCAGAATGCGGTGTAGATGCGCTGCGCATGACTCTCTGTAGTCACAATATCAAAAGTTAGTCTACATTAATATGTTCTTTCATCATTTTACGTCATATGCATTATAATAAATATTATAATTATAATTATTTAAACAGATAAAAATATTAATTTCGATATATTGGAGTGTCAAACAAACAAATTCTTTTCAAATAAAATCTGGCAAGCAAGCAAGTATGTTTTATTTATGACAGCTGAAAAAAAATATCAAGAACCAAAAGACATGACAATTATTGATCGTTGGATTCTAAGTCGATTATCTTTAATGGTAACCACTGTTAATGAGACACTCTTGCGACGAGATTTTCATAAATCTGTTGCGGCACTTAAGCAGTTTCTATATTACGAATTTTGCGATTTTTATTTGGTAAGATAATAAAAAGTCATAATTGTAATTAACAAGAATGGAGGAAACATTTACTGTTTAGCTAAGATCTTATATGGATCATTTGTAGGAAGCAACTAAATGGGGATTTAAAAGTGAGGATGCGAATATTGATATAAGTCACACATATGGTTTAAGAACATGCTTGGAAGTATTTTTACGTGCATTTGCACCTATAATGCCATACTTGTCTGATGACTTGTATAATCGATTATCAAGTAAATTTCCAGAATTTCTATTAGTCCCATCATTAATGGAAGCACCATATCCAATGCCAGAGCAAGTAAGTATCAGTTGTATATCTTACTATATCTGAGAATTGTAAATAAACTGAAAGCATGATTATTACAGTATAACAAATGGAGAGACGTTACTTTGGATGAAAAAATAAAGGAAGTTTTACAAATAATTGCAGAAATTAGAAGTTCCATAGGTAAAATTAATAAAATGATAAATCCAGAAGGTAATATTGTTTTACACAACAAAATATAACAAGAATTAATTCATTAATTTTTTAACCTTACGTAATTTTTTTTTATTACAGTTCATATTGTAACTAATAAATCTGAAGACGTTAGTTTTTATAATAATACCATAAACTTAATTAAAGGTGGAAGCAAAATTCTAAATATTTCGGTATTCCCCGAAAATAATTATATAAAAGATGAAAGTAGCATATGTTATCCTTGCGATTCTAATTGTGCACTGTTTATTACATCACAAGTAAGTTCATTTTTATTACATTTTAAATTTCGTATTTATTACATATTTTTTTTTTAGGATCCTGCTATTTTAAAACAAATTGAACAAAATATTTCACACAAAAAAAAGATTTCAAGTGAAATATAATGTAAATAATCTGTACAAAAGGGTAATTAAAATAGTATTCTGATCTTTTTTAATATTTAAATTAAAGAGTTAAGACTGTAATACATGTAAAATAAAAAATACAATTACTCATTTTTATCAACGTCCATATGTTCATCATCAGAGTCATTTTCACTTTCACTACTGTCATCTGTTTGCTCACTATCCGAATCCGAACTACTGGAATCAAACCACGCTTGCTTAGATAAATCATCATGTATTATTGTTTTCCATTCGTCTAATTTACGTAAATCTAAACTATAAAAATCATTCAGTGTATATTGTCGGTCTCCATCTTCAAACATGCCGCCATATAAATATAAAATGTTATGCTTCACAGCAAGTGCAGCATTTATTCTTGGACATGGCATAAATATATCTGTTTGACAAATTTCTTGTTCTTGTGTAACAGATGTTCGCGCGGGTCCTATTGTAACCGTGAAAATCCCGTCGTCATGAGTTGTCACAGATTCGATAGGAATAGATGGTGATTCTTCCATTTCTTGTATTTCATTGTCATTATCATCTTCATTTTCACTATCACATTCTTGCTCACCATCTTCTTTTGGTTTTCTTCTACGACGTCGTACGGTCACATCCTTTTTTCCGTGTAATGTCACTAATAATATTCAAATAAAAATGTTAAGAATCTTTATCTATTTATAATATTTGAAGAAAGAAAGTTCGTTCTATTTAATACGTTTACCTGTCCTCCATTGGAATTTTTCTAAATCTAGAGCCAGTAAATCATTATAAAATGTTCCATGAAGTTCTTCATCATCATCTTCATTATCAAAAACTCCGCCAAATAAATAGGCTAGATGTGACTGAACTAAAACCCCTGATACACTACATCTTGGTAATATTTTAATTCCTGATTGTTTTACAAGTACCCATTTCCATTTCAAACCAGTTTGATCATTTTCTGAAACAACAAATTTAATATTATTTAATATTTAAACAAAAATATTTTGAAATAAAGCAAACTACCTACTCTCAGGAGTCATTAAATACATGTCTGTATGAACATAGCCTTTATCAACATCCTTTTTGATCCTCTCTTTACTATATCCTCCATACACAAGAACTTTATTGTCAGGTGTTGGTAACATTATACATCCAGACCTGGGAGGTGGTGAAACACCTACAATTTTATGAAAGATATTTACAATATAGAAATTTATTTTATTGAGCTATCTTTATACTTACCAGACATTTCAATCTTATGCCATGTATATGTGTCAAGATTAAATAGATATACATCATTGTAATATTTATAATCTCTTAAATTATCATGAAATCCACCAAAAATTATTAACTGCTTTTTTATGAGAGCCATTCGATGACCACTTCTGGCAGATGGCCCACCAGGAGATCTTAAATGAAAAATAAATAATAAGAAAAAAATATTTCTACTTATTTCTTAGAAGACATATACAACATACAAAATTTTTTCCCATTTCTTTGTTGCAAATCTGTACACCCATAAATCTTTATAGTGATAAAATTGTGATTCTGAAGGACTTGTAAATTCACCACCAAATATCCACAGTTCTCCCTTATTTACATTTGTGGTTACTGCTTGATGACTACACCGTGGAGGTGGAGAACCAGGTGCTTTTATAATAGTCCATTCATTTTTGCTTAAATTATATGTAAACATATCTCCATAAACGAAAGTCTAAACAAAAGAATATAATATGTATAAGTTTAACATATAATGTCAATGATATCTACACTGTATTTAGTATACCGTTCTTCCATCATGAAATTCTCCTCCAAACATAATAAGTTCATCTTTAAATGGGTGAGCTGTTAAAGTACAATTTATACGTCGAGATGGTGGTGCTACTGTTTTTTCAACAACATGTTTTCTTCTTGCTTCTTCTCTCTCAATTTCAGCAATCACATGTTCTATGTCATCCTAAGAAGATAAATTATTTTTTACATAAAAAACAGAAATATCATAGAATACATTTTAATGAATTAGGGTTGAATTAATTGTTATTTGCTAACGTAAATTCAATATTTTATAACTCAGGAATTTAACTTTGAAATATTTATAAATTTCTCTAACCTCACCACGTGCAGCCAATTCCTTTTTCTGTTTAGAGTTTAATTTCTTTTCAGTTTTAAGTGCAGTTTTTACACTGCCACTTATTTTCTTCTTATTTTTATCTTTTTTACCCATATTAAACAATAAAATGTTTTATACTTGAAAAATTGTTTGTGTTTTCAAAGTTAATACTACAGGTGACCCGAAAATTGTATATACATTTAATATAAGTGCCTTTTAATAAAAGTCAATTTGATCAAAAAATGTATTTAAATTATAAATTCAAACTTTATTATCAATATATCAATTGTAATTGTTTCTGAATAAAGGTATGTTTGCATAAATTATATACAAAGTCATTTATTTGTATTAACAAAATGTTAACATATAAACAATGTTTTCAGTGATATACTTTGAAAGTATGCTGTGTTAAATTAACATTATATAAATTATATTTTATATGAATATACAATGATATATTTTGTTATCATAGAATATATTTTCTATTAGTAAAGTAATATTATTTTAAGTTCATACTTTATGAGAAAGTATTTGATTTTACTTTTACTATAGAAAATTAGATTTGTAAATGTTTTAAGAACTTAAATTTATATTCATTTTTATTCCATGTAAATAACACTTAAAAATATATCAATTGGAAGAATGTTCTGAAATAAGGTACACTTCCTTAGTTGAAAGTCGATTAAGTATTACTTCTGTGGCAAACGTCAAAGCTGAAACAGTCAATTGGAGTTTCTAGTTTTCGAAGAAAAAGTGACGTATTAAAATTTGTCCTGTTTCAAGAAAACATTTTATTTATTATATCATATCTCACAGTAATCCTGTGAGATTGTCTCCTCAGTTATTCGTGACATCGTCACCGTTCTAATACGTGTCCATGCAATGTTAGTTGGATCTCTGACTTACAAAGCACTACGTTATTTTTTTAGTGGTCACCACATCAATGTTGTGATTATTTTCACATCTGATTAATTGTATCGTAATCGAGTAAAGAGAAATACTCGATCAAATCATGTTTTGGGCAAATAATTACGTGTCATCGCCTCATATTGAGGCACTACTTAACAAAGAGGTAAAGAAATTAACTTCTGTTAGATAAAGGTATTATTTTACTGATTAGAAATTTCAAAGCTTAAACAATTTGTCAAGAATCTAACCTTTAGATACTATATATTTTTTAGTGTGTTATCTAACGGCGTATTATGCATTTTTTTATATCATGAGATTTAAGTTTTTCTATGACATTAATCATGTTTAAACATTTTCTTCAATCTTTAATCTATGAGTTTACAAAAAAATGTAATTTGTTTTTAAACTTCCAGAATGTTTCATTATATGATTTAATGGATGAAGAAGATATTTTACAAGAATGTAAAAGCCAAAATAAAAAACTTGTTGAATAGTAAGTAATATGAGCCCATCTCTATAAATATTAACTATTTTTAATATAATAATAATTTTAGTTTAACAAGATCTGATGTAATGGAAGAATTAGTAACTCTTACAACTAAAGAACCATCAACAGAAATAGAAGAACGTTGGCGTTACAAGTATCCAAATGTTGCTTGTGAATTATTAACTTGTGATGTACCAACTTTAAATGAGAAACTAGCAGGTATAGAAGCTAGTTGAAGTTTTGTTTATGCAGGAGAGTTTAATTTATGAAACATATAGACTAATATTCATTATATTTTAGACGATGACACACTTCTGGCAAAACTTTATTCATTTATTGATACGGATCAGCCTTTGAATCCATTATTGGCATCATTTTTTAGTAAAACTATTGGGGTCCTTGTTGCTCGTAAAACTGATCAGGTGATTATATTATTAAAAGTACAAATTTAATAGAACTAATTTTGAAGCTAAGAAAAACATAGTTACTTAATAATAATATTAATAACTATAGTATTATCATGTGACAAACATTAAACATTAAATATTCTTTTTTGATCCCCCGTCTATAACCCAAACCTATAATCCTATGTTCCTATCTTTCTCTCAGAACTGGTATTCGTACCAGTACACTTGTTTGAAGGTTTTAGATTTTTTGAAAAGTCGTCAAACATGTGTTGATTTACTTTTACACCACTTAGAAACATCTGCAATTATGGATTTAGTATTAAAACTTGTTACTCAAGTGGAAGACACTGATATGCGGCAGAATATATTAAATGTAAGTAGTAATGATTGGAGGATCTTATATAATATGCAGATTTAGTAAATATGACATAAATTATAGTATATTTAGTTGGATATCTTCATTTAAATTTCATGTATGTATCTCAACAGTGGTTACATAGTCAGCAGTTAGTACAAAGATTGGTAAAGTTATTATCTCCTAATTCTGAGGCAAGTAAGCATGCAAATGCTGCACAATTGCTTTGTGATATGATAACTGTTGCAAGAGAACATCAACGTACATCTACAAAACGCACTGAACCAGATCCTATTTTAAATACTCTTGAATCGTAAGTCTAAGAAAAAAACAAATAAATTAAATATACATACATGTTATCAAAAATGAGTGTGATATTTAAAGTAAACTAATTTTTTATTTACAGTACAGATACAGTATGTTTGTTGCTGGAGACTATTCTAACTGGAGAGAAACTAGAAAGTAGTATTGTTGGTGGAATTCAAGTCCTCCTTACACTTTTGGGTCAAAAAGCTAACAAGTAAGAATATAAGTTATTAACAATATTATTGTTTACAAGGATTTACAAGGAGGTATATGTACCAATAGTAATATTTAAACTTCCAGCGCGATAAATGAGGGCGACATTCATGGTAATAATATTGGAGATGAAGTTACAGACAATGAGCAACGCCTGAAAATATCCAGTGCAACCTTGCCTTATTTAGAACAACTTCACAAACTTCTTTTAGATCCTCCTTCTGTAAATATTGCATACAATGTTATCCACTTTTTAAAAGCCGTTAAAAAAATAATATTAATAGTCAAAGTACATTACGATTTTATTAATATGCTTTTATATCACAGAAACCTGCTGTTAAAACAACTGCTGGCGAGTTAAAATGTCCATTAGGTAATACACGTTTACACGTTGCAAAATTATTCACAACTCTCATGACAACCGAAAATGTAAAAATTTACGAGTCTTTAGTAGAATTAGGAACATTCCAAACATTATTGGTAAGTAAAATATGTCGAATAAAAGTAGTTCACGATATTGTATGTATAAGCTTCATTTTTTTATTCCTTAAGGATTTATTTTTTAAATACATATGGAACAATTTTCTACATACTCAAGTACAATTGTGCCTGGCTTTAGCTATTAATTGTGATTTTAAGGATACAAATGACATCATTTATAATAATGTAAGTATTATACAAAAAAAATATAATTATTATTATACATAAGAAAATACTTATTTCAACTATTTTTTAGATATTTATCAAATGCAAATTAATAGATCGAATATTAGAAGCATGGGACGATAATGATAGTAAACAGTATGTTAAATAACAATTGTAAATTCATACTTGATTATAATATAATGGATTTATTTAAATAATCATTATCATTTTTTAGAAATGCAGAAAATGGAATTAGACAAGGTTACATGGGCCATTTAATAAACATTGCAAATAATATTGTTAATCAGCGTGAAAAAAGTGAAGGTTTAGATAAATTTTTAAAAGATAATGTATCATCAGAATGTCTTACTAAATGGGAAAATCTTGTAAATACGAAATTAGCGAAAATTAATAAGACCCATCAAATTATATTGGTATATTTGAATTTTTATATATATTCGCATACTTTCAAGTTAGCGTTAGAATATTTGGAATGTTACTTGAATCGTACTTTACATTTTTTTAGGGTGGAATGGCTCAAACATTTATGACAAACTCCAGTGAAAATCCAGATGAATACAGTTCTGATTCACAAGAAGAATTTCTTCAAACTCAACGAAGTGAACAAGTTAGTACTTTATTATGGATTTATGAAATAACAGGTTGTTAGAATTGAAAATATTTTATTAACGGGTTGTAGTAAATCATTATTTAATACTTCATTATATGAACAGTTTTATTCGAATTATGTGGGGCAACATATGACATCGCAGTTTATTGAAAATTTTGGATTTCACGACGATCAGTTTAATGACGGTGATGATGCCCTTCAGTAAGTATTCTAATGGATATTTCAACTTATATTTTATTACTAATACATATGCAGTTTGCGTGCATTCCGAAGTGTTTAGTTGCCTATGATTGTAAAGCAAAAGACCATTTAGATGTTGATATTAGGTATTGCAAACAATTGAAAGAAAACTAGGAAAGTAACAATATATTGAAAGAATATAATGTAACGTCATATTTTTGCAACACCCTTTTTTTTTATACAAAAATACTATTATAGTAACTCGGTTGTCCAATTAACAACATTGGCCTTTACTCTCAGTGAGGAAGATCTCGACGGAAAGGAAGACCTGTTCAATAAGGTACAAACAATGTTAACAAGGAATATTTTTTTACTTGTCCTTTCAATGTGTTTCAAATTGGAAAATTACGTTCGTATAGATATGTCAGCAAAAACAAAAGGCGGGCTTGGAGGACTGTAGTGCAGGAGTAGAATGGGGTGATGAAGGTGAACTTACTTTTCAAACTGTGGTGGATAAACGAGACTGGCCATCAAAGCAACAACACAATGATTCTAATTCGTCCGATGAAGACGAGGAAGACCCATATATGCATATGGAAATTGATTTTACTAAATGTATGTTTTTATTTTAAACAGTCATTATGCGTTAAAATTCTATAATTATAAAGCGTTAATATGCGGTATTAACGCTTCTAATCTTAGTTTGGGCTCCAACTGAACCAGCATGTACCGGTACTTCGATTCCTGAAGCGAATCCGTGGGCTGTTGTACCACCAGAACCGGTTGAATCCACTGGATGGGCAAATTTTGATAATTTTGAAAACACTGTCAGCATGGAAAACACTGTGATAGTAGATAATACATTGTGCGATGAAAGTAAAAACAAAGCGCTGGATGCTATAACAGATCAAAATAAAATGGAAACAACATCCGGAAATGAAGTAGCTGTAGAAGCTGTTAGTACAAATGATATGAAAATTGAAGATTCTAACGATAGTACTATATCGCACACAGAAACAAATGTAAATCATCAAAGTACCGAAGACAATTTGTATTCTGGGTGTACCGCTGATAAAAATGCAAATCCAAGTGAAATTATAGATAGCACGTAAGTATACCATAATAGAGTTCTTAATATTATTATAATATGATGAAGAATGTAATATATCGCATATACTTTAGAGAAACCAAATGCGAAGAAAATGTAAAAACTACTGAACCTGAATCGACTACGATACAAAATGAACAAACCTTGAACGATCATAAGGTTACCTGTAGTGAAAAGAATGTATCATCGGAAGCTGTATTACCACCAACAGATGCCAAATGAGAAGTTATTTCTTGAGTATGATATTGCAATAGAACAAAAAAAAAATCATATCAGTATAAATTTGTACGAATGATCAGAATATATATATAATTACGTCCCTATATTTTCATTAGATCACATCAATTGTGCTTCATTGCGTTGGCGTCTAGGTAACAATTTACAGCAGGGTACAAATGCGGAATGAAAAGTAAAAAAGACTAACCAACGCTCAACTACGATTAGTGTATTATTTGAAGTATATGCGTTCCCAGATTGCCAACATTTTGATTCTAGGTACATATACGTGAAATACGATTTTCCGACCTTCTCGATGAATACTGTTATCGAAGAGATTCTTTAGATTGTTATTTATACGTAATGAACATGAAACTTAATTGCAAATGTAAATGAAGCAATCGGAGATTCTTTATATTGTGGATTTGATATATTGCATGACGAGCTAGACAGAGTACAGTTTGTACAAAAACGGAATATCCATAAACTCCAAGATAGAAGAAATTTTTGCTCGATTGCTCGATACTTGGTCTCTCAGAAGTATTATATACCGATGTGTGTGTATATGTACATTTTAATACATATATACATGTATTGTAATGTCTTAAATAATATTAATACAAGGCTCCGCAAAGAAACATCATAAATAATATTTCATAAAGAACTGGTGCTTTTGCTTCTTCGTTCGATAAGGCAAAGGTACTTACGTGCAGTGCCTATTATTTCATTAAATGTATGCTCGTACAACGATGCAATACAAGACAAGATAAGAAATTATGTATTTTTATTACGTTGATGGAAATATTCAGCCAATGTATACACATATAATGTAACTCAAGTATTTCAATAATGAATTTATCATTATTTGCATTCCACTAAAAATTCTGTACGAAACGTTAATAATAATTTCTCAAGATGATCTTCCAAAATGTATAGTATTAAATTGAAGGATTTGATTTAAAATAGTGTATGCCTTGGTTAATATGTATGTATAGGTTTTTAATATGGAGTTTTGTGATCTTTTTTCTCTGATTATTCAACAAATTTTGTTTGTCTTAACAGTTTTTGGTATGATAATATGTTTATAATACCGTACATGAAATATTGTACATAAATAATAAATATAAGCAGTGTTCAAAATTAAAAAAACATTATTATTACTTTTAATATCTTTATTAAGTATTATTTAATATTGCTGGTGCAATTAACATATTGTGTACTGTCACATTGCATCGGAAGAAGACAGAGACAGCGCTTAATTTTATTATTTTAATTTTTTATACTTTATTATTACCTTACAATAGTATAAATTAGTTTAATTCGTCGTTATTAATATTGCAAACATTATTCCATATATTATTTTAAATTAATACCATTGAAGTTTGAATGTATCGCGAACAACATATGATGTAACAGTAATCAAAGTGTTTTTAAACTGATAAATTAATACAGGAGAATATAAGCAAATTCCGTCGTGATAGAGAATGATTGTACTTCGGAAAAACATTATTTTATTAAGTTACTTAAATTATCCATTTTCATGTAATAGTAACATATATTACATGTAAGTATAATATATGGAAATAAATATAAAACTCTTATAATTTAAGAATTAGGTAATTAGTGAATGGTGTTGATTACGATAATAAAATAATTTGAAAAGGTACTGACGAATTATATTATTTAGAAAAAAACACGTTTGATGTACTTATATGACGTACATATTAACTACAATTATTATTTTGATCAGCAAGGCTTGAAGAAGAAATATTCAAAGCTTGTTTCTGTTACCATTTATTTTTCATGTATTGAAGATTCCCGCCGCGCCAACAGACGGCGATGATTTCAGCTTAGTTCAGATCACTGATACTCGTATAGGAATGGAAGTAATCACGATTATGTCATGTAATTCACAATTTCGTGTGATAGGTTTGTAAGCTTTTTATAAGTATGCTTAAAATAATTATAGTTAGAAAATTTGTTTAGTCATATTAGCGTTTAACGTTCACATCAATTCAGTGTACCTATTTATTTAATCTCAAAGTAAGAAAGTAGAGGAACTTGAGTACAAAATAATATTATTTTTATCTAAATATCATTCGTGATCATAAAGGAACTATTCTAAATCTTTTTTTAAATCGTGAAGGTTATTCTAAAAAAGTAAATTTTCATTACGCATAATGTTATAACACGTAATATATTAATATAAGCATAGGTTATAATTATATATTTATATCCAACCTTTATCATTTGTTTTTATTCTAGTTTAATGGCTAAATACACCTTACGAAGAATAATCAAGCGATACTGGGCTGTAACTTTCTTTCCTGCATTTGCTGCAATTACAATTTATGCAGATTGGAATCATACCAGGCAGTGGAAGAAAAAATTGGCTGAACAGGGGAAGCTGTACATAAATAATTAAAATGACAAATCTTGTAAAAACATACGCCCAATTCATTGGCGCACTAGTAGTTGGATATTCAGTTGGATGGTATTTTGATAGAATGGAAACCCTGAGATTAACAGGTTATCGAGATAAATCAGCATTATTTGGGAGGCAATTGAAACCTGGTGAACCCCCATCTTGGCCATAACTTACTTTTGCTGAATTAGTCCCTTCAGTAAGCATTGCAATTTTCTTGTATGTATATGTAATTTATATTAAACAATAAACTTATAAAAATTGCACCATTATAAAATTTTCTAAATTGTGGGTTATTTCTCAAATCATAAATATTTTTATTATATAAACTATATATTTATTTAAAAAATCATAAGCTTGTACAATTCTGTTTACATGGCTACATTTAATTAATACAAATATTTCTTATTTATCTTATTTTTACTGTTGATTTAGCGAAATATAGTAAATAACCTATTTTTAATATCTTTCTTTTTAACAACTTTTTCTGACTTGCTACTAACTTTGGCATTACATTCAAGATTTTCTTTATTCTCTGTGCGTGACTTTTTTATCATCATATTGTATGCTTTTCTCTTTTTCTGAAGCCATTCGTTTGTTTCCTCATTCCAAGAAACTGGTCTTTCTTTTAAATCTTTATTAGAGTTTCGGCATGAGCACAATTTATTACCAGTTTCTAAATTAAGATACGAATATCTTTTCTCATTTTCTATTCTGCACATCTTATTTGTAGAATCTATATTTTGATCCATGTAACCATAATGTTGAAATTTTGTACTTTTATCCCTTGAAGCAACAATATTCTTAGTAACTCTTTCTAGGACTTTATCTTGTTCTATTCCAATAAGTGCTTCAGACTTTTCATCGGGATTATTTAAATTTTGAGTTTCAAGATTTAAACTGCTTTTATTATTTACATGTTTTATATGGCGTTCACTTGCTGAACGTGTAAAAATATATGGTTTCCTATACATCTCTGGATTAAATTTTTGTGCAGTTTGTACAAAAGAAGAATCACCTATGTCAGCAGATAATGTAGTATCTAAATCACTATAGTCTATTTTAGAAGATCTTTTTGCTTTATTATTACTTTTATATGTAGATTTGGAGTAAGTTGATTTTGTTGCTATTGAATTCCTTAAACTTGATCGATTTTTTACTTTCTTCATTGTAGACGTATTAACTGGACAACAAGAAGAATTTAAAGTATTTGATTTTTCCTGATGAGAATCTTTACAAATAATTCCTGTATTATCTGTATGTTTCTCCAACTGTTCAGTTTGATTACAGGATACATGTTGCATTGGGACATTTTGTGTACAAAAGTTTCGTTTGCTAATATCTATACCATTCAACCTTTCTGTACTATTATCATTAAAGCAGGATTCTTCTTTTTCTCTCTCAGTAGAATCAGTATTGCTTATTGATTCTAAATTATCCTTTTGTAGACTACATTCTTTAAGTAAATGTTGCAAATCTTTGTTTTCTTTAAAATATAAATCCAATTGTCTTAGTTTCTGCTTCCAGAAACATTCCATAATTTGGATTTCTCTTTCTTTTTTAAATAATGCTCTCTCACGATTTTGTAAGCTTATTTCTTTATTTCTAAGTACTGTTTCCTTTTGTCTTATGTCCTCTAATTTTTGCAACCAATTTTCTTTGAAAACTTTTTCACTAACTTCTTGAGGCGTAGGCACATTAGCAGAGCATCCATTTTTGCATCCATGATAACAAAGATCTGTAAGGCTATCTCTACAGTCTTCATTTTGTTCATTAATTGGTGTTAGTCTATGCATTTTGTGAATTTCATTTGTATAATACACATCATGTTCTTCACAGGTTTCTTCATATTTTGTTTTACAAATACAGAGAGAGTTATAAAAACTATTGGCTACATCTCCCTTTAACTGATTTACATTAGTATAATTTGCTTCAGCAGCTTTTTCAATGGTTATGCAATTTTTTAGATTTTGCATATTTTCTTCGATACAATTGCATTTACATTTTTCAGTACTTGAAGTTATTCTATCTAATTTATTTGATTTTATTTGAATAATATCCATTTTAGTTAACACAGACTTGTGCAACAATTATTATTTTTTCATAGTTACAGAAAAATTTATATTTTTTATTTCATTTGTTGTATCCTTTAAAATAAAAATAATTCATTAAAGAAATATTTGACAGTAAACATTGTATGTCTTATAAACACTTTACTCACCTTTTTGCTACAGAATTTTTCGTAATATGAAACATTTAAAACACATACATGGTTGAAATCAGTTTAAAACTCAGCGGTAATGGTAGTTTGGCGGCGGTATTTAGCATATAAAAATAGTAGTCCTGCTACTTTTCGAATTATTTACAAGCGTTCTTGTGTTTACTAAATTAATTCAATAGATCAGTAACATTTAATTTCTTTTAAACATGTTGCTTCACAGTATACAGATTAAATGAAGTTTCGTATACATACAACCATGTCATTACAATTCGTTGTCCTTTGTGTTATATGGCGTTTAAATGTGTGCATTATATACAGTATATACAATATTTGTGTATCATTACATACAAGTATAACATTGCCTTCACATATTCTCATGAAATCAAAATCGTAATAATTTGTCATAAAATCTACGAAAATTACGGTCGATATTGATATAAAGTTTAGTATAATGTTATTTTATTTAGCTCAAGTCAAGCTAGTAACATAAAATAATCGATGTTTGGTTTTAACGAATAATAACTGTACAGAGATAAATATTTCTCCCTAACAAAAATCTAGAAACAACAATATATCATTTATAGTAAAATAAATTATTTCGAAATAATGTTTAAAAAATATATGTATTTACGTACAAGAATAAACTATATCAAAATTTCTTATAAGGTAAGAAAAAATATATAAAATTAAGCTTTTACAGAAGGAAATAATTAAAATACATAATTTAATTTCACTTAAGAGTTAAAGAAATGTAAGAACTGTTTATTTTTAATTAATACTTATTAATCTTCATTAACATAAGCTTTAAATATAATTAACATACAAATAAAGATGTATGATCTGATAAATGAAATATAAGGATGTTTTGAAAAATTATTAAGTAACATTTTTATTTTGTATCGTTGAACACGAGGAAATAAAATAATCAAGTTGGAAGATATATTATAATTTATCTATATTGTTTTGTAAGTTTCGTAATTTAAATAATTTCAAAGCTTTTCCCCTAATCCCAGATATATTTCATTTACATCTATTCCCTAAAGAGGGCGCTGTTATTGATTCATTAATCCAGGGCCGCCTAGATGGCGCTCGAGACCTTTCCTTACATATAATATAAAATCAGTTTGTTCAATTTTATATCATTACATTTTAAAACATATAATTTATATAATAAATAGTCAACAGATATTTTATACTTCATTTTTAACGGGAAGATTCTTGTACTTTCTTCGTATAAAACCAATTAAAAATTTTCCCGGCCTAATATGGAGTATCTATTGGAATGCGCACGCATATCGATTCGACCAATTATTACGTATGCATTGCCGAGACCAGTACCGTACCTAGGGTACAAATATCTAAAATTATTTTTTTATATTTAATTTTCCAAAAAACAATTAAATAATTTATATCTAATACAATTATAAACTTTGTACAATCCATATAAACTATTTTAGACAAAAATAATATTTAACTGATCTGAAGGAAAGGATTATATTAAATGTACTTCCGTTTTACAGTATTTAAAGCTGATAATTCTGTAAATTAAATAAATTATCAACTTCGAGAATTTAATGATTTTTAAGTTTATAAAATAATTTTTAATGAAAACTGTTAAAATACAAACAATATGAATTATGATTTTTTGATAATATCAATTTCAAAGAAACAGTTACTTTATTACTGTATGAAGATGTATAATAGATTATGAAAAAGGAAAGAAATGTTATTTGATTATTTACGGGAAAATGTTATAGCAACAATTAGGAAAGTTTGGTTTTAAGAAAAGAAACAAGACGAATAAAAACGGGGTGCGATCGACGTTGGTACGTCAGTGTAGAGTAGCGCCGCATGGAGGGAGTAAGGAGGGTGCATCATTGCAGAGTTGCAGTTGTTCGCCATTAACCTAGGGAGTTAACTTCGGTACTAGGCTTAGCGAGGATCTCGGTGCTCGGTCGCGTGCCCCCTCCCCTTTTTATCGTGGAAAAAACTATTTAGTGATTTCGTGTTACGATTTTGGGTATTTTGAGATCCGGCGAGTTCGAATCGGTCTTGGTTTAGAAAGAATGGAGCAACAGTGGCAATCACCGATAATTACAAAGAGCGAAGTGTTAAACGCGAATTTTCTATCAGCAACGGGTCAGCGTCTTACCCCAACGGGGAAAATCAGCCATGCTAAGACGCGTGTCTATACACAACGCTATCGTAAAGAGTGGGAACAAATGCCCGATTTTATAGGTACACTTTGTTATCGTATAACATTGCTTTTAGAATAGGTTGTATTTAGACACGGGCAAATCATATTCTCACAAGATTATAGCGTGTACCGTGCCACGCTGGATATGCACATATGTACACGTTAATCGGAGTGCTATGCTTCGTCACGGCCTTAAGCAATGACGCTTTCGATTCGTGCAAGTAAATTATTTTTAGAGGGAAGTCTTACCGCGTAACATTGATTTTCTTTCCCGTTACATCTATCTGACGATCAATGGATACCTTTTACGATATCAGATGTTTTCAGTAAATAAAATGTTTCTTTTTTCTTTTCTTCAGATTTACTAAGCAATTATGCATTGTTATGTTATATTTCTTCCATAAATATTGATCAAGAATATTTGTGAACGTTAAATGTACCGTCATCATCGAATTTTTTCATTGCACCTTCGTATTACTACGAATTTTCTTTCAATCTATGTGCGGGAAACGCGGAGTGACCCGTCGCGTCCAATATAACATTACTAAGTACTGTTATAAAACTGTAACCATACTACTGGCGTTAATAAGTTACCAGTAAACTTACTAGAGGGATAACTATGCGTGTATCGTAACGAGTATAGATATCTCCATACGGTTAAAATATGATGTTCAGTGAGATGGCGTATTTAGGGTACTGTGTAGGGATAGTTGAATGAACAAATAATAGGCGCGAAACTATAAGTATCTGTACGATGTTTTTCTGCAGGGTGGTTGACATCCGTGCCGTTTCAACCGACACGTGCTTATTGTTTATTTTGCAAAAAAAATCTCCACGCGCATCGACTTTCTTTATTAAAACATACATGTACAATGAAGCATCAACGAGCAGCGTTATTACACGAAGTAGAAGAAAAAAAGAGAGCTGCAGGTGAACATGTAATGGGAGAAGATGTTGAAGTTGAAGAAATTGATGGAATTGAGGTTGATATTATTTTTTTCTAAGTTAAATAAAATGTTAATTTTTTTAATTAACATTATTAATCATTGAATAAAAAACGTAATAGAAATTAATTAGATATTTTTTGTCAGGCTGTAGAATATGCTAAAGCAGAAATAGAAGAAAATGATGATGAGGTGGAATACGTTGTTGAAAGATTAGAAACCGACGATGAATTGGATGATGGTCAGATTAAGGATCCAAATGCAGATGGTGGTAAGATGGGAGAAGAGGAAGGAGTGCCACATATGCATATGCATTCGGACGAAGAAGATATTAAGCATCCCATAAAAAAGATCAAATTAGAAAGAGTGGTAAGTAATTATAAGTAACATAATTAGCTAATAACTTTGATAAAAACTTTTTAATCATTTGATGATTTGTAATATTAACTATTAAATATATAGAAACCATGCGAAGATCCTTTGGGAGATGCAATGGAACATGTGCAAAGCGAATATTTAGAAGAACCAGATAATTCAGAACCTGTACAGATGGAAATGATCGTCGAATCAGAAGACCAAAGCAATGAAGTGGAAGTTATGTCAATTCTTCCTGATGCAGAAGATCCTAATAAACATGCACCAAAGGACTCCCATGAGAATGGAACAGGAATTCACAGAGTGGACAATAAATTAGATAAACAATCTGCAAAATCATTGGTGGATACCATACATAATAACATGAATGTAGACTATAAGTTGCTAAAAGTACCCATTTAAATTACAGTCATTAATGATGTTTCAGGAAGGCGAATGTAAACGAGAGGATTCGGGGATTGTGATGGCATGTCCATTACCTATTTTAAATACAGCTTATCAAATAAACACATCAACTGGACCTACATCTAATACAATCGGCATGCTGCAACCCGTGAATGCGATTCCTATTGCTCCTGCTCACAATAAAACGATTACGTTGACGTCGGGTGGCAAAACCTTAACATTGACTGGCGGTACATTCCAACCTGGTACTCAATACGTCCTGAGTAAATTAAAGAATAAATTTCCTACGTTGATCATGGCTGATAAGAAACCTGCAATTGCAGCTAATCAAGTAGATGACGCCACGAAAGGCGTCCAGACAAACAAAGATCAGCTGGCTGTAGCAAGTACTAGTTACCAAAATCAAAGAAAAGTATGCTCATTCTTTGCTTTCATGTATCTTTAAAGGAGTAAGATATCTCTAGGAGGGATTTTTAAGCATCACGATTTATTTCAGCATGTGCTCGTAAAGAATCCCGTGGTTAAAAAGCCCCGTATTTCTACTCATGTTTTGGATATGAGTAAAGGTCTACCAGTTGGAGGTTTGCAAGTCAGTCTATATAAGTTAATGGATGGCCGATGGACTTTCTTGAATGAAAGGTACTTGTTGCATCCATCTTTTGGAACGAATATTATTTTTACGTTAGAACAGAAAAAAAAATTAATTTTTTTTTTCAGCAATACCAGTCCAAATGGCAGATGCGTAGATTTAGTGGACAACATGAAACAGTTCACGGCTGGACGTTACAAGATTCATTTTGACGTCGATAAATATTTCACACTGAGACGAATAGAAACAATGTATCCGTTCATTGAAATTGTTTTCGACGTAAAAAATCCAGCCGGTCACTATCACATACCAGTGCTATTGAGCCCATTTGGTTATACCACTTACCGTGGCTCTGAAAGATGAATAATAACGAACTTGCGATATCTGTCAAGTATTTTGTGGCTTTGTAAAAATATCAAATTACATGAAAATAAATGTTTTTTACGATTCAAGATACCGAAAATTAACACGTACCGAAACAGTATTTTAATGTTATACTTCGATTGTAATGAAGAAAAATTTGTTCGATTTCTCACTTGCAAGAACATTAATTGGTAATGAAATTTGACATTTCTTTATATAATTGAAAAATGTGTGTCACGAAAGTTAGAAAATTGTAAATAAAAAATGTTATTGAAAGCTGGTCTGACCTTATTAAGAGGTCAAGCAAGCATCTATAAGAAACTGCATGTTGAGGGGGAAGGACAGCGAGGAAAGAAGAATAGGAAAACCGGTTGTTAGTTAATTGTCCTCATTACATAAAAATTAATGAAACGAAATGTAAACAAAGGGCGCAGTTGCATATTTTGTGGGATGCCCTTTTGCGGATGACAACCAAACTAAATAGAAATATCAAGATCTATTTGTACTCAATTTGTATTTATTCTCCCTAATCGATTAAATAATAATTGTAATGGATAATTATCCTCAAATATTAATTTCATTAATTTTTATGTAATAAAGATAATTAATTTGCAACAAAATATTTCTTAGTTTCGTCTTTTCTTCATTACTTTCACCCTTGTTCATCTTCTCTTTCTGCATGTACTTTTGAAATATGTTACAAAATTCGTGTAATTTTATTACCAATACTTGAATAGTGTTCTTTGTCAGTGAGAAGAGAACGTAAGAAATCTTATAAGTAAGATCGTGTAGCTTTTAATAGAATAGTGGTATAATCATAAAATAAGGTTGTAAAATTAATACGGCTGTATGTGAGAAAATATATTTTATTCTTGTACTTTATAAAAATTAATATTGCAACTAGCGAATCAATTTATTCGCTAATTATTTTCTAGTTACTCGAATGTTAAATACTTCCCTTAGTAAAAGGGAAAACATCGAATAACACGCTATCAGTCGTGTCTCTACAAAGCTGATGTGTGGGTCGGTCTGTAAACCATTGAACGTTTCAAGTGCTTTGTTGTGCGGTATTACGAACGATTGTGAATTTATTGAAGGAAAGTGAACACTATCTTATATAACGTCAAAGAATTTCAAGAAAAATGTGTCTTTTGTTATGATTTAAAATAGATAATGTTTCTGCAAAAGATCATGAAAAGCTCGTCCGAAACTACGGTTTAAATCAAGCGGACTTTTATTTTGGCGGTAAGTAGCTTCTGCCTGAATCATTGGGTCCTTGACCTGTTTGACCACCACGATTACCATTTGCATTTTGTCCAGGACGACCCGAAGAGCCCCCTGCGCCAATACCGCCAACTTCACCAGTACCAAACTTGAAGCTGGCTCTGTTGCCGTTTTCATCCGCTTCGTATCTTTAAAGGACAATCGAAAGGTAAGGTTCCCTCGAGAAGAAACATCATTCAAAATAACAAACTCACTTGACAGAGATCGGAAGACCCTCTGGACTATTATAGGAGAAGCTTCCTTTTACAGTTCGGACCAGTTCACCGTCCACTGTTTTATACATTTCCGTTTCCTCTTTTTGCACCCCGTCTACTGCGTTTCCGCCACCGGAAATCGGCGTCTTCCGGGCTTTGTTGTCATCGAACGGTGTGTTCAGGATCAATCCACCGGCCCCTCGGGCAAACAAGGGCGCTTTTTGATTCGGTGACAGCTTCTCGCCGGCGCAACACCAACTGCCGAGAATCAGCCAGAGGATCTACGGACACCAAGCGCTTAACAGACAGACGATAAAAGTTGAGGCTAAACTTTCTATACCGCGTGTTACTAGCCACGATAACTGTGAAATTTAATTTCAGGCGATCGAGTGTTCCTTTCGACGCGGGAAGAAGACGCTGTTCTCGCCTGAGGTGATTACGACGCTCCGTGACCTCACGACCGATGCTAGTACGCATACGGTAAAAGCATAATAATCTCTTCCCGCGTGTGTTACACCGGCATACGTAACTGAATCGAAAGGACACTTTCTATTCGATTGACCCTTCGAACTGGCCATTCTTCGATCGATCGAAATAACATCTCCCGATGCGATGCCTTCTACAACCCCCATTCGCCCGAGGCTCGAAAAGATCAAGTTATTACGGCACAGAAACGTACCAGTGATCGAAACACAGTTCTTCGAGAGGTCATCGTCGCTAAAGATCAGTCACACCGACAGCACTTGAAATGGCATCCCTCGAGGCACACGCACGCGACTGTTCGGATTCGCGACGGTTGTATCGATGGATTTCAGAAGCCGCTAACATCTGTGCTCGTTCAGCTCTGCCAGCTTTTATATACCGTCAGCGTACTCGACTATGACTACAAGGACGATACTTTTTTCCCCCTCTGAGGATCGACGATTCTCTAAGTATGGGATGATCTTCGGCGTTCACTATCCGGACGCTGTGTCTCCGAACTGGAAACAGAGTTCTCTGCTCTGACTGTTCTTGTTTATTGATACGTTCTTTGGTTTATGAGATAGACTATTTTTTAATAGGGTCGCTACCAACAGTATGTCGATAGCATTCTGCTTTGCGTACTTGTAAATAAAATGTTCTATTTAATGTATCATGATCGTTATCGTTAAACACATCACTAATAAGTGGCGTGCTGATAAAAATAGATTTCTACCGTTTTCCGGAACCTAAGGTTTTATCATAAAAAATTGTCTGGAATTTGAAGTATTGCTCTTTGCATCAGCGTCCTTGGATCACGCAGTAACAAGATTGCAAATCTGACATACGAGACAGCTAAGCACTCGTGGAATTAGAAGGATCAAACAATTTTATTTACGAAGTTGAAAAGTGTCCAGGTGCTAGGCGCTGCAAATTAAGATCGTTATGGTTGTATAGACGTGTCCAACCATCGTGTTAAATTGGCAAAGATATTTATTATCAGATCTGTACGCATCTTGACACTAGTGTTATTATTCTCTGTATACAAGACAGAAGTCCCACGGAAGAAAGTAACGACGTTTCATCCGCAACGGCAGAATAGTTTTATCTCTCCTTAGGTTGCTCGTGCGCCCGTCATGTACACCCGTTCACAATTATTTTTCTTCCAGGTGCGCGGAGACGGCTGGATTTATCGCCATCCGATTGCCACGCGATCCAAAGGCCAACGTCGTTACGATGGATGAGATTTAGCTCCTTTAAGGGCACACGGGCAAACAATGCGATCTCTGCACCGCTAATAGGATGCGTTTGCTCTTTCGTAGGTAGAACAGAGTCACGCTGACATTTTACCCTTTTATTCCGTGCTTTCCTACCAAACCCATTGCATTCCGTGCCCGGTAGCTGATCAAGCGATCCTTTCCGATCCGTTCTCGAGTGATCGCGATCATTGATCGGAGCACGGTTCAAAGATCAAACGCCATTCGATTCTTCGCCGAAGTAGTTAAAGGGTCGTTGTCCTACTCTATTGTTAGCAAGTACACAGCTTGTTAACCAACTTATGTTAAAGTAGATAAGAGCATTATGAATAAAATAGTCATTGAAACTTTGGGTTTGACGATGTATTTCAGCAAAGGTAGTTGGATTAATTAGGACAGGTGCAAGTTAGAGCTCATTCATCGAGCCACCCTTCTGATTTTCCGCTTAAAATTAAAAACTTATAAAGAAGACGGGTCGAAAATTTGACTGGTAGGAATTTGGACCGATTTACCATTTAGAGCATTAGGATGTTTGCGCACTGAACGTTTATAAGATTCAACGGTTTCATAATCGATTACATAGAAGAGAGAAAGGACGTGGTCGTTTAGAAGGAAGATACATCCACGGTGTCGCGTAATCCACGTGTTATCGTGCAGCATTCGATATGCGCGCGCATTTTCCACGACGGATTTATCTGTCGTGATTTACATCTCTGACTTTTCGAAACGTTGTTTTATACTTGTCCCCGGCTCTGCCTCGGCGAGTAATGAATAAGAAGTAACAAAAGAATTATGCCGCAACTTCGTAGATTTTTCACGAATAAAATTCAAGTCTTTTGGCTGTTGGTTCAGTGATTTATAGTGTTAACGAACCGACACGTTAGTGGGATATTAACGCCTTAATGGCCGATGACGCCATAATGGCGTCACTTCAAATGCATTGGTCACACGCGGAGGAAGATTTATTCTATTCTTTAAATTGATTATTTTATACTGAACATTTCAATGTTGTCTTCGATGCAATTTGCAGTTTGTAGATGTAATGCCTTGTAAATTATTCTTGATCATAAACAACGGCAGTGAATGATGAAGAAATGCATCACTGTCAGGAGCGAAGAAAGTCAATCGTTTTCGGAAGATGAACGCGCCGATCACCTGTCCGATATTCTGATCGTCTTCGAGTATAGTGAAAGTGATGTCAGCGACTGTGAGGCAGAAGACTCTTTTGCACACGTGCGGAATGATCTTGTCGAGTGTTCAAAAGTTTCTTTCGGTCAAGTAGTAAGAGTCTTAGTCAGAAGCAACATTTAAAATTTAAAATGGTCAGATCCTCCGAGGAAAAATGAAACTTTCGAAAGTTGATTGGGATCGAATATATTTTTTGCTAAAGTCACTTAAAGATTTTAATCATTGAAGAAAGTGCGATACGTGAATCATTTTTATTTTCTCAATTCGAACGAGTCAAGAGTGGGAGGAAATAATTTCAACTGGGTTTATAGAGTCTGATTCAGTGAGAATATTTCATAAATCATGATTCTGATCGCGCGAAAAGATTAATCTGTTTCGTAACAGCACGTGCGAAAATTGATATCTTATATCAAGAGGGGATTAGAGTATAAGGAAGCCTTAACGATGATGATGGGCCACGCTAACGACTCCTGAAATCGTTGATCGAAAATTCGTTGCAAGATTGTAGAATTTTTTTTAAGCGAACACAGAATTCTTTAGAGTGGAACTTTTCATTGAACGCGGAATGTTTTATTACGGAATTATTTTTCATTAGATTTCCTAGCGTCTGTTTAAACGAGGTACCATTTTATTATTTAAAAAAAAAGAACGAGGGATGGAATTTTCAAAAGGATCATATTTTGTTTTCTCTGCTCTCTACGCACAGTATACATGTGGGTGTTTTACGTGCATATACGCGAGCGTGTAAACCTGTAACATACACCTGCAAGAGAACATTTCGTTGCACGAAAGTAGTTCCTTTCTCCCAGATTCACTCTCCTTGCCGTGTCATCTCCTTCCACTTGCTCCGAAATTGCGAGGACGCGAGTAAATTATTCAGGATCTTCTATTACTTACAACTTTATAGTACACTCTGTACCGTACATACATTGCAACTGCGTACAATGAAAGAAAATAAAGGTTTGCCTCCTCCTTCTCTTTCTCTCCCCTTTTCAATCTCACACTCGCTCTCGCTCTTTTAACAATTCAAACGCATCCGTCACCCCAACTATTATCCAGCATAATTTCATAAATATCTGTGTTTCTTGCCCCGGCGATCTAGGAAAATACGCGGATATGTGTATTAAAAAATAATACAGGCACTCGCGCAGGCAAACGCTCAGTCGCTCATGCATTTACAACAAACTCGCGATATTCCTCTTTCCCTCCAGTCTTCGCTCACACCCAATCCCAGATTTTGAATTTCACTGCAGCGAAGAAAGGAGACAAATACGATACTCGAAACTTTCTTACAATAGTTAATTACGAGCGGAACCGATCAACGGTTTCGCTTATCGACGAACATCAACAATGACTGCAAATATACGTCATAAATCACTTTATCGTGAACAGGCGCGTTTAGTCGCATTTATTTAAACGTACGTCTTACATTTCGACGTATATGATACACGGTTAAATAGAATAAAAATCGATCAAGCTGCGAAAAGGACGTATTGAAATAAAAAACGCGTTCGACAGAGAAGCAATAAACAATAATTGTCGTACGTGCAAACGCGATCACTGGTAGACTGCGGATGTCTATGGAAATATGTAGCTCCATATTTTTTAACACGTTCCATGTCTTTTCTACCGTCACACTAAAGTCCAAAATGACGTTATTAATAATTATACAGAATCTGAAAATCTGATTTGATTTCTTTTCCGAATTACATAACGGGTACATAAATAAGCATAAGCAAGGGTTTCTTTTTACGTTAACTTCGTTACAAAAGAATTTGATCATTTTATTTCTCCAATTTTGCACATTTTCTTCCCTTATACGTACGCGTACTTTGAATATATTTTTGTATAGATTTCTCGATACATCATAAATACATAAACATCCGTAAGTCTAGTAATCAAATTAAAAATATATCCTTAAAAATTCATCGTTCGTGCGCCAACATTTACAAGCACTGTTCTTCTTCTCCTCGACGGGTTTGTTTGTGCCATTGCAGCAATCGAGAAGTCGTTTTCACGTAGAGCGCAGAGAAAAAGCGTCTCTTGATTCATTTTTTTTCTTCACGTTTGAACAGCTCGGATCGCCGTTAATCACACGCGTACAATTCAAAAAATATCACGATATTTACACAATCTCGTACGACGATCCTGAATAGTTACCCACGCGGTTGGACTGTCGAGCGCCAGCTCGCCTAATTTACACGTCATCGTTATCTTCTTCTTCTTTTGCGTTCATTTCGATGCGAGGTGTAGAAAATAACAAGCGACGAAAGAGAAAAAGAGATCTGTGTGCCACGATAAAAAGCGATCGAACGGACAATAATTAGTACTCTGGTTTGTCGAAAAAATACGGAAACTCGAGGTTTCTGTTTTCTATAGAGTCCCGCGTCGTACGATTCGCGCGTACTCTCCCCTCTTTCTTCTTTTTAACGTTAAAAAATTTCGTAAAAGTTGCCTATAGAGATTTGAGTTTTAGTAAAAACGAGAGTCTATGAATCTATCGGTATTATATAGAGATCGATGTCCAACGAAGTTTAGTAGCATTCCCTCCTTCCCATTTGCCCCGTTATCTTTTGATAAACATTTGAACGTAACTCTTCTATGCAACTCGCTGCGGACTTTCACGCTCGCGTTATCGGTCATTCTTGAAATCACGGTAATTTTGACAGTAATTAACCACAATAGTAAAAGCATTATAAGCTATACAACTACCATTTCTGTATCTACAATATAGAGTTTTATGTATATTTATGTATATATATATATTTTTGTTTCTTATTCTCTCCTTTTTATATAGTCTGTGTTTACTTTATAGACACTCCTTCACTGTCTCTGAAAGGCTATCAAGAGGCTCGGTGCTTTGTTTTTTACGCATGATCAGGTATCCTCCTTCACCGCTGCGTCGATTCTTGCTCGAGACGATTCGTCCCAGTAATTTGTAGAAATTACTTCGCTTCGGTATTCTTCTCTCGCAAAGTCGCGTATCCGAAACAGAAAACGCAATTTTCTCGTCGTTACTTCACAGGGTTAGGAATAGGAGGCATTGCGTTTTCCACGCAACACTCGTCGTCGTGTTAAGCAAGAATTAAGAAAGGCGAACCGACGGATACGATCGTTGACGAAGAAGTCGCGATGCATCTTCAACGACGGAGAATCGTCGGGCCGAGTTGGTTGGGACATTCCGTGCGATAGAGTTTAGAGAAGCTTTCGTCTATTACTGCAGAACACAACATTTACATTTAGGCTTCTTCTTCAGGGTGACGTGTTCGACCTGCGAAACGTCGCCTGGTCCCTGTGCCGTCATTCTAGCCACCTTCACCATAGCTGCTCTCGACGATGGGGCAACCTGCAACACATTTTAAATCACTCGAACGAAGCACATATCTAAGACAAGAGATCTGGCGTATACTTTGTCGGTGTACACGATAAAACGCGTAGTTACGAGAGGATAAATGAGAATACCTTTTCGTTGACAGGTTGCTGGCTATTAGCGGTTGCACCTTTTATCGGAGTGCTATGAGCGTTTCCGTTTTCTTGGCCAGGTTTCGGCGACGAGTTTGCGTGTCGATTCGTCGAGTTCGCGGACGACTTCAGCAAAGGGCTGGAACTCGAATCGTGATCGAGGGTTGTCTGCGCGTTGCTGGTAACCGTGTCGCATCCTGGCAACGGCGGAGCTGTCTGTCCAGGGGTCGGTGTGATAGGTTTGCCACCTTTTATCAATTCCACTATCTCGTCAGCTTCCCTCGAAAGGTCGCCGTCGGGTCTGAACGGATTATCCCAACCACTGTCCGTGCTGAAAATTGAAATTCGTCTAATTAATTCTCCATTCGCGCGAATTAAAATCATACATCTGCGTTGATAGACACTTTCGTTACCAAAAGCATACAATATCTTTTACGCATCCTATATATACACCTTGGAGGACGATCCCCGTTAATTCCGAAGATTAAAAGTGTCAATATGTTAATCGATACGCAAATTTAAGAGCACGATAAGACGAAGCAAAGCTGAATCAACAGAGGACGAAAGTATTCTTAGAAGCGTTAAAATAACGAGTCGTATGAGCATTAAATTTATTTTCTCATAACTTTCGAATAAAGCACGAATTAACAGGTATACAGATTAAAACGTTAAACTGGAATTACACAACTTGTTGCTTTCGCATAATACTTCCTTTTGTTTCGAGCCGAATACGTAATTGTAAATTAGATTCAATTATAATTGCCACTCCCTGTTAACCGTGACATTGGCCATGATATCGAGTTGCACCTAATTACAGCCCATCTTCTATCCCCTCTTGCACGTGTAACGAACGTATGCACACGCGATCGTTTCAACGAGCGGATCGTACTAGCGATTTTTCGTCGATGATAATCCACGCATGCAGCTCTCGATCTAACGACGTTTTACAACAGCGTTATCTCGACCGATGGTTAGTAGGCTAGCCGGAACCGTTGGAATACGGCCAACTGGACTAATAATGTTCGATATTGCGAAACTGAACATCGGGTTCCTTCGCTTCTTCCAGCTGCGATTAATCTTCCCAGTTCCGTCGTGGTTCGCTACAATGGAGATAGAAACAGCCGATTTGCACGACGACGGAAGCTTTTCAACGTCCGGTCAAGGAGGCAGCCGCGTTATTTATGCGGCCATCGTAAACTTGGTCATTGATCATTCACGAAGGCGTTCGAATTCAGACGCTCGAACATCTGAACGATCTACAGAAAATGAACGGGCGATCCGTGGCTCGGGAATCTGCGCTAACGTAAACGTGTTATAAAACACCTTACATACGCGGTCGTTCGCAATGTGTAATCGCATCGATATGCAGAGTTCAGTACGTATCGGGATGCATAATGAATTGCTCGGTGGACAATCGAGAACACGCGAAGATAACACGCAGAATACGTACACTGTAATGCGTCACAATTAGCCGTGTTAAACGCGTATGTAGCGGTTATAGATAGGATGCACACGATCCACGCCAATGACGAGTCGAAAATAAAGCACGCTGCTGCAGGAGAGGAGCAATCGTTTTGCTCGAACTCCGATACACTCGTGAATCGGGTAAATTTTTTATCTTCGACTTTGACATTCTCGAACTCTACCCTTTGTCGGAAGTCTCAAAGTTTATCGCGCTCCGAAAGTTTTGAGAATTCGAGGAACAACGCAAAATTATTTACCTTTCATTGCCATCCGTTTCCTTCGGTACCTTGATCACGTAATACACGTGGCCTCCGTGAGTGGTCGTCATTTTGCTCGCGATCGCGAATCTACGTCTCTCGATATCAACATCGGACACTGGTCTTGCGAAACAACGCTGAACTTCACTTTCTGTCGTTTACTCAAGGTAGCATTCTAACACGTTCGGTGAGCTCAACTCGCGAAACCGTTCATCGTTGCATCCCTATTACTCACGCCGTCAACGGACGTTCGACCTGTCCATCGAATTATTTCCTCGACCCTGTCGCGAACAAAACTCGCGTGTGATTTTGCGCGCGAACCAACTCGAGGAGGAACGTAAGACTTTATTTTTAAGCGGAATCGTGGCGGGAGATCTTTGCAACTACCGCTGGTCGTCTTTCTCTGCCGTGTCCACCTCTTTCTGCCCTTCCCCTCCTTTCTTCCTCTAACTCCCACCATCGATAATATCGTTTCCATCCCTCTCTCGATGATCCCCTTTTTCTTTGCTTGTCACCGAACGACCACGCAATTTGTTATTTCAGGAGACCAAGAAAACATCGTGACGAGATTTTTTCGAGACCGCCTTTTCGAACTTTATTAGGCCACAAGATCGACTACACGATTATATCTAAATGAACTATGTCTTTCATTTATCTAAGATTGATCTACTAGGAAAAATCTATACGGTAGTTTCTGCACTTGTCTCTAGATGGATCGCGATACAAACTTTCTCGCTAGTACTCGCTCGACTGGTCATTATATTTGCTTGTCAAAAGCGAGGAAACGAATGAGATCTGAATTGACCATCGATGTGCTAGGTATATAACAATTGCTATCAAAAGGATTCCCAACCTTTCGTTTACCAGAACGAAACACGCTCTATTCTCCGGTTATTATTCTTCGATAGTGGAAGGGATTACAATAGGCATTGGAATAGATAGCGATCGATGTTTCGTGAAAAGAGGATATCTGGATCGAACGAATATAGAGCAGAGATCAGTGCAAATAAACAAGAGGAAGAGCAAGCAGTGGATTCCATGAACGATCGTAACGAAACGCGTAAGCCGTGCATCGATCCGCGCCAGTCGAAGCTGACCTATTTCCCGGAAATCCTCGACCCATTTACTCCACGCGACTCCCGAGTTGTCTATCGCCGTCTAGCTTCGACAGAGGCTTCTCTTTTCGCGCGCCGAGGGATAATTAACGCGTCAGACGAGTGTCTACCTTTTACGATGATTCGAGTTTATTTGAAATCAAGGTCCGCGGTACACTTCCGCGTACGAATTTCGGCAAATCAATAATCCATGGCGGGGAGTCGAGCCAAGATTCGGAGGACATTCGATCAAGCGTTCTGCGAAGCGGAAATACGGTGCAACAGATTTTGATTCGTTCGCAATTAGTTGCGCAAGCAGAGCGCGGTGATAGACGCAAGGTAGCATCGATCCGATTCTGTTTATAACCGTTACTCGATGTACGGCTTCTTCGGAAGTCAATTCGTGGCGATGTAGGTGTAACCGATGACAAAGGTATCTCCACAGAGGATTATAAAAAGGTGCTCCTGTTATAGGAAACTCAAGTCGAGCGAAAACTGTTTAATAAATGCGAAGATTTTCGTCTCGATCGAAAATGTCAGGCTCGAGATATGTAGCAACGGCAGAGCAGTTGCGGAACCACAGAAAAAGGACGGTCGTTCGAACCCCGTAAAAGTATCGGCTTATCCCTTGATCGCGTTCTATCGAGCGGAACAGTCGCAGTATCTTTGCTTCCTGTTGTTATAAATAACGGTAGGCTCGATGCTACCAGCTAATTATACGTCAATATTCTTCCATAAAAAACATCTCGTGACAGAAACGGGATCTCGTACAAGAAACTCGGGTTAACGCCTTACTGACACGTAACGCTGTCATACCTCAAATAAAAAGATAATTTGTAACTTGGCAACAGGTACTCCATCATTCGATTTAATTCAACGCGTTATCAGGATGCAGACTAACATGCGTGTAATGAGTTCCTATAATCACACTTATTAACGCGTTCTTGCTTAGAGGTCTTGAATCAATCTATAATAATTAATATCGGGTGAGGGACGATAAATTATTTCTCTAACTAACTCGTTTGACGTAAGTGATGTTTCAAACATATGTTAAGAGAAAGGTAACCTTGAAATGACCTTCACCTCTACAGTCTAATTCCTCTCGAGAAACAATGACATTTTTCCAAAGTACTTTTTTCAGAAACAAGTTAATTGGGACATGTGATTTCTGTTTGAAATGTCTTACAAGACCTCGATCTCGAGAGGGCTTGAATATCAACGCGATTACGCTCCAACCCTCTCGTATTTGTTGCCTAAACGTCACGCTGGAAGAACTCCGTTCGTGAATTCGTTATTTCGAGCTCTGACATTTTCAAGATGCCGATTAACGAGCGGCACGACCTCGCTACGCTCATCGCGGTTGCCATCGTCGCGTCAGAGGTAAAATACGTGTTGCGGCTTCTGTACACGCGCGATGTCCGCCTCGTATTTGTCGCTCGTGATTCCAACGATGGGGTTGCCCAAGGGTGACGCGGCACGAGGGTGAGAGCATATATGGGTCATGGTTGGAAGCGGGATTCTCGCGCGTGGCATCTTCTTTATACGCCACTGAATACAATACCTAGTCTACGCTACTCTGCCTGAAAATATCTTCTCGAAAATTTTCATTCTTCACGGATTTCGTGATATCGTCGGTGACCAAGGAAAGAAAATTTTCAATATCAAAATTAACAACTGGACCCCTTGGATATGTGGACGTTCAGTTCTTAAATTTATCAAAAGTCACACATGTAGACGTCGTTGCTATGTTGCAAGTTCTACGATTTATCTGAACAATTATCGCAGAATTAAAATGTGCGAAATCAGAAGATTAAATCACTTCTCGTTCTAATCCGAGATAAGACATCTTTGCAGAGATTAAATCTGTTGTTCTAGTTTCATGGGGTAACATTCGAACGTGCTTTTAATGCTCGATCGAGGCACGAAAGCGTGTTGAACGATGACACGATTTTCTAATACGAAAATCGTTATTCGATGAGCAACGGGTGTACCACCTCGATAAAACTTCGCAGACATCGCGGCAATGGGCTACTAAAATATACACGAACCGGGAGATCTGCGAGATTTACCAAGGTAAAACCTATTAACATTACTATAAACGGAACTGTGTCGTTCTTTGAAGTTGAACACGCGTCGTACGTTCGATTCGAACGCTTAATACAGAGAAAATTGAATCGTTTCCAGTCGCTTGGTCAGGTCACGTTCCTCGTTACAGGCTTCTCTTTAACGAGTTCCAGTTTAATCCATTGTTTGGCCCCTACCCTCTCGCGGCGCGATTTCAACGTGAAAGAGTTGCCGATTTCACAGATAGAACTTGGGAAAATATAAACGATTTCTAATTTTCGTGAAAGGTAATCCTTCGTTTTAGAAACACCTACGTGTCTCAAAAATAACTTTCATTGTATGCCCATAATTTTAAAACAAAATAAATGTCACAGGGCTGGAAAGGGTAAAGGTTCCAGTCGATATGCCATGAGTGCTTTATGGCACGAAATTGCGTCGTATTTTCCTACGTT